CGTCGCCTATTAGAGCGCGCTTATATTTTTTTTTTTAAATTATCTAAAGTAGTAGTATAAAGAAGAAAGGAATTTTAAAAGAATAAAATAGTATCTTTAAATAATAGTAATTAGAGTTATAGTATTATAGAAATAAATAAAGTAGTATATCGTTAATTAGAGCTTAAAACGAGTAATTAAATAATTAAGTTATTATAGAAATCTAGGCTTATAACTATTAGTTATATAGCCTATAGATCCTAGTAAGAAATAAGTAAAACTATATCGTTTTTAGTAAGTATCTAATTAGAGTATTTATAGCTATTACGGCTCAATATCGCCGGTAATTCAGCGAGAAAGCCGTGATTACGCCATATTCAGCAATCACCGAAAGTACCTCCGAAAACACCGGTGCTTGGCGCTAAACCAACATCTCGTCGACCAGGATAGCCTAATCACGATCTTCACAGCGTGACGCCACGCAAGTAGCCCGGACGAGTTTTGGAGGCGTGGACTTGGGTCCATTGATCCGCATGCTATGAACAATAATACTACTGCGCTGCTATCGTGCAATTCATATCGAAGCAAAGCTCGCAAGCCATTACTCATTCCTCGTGAGTGTAGTCTCAAAGCAGCAAACAAGCCAGAAGTGTAGTCCTCGACCGATAGATGCCTCTCAACCTCACGTTGGCATAGCTCTGATGCCACTAAAGGCAGATTCATTCCTCGAAGGTCCTGCACTGGCAGCAGCCCTGCTATTGCCTGCTCCAGCTCTCTTCTTGCTCACGCCAGCACCAGACGCATAGCCAGCACTATTCGACCTGCGGCCGCCTGTCTTGCCCCCACGCGATTTGCCTGCTGACTTCTCGCGCGCCACATAACTCTTCTTCTTCGGAGGGCCTTTGCGAGACGCTTGTGACTCTGGAGCGGTGTACTTGAACTTCTTCGCACTTTGCGAGAACCCGGCGTGCCATTCCGCGACTTCTTTGCTGACGGACTGCTGCTGGAAGTGACGACTTTGCTCGCCCGGTTCGTCATCTTCTTCATCACCCATATCATAGTCCTCATCATCGTCATCCTGCTCGCCATCACTGTCGATGACGATGACGTTTCTGTCGTGCTGATGATTGTCCGTTGGCTCCTCGTCCAGGTCATCCTCAGCAGGATTCGATTCCTCATTGTCGATCGCGACGCCCACCTCATCAAGTCTGGCGCGAGCCTCTTTGACCAACTTGATCATGTGCTTGCCATGTAGGTCGACACGCTCGCGCTCTATACCTGGTATGGCACGCAGCTTCTCGGGCGTATCGGTGATGTTGATGAACATCGTCCGAAGCATTGTTCGATTGAACGGCAACCAAGTCAGCTTTTGTTTCTTCATGATGACCTTGAGCTTCTTTTCTGCTTCGGCCACGAAGTGATCGACGATATCGCGATGTATCGGATCCAGCTTGTCCATCATTTCGTCGGTGGCGATGGGCGCTGTAAGTCCTTTTGCGGGAGTCTTGCGCGCAGGAATAGCTGGCTTCGCGACACAATTAGGCGCGAACCCATCATCGCTTTCGTCTTCGACGACAAAGCCGTCATCTTCATAGCCGTCGATCTGTCGCCGTTTGAGCTTAGTCTGAATGCTGGCTTGCCCGCGTCTCGATGGGCCCTGAAGCGGCGACGAGACGTTGGTCGACATAGGCAACTCCTTCGGTGTTTTGGTACTCTTCGACTTCTTCGCTGCGGGCTTGCTAGGCTTCGCCTTTTGAGGCGAGGTACTGATCATCATCTTGAATTTTGAGCGCTCAAGCTCGAAGTCATTGCATCGCCAGCCGAGATTGACGTATTGCTGCGCAAATCCTCTTTTGTTCATGTGGTTCTCTTCAACGAGGGCCTCTTCGCCGATCAGCTGATAGAACAAGCGCTCGACATCACCCCGATTAAGATGCGAGCCAGCGCCAGCCTCTTTCAACTCGATGTGCTTTTTCTCTTTAGCTTTCGAATTGCCGGCTCCACGAAAAACGTCGATGCAGTGAAGCAAGGTGACCTTGTCTTTTCTGATTTTCCGCACCAGGTCGACCGCTTGTTGGGCTTCTGCAGTCAGGTCAACCTCCTCGTACGTTGCCTCGGAAAGGCAGTTGTCGCAGTTCCCGTTGCAGTCCTCTTGATTAAATCGCTCGTCGAAATATGCCAGCACTTGAACGCGTCGACAGTCGCTTCGATTCTCGCAGTACTGGACCATCTTGCGAAGCATCTGGTGTTGCATGTCTTTGACTTCTCGGCTGCCTTCATTTTTGGGGTCATCAATCATACGGCGTAGCTTGCCAGCATCTCCGTACCCGTAGAAGAGATAGCAACGGGAAGGATTTCCATCACGACCAGCTCTGCCTGTCTCTTGATAGTAGCCTTCAAGCGACTTGGGAATGGTGTGGTGGATCACAAAGCGTACGTTGCTCTTGTCGATGCCCATACCGAATGCAATGGTAGCAACGATGACCTTGATCTGGCCGGCCTGCCATGCTTGCTGGACTGCAGCTTTTGCAGGTCCTTCGAGACCAGCATGATAGTGCTCAGCCCGTATGCCATGATTCTTGACAAGCGACTGTGCAATATCCTCGCAATTCTTGCGCGACAAGCAATAGACAATGCCGGTCTCCTTGGCGTGTGACTCTTTGATCAGGCCTGCGATGGCGGCGACATCTTGACTGCCTTTCGGTTTTGGACGAACTTCGTAGTACAGGTTGTCTCGATTGAAGCTCTGGGTGAAGACTTGGCATTTGTTGGGGCCGTCCTTCTTCATACCCAGGTTGTGTATTGTGTCGTCCTTGACTCTCGAAGTTGCGGTAGCAGTCAGAGCCATGACTGGCACTCCGGGATACCTCTTCCTCACCTCGCCAAGATTCTTGTAGTCAGGCCGGAAGTCGTGTCCCCACTGACTAACACAATGCGCTTCGTCGATTACCAGCCTGGCAAACTTCCCGCGGCGATGGAGGCCATCGAAGGTGCGCAGCATGTTCTCACTCTTGCCAAGCATTTCGGGTGTGACATACAGAAGCTGGATGAAGTCCTCGACATTGCTCTTCCAGAGCCCATCCATGATCCTCTGTTTGTCTTCGCGACTCGTCTCGCCATTGATCAAGAACGCGAAGATGCCGATCTTGTTAAGATGCTGCACCTGATCTTCCATCAAGCTGAGCAACGGGGACACGACGATGGTCACGCCTCTGGTTGTTCCAGATTGGATCACAGCAGGAAGCTGGTATGTCAAAGACTTGCCGCCGCCTGTAGGCATCAGGACAAAACAATCTCTGCCGCTGAGAGTCGCATTGATCGCCTGAAACTGATTCTCTCTGAAACCTTGCATCCTGAACCTTTGCTTGAGAACATCGCAGACCTCATCTGACCAAGGAAAATTCATATTCTCGCGGTGGATCGCGGCCAGCTCAGCAGCAGATTTCGTCGTCTTTGTCTTTTTCGCTTTCGGTTGTGCTTGACGCGCTTGGATATTGGCTGATATCTCAGCGAAGGCCGTTCTGCCAGTATTTCCAGAAGCAAACTGACCTGCACTATCATAGTCTTCCACCATGTCCAGCATCTCGTCGTCCATCATGCCATAATCATCTTCGTTGCCATGATCCGCAGGCGGAGTGCCCATGCGTGTCGTGTATATATCATGTCCCGTGCCGATCATATCAAGGTCGTCAATGTCATCGTCGAAAGCGTTGTCACTGAACATTAGACTGTCCTGCTGCTTGGCATTATTTTCGAACCGGATATGCGAAGCTTGGTGCACAGGTGCGGACTTGCTAACCTGCAGCGGAGGTCTTGCTGGTGGTGGCATTGCGGGCTGCATCTGCGTTTGAGCAATGCGACTCGAGCTTCCAGGAGCACGCGCCCGCTCGGGGATCGCTCCTGGCATGACCTGTGTCGATTCGACGGCGACGCGCTGCGAGAGGAGAGGGCGGAGGTCATCTGCGCATGGTCTGAGAAGAGCGATGCATTCCTTTTCGATGTTGGCAAGGCGTTCCTGCGCGGCGCGATTCTGTGCATTGGCTTCGTCACGCCCTTGACGAGTTCGCAATGCTTGCCTCAGATCCTCTTTGGCTTGATTCCTGTTCTCTTGTGCTTTCTGATAAGACTTGCACTTCGATTTCAGCGTGGCCAAATTCTTTCTCTTGAGATCCAGTTCGTCCTGCTCAGCCTCAAATGTCGAAGTATCGTCATTGCCAGCGTCCATCCATTCGGTCATCTCGTCTACCACAATATTGTATCTCTCGTCTATGTTGGACAAAGCCCGCTCATATAATAATCCAAATGATTCAAACACACGCAACATCAGAGTCTTGAGTTCTTCATCTTCCGGTGGTTGTGCTTGGGTAGTGTTGGATGGCTGAGGTATTTGAGTACCTTCGGCTTTGGATGCTACGTTGCCCTTGACGTTCTGAACGGCACTCGAGTCCCCTGCTATAGCTGGCGGTTTCAAATGTGATGATATCGGGGGCGGGCTTGGTATGGGAGAGCTTGCGCTCGCTTCATCGCGTACTGGGAACGTAGCACGTTTGTCGGTATTCAGCGGCGCTTCAGCGATTGGAGAGCTGATAAGCACAGGCTCATGCTGCACCGACATGGCCTTTTTGCTGTTGCCTCTCGTCGGTGGCTTGGTAGGTTCTACATGTTCGTCGTAGAAGTTCATAAGATCATCTTCATCGTCTTCTGAATCCTCGACATACGACGTGGATCGAGCATTCGACAGCGGCGGCCTCGCAGGCTGCGCTGAACCCTCCGCTGTAGCTTTCCCCGGCCGAGGAGGGATCGTGGAGTACGGAGGAGGCGGACCAGTAGGGATATCATCGAACTCATCATCCTCGTCAATGGATGGGAACTCTTGCGAAGGCCGCGGCACGATGATAGGAGCCTGGTTGGGCCGCTTGATAGAAGCAGGATTGTGTCGCAAATCAGACTCGAACTCCTCGCTTTTGCGTTTCCTGCCTGCGGCTGATGGAGGAGCAGACGTTTTCGCATTTGGGCTGCACATTTTCGCAAATTCTTCGGTCAAGTCCATTTGCTCGACGTTCTTGTGTTGCGAAGGTATTGGTGTTCGGAAGCTTGCAGAGTGCGCATTCTTCGCATCTGTTCTTACAGCATTCCTTGGCTTAGTGGGTGTGACATCGAGTTGTCGGGGGCCAAACGAAGTATTCGACTTGGTAGCCGATGTTGGCGCAGTTGCCCGTCGAACCATCTCTGCCTTCTGAGGGAAGTCCGGTGGGTCTCGTGTGACGCTCCCCGCTTGCAGTGCATCCGCATTCACCACCGTTGCTGTACTGGCGCCGTCACGTCCCTCGCCGCTCCTCTCAGTCCCAGGCCGCGTGGCGGGTGATGGCAAGCCGATCGTACTCTGATGAATCCCGCTACCTCCAGATTCTGATGTAACTGCTCTATTGAGGGAGTTTGAGAGTCTCCGGGTGGCACTGGCACCGGCCGTCGTCTCAATTCGATTGTCGTTGGGCGTAGCGAACGATGTGGAGGCTGGCGGCAAATCGATGGTATTGGGCGGGATCGAGGGCTTTTCGCTGAACAACCATCGTAAGTGTTCCTGCAGGTTGTTTGTCGTCATTGCCGGCAGACATTGCTCGGTTCGCGCGGCGTAAGAGCAATGCCTGCGAGCATTGGATCGTATGCGATGGCGACGGTATGAAGTGTTGTTGTTCGCGTCGGTTGGAGTCGGACGCGTCGCAGTTGTGCCTCATTGATTGCCTGAACGCGTCATCACGTGTCAGCCCCACCGAGCATCAATCCAAAAAAGTTCAACAACTACAATGTCACAAGCCACCGAACATTGCATATGTCGCAGCCATGGAATCAGAAGAACGGCCAGCGAAAATCAGGAAGCTTTCACATGATGCTTCCGTGGAGCCAGCAGACGTGAAGATGCTCACGTCGGGTGGAAGTCCGGATTTTCAAGAGCAAGCAGCCGAAGGCGGTCATTCGCAGCACAGCGATGAAGATGGAATCGCAGCAGAAGCACATGCGGCCGATGGCATCTCGCTGTCCGAGATCGAAATCCAAGCGGCTGGAGTATCGACAAATGGCGATTCCGCCGATCCGCCTCTCTCAAAATCTCAGCAGAAAAAGCTCAAGAGAAAAGCAGAATGGGAAGCCAAGCGGGAGGACCGCAAGCACGAACGAAAGGCAAAATTGCAAGCCAAGCGAGAGCGTAAACGTGAAGCGAAGCAGCAGGCCATCGAGCAAGGAATTCCACTTCCTGAGCCGGCCAAAGCCATCTACAAGAAGGCGACACAGCTACCCATTACGATCATGATTGACTGCGACTTTGACGATCTCATGCACGATGGCGAGCGAACGTCTTTGGCGTCTCAGGTAACCAGAAGCTATTCTGACAACAAGAATTCGCCCTTTCGAGCACATTTGACAATCTGCTCATTTGGTGGCAAACTCAGAGAGCGTTTCGAGACTGTCTTGGCAGGGCAGTTCAAGGCCTGGAGAGGCGTGCGCACTTTCGACGAGAATTTCGTGCAGACGGCACAAAAGGCCAAGGAATGGATGACCGAGGAGCAAGGCGGCAAACTGGAAGGCGTCTTTTCCAAGTACAAGGATCTGGACGAGGAAGCCCAACGGAAATTGAAAGACGAAGGTGAGGTCGTTTATCTGTCTTCCGAGGGCACAGAAGACTTGCTTGAACTCAAGCCATACAGCACATATATCATTGGAGGACTCGTGGATAAGAATCGTGAAAAGGGCATATGCCATCGACGAGCGACGAACGCCGGCGTCAAGACTGCGAGGCTGCCCATTGGGCACTACATGGATATGTCGAGTCGCAAAGTCTTGGCAACGAATCACGTCAATGAGATTCTGGTAAAATGGCTTGAATGTGGAGACTGGGGCGAGGCATTTTTCAAGGTTATGCCCAAACGCAAAGGTGGGAAGCTCAAGACTGCCAAAGACCCTGAAGGCGCCAGTAAGCATGACGATGAAGCGGATGAAGATGCCGAGGTGCAGAAGAACGAGATTCAGGAGCATCAAGCTTCGACGAACATTCACGCCTCGGAGAATGGCACGAACGGAGAATCGACTGATGCGAGGTCAGACCGCGGCGACAGCCTCATTAAAGTTGAAGGTAGCAATAGTCCAGGAGCATCATGAAATCAGTAAATGTGACCACCGCCTTAAGGGGCGCAGCAACATGAGGCGTTCATTTGCGCAAGCTCTCATCTCGGTTGATACACGATCACCACAGTACCTCGAACAGCATGTACTCAAAGACGGCGACATCAGGCTCACCAACGCCGTCTTGAGTCATCGCTTCTACTGATGGCAGATTGCAAAGTCGCTCTCACCAGGCAATTCACCACGGGTCACAGTACTGAGGAACAAAAGCGTGCGGTCGAAGCGCTGAACACATGAGGTGATACGCGCAAACGCGGTGTTAGCTTCGTGCAGATAAGTCTAACATCGCAATGAAGACGGACGGCCACAGCCCATCTTTGCGACAATCTCTGCGCAGCAACGGCCTCTCACAAGATTGCGTGGCATCACAATATCTCTTCACAGTTTCTCGATGCGCATTTTGCGAGCTGCGTAGGCACACTGACACAGATCTGTAACAATGTTGCATCAATCTTCGGATGGGACCCTGGAGTGAAGATGCGAACTCTGACGAGAGTTCCCAGTCCGCACGAGGTCGGAACCTAGTTTGACAGGTTTGACAGGTCCGACGGGAAGGTAAGTTGGATCTACCAACCTGCTTGGGTCTACTTAACTTTTATGAGCGCTGTCGTGGCATGGTGTGGTGTGTGGTCTCGCCTTCAATACGAAATACGCTGGAAATTCCTAGGACATGCAATATTCTCCGAATACCGCAGGAGAGGGACAACCTGGACAACAGCTGCAGCAAGACTCGGGGCATTTTTACGAGGCAGAGAAATCGATCGTGACCACAACTTGGCCCAGGCTTTGGACGAGACACAATCATTCAGAACATTGTAATGATTCTTTAGACCACTGTATCGCTCTCACCTCATATTCCTTCGCACCGACCGCAACAACCTCCTCCACCACTTGTCCCCTCCCAGGAGGCTAAGAGAAAATGTCCTTCGACACACACCGCTCACGCTCACAAAGAACGCGCACACTACTCCTCGCTCGCGAAGCCTACTGCCCACCAGGACTCCTCGGCCTCGCAAGTTCCCGCTACGCCCTCTTCTGCGCCCTCATAGCCTGCCTCGGCAGTCTAACATATGGCTACGACCAAGGCCTCCTAAGCGTCGTCCTCGTTGAACCCCAATTCCTCTCCCGCTTCTACCGCATCGACCAAAAGACCCATCCCGACTCCGATGGCGCAAGTGCAAGTTTCTGGATAGGTCTCCCCACAGCATCCCTCGTCCTTGGTGCTCTTGTGGGATCTCTCAATCAAGGCTGGATCGCGGATGTATACTCCCGAAAATATTCCATCGTCATCGCGGTTGCGATTTTCATTATTGGATCTTCGATACAGACTGCGGCTGTAAGTTATGATATGCTCGTTGTTGCGAGGTTTGTTGGTGGAACGGGGGTCGGGATGTTCAGCATGGTGACTCCATTGTACATTTCAGAGATTTCACCCGCCGAAGTGCGAGGTTCTTTGCTCGTCTGCGAAGAGGTCAGCATCGTAGTCGGCGTCGTCATTGCGTTTTGGACGACGTATGGGACGTATCATATGGACAACGAATGGGCTTGGAGGTTACCGTTTTTGCTTCAGATGGTTCCAGCGATCATGGTTGGAATCGGGATTTGCTTTCTGCCATTCTCGCCGAGGTGGCTTGTCAGCATAGGCCGAGATCAAGAAGCCTTGATGACGCTATCGAAGCTGAGACAGTTGCCGACGATTGATCAGAGAGTGCAACTGGAATGGCTCGAAATTCGAGCTGAGGTCATTTTGCACAAAGAACTGAACGCTGAAAGACACCCACACCTCCAAGACGGATCACGGAAAAGTAAAATCAAACTAGAGCTGGCCTCGTGGGGCGATCTCTTCCGCAAAGGCTGTATCAAACGCACTCACATCGGAATCATGCTGTTCTTCTTTCAGCAGTTCGTAAGACCTGCAACCATTCCATAAATCAACTTACCACTCGACCCTCTGCTAAGTTTTCCGTGTAGGTCGGCATCAACGCCCTAATCTACTACTCCCCCACCCTCCTAAAATCCATGTCACTCGATTTCAACACAACCCTCATAATGGCTGGCATCCTGAATACCATTAAACCTGATCGGTGTCGGCAGTACAGTCTACACAATGGGTAATTCTGATTTCCACCCTCAATTTACCCTCCGCTAACCCGCTCCGCCAGACCGCTTCGGCCGCCGCCCCCTCCTCCTAATCGGAACATTCTTCATCTTCACCTCCCTCCTCGTAATCGCAATCCTCGTAGGCCTCTATTCCCACGACTGGAATTCCCACAAAATTCAAGGCTGGACCGCCGTAGCAATGCTATTGCTCTATATGGTCGCCTTCGGTGCATCGTGGGGTCCATGTGCTTGGACAATCCCAGCTGAGATTTTCCCCTTATCGTTACGAGCGAAAGGATTGGGAATTTCTGTGGTTTCGAAGTGGGTTTGCAATTTTGTGATGTGAGTACTCTCCATCTCTCTGATATGTATGCTCGATATGCGTTAGCTGATGCGATGTTAGTGGTTTGATCACCCCTCCACTTGTCCAGAAGACAGGTTACGGGACATATGTGTTCTTCGCAAATTTCTGCGTCATTGGTGGTGTTTGGATATACTTCTGTGTCCCGGAGACAAAAGGGAAGAGTTTGGAAGAGATGGATGAGATTTTTGGGGATAACAGTCCGATTGCGGAGCAGGAGAGGCGGGAGAGGATCGAACGCGAACTGTTTACCAGTAATGAGATTGGGCCGCAGCCGAAGATGTAGTGGTTGTGTAATAATACTTATGTACATAGACAGCGATGTTTTGAGCACCTTCAACGATCAATGTTTGACATGCTGTGGCGTGAGAAGGAGCTTCATCCTCAGGTCCCCAGTTGAATACTGATCACACCTCTTGACCAAAAGCACCAACAAACGGCGGAGCAGTAGTCCTATCGCAAGAGTTCTGCACAATGTACCCAGACCCTTGACTCGCAGTCGTCAGCGCAATAGCTCCATTGGGATCCTGTATCGTGAACTGATATCCATAACCACCAACACCCTGTCCATGGACGACTCTCATGGGCAGATACGTTCCGGCCTCGAGAAATGTCGTGAACGTCCCCGTCGGTGCACCAGAACTATATGCGAAAGCCAAAGACAAGTTCGCATTAGCTTTCGTCCAGCCTCTTTGAGCCAAGGCGCCCAGCCACAACACAAATGCGTCGTCGACTCCAGATGCGACGAAAGACCATTGCCCAGCCATATAGACGTACAAGTAACCTCGATAATCCGCTGAGAACTGCTGGCAGGGTACAGTTCGTGGTGCACCGGTGTAGAGGGTCACTGTAGTCGCACCACAGTTGTTCTGGTATCCTCCGATGCTTGGTATTGTACCGTTGTAATAAATTGTCGTCCAGGTACTGTTAGAGCCGGCAGAGCCTCGCGCCTTGAGATAGGTCGGGTCGTATGCGCTATAGGCATCTCCGTTGACGTGGGCAGGCTGATTGTTTGCAAAGACACCATATTGCATTCCCTGATTGCCGCACAGCGACGGAGCTGGCAGCTGTTGCAAGATACTCGTAGTCGCTGTAACGACCCGTGTCGCAGTCTGAGTTTGAGCGGGAGGAGTATTGGTGACAACGATTCGCTGTACGACTGTTGTCGGGACATACGCGGTGTATGTATTGAGCTGGATGCTATTCACCGCGCGACTGAGAGCATCGATCTGCGTCTGCATTGAACTTTGGATGTCTCTGCAAGAGGCAATCGAGAACAATGACAACTGTACGAGGAAGCAGCCATCCGGGAATCCATTCCGCGTGAAAACTGCGTATATGATGCCTCGCCCGATCATGGCGCAGAATTGAGCCTGCCCGCCGAAGAAGGACGGATGCCGCCATGTGATCGTTCCTTGAGGGCCCATGGTGAACGTCGTGTTGATGGTCGACGAGGTATACGTTGGAATGAAAAGCTTGTTTGGCAGGCCAGGCTCTGTCGAGTATATAGCTTCGGCCCCAGCGAGTATTGTAGTCAACGTGTCGTTGAACAATCGATATACCGGAGCGGTGGTGCAGTCGTTGCTGATCTCGCCATCGACAGTAGCCCATTGCGTCTAATCCATGGTAAGCTTGGTATACCACTCTGACAAGGAGAGTCACTCACCAATCCAGCTTGCCTTTTGCCATTGTGAGCGCTTTGCACAGCAGCGATGAGATACTCGCCGTCTTCAAATACAGTATCCGTGTGGCGTGAAGTATATTCAGTGTCAGGAGACCTGTCTGCTGCCGATTTCTCGTCTTTCATCGTCTCAGTCTTTAGTTCATAGCTTGCATCGTTCGATGGGCTTCGTCCTGACGCCTGATTGAGTCGTGGGCCCGGATATGCACGATTTGCCTCATGGCCAAGCTTATCAGCTGTAGTTGCGATTGACAAGGCACAAAAAACTAGCCAACAACTATAGATGAGCTGCATCTTTCAGGATGTCGAAGCTGACAGGCTGCGCGCAATAGACAGACGTCTAGTACCAGGCACGGCCAAGAGGACAATGCGTGGCAACGTCCATAACTGTCTGCCGTGCCGTCGTGGGGCTCATTCCGGACGGCTCAAGAGATCCGAATCACTACCAAGAACACTTCTTGGAGATGGCATCGTGGAAGCGTGTTCGTTGTGTTGCGGTACATTTCAAAGCGCTTCCCTACAACTCCGCTTCACAGGCTGTTCTGGCAGCTGTAGTAGTAGCGTCCCAATGCGACCACTATCAACGAAGGTCTTTTAGCTGTGGCGGGATGTTCGTCTGTCTATCCAAGGCGCCAGGAGTAGTGAAGCCATATTTTTTCGGGCCCTTCAGGCCTTAGCGCCTTGGGGGTGGCGCGTATGGGTGTGCCCGGCTTGAGATACTGGGTCGTCGTTGCGGCTGTGAAGCAAGGGACGCGCTTGGGAGGCGGCTCTTGTTATTGTTTGGAATTCCTGTGCGGCTAATGTGTGCATCATATTCGGGAATGGTGCCGACGGGACCATAGCCGCCATCCTGCTCTCTGTGATTCATACCAGTACATCGAAGTACAACGTGTGCATCTGGTAACATTGTCTCCGCAGTTGCAAAGCGATGTCGATGAGGCTCTCATGACACCAGCAACTTTACCCGGCCGTGTGAACGGCGGCTCATCGCAGCATTGAGAAGCCTTGCTATGACAGGAGCCGTAACGTACAAAAGACCTGGAGCTTTCGAGCACGCCGACCAAGAGCCGTGGCCAGTAATCGAGGACAGATGCAGGTGAAGGAGAAGAGCGGTACGACTAGCGGCTTGTCGAGGAGTGAGTGTGTCGCGTGCTCACAACGATCTCGTAGTGAAGCTGTATGGCATCGATCCAACCACAAAAGAGCTGGTATGCACGTGCGGGCACAAGATGAAAATGTGCGCAAGGTCATCAAGGTCATCTGCGTTGATGTTAGCGGACAAGGCCACATTCGGGACGCCGTCACGCGACAAACGTCATCGCTGTGTTGTTCACGGCGACAAGACGACAGCCACCGCCAAGTCGACGACTCGCTGCCGCTTCACCTCCTCCGCCGTGTCTCCTGAGCCTGAGCGCGGACATCACAGACCAGAGAATCCATCAATACGCGCTGGAAAAGGGACATATCCATCAAAATGTGGCCATACCCTGCAGCTGGAGCTCTGCTCACCAGCATGCTCGCTACGGCAGCGCTTGCAGCGCCTCCACCCGAGCAAGCAATTCTCCGACCTCCACCGACCTCCGTAGCTCCCTACAACAGCATCCAAACCGGTGTGGGCCACTTCAGCGAATGGAGCCGAGCAACAAAGAAGGAATTCCTCATCGACTGGCAAGCCGGCAAGGCCTCAGAATGGATCTTCGTGCAAGGCAACGAGGGCGGGGACCTCGACAGCATGACCGCGGCCCTGGCCTGGGCTTATCATCTTGAGCATTCGACTCAAAATACTTCGCATCCTCAGAAAGCTATCGCACTGCTGCAGACTCCGACTGATGCTTTGGATTTGAGGCCGGAGAACAAGGTGGCCTTGAAGAATTCGTTAATGAGTTCTGGGCATAGCGATCTGCTCACTATTGATGAACTTCCTGAGGATCCCGAGACTCTGGCTCGCGATTTGAAGGGTATCATTGTCGTCGACCACCCTGTTCCTCTGCGAAAATGGAGCCAAGCCCCGATCCTCTCCATCTTCGATCACCACGTAGACAGCGGAGCCGGACCAGACGCAAAGCCACGCATCTTCGAAAAAGTAGCAAGCTGCACGACTCTCGTGGCTCGTCAAATGCTGGATGAACTCGAAGCACTTCCTGAAGAGTATCACATGCCTCACGAACTGCTCGAGCTCATCCTCGGCGCCATCGCAATCGACTCCGATGGCCTAGAAGACGCCACCGAAGAAGACCGCAAAACCGCACAACGCGTCTTGGAACGCAGCAACTGGCACAAGAGCGACCTCGATGACAAAATGCAAGAAGTAGCAGAAGCACTCAAAGATGCCAAGAAAGATCTCGACCATCTCAGTGTCCGCGACTTGCTCCGCCGAGACTACAAAGGAGATCTCGTCGATACTCCATCTCCACGTACACCCACTGTCAGCCTTGGCTTCGCTTCAATCCCCTTCTCACTGGACGAACAAATTGAGAAAACCGAATTCCAAGCTCTCTTCGACTGGTTTGCCATCGAAGCCGCTTGGACAGCACAAGTCGGAATGGACATCAGCGTCGCATTGAACAAGTACAAAGTCAAAGACAAGCACGGCAACAAGCAGAAAATCCGAGAGATCGTTCTCGTAGTTCGCAGTGATGTACGAATCGATGAGGATCAAGCTGACGACCTTTTCCGTACTGTCTCAAAGGCTATTGAGGAGGAGCCGACGCTGGATGCTAAGCCTTGGCATCGTGCTGATGAGCTTGGAAGAAGGCAGATGGTGTGGTATCATAAGAGGGAAGATGCGGGGAGAAAGGTGATCAGGCCGATTATTGAGAAGGCTGTCGAGGCTTGGGATTAGGTGGCCCTGTGGGGTGGGATGCCTGCGACGGTGGTGACGACGGCGAAGAAGGCGGTGCCTTATCGAGCATGATGACTTGAGCTATCATCCCGGCTCTCACCTACACACGATGTAGACGCGCGACCCCAAGTGCTGCGCACTTGCTCACGCGCGCTCTCGTATTTGCGAACGGGATAACTAAGCTTGCTCTGTACCGATCGGTGACCTGAGGACACAAGATCTCTACTAGTAGCTCAAATAAATTATAACACACTTCACACAGCTTTCCTTACATACTCGGAAGACCGTCAGTCACTTCGCACAATCCAAGTCGGACGACACAGGTTCCTATCTCCTCAAACACTTTCCCCGCCGTCTCGAACAAAGAACTTTTTCCCGACCTCCACGGAACCTCACCTCCTCCGAAGCCAAGAACAATACCAACGCCAAGCCCTTCCAATCACCATTCACTTGCCTCGCACAACTCTTATGCCGGTTTGCCGACTGGCTTTCATCGTATCATACCACATCGCATCACAACCACAATCTGAACATCCATATAATACCATTTCACCTTCCATTCGAATTCCACTTTCCTTTCCTCATCTCCAACCTGCTCAAAGAGCCTCAGCTCCATCAAATTAAGAAGACCAATTGAAATCCAGCCTCCAAAAATGTTGCGCAACACCTTTCACAATGGCAGCGACGAAGAAACGATTCTAGGAGCAGATAATCATGGAACATATGTTTTGGGACCGAAGTGTGTGGTGCAGTAATTCAAGTGGCAGAGAAGATTAGTTCGTGCGGCGAAGGCAGAAAGGGTTGCGGATACACAGAGAAAAAGACGCAGCAAGAATCGACTGGGAGAAGACGAAGACCTACGCCTCGTCTATTTTGATCATATCTTAATTGAAAAGCAGAGAGGTGGATCATATCATTCCATTGCTTTCCGCCATCTGCGTCTAATTGCTATGCATATATATGCTGTATCAAGGGCCGCCTTGATGTACGCTCCATGCTGATCCTTCGGCCTGCGCATTTCTCATCTTACGCACCTCTCCCCCTCTCCTCAATTCCCGCTCGCAAATCCTGCAAAATTTCTCTTCCCAACCACTTCATCCCGTCATCTTCCTCGTCTACCCCGTTTGATCCCTCTTTATCCCTCTCCTCCTCCCTCTCCGCCCAAGCGAAGAGCGTCCTCAAATTCCACAAATCCTCTACTTTCCGACTATCCACCGCATTTCCGAGAACCAATCGATCGTCCACAACTGTTGTCCTCTCATCCGTATACACAGACGAATGGACCTCAGCGGGAAGCAAAAGATCCTTGTCTGCGTGATCGAGATTCTGAAAAGCCGGAAGAGACAGAAGATCGTGCCAATGGGCCTGACCTCCAGCACCGGCGTGAGCATTCGCAGCCGATGATGAGACAGACGGTTTCGCGGATAGACTCATGTCCGTCAAAGCGGCCAGTGCAGCGGAGAAGACCGAGTCATGGGCTTCAGAGGCGGGACATCGTCGGACGTAGACGCGCTGGTCTTTGCGGAAAGATTCGAGGTGTTGAGGATTGCTGACGAAGTCCAGTGTGACGCGCCAGTAGGCTGGGTCAGCAGTTTGTACAGTGGCGATGCTGTCCAGTTCCGGAAGCAGACAAGGCGCTCGCATTTCCTTCACTTCGCCATTCTTCAGTGTGATCTTTATCGGCAAGTGGATAGGTCGCTGGGTATCGACGTCTTCGATGACGATGCATCGTGCTTCAGCTGCCAGAACCCACAAATGCCGGAACGCTTGCAGATGAACACGATTGTCGTTGACTTCAACGGGCCAGATCGGGTGCAGAGATATCATGAGAGCTGCAATCGCCAGGTCGCTCGTGCCAAAGGTGTAAGTCCCGCCGGCGAGGAACAAGATCCCGATCGCAGTGTGTGCTGCCATATGCGAGCCATACGGAGTCTGAGCATCAAGACGTGCATGCAATGGCCGTAAGGAACGATATACGTCCAGATCCCCGGTGCCAGCCATCACAACAGCTGCCGCCACACCGACGACATCTTGACAGCGACACAGTGCAGCTCGAGTGATTTTAGCATCGTACAAGAACGCGCCTGTGTTCATACTTTCGTACCATTCGAGAAGGCTGAGAAGCTCGTCTCGAGCAGACAGATTGCCGGAGCCAGCATATTTCAGACCTAGCGCCCAAGCAAGCCCAGCAAGAACGTAGTACAGAGGGATGTGTGCGCTGTCATGTTTATGCTTGCGGGAATTGATCTGATATATCCTCTGGATGCGATCGTCATTGTAACATCGAGGCAAGTTCGCACCAATCCAACCCTTTTCGAAGGTATGAACAGTTGAGTTGGCGAAGCCCATCCCTCCATTGAGCGTTTCCTGCACCTTCCCAGGCTTGAGGTCTGTTCGAACTACGATCGAGGTCCACAGTATAACATGTCGGGCCATGGCGCGCAACATGAGTATATCAGGTCTAACGTGATCGAATTGAGTCTCGGTGTCAGGGATGTCAACCTTCGTTGCCACGGAAGTCTCGCCAGATTTCATGTAGACTAGGGCGAGTGCCAAGACAGAACCGGCAGTGGCACGATCGAAGACATGCACAGCGTGAATGGGACGTGGCCCCACAGCCATAGCGAGCAGACGCTCTGCTAGCTGCATGCCGTGCAAACCTCGCAGGTTGTTGCCTTTACCCAAGTTGATCAGGCCCAAGGCGAATCCTGCAGCTAGACGATAGCTCTCGTCACGCAATGGATCCGGTCCACTGTCGGGATCCTCGACTTCCATATACTCTATCTCCGAGAGCATTATTTCAGACATGCGGCGATGCTGGGTGTTATAGTAGAGCAGGCCAATGCCCAACAAGCCTGCAGTCTGTGTTGCTGGTGAGACATTCACATCTGCCGCACCGGGAGGTAACATCTTCGTGATGTGTACAGAAAGCATTTTCGTGATGAGTGCGTCCATCGTGCCAATGTAGGACGCCGAGAGGCCAAGGAGAAGGCCGACCGATGTCATCGTGTGTTTTGGTGTAAGATACTTGAACGAAAGCCACTTCGCCAGATGCCGCAGATGACCGCCCAGACCAAGAGCTAGCAGGAGACCGGCGTGACGATTGGTGAGCTCGCTAGGCTTGTTGAATGCAATCCACGAGGTATCAATGCCCTTGACGCTCTTGGATATGCGTATGCCCACAGACACGCCTGCGTGGAAGTACGCCCAGTTCACCTTTTCTTCAGACAGCCCACTCCGATCGGCTGTCAGCGTATGTCCCATTGGCTGCATGAGACATGAGGAACTGAAGCCGGGCAACTGGAATTTCTCCGTCAGCAACGGTGTCTGGCTGTCGTAGTGGACCATTCCATCTCCAGCTGGTAACGCGATCATGCGGGTAGTGACATGATGCATGACCTTGCGTTGCATGTCAAAGTGCTTCTGCTCATCCCATTCGTCTTCCTTTGCGCACCAACCAACTTGGACGGTGTTGAAATGCATCAAGCTCGTGGCCTCTACCATTCGTCGATCATCACTGAAGATGAGCTGTGTGATCGCATGCCTGCCAGCTTCTTTGGTCTTAGCGGGTGCATGCGGATGTTCGATTGCGTTGCAAGCCAGGAGCACATCACGTGTGCCCGCTGCAGAAGCTATTGTCGAGCGATGGAGAGAGGCTGATGTTCGACGGTCGCATACAATGAGGTCGGCCCTGCCAACCAATTCTAGCAAGTCATTGCGCCATGTTGTGGGCGGCTCCCTCTCACAGCGCACGATAGCTTCCATGAGAGGTGCAGCTATAGATTCCGGCAAAGCCTCCAAGTTAGTGATTGTGAACCCCTTCTCTGCCAGAAGTTGGACTATCCTCGTTGGACTTGCGGTCAGGCCATTGCTTGAGATCAGCAACTCGGACAACGCTACCAGAGTCGGGGTGAGCATATTCGCTACAGTCTCTGACACTTTCGTATTGACTCCATCGACGTCAAGGTGCGCGATCGAGTAGAGGGAAGGAAAGCGGTCTGGACTGGTTTTCCTCAGGGCATTCTCGAACCACTGATATGCACTGATCGGTCGTTCCATTAGTCTCAATCGTGGCGTGGCTACAGGCCTCGACTTGATCGTTGCCCAATCGTCATCTCTAGCATCCACAGGGCTGTAAGTGCTTGCGATCGAGAATCCCCAGTCATGAAGCCCTAACCATGAGCCAATTTGAGCGATGACAGGCGCGAGATGCTTGGTCATATGTGCATCAGAAGCAAGCGTTGTGAGAGAAAGCTCTTCGCGAAAGACGTAAAGGCCGAGCATGAGTTTCACAGCAGTCGAGGTGATGGTATCGTAGTGCGTGGTATCCTGCACGACACTAGACGCCAGCTCGTCCGCGACAACTGCAGCCGTGACAAGTAGCTGATCCTTCCGCTTCTCTCGACTTCGGGGCGACGATAGGTGCGAGGAATGTTGCGACGAAGGGAGCCATGACCACGTAGGGGATATCTCGAGATGTCTCTCATCGAACGAGTGACCAGCAGGGGTAGAGTGACTAGTACTTGTCGAAGTCTTGCCAGTTGCGACTTTCGCCAGCTTGATGGATGCTCTGGCTTTGTCGTCGAGTAGTCCAAAAACGAAAGTAAAGATGGTCGCGACCACTGCGACAAGCTCTTTGCTTCCAGCCGTGTTCTCCAGGCTTGATGGGTTCTGGCTGAGCCAGGCGTGCGCCATGCACCACGTCTTTCGTACTGCACGTGCGTGCGATTTGGGCAGCATAATATTGCACAAAGTGATGAGTCGGTCGATCTTAGGATCGGAAGGTCGTAAGCGCAGCGCTCTGCGGTGGTGTATGCCATCCGATCCAACAACGTCGAACGTACCGCCAGGGCCGACATGTTGTAGAGACCGTGGGGATTGCGGTGATGCAAGCAGACGATTCCTGCCAATCTCTGTGCCTTGATCTGCAGGCAACGCGAAGCCAAGCCCGCTGTGCGCTCGGAACGGCGCATCGAAGAGCAAAGGACACGGCACCTGCTCATCCAAAGAGAATTGTACGCCTCTGTTCGCGAACAAAATGGCTTGCAAGCTGCCATCTCGCAACTTCACCATATCGTCGCATGATGCCATTCTAGATTCACTAGTGATGGCCGGCAATGGTATTGCCAGGCCACTAGGCATGTCAGGATATAGTGGACGATATTTGACTTTAAGCGCCAGGTGCTGAACTTCACTGTTCCGTCGATCGTGCAGATATACCCTAACGCGAGGATCGTTTGGCCCGTTGATAGAAGGGACCTCAGACAGCGTCGCAATAGTATAGTTGTCTGCAGCTAAGTCGCTGCTATTGTTGCCGCGAGGCATGCTCTGCTGGCCAACGGAGAAGGAATGCAACTTTCGTACCACGATATCGCGCTTGAAGCCTTCATCAGTGCTTCCGAAAACAGTGCCCACTCCGGAAATCTCGTAGGTGTTCCGGATATGCTGTAGAATTGCATCAAAATTCTCCTCCGGATCCAATTCAATGGTGGAATCGAGATCCATAGTGTCATCGTCCGTTCCTATGCTTTGACTGAAAACATTGCTTGCAGTTGATCCTCGACTTTTGCGTTGGCTCAAGGAGCGCCGGCCAGCTTTCTGACCGCCAAAGGATGTGTGTCGTCGGCCTGTAGTGCCAGCGAAACTAGCGCCGACAGTGGTTTGACTGGCACGGACATCTGCGTTCATGCTGCTGACCCTGCGATTGCCTTCTCGCGCCGGTTGTTGAGAACCTGCAGCTCTATAATCTGGATCCATCTGGGCGGCCATACTCTCCTCTTCTTCTTGCCTGGTGGGCTTTCGCGACGTGGGGTTGCCCTGCGTTGCGTCTGGTTGAAGATTCACACCAAAGCTCTCTCGTGGGGCATCGCGACGGCGGACAGCTGGAGTTGCAGTTCCTGTGGCAGCACTTGCGCTTAGGAACGAACTCCGACGTCGCGCCTTCGCAGCTTTGTTCTCGGTTCGCAATTTGAGCAATGTGTTCAACGACTTCTGCTCCAAATACCAGGCGTGCCATATCGAAACGACGTTCAAGTTGGGGTTCATTGTTGCAATCAGTACCAAGGGATCTCTCTCAGATGTTGCGTAGCTGGATAGCTCATCCTTAGAGGAGACGTAGATGATCCTCTCCGAAGGTTCGAGCCCTTCGAACTCCACATTCAGGCTGGTTTGTCTTCCGGACCGGATCGGTCTGTGGCGCTGTATCGAGTAGGTCACAACGCCAAGGTCTGACAGCGCACCTGTCAGAGAATATATGTTCGTCACATCTTCATCACCCTCTTTCTGAGATGCAGAAGTGAGGCTATTGAACAAAGACTCGAGTTTGGTGTCGCCGCCGAGTGGACTTGGCTGAGCGGGTTTCGTGCTAGCAAAGCTTTTCGAAAACGTTGGAGACTGCAAGTATGACTGCTGCGACATCCGATGTTGTGGAGACAAAAACGAGTTGGGAGGGGCGAGAGGTACTAGTGGCGATGCTTGAGTTGACGAGCTGCTTGTCGCTTTGCGTTGCAATAGGAGTCCACGAGGTGCCGCAAACGCCCTGTCGATCTCAAATGGTAGATTGACTATATGGCTGGCGCCACGGAGAAAATGAATGTGGGCTTTGGTCTTCAGCAGCACGACCAACGCTCGTTCCAGAGTTGGCCGAGTGGGTTTCAGATGGTCGGCCAAGGCATCGCTAGACAACTTGAGTCGTTTCCTAGGCGTCCTTTGTGTTCCCGAGATGCGATCCGCCTGGACGTGAAGTTTCGAAGAAGTGGGAAATGCAGTAAGAAGTGCCTGGGAAACATTTTCGCCTTCGAGATCGAATCGATAGACATTGCGTACAAAGCGTCCTTGTGACCAAACGACGACGGTCTTAGTGGCAAGCACTTCTTCTTCAATTTCGTGGCCATCGGTCTCGGTGACATATGTCTCCCATTGGTAAAGATCCTTGCTGGGATCACGCGGCAGTAGGCCTTCAGCAACCAGATATGGCAGCGCCACCGGAGTGTGCACGCCGAGCGAGGTGACGGCGGCCATGACAGTGGAAGTTGAGGAGCTCGCCGTTCAGCATGTTTGCCGACCAATTCCGAGGCGGTGCGGCGTGTCTGCGCGGAGGGCGACAATTGTTTGCGGGAGGTGAGGTGGTGTGGGTGGAAGCTCGATTGGGAAGGAAACGCGTTCCTGACGCGAAAGTCTGAGACGAAGCTCGAATGCGAGACACAACAATCAGCACAACAACCTGCACCCCTGCAGCTGCAGCAGCAACATCAGGATGGAGCCGCGCATAACCAAGCGTGAGCGGAAGCTGCATCTCAGGTAAGTTCAAAGTCGTCCATACTGCGCTCACATGACTCTCGACGATATTCTGACCTGGCATAGCTACGAGCTCCCGCACCGCATCCACACCGCGCACATTTATCCCGTCACCGCCCCGAATGGCTCGACTGTGGTCATCTATGGACACGCCCGAGGTCTAAGAGTGCTGTGGCGGGGAGGTAGAAGGCGCAAGCGGACAACACTGGCACCTGGGAATGGAGACGACCACAACTCGATCGAGGATGTCTACGAGGTGGAAGAGGAGGAGCAGGACCCCGATTGTCCTTTCCCAGGCATCATTCAATATCTGGACATTGAGCTGGGGAGTGTTGACAAGCCTCAAGGGGCGGTGCGCGTGGCCATGCCGACTCTGAATCCCACCGCGGTGCCTGTCAAGCTGTTGCAGACCACAGCCGTAGTAGCTGTTGCATCCACGGATGGCAGCACCGCTGTCCTGAGCATACCTCTGGCGCCGCCCACCGACGAAGAGAAGGAGCAGCTGTTGCAAGAGATTGCCGAGTCGACTGTCAAGCTACAGGAATCTGGGCCAGTCCCTGCAGACTTGAGCATCAAATACATGGCTGCTGAGCATCTCCCAATAACCACAGGACCATCGGACGGGGTCGACGGAAGTCTACACATCGCCAGCGTGTCTCGTGCACTGCAGATCTGGTCGCTCGAGGTGACTGGCGATGTCATACTGGCACTATCCGACAATAAGCTGCTGCGACGAGCACTCCTACCCGCGATCGGGAGAAAAGTTCGATTTCACCCTTCGCCTCGACTTGCTCAGATCCTAGTCACCGACACTTCTGGTGCGGCCCGCATCTACGACCCGTATGCTTCCACCACTCCTCGCAGGCGCCCTGGCTCAAGCGACTCTATGCTCAGCAACCCGACCACCCCGGCGGGAACAGGAAAATGGGTGATGGCATATCTCACACCCTTCCACGCTGATGAGAAGAATGCGCACGCGAGCGCCGCTTTCGCTCAGCGCAAGTCAATATTAGACGCGAGGTGGGCACTGTCCGGCAAAGCCATCCTCGTCCTGCTCGAGGATGGCGAGTGGGGCCTTTGGGACATTGCATCTGCCTCAACTGGGAAGCGCGTCGAGGAGTTCGCTATACGTGGCTTCCTCGGCACGGCAGGCCATACGGAGGCGGCAGAGCCAGCTTCAAAGCGAAAAGGATCATCAAAACTGGCTCCCATGACACCCAATACCAGACAAGCCAAAGCCGAGCAGCTTTTTTCAGGTGCGCCGAAGATTTCAGGTGTGGCCCCTCAAGGCGGCATCTCTATCTCAGCGCATCACAATCGAACGGGTCCTGGGGACGAAAGTGCAGTCCTATGGTACAACAGCGACATCTATTCGATCAACAGTCTGCAGTCCTTTTACCAGCGCAGCACGAGCAATAGCGGCGGACTTGGCTCACTCTACTCACCCGGCCTGACACACATCACGGATGTCAAGCTATTCAGCGAAAGTATCACCTCTATCTCGCAATTCAGTTCGAAGTCCTCGAGCGCCGGTATCGGCCAGATGAACACCCAGCGTGATCTTCTGATATCAGCCGAGTATCGCGCTATCATATTGCAAGCACTGCGGACTACGACTCCGTCGCGACAGCTATTCCAGCAACAGCTTGCGGAGCGCCAACCTGTCGATCGCGATCAGCGAATGCTCGATGCCGGCGTGCTCGACATCGACGGAATGGATCGCATGCTCGACAACATGGCGGGCGACGCACCTGCTCCCACCGGCAGACGTGTCGGATTTGCCGCCGCGCTCGGATAAATGCCAGCGAAAGACATGACAAAAGAAAAGCATGTGCATTACACGTGTACCACCTAACGATACCCAGCGCTTCTGCGCTCCTACGACTGGCACTGCTTTCCTAGGCCCTCTTTCTCTCCCCACACAATCATCCGTAACACCCTTCGCGTGGCAAGGTGGAGCACTTCCTCAAGGACAATGAGACCTCGCTCAGTATTACACGCGAAAAAGCAAAACTCCTGTTCCGCCTCGGTCCTTCGAAGAACCGTAACCTCCGTCAAACGAGGGAAGTGGTGTAAGGGGATCGGGCACTCGCTACTCCGCCGACTACGGTCAACTGAGAGTCGAGTGAGGGATGGGAAGGCCGATGAATCCTCTTGAATGCATCGCATCTTCGTGGACGCGATGCTGCGCAGGAGGATCGGTACATTCATGTCGTTACTCGTTTGCTGTGGTGTGGGTGCGGGAAGAACTGCTCCTACTGCTCCTGCTGCTGTGATATTCTTGCTGTTTTCTCCTGATCTGTGCAACAAATGAGACCTCGCTGGTGAGTGAATCCCGATCTGTGTCCCGGTACTGATGCCCGATAGCAACGACCTGCGTTCCCTTCCCCTCCACTTGGGCCCTTGGAATCACTTCTGAACCTGCCAATCTGTGCCTGAGTTCGCATCTTGTTTCGCTTCGCAAATATGGCACTGCTCCTCTCTGGGTCCCTCGATTTACCTGCTGATAAGGAAAAACCGCCTGCTGAAGTTGAGAACGACTGGTGTCCCGCTCTGCGCGCGCCTTCTGCGTGCAACTTTGCAACTCGCGCTCGAACATGCCCTCTTGTCCTTCCTGTCTCAGGCTTTTCTGTCTCTAACTCCCTGTCTCGAATCCCTCTGTCGATTGAACACAAAAGAGATCTTTCATCAATCCCCTCCTGTCACTGCACTGACACATGAACCCGGACTCTTCTTGCACACTCATTACATGTTGTTCCAAGCCCTTCCCTTTCGGTAATACTGCGCAGGATCCGCGGCCGTGAAACTGTTGACGGAGTTGTGTCGTCTCAGTGCGATGCGAAGAAGTCCGTCACCTGTACCGGAAGTGCGTTCTTCATCTCGCTTGCGGAGCGTTTCTTCTCGCCGCGTGTGGCTCTCGTTGCGGCGGTGCTTGTATTTCTTGATCATGGAGCTGAAAGGGTTCGCCATCGAGTGGGATGCAGTGGACTTTTAATGTCTCGGAGCGGGAGTTGACGTTGCAGCAGCGGTGTGCGTACGGCGAAGCTGACTGTGCGATTGCCCAGATAGGCAGCTCACTTGAGGTCTAGAATGTGTCTCTGTCTCTGTTCTGGGATGATAAGTGAACACACACTCGGAGTCCGCGTCTCGAGTCTCTTGCGTGAAAGTCGGAACAATGTTGTGTCGAGGGCCTAGGGGGTAGCCTTGCCCGGTGACGGATGATGCTCTATTAAGCGCTCGTGCGCCATGAAACTTGACCACTGCACTTCTGACGTCGTCCTTGTGCTACGCTGCACGAGCAACGCCGTTCCGCGACAGGGCTGCTGAACGAGGAAACGGTGCGGCAGGAAACGAACTTCACTTTGACTAAGTTTGGTAAGCCGAAGTTTGGGTTCCACTTTTTGCCTTTCAGCGAGCAGTCTCGTTGGTTGGGTGCGGTTTTTGGGTCGACAGGGATTAGAGGCGAGGACTCGCCTATGGTAGTGCACGTGGATGAGTGTTATCAGCTGCCGATATTTCTCCAGGCTTCTGATGTTTGTCTTCCGACATGATCTTCTTCAAGTCTCAAAGCGATGTGAGCACTATGGCGAATAGTGTTGTGCATTGGCATCTTTCTCCTTTCATCGAATCACATGCTCGAAAGTTGGACAGGATGAATTGCCCTGCGGCAGCATTCTTTCAGGGAGCTGCTCCAGGTAGCCGGAAAAAGTATGCTGGTAATATATTGCCCTGTTGGCCGTGCTGATGGTAGTGAGTGAAGTGCCCACACTTCTGGAGACAAGTCGCACCTTCCATTGCTTCTGATGGGAAAGAATGGGACTGGAAGTAGCGAATGAAGATCGATGGGCGGAGACAGTTGCGATGCAGGTCGCAATAGTGAAGGAAGCCTCAGCGTGGCAGTTTCGGCAGGACCGCATAAAAGAGCTTCGAGGCAGTTGACTCGCCAATTGACTTTTGTCGATGTTGAACGATCATTCGCCATGGCTGGAGAAAACGGAAACCCGATCGAGCGCGGCGATGCAGCGAACGGCAGCAACGGAAATGGTTGCCTTGCCAATGGCAACAGCATTGCGAATGGCTCGAAGAACTACGAAAACGACAATCGCAAAGTCGTGATTGTCACTGGAGCTACTGTTCGTCTTTCACGTCTTCCTCAGATCAAGCTTCACAGAATTAAACTAACATTCTGCTCTTACCTCCAAACAGTCTGGCATAGGCCTCGCCCTTGCCCGGCACCTCCACAGCACCCAGAATTATCGAGTGGCCCTCGTCGGCCGCAATATCGAAAGAGCAACCAAGATCTCCTCTTCCTTCAACGATCCTTCTTCGGCCCAATTCTTCCGATGCGATGTGGCATCCTACGATTCCCAGAAAGAGATGTTTCTGTCAGTATGGAAGACATGGGGAAGAATCGATGTATGCTGCCTAAATGCGGGGATTGTGGATGTGGGAGATCTGTACAACTTTCGGAAAAATGGTGAAGTGGAAGGGAAAGTTGAGGATATGCCAGACGAGCCAGATCTCAGTGCCACAGATGTGTGCTACAAGGGTGTGATTTATGGAGTGAGGTTGGCGACGCATTTCATGCGGTTCAATTCAGTGGGCTCGCTTTCTGGAGAGAGCGGAACACCTATGCCTAGAGGAAGGATCATCGTTGATGCCTCGATCGGAGGCGTATTTCCGCATCCTAACTATCCGGAGTATTGTGGTGCGAAGGCAGCTGTGATCCACTTCGTGAGGACCACGGCAGAGCTGTATAAGCGGAAAGAAGGGGTTTGGCTGAATGTTGTTTTGCCCGGCATCGTGGCTACGCCGATCATGCCGCAAGAGTGCATTAATGCTGTTAGTGAGGAGTGGTGAGTTGAGTTCAAGGGAATATCTCGTTCCCTTCTTTGGGTTCGGGGCATAGATTGGGGGAAAGGGCTGACAGATCGATAGCTTGACGCCCGTCTCCACGGTCATCGCTGCACATGATGTCTTCATCAACGATCAGACCGGAGAAGTGGGAAAAGTCCTCGAGGCTTCAATGGACAAGTTGTGCTGGTATGAACTGCCGGAGCCCAAGAATGGGTACAAGACGATGAGACCGGTCACCGTTTGGGAACCGCTGTTCAAGACGATGCATGGTGTGGAATCTGGATTGGATAATGCAATGCCGTAAAGTGTGATGCGCAGGGAGCTCACAGTGCTGGAAAGAGGGGCATGTGAGAGCAGCAAGACACGCCGAAGGACAGCTGATACCCAGCCTTAGGTCTTTTTTGAATTTCCCCACCATCATTCAGTGGCGGATTTCGATTACTGCTACTTCCGATTCTCCGGATCCGTAAAGTCCATAATGGTCTTCATCTCATTGTCACAGAATTCGGGAATATCCCTCACGTACATCTTGTCCACGTTGACCTCCACGGCCAAACTATACAATTTGTCAGCCGGAGTCCGCTTCCCTTTAGCGTCGACCAAATCTTCACTCGCATCAACAAGTTGCACAACCGCCCTGCTGATCCCTTGCACTGGAGTGAAAAGCTGAGCCGGAAATCCTTTCCAGTCTGTCAAGTTGGTATCGACGACTCCTGGACAAATGACATTTACGCGAATGCCTTCGCGGAAGAGAGTCTTCGCAACAGCACGACCGAAGCCTAGAACGCCATGTTTGGAGGCTGTGTACAGGGGCAACTGATGGCTAGGGTATAGAGCTCCGCAGCTGGCTGTCAAGACAAGGCTTTGAGTATCCTTCCCGTACTGAGAGCTCTGTCGGAAGTAGTGCTGAGCCAGGTGGGAAGTCAAAAGGACTGCATTGAGGTTCACATCGATGACCTTGAGGTTTGGTGGGGGAGGAGGCGTGGTCTCCTGACGCGTGTAGAAGTCTTGTGCTTCGACGACGCCTGCATTGGCGAAGACGAAGTCGAGGCGTTGATGGGACGCGTGGACTTTGTCGAAGATGGCAGCAAGCTGAGTATAGTCTGTAACATCGGCTTGATGGGATGCGATATTGGCTGACGAGTTCGAGACTTCCAAGAGTCGTGTCTGGTTGACATCGATGATGTGGACTGCCCATGAACCCCGGGAGGCTAAGGCTTGGGTGACTGCGAGGCCCATGCCACTGGCTGTAAGGTACCGTCAGCACACGGCTTTGTTATTGGCTCACTTAGTGTGGTTACTTGCCGCCTCCAGTGATGATGGCAACTTTGCGGTCTTGTGCCATGGTTGCTAGGTACAGCTTTCGTGTTGGCTCCTGCCTACAGTACAGTAGACCCGACTTGGTGTGCGAGGCTGAGAGATGTACTCGATAGATCAATCCAGCTACTGCCTCAGAATGATCTGACTGCGCCACCAAAGACGGCTCTTGGCTCTCGTTGGAGTTCTTGATCTTGATGATCGTAGGTCAAACGTGTGAATGTGCTTGAGGAGGGCATTTTTAGCCGAGGAGATCTTGTTGTACAAGGACAAGCTATCCTGGACTAGCCTGCACAACATCATCCTCGCATTCGGGTTCTGCTCCAGGTGTCTTGCAGTTTCCCAGTGGCGGGTCAATATCGAAGTGGCTCCTTCTCTACACGATCAGACTCTGCGGAAATTAAACGGGCATGAACGCACGCATCGCCATCTTCTCAGTGTTTCGCATACACCCCGCGAGGTCCAAGTGAACGTCCATGTGGTTGATCAATGCTGACCACATCGGCTCCTTGCTGCCCTGCCCGCAATGCCGGACCTGTCACCATGCACGGGACCCACCTTCCACCTTGGCAGCAGGCAAGGATACCATCTGCGAGTGAACGCGCCGCCGTCTTTGATGCCTCATCAACGACCTAATGTCACATCGAGCTAGCCGCCCTTCGCTATGTCGCCGACGGAACAGAGTGCGCTCGAGCGGAGGGACACTGCTGCGCCAGCGCCGACGCGTCGGGGAGCTCACAACGGAACCTCATCACTGGCCGTGCACCCTGTCAAAACAGGCAAGAAATGCCTACGGTTGGCGCTGACCTTTCCTGGCTAGATGCCATCGGTCCTGAGATAGCACGAGATTGTGTGTCTCACGCGATACGCGATCGTCCACGGGTTCAGGCGAAATCTCTTCATCATCATCAGCATCAATGTCGTCTCTCTCCCAGCCGTCGTCTTCACACCCGGGCAAGAAAGAAGACGTAACGGCAAGATGGGCATGGCAAAGCCAACCAACAGTGCTCTATTCACTGAATTGTGGATAGAGTATGCCATTGCCATGCTCGCTTTGGCTTTGCGCTTCTTTTCCCGGAGGAGAATGTTCGGACTCAAGAATTTCGACCTTGGTGATGCCTTTGCTGGGCTCGCCATGGTATGTTATACTCTTGCTGCAGTTGGTACGCAATCTGCTGAAACTTGGATTACAGGTCATGTACTCACTCGGTACTGTAGGGATTTATCTTGTCAGTATGTGGAACGAAACCATCTCTTCCGGATTGGCGCTAAACAATGCTCCGCAGCGCTGTTTGGCAACAACATTGGTCTGGACGATGCGACCGCGATGCAAGTACCTGACGACAAACTCCCAAGGATGATTCTTGGGTCGAAACTGGCGTGAGCAGCATTCCGAGGTATATCGTGCGATTTTATTAACATCAATCCAGCGTCATCAACTGGTACTGGTACATCACTCTGCTCTGGTCCCTCAAAGGCGTACTGCTCATGGTGTACGTCAAACTCGGCACCGGGATCGATCGACAGGAATGGGTCGTGCGAGGTGTCTGCGCCTTCGCAATAGTGTCCTACGTGGCCTCCATTCTCTGCCATACTCTGGTCTGCACACCGCCATGGAAGGGATGGCAGGTCAAGCCATATCCAGGAGGTGATCATACACATTACTTTTCTGCACAAGTCAATGCTGACCATTTGCTTTCATAGACTCTTGCACCATGCGAAGAATGAATTATATTGTCATCGCCATCATGAATGGAGTCAGCGATCTGGCCATTATAGCTGTTCCCATGCCAATACTGTTCCGGGTCAAGGTTCAACTCTCCAGGAAGCTGGTTCTGGTTCTGCTGTTTTCACTAGGCTTCTTCTGCATCATCGCGACAATACTTCGGGCATATTACTCGCTACTTTCCTTGGAGACCCTCTCAGTTGCGCTAGGTTGGACGAGTCGAGAAACTTGCATCGGAACAATCGTCGCTTGCGCTCCAGGAATCAAGCCACTGTTCAGCACCTCGAGATGGTATCGATCGAATGGATCTAGATCCCGCGACAAAGCTGCTACACCAGATGGTAGCCACTACCTACCGTTCTCGAAAAAGGATACACCAAACCCGGGCAGCAAATTCGATGGCCAGATCACAGTTTCAAGGTCCGTGGACGTCTACCGCTCCGAAAATAGGCAGTCCATTGACAGTCCTTATGGGGTAGAAATGGCCAGATGGAAGTCCAAGGGTCAAGTAGGCTCTTTAGACAGCGACGAGAGAGTTATTATCGAGCACCCGCAGGATACCATGACCAATAGGAGCCACAACAGCCACAGCAGTCACAAGAGCGCCCAGTACAGCCTTAGAGAGTTCTTCATGAGCGAAAATGCCAGATCGAAACATTGAACACAAATTTGCAGGCCATTGCCGAAGGCCAAATCCCGATACAGGAAATCATTCCATTTTCCACCGCCACCATCTGCGTAATCTCCGCGGCATGTTTAGCAGCTTTTGGACCAGCCCGCAAGAAATGGATTGCGGTCCGATGAGGAAACCTTCACATCGCATCAAAAGCGGCGGAACAGCCAACGGCAGCATCTCCAGTCGCCTCACGACACGACCGCAGGTGCAATGCCTCAAACCAGAAAGCGTGCCCTAATGGGATTGAGACATCGAAATTCACAATCGGGCAGAACTGCGGCATTCCAAACTTCGGGAGACCGCGATATGCTAGCCCAGAGGCGCTATGCTGGGACTCCTGGCTCCGATCTCTATACCGCTCGAGCGGCCGTCGAAATGCCCGTGGATCCGCGGCCCGCAATACCGTGGTCAGCACGACTCACGACTCATGAGGGATGCACGTGTTTCGTATGTTGCCGTCCCAATACCGAATGCAATGTTTCAGCGACTGTCTCGATGGCCGACCGAAACTCGGAGTCGGTTCGCTTCGAACTTCCGTGGGTCCTCGACGCAGTCTTCTGTTATCAACTGGGAGACCAGCTTGATGGAGAAGACACAAGCTACCAAGCGTGATACAAACAAGGGAAAATGGTCTTTGAGAAGAAGTTCCGGGTGCTATCTTGAACAGTGGTGACCCGGATGGAAGGGAAGGATATCATCTTGCCATTTCGAGGCGCCTTCGATCGTTTTCTCGCTGCCTCGATGTCGCCGGCCTTGCCGCAATGCTTGAAGGGGAAGCCTCAATATCAGGAAGTCCTGAAAAGGCAGTATGTGTCCTTTACGAGAATCCGGGCAGAGTTGAGAACATCATCTCATTCTCTCGTAATATGTTGTAGTACACAGAATGTACAGTGGACTATACAAACAGCCAGAATATCCCCCCATTCTTACCAGCTGCCATAATTAATCATCATCATCGAAAACCTCATCTCCTTCTTCCTCGGTAACACTCCTCAACCTCAAAATTTCCCTCTCCAATCCCTCGTACCTTCCCTTCAACTTGACACTGATCTTCTTGAAATCCTCAGCACTGACTTTCCCCTCTTCCAATTCTTGGCGCAGTTCCCTCGCAACATCCATCAAAACTTTCATTCCCTTCTCCACCATCCTCTCGAATTCCGGGACTTGTCTCCAGAAAATCTCACCGTATCGCGCTTTGTCGAGCATTTCTCTCAGCATTCGGTGGGCATTAATAGCAAGGACGATGTCGATGTGGCGTTCAAGTGATATGATCTTCTCATTCATCGAGGAGATTTCGGACTCGGTCAAAGGGATCTCTTTTCCGTTATCGAGAACTTTGTAGCCACGGTCGAGGAGCTCGCGAAGACGTGTGATATCCTTCTGGTTCTTGAGAAGATGCATGACGCGGCTTTGGTACACGTAAAGATCGAATTTACCGTCGGGTTTGTACTTTTCGTCGCGGGTGGAGAGGTAGTCGGAGACTGTTGACTGGGCGGTAGAGGGGTCGAGGATTGCGGAGAGATCGTTCGTGTCAGAAAATGTGAAGGTGGAAGCGAAACGGCGGGTCTGTAGTGGTATGCCCAGGATGTCCATAGGCCGGCGGGTGAAAGTCGAGAAGGGCCTTGTAATCTGAGTGTTTGGGCCAGCGGGTGTTGGGCTCGGAGTCGAGGCCGATGTCACTGTCGATTCTGACCTTCCTCTATCCTTGGTGTCAGGTTGGGGATGCGGAGTCTCGTCATGCTCCCCGTCTTCAGAATTGAATGCCTCGTATACATCAGCTGCTTCTTCGCGTCTGACCTGTTCTCTTGTTGTAGCGAGCGCGGTATAGACAGAATCTTCAGCCAAATCCTCATCGACCTGGGTTTCCTGCTTATGCTTACGGCTCTGCGAAGCAATTGCACCAGAGTCGATGTCCTCGCCCAGCTTGAGAGGATCAAGTTCAATTCCCGCAGCTGCGACCTCTGCTCGTGGAAGATGGTCACGATTTGCATCATAGCTTTCTTTCTTGTCAACACGCGTGTAATCGGGCACGATCTTGTCTCCTCCGCCGCGAAAGCCCCTCATTGCGTAGCTCAGAGCAAGTCGATTCTCGCTTCCTTCCAGATGCGACCACCCAAAGACCTTACCGACTACAATGACGTGATCTTCAACTTCAATGCACTTGTTCAATAGTAGATCAGCCTCAAAGGCGGCCTCGATTCCGCCACCTGTCCTGTCTGCGAGCTTTCCCGGTCGCCTTCCTCGGGACACCTCTCCTACATATACATCCATCTCTCGTAATTTTAGAAATCCAGTATGAGGTCGCTCATAGGGACGCGTGAAGGTTTCAGCAATCGCGGCTCCTCTCGGGTTTGACGCCAAGAAGTGTACAATGAATTGCTTAGTGAAGCGAATCGCATCCCAGGTACGCGAAGGGAGTTTGAGGTTGAAGCTTACGACTGGCTGTGGCTTCATGGTTACCGCGCTGAATGAAGACACTGTTGCTCCACGAGCCCCTTGTAAATACCCATCTGATCCCTCGTTTGAGTCTGGTACATCCACCGGGCTCATGTTGCGGCGGCCTGACGTTACGAGCACTACAGGGTGTGTCAACGTGCGCAAGGTGCCGCGAACCTTTTCAACCAGCCCTTGGAGTTCCTCGGGATGCGCTGGTCTGCGCGCCGTCACCACTTCATGCTCTGGATAGTTGTAGTACTTGCACAGATAATCGAGTCTCTGGCGGAAAATTCTTTGCGCCAGCGAGGTGCCATCCAGGGTGCCAGTAAAGGTCAACGAGTTCTTTGCTTTCTTGACATGGATAATTGTTCTCACGTAGCGCCTGTACCCATCGACATACTCTTGCAGAAGTGTACGACAGAGCTCGGCTGCATTCGGCCCATGCACAAAGACTTCATAAGCCCGATCTTGAGCACGTTTGCCTATGATCTCTGCGACTGTACTCGCGGACTTCTCGAGCTCGTGAGATCCGAGACCGTGATCGTTGCAGACTTTGTCGATTCTGTCCTGAAGACTCTTCTGACACTGCTCAATTCGTGACATTTTCCCAGTTACGATCAGCTCGTTCCTGGGTCCAAGATGTGCGTACACATCGTGCTCAATGGCATCTGGCTCGACTAACGTGCTCAAGTTCACGATTTTGTTAAATTCTGCGGATCGTGGGCCAACGACGTGGAAGCGGCAGAAGTAAAAATGGTCTGCAGGTAGACCTATAATGTCATGAGAAGTCGGTTGCCAGGCGAGGTTTTCCAGCTTTAATGATCTTGCGCCATACTTCGTTTCCGGCGGCAATTCAACCTGCCTTATCTTCAACGGTGCTGGAGGGAAGGGGCCGCTGGTTTGGGGTATGTCTTGTGATGGAGCGGGAGTTTCTTCCAGCTCTTGCGGTATGCTTGGTGACGGAGTGGGAGTTTCTTTCCGCTCATGGTGCGCCATGTAGCTGAAAATGTTACCCCTTGAGTGCATGACCGCGTTCATGTCACCTGAGATGAAAAGAGACCGTGCCATGGCTGTGTCATCCGACAGTGCCCTGGTGGGCCTCTGCTCTGGCTCACCAACGGTGATGCTGACTTTGTGCTTTCCAGCAAAACCCTCAACGCTATTTTGGGCAAGGAACATCGCCCAGTCATTCTCGGAAAGGCACAATTCAATTTGCAAATAAGAACCCTCTGCCTGTCTGACCGCGTACCCACGGGGCACCAAGTGGCTGGATGGCGTCTCTGCTTGCGAGGAGACTCTGAAGTCTCTTTCGAATCTCTGTCGCTTAGACTTAGTTGGGCTAGCGCTGTCCATGTCAGGATCCGTCGACGCTGTTTTGTTAGTCTGTATCACGATATCTGATTTGTACGCCAGAAGCTCATGAAACGTCCGAGCAACTGCCAGATACGTCCCTGAGACGAGCACAGAAACAATCTTCGCGTCCTCCAGACCTTGAACTTTCACAGGCGCTGATAGTTGCTGCACTTCTATCCTCGAATCGAACGACAAGACGAGTGTCTCCAACCCAGATCTATATTCTCCTTTGAGCCGCTCAAGGTCCTGGTCCAGCACTGGCACCTCGAGCATTATCCCCATTTCCGAGCGATATCTCACGACTTCTTCCCAAGGTTGCAGCGTATTGAATGGTTTGTCTGTGGCCTGGTGTACCGGAGCATTCTTCCATCGCTCGATATACTTTTGAAGTTCGCGCATTTTGGGGAGAGGTCTTCCAATTGCTGCCTCGTATGCGAACTGAAGCTTTTCCTCTGCATCCGGTATTCCAATGGCTGTTCGCTCTCGTGGCGAGTCGAAGTGTTGTGTCCACTGTCTCTCATCGTGGGGCGCGCGTAGAACTTCTCTGCCATGTTCTCGCTGTGCATGGCGCCTCGATTTTCTAAGGAACGCTTTGCGATTCGCGGCGGTCGAGTGGAAGCCATGGCTGCAAGTTCGTTCGGCACCCACTTCGGCGGGCGAAGTGAGTAGTGTCCATTCGTAGAAGGCTCGATAGAAGCGGCGCGAAGCCACACTCATCCGTGTCATCGATCAGTGGGAGGTGTGCAGGGGAGACGAGGAAAGAAACATCGAACCAAGCTCCAGATGAAGTCAACGATCCCCCATGCTCTCGACCTCGAAGTCTTGGCACTCCCGCTCTCCGCATCCATCACCGCATGTGGTCATCTCCCAATGCCGTCTATTCATCTCCTGTGATAACATTTCGACGCGAACAATACCCACCATGCTCTCCTCACGCGCGACCCGACCTCTCTGCTCCGCTTGCGAATCTTCTTCCCGTAGCCTCAACCATCAGCAAGTCCGACACGCGACCCTTCTCCGTCGACCGAAACGACCCTACACTTTCACACAACTCGTCACACTCTCCGATGGATCCACATTCCTTCACCGCACAACGAGCCCTGCGCCCATATACCGAAGCGCAAAAGATACGAAAAACAATGCGATGTGGAACCCTTCAAGTCAAAAATTGTTGAATGTGGAAGAGGACGAGGCTGGAAGGTTAAGAAAGTTTCGACAGAGATTTGGGCGAGGATATGATGCGGAAAGTATGAGTGATGGGGGTGAGGAGGTGAGTTCATATTCTGTTCCTGCTTCAGTGTGTCGATGAAGGATTGGGAAGAAGCACGTCGTGGTCGGACATTCAATGCTAACTTGGGTTGCTTTTAGGTGCTAGAGGGTGAAGAAAAATTGAGCCAGCAGGAATCAGATGATAGTTTGTTGGATTTGATCAGCGGCTTTGGACAGCAGGGGGAGAAAGAGGGCAAGGCGGCAGGGACGAGAGAGGAAGCGAAGAAGAGCGGGAAAGGGAAAGGAGGACAGAAGTGATTGATGGAGAATTGGGAAGTGATATCCAAGATGGTGGCACTGAAACGACGTGCACACGCGCAACGATCTGAAGTCTCTGTATTAAGAGAAAGACAAGTCGAGAAAACGACCTAGATGTGTTGGCGAACGTCAGTCTTGCGACAGAGGAGGGCACACCTTCATGAGGAAGTGCTGTGTACATGTACTGTACACTATCGAGCGCGACAGTGGTTCTGCGCGACATCTGCAGAAGAACAACGATTGGGCCTCGAGGCGAAATGCGATGGCTGTGCGTTTGCTGCCTCTCAGAGCACGGCAATGCCGCAGTTCTCTAGACAGACGGAGGATATGCCTCCGCCTAAGGTGATCGGACAAATAGGAAGTATTGATTCACCAACATTTGAAAGAGAGGCAAGCGAGCGGTGTTGTCTGATCGAGGCTTCGACTTCGATCCATTCGCTCCATTACCAGCATGTTTAGGGTTGATCACAAAAGCTTCTATTTTTGAACATGCCTGAAGTACTCCAAATTGGCGACTGCTGTCCTTTATCACGTGGAGCCTGCATGTCTGACGAAAGAATGGTATGGACGATTGAAGCGATGGTGGTATGTGCGTGCATGCCGTTTCCTGTTCATGCACGCCTCCCAATGTTTCTTGAAACGGGAATAACTGTTCCATAGCAGACAGTAACTAGCCTACTCTTCAAAATTCAGGAGCTGGTTTCTGCATTGAGTTGTGCGTACAGGATGTAGACTCGCCTCCCCTTAGTCTCGTAGCCCAATGCGACATGCGGGTGCAGGGAGGTGAAGTCGGGAGTGGTGCTGCCAACAATTCCGCGACTTTACGCAGGATGACATGGGGGCCTTCGTCAAGCTTGTCGCGTCCGTGTCCTGATGGCTTCGTCTCGCACACCGCACTACAGGACGGTATACAATATCGAGCCAGAAGAAGACGACACACTGCTATTGCCCGCAAGATCGACAGAACAACCCCAGATAAAGTTACGGCAGACACGATGGTAAGGCAGGCCAACGGGTGCAGGTGCATGGCGCTAACGAGCTCCTGCAGGTGCACGCGACGTCGTTTGGAAAGCGCGCTCTCTCGCTGGTGTAGAAGACCACGCAGAGTCGCCCGCTGCCTCCGCCCGCTACGCAACTGCAATTGCCCGCCGGCGATGCGCTGGGAAATATCGGATTCCACTTCATCATGGCCGCCGAAGACGCCTCGCCGTCGCTCGAAAGCAGCCAACTCCTCTCCCCGCCCGCCCTCGAGTCGACCTTCCTCGACTCCCCGCTAGCCCAACGCGCCGCCGCCCACAATGCGGCCCCGAATGCGCAAATCCATATCAATGGGGGCAGTAACACCCCCTCCGACCTGGATCGCAGCTCCCTCTCGCGCCTGTCGCTGATGGACCGCATGCCGTCCATGTCGACGGTGCACACTGCATCCACCAACAACACCATGCTGCCCGAAGAATTGGCCGCAGCCAACGATCCTCGCACCCCTCGCGCGTTGTCGCCGGAGCAGAAACGATACCGCGAGTATGAAGAAGACCTCGACAATGCTCTCGACACAGCCGTCATCCGCAGAGTCAAATCAATACAGGTTCCCGAGACCGTAGCACGCGACTTCCGCCTCAAAACACGCGACTTATCCCCCGATCGACGACCTGCATCTTCTGGAGGCTATGGCGAAGCCCGTCTGAATGCGCGACCACGTAGAACGCTCACGCTGAAGGAGCAGAACGCTAAGATCGATGCTCTCACCAAGGAGAACTTTGATCTGAAACTCAAAATCCATTTCCTAGACCAGGCGTTACAGAACCGCAGCGAGGATGGCATTCGAGAACTCGTCGAGACCAATGTGCAGCTGCAGACAGATCTTGCAAGTGAGCGCAAGGAAAATGCGAGCATGCGCAAGAAGATGCGTGACATGGAAATGCGCATGAAACAGCAGGAGGAAGCTCTGGCAGAAGCACAATCACAGCGCAAAAGCACGGTACGAGATGATGAGGATGACAATCCGACTCTGCAAGCGCAAATGCACGAGGAGATCTTGTATCTGCACCAGCAAAATGATCGCCTGGAAGAGCAAGTCACCACGCTGCGAGAGGAAATCATGGACAAAGAGCTTGAGAAGCGCAAGATGGCAGAGCACATGCGCGGAATGGCCGGCAAACGTGGTCAAGATGCGAATGGCATGAAAGAAATGGAAGACATGTGGCAGGACCTACTCAATGCGGAGACTGGTCGCCGTGAGCAAGCTGAGGATGAGCTCAGTGCTTTGAGGGCCGAGCTCACAAAGCTACAAATGGAGAAAGCCTCTCCTTCGGCTAGTCGCATGGTGGATCGCAACCTCAAGACTCCTCGGCGCCGCAGTCGTGCCCCACCAGCTGACGAGGCAGAGTCAGCCGCCGAAGAAGACATGGTAAATGGTGTTGAGAGCGGACAGAACGATCTCATCGAGCAACTCAAGCATGAGAATGACGAACTACGCCGCAGCCTTGGAGCACAGACAAGCATGTTAACATCTCGTAATCGCGAACGTGAGCGATTGCAAGAGGAAATCGAAAGCTTGAAGCTTTTGCAACGGAAGGGCGACGGGAGATCAGTGGCAGGTGAAAGCATATTCGAGCGATCCATTTCTCGCGCCCACCAGAGAGCGCAGTCGCGGCAGAGCGATCACACAGCAGTGACCGAAGCCGAACGAGACGATTGGCACAAAAAGGAAGGCGAACTGCGGGACGCCAACGCGGAACAGAGACTAAAATATCAAGAGCTCGACCGCAAGTATAACCAATATCTGAATTACATCCAAGTGCTGGAGAGCGACTATCAGCAGATGGAAACGGAGCTCGAAGAACAGCAGCAAGATATCAAGAATCTACAGCAGGAGCGAGATGAGTTACTTGCCTTTGGTGAAGACAAAGAGCAGGAACTCGCAAATCTTAAGGAGGAAGCTCTGGAAGAGATCAATGCGCTCGACCAGGAGCGAGAGAAGTTAGAGAAGAACCTGGAAGACACATATAACAAGCTCGAGAAGACACAGTCGAAGCTACAGACCACGACAGAGGGGTACCAGGGCTTACAGGCCGAGTTGCGCGACATCACAGCGCGAGTCATCGACCTGGACGATGTCAAGACGCATAACATGCGCACGATCGAGACCCTCGAGCAACAGATCGCGGAGGCGGAAGAAGAAATCACGAAATGGGAGCAAAAGTGCAATGAGCTCGATCAAAAGAACCGCAAGCTCGAGATTACCGAGGAAAGTCTGCACTCGGAGATCACATTCCTCAGAGAAGAGCAAGAGGGTGACAAGATCAAGATTGGCGAGTTGGAAGGTTCACTCAATGCGGCACATGCAACCATCCAAGACGAGCAGGAGAAACTGCGCGAACTGACTGAAAGCATGGAGGAGGAACGCCGACAACGCGACACCCTCGAGAACAAATCTAAGGAAGAGGTTCAGAAGGTGCTCGATGACCTCAATGCCGAGAACACGAGAGCCAAAGACGAGATTCGAAGGCTCAGAAGAGCGCTTTCGGCGAAGGAGGTTGAGTTCAGTAGCGAGAAGTCCAAGCTCGAGCAGCTGGAGCAGAGTCTGCGCAGCCTTCTTGGCGACCCAGAAGGCACGCGTCAGAGCCTGCTGGGCGACATCGAAAAGCTGCAACGCGAGCTGGAGACGACAATCAACACGCTGGACAAGGCGAAGATGGATCTCTCGGACAAGGATAGACTTCTTCGTCACCGTGACGGTCTACTTGAAAGCACCAGTCTGGAGTCTAGAAGACTGTCAGACCTGCTTGAGAAGGAACGCAACCAGCGCAAGCATGACTTGGAGTCGTTCGAGAAGTCTTCGCGCGGACAGGCAACACACATGCGTACTATCGCGCAGCAGGAGTCCAAGATGCTGGAGCTTGAGACGCTCTACAACCAAGATAAGCGGAAGATGTCTGCGCTTGAACAGAAGTATCGCGAGCAGATGCACGAACGAAATAACCTTCTCCTGGCTCTGTGGAACCGGCTGTCCACATTGTGCGGCGCGGACTTCGCTCAGCGTCACAGCCTGGTCAATGGCGAGGTGCCATCTGTCGAGTCTATTCACAAAAATCTCCCAGCGTTCAACAAGAACGTCATTAGTGCCGTCAAGACCATTGAAGCGGTCATTGGTGGCTTCAAACAGCGCATCAGGACAATCGAGAAAGATCTGTGGAAAGACTACCAGACTCTCGAACACAACTTGGAGCTGCGGGCTCGCCGTATGGACCACCTCGAAAGAGCTGTGATTGAGGCTCAACAACAGTTCGAGGAACAGCAGCGTATTGCAGCGCAAGAAGCCGCCTCCCGTCCAGAGATGCCGCAACGAGGCAAGTCCTACTCTGCAAAGAGCAGTGAGGAAATCAGCAGACTCAAATCGGAGCTGAAGCTCCTTAAGACGGAGCTGAAATTCCACCGGCAACACCCAAGCGCCATGGCGCAGCAAATGCTTAATGCACACAATCAAGCCCTCTCCGGCGAGCCGCTCCACTCTCGTACCGCCTCCAGCGCTGGTAGTATCAGCGGCGTCGGTAAAAGTCCTGCTCGACAAGCACTTTCCCATCTCCTTCGTCACAACTCCACCTCGGCTGTTGAACAGTTGTCGTACATGTCACGACACAGCGAGGAGAATCAACAGCCTTCACCTACGCGTCAGCAGATCATCGTTCCGCCACCAGCCGCTCCTGCTCCGAATGAGACTAGATGGGTTCATCGGTTGAAGGAGTTGGAAAGGAGACTGAAGGCTGAGCGCGAGGCGAGGCTGCTGGACCGCCAAGGGGCAAGAAAGAGACTGGAAGAGGGAAGATTGGAGAACGAGGAGTTAAAAGCAATGTTGGAGAGAGAAAGAGCAAACAATGGAAGCCGACTGGAGGGAGAGATGGAGAGGAGTGCGTCTGTCGTTGAGGATAGGGTCCCGGAGGAGTTCGAGGAGGAGATGGCGGGACGGGAGGTGTAGACTTGGGGGGAAGAGGTGGCTGATGGAAGGAAAGAAAACACAAGTGAAGTATCATTATTGCGCGTTCGTTGCTCTGATGAATCATGAAGGGTGGGATGACATTCGGCGTTGGGTACTCTGTTTGCTTTGGGTGCTGGAGCGAAAGATTGGTTGAAGTTGTATTATTACTACTGACGGCTGCCTGCTACCTTCACTTCCTGCACTGTTGTATAATCAAACGAATGGATATGAGTGTGGCACATCCCTTTCCCTCTTTCTTTTTTATTCTACTCGTTCGCCGACTGTCATGTCCTACGATGGATCCATGATAGCAAAATACAGCTCGCAAGACACGAATCTAGTTCGTTGATGAAATGATGAGGTTCAAATGTCCGAAAGCCATATCTGGTGAGGCAAAAGTAGAACAACCATCCCAGCATTGTCAGCTCGGAGATGCATACTCTCAACACAAGAGCTTGCGTTTTGAGAATCCCATGTCTGGTATTGGTCGCAAGCGCTCAGTGCAAGGTTCTGCGATTGGCGACTTATTGCTTGAGCTAAGGAGGCTGGGATGATCGTTGGAAGAGGGGGTTGTCATGGTGTGTATGAAGGATGGTGCTTTTCACCGGCTCTGAGAAAGAAAAGAACCGCGTGAACGGCGATCGAGGGCAAGAAAGGTTGGAAAGAAGAAACAAAGGTAAATGAGAATGAGGAAGGGCAAAAACCAATCGTTCCAAACTCGATAGCTGTGAATCCTGAGTACCTGCATTACCGCGACAGAAGTCGCATGGAAAATGCAAGTGTGACAATCTAGTATTCTCAAGCGCTATTTGCCCAGTTCGCAGCCTGGCGACTTACTGATTAAGCCAAAGAGGCTGAGACGGTTGTTGAGAGGCGAAGATTAGGACTGTGTATGAGAGCTGATGCGGTCAATCGTGGCTGATGAAAAGCAAAAAGAAGAATGCATGGGTGGAGGCGTGGAAGGAGCAAAGATGTCAGAGGAGGATGCAGAAAGGTAGTGGAAGGGGGCAAAAACAATCGCCTCGGTCTCGTTGACCCACAGCGAGTCAATCAGAGCCCGCAACATCAAGTGTTGTTCTATAGGACTGTTGAGCGTGCCATTGAACTTGCAAACGTTGGCCATTAGGCTGACGATTTATTGCTTGAGCTAAGGAGGCTGAGACGATCGTTGAAGGGGTTTCAATGAACATTCGTACATAAGAGCTGGCACTATGGACGATGCTTCGGGCATACAAAAGGGGCAGAGAGGTAAAGATTCTGGGAGTGCAAAAGGCTATCTTAAGGAGCAAAACAAACTTCCCAGCCTCAGTAGGCAACGACGTCGCACGCCGGCGCAGCGACCTCAGAATTCATGTCGCAGGGGCCGGAGCCATATCGTCGATATGTCTGCAAACGCTAGCCATTTGGATTTGATGCTGGCGAATTATTGCTTGAGCTAAAGAGGCCGGGCTAGTCGTTACGGTGTTGTCAGAGTGATCGTATGTGTATCTTCAGGGGCATGACCTAAGAAAAGATAAGGAGCACATCTAAGGACTTGAAGAAGAGCGAAAGAAGTGACAAATGGCGGGCAAAAATAATCGTCTCAGGCTCGTCAGCGGGATGAACAAGCCAATTTCGTACGCCCGTTAGGAACTACAATGTGCTTAAGAGCATTGGTATCACTTGTAAAGCACGCACTCGCTTAGCGACAAGCGACTTACTGCTTTGAACCTAAAGCGATCGTTGAAAGCTGCGCTTTGGAGGCTGTATATGTATTTTCACGGTCAGGAGGGAAGCCGAAGATACGGAGACGGAAGTCTCATCGAGATATGGACCGTATAACGTGCATTTCTGACTGCACGGCCTGGTTTGCATTGTGTTAGCCTTGCGAGCTAAGGAAGCTATTGGCAGTAAGCTCGTTCGAGAGAATATGTGTAAGATCGCAGGAGTGCCCAATGTGTTTACACTAGATTCCTGCTTCCCTCTAAGGTAATCGGGAAGAGCTACTTCCGTATCTAGTATGTACGTATTTAGCGCCGAACTCAAATATCCAGGGCTTTCTCCATCGAACGTAAGCGCTGCGCTGCCAAGAGACACCGCGCCGCACAGATGAGTACCCATTCGCAAAAGATACTCTCGCAATGTGACGCATGTTCGACTGGAGGAGGCAAAATAATCGTTGAGCCGTCGTACTCATCTCATCTTCGATGCAAAGGTTAGGAGGCAAAGGACGGTATGAATAGATGGGCATCCGTATACACAGCTGATGTATAAAGTTTCAGAATCAGATATGGGATGTGTCGTACAGAATGCGATGATTGTCATGCGAAGTTCCGCTAAGCACACTCCTCGGGTCGGTACGGACTGTACGTGCACAACTGCTTCGACTACATACACAAGTCCGGAACGACGATGTGCCGTGCTTTGCAAGAGTAAGACTTACGAGAAACAGACTTCAATATTTTTCCTACTCCCTCGCTGACATCGTATTGCTTGCGACGTGACGGATAGGACTCGCGATGCTGTTTTGATACACGGTGGAGTATAAGTACTTGGGCGAACACTGCACTTGGAAGAAGCAGGTCAGATACCAGCACTACAGCGTGCAGCAAAATGAAGTCGCTCATATTTTTTCTCGCTAGTTTTGCTCTCCTGTTCTCAGCTCAGGCAATTGCCCTTCCCGCCGACCTCGTTGTCGCAGATGATCAAGGGATTGACCCAAGTAATGGAACGGACGCCACAATACACGACAGTCTGCGAAAGCGCAAGGCCGCTGGCATCTACAGCATCAATGTGTGCCGTGGCATAACGAATCGACTCCGGGACGCAACCTGGAGATTAGACTCAGGCATGGGAGAACCCCCTTTCACCCCTGTTATATACCATCCGATCAGCATCGTAGCGATGCACACTCGACTAACGAAAAGCCCGCACAGCCTTCTGCCACCGTGTGGGTCAGAGCGGCTCCGACACAGCCTACACCGTGATTTGCGCCGCAAGCAACGACCAAGCGCGCACACAAGAAATCGATGGCAACTGTCCTCCAGACTCCAAATGCATCGAGCGTAGCGGATTCAATCAGTTTGGCGACGAAGCCACAGACATCTTTTGTGTCAAAAGAAATCAGGTACGGGAGTGGGTGATCAGTGCTGCGAAGAAGAGGGAACCTGTCACACAATGTGCTGCGGGCTTTAATAACAATGGCCAGAGGGCAGGGTCGATGGAACTGAATACGAATGTGCGAGGCGGTCCCGATCCTCCCGCTACAGACGACTACCTTGTTGCCCCTAAAGACAGCTGGTTTCAGATCGGCGGTAAGAGGATTGGGAATTCCGGACCAGAAGCGATTTTGTGGTCTAGTGAGTTTAGTCTCAGACCTGGGGCTGCTGTGCAGTCTTGTGTGACCGCGGCTGTGGGACAGGTCTTGCATATTATTTCTGCGAGGTATTATCCTGATCAATGACGCTTTGCCTTGATGAAGGGCTTCGGAGTTCGAGGGTGGTTCGCACTCGATGGATCCACACGGATGGACAGTGTCAGGACTGTCAGGGATCAGGAGGAATGGAACGCTCGGAATATTGGCAAGCGACAACCGAGCCCTTGGAGACTGAACAAGGTCATAAGTGTCGGCTTCCAAGAAATGTCGATGATCTATCACAATGGTCAAGGTGCTTGAGGTTTCGCCCGAGAAGCGTCACTGACAAGCGGAGGTGTAGTGTATGAGTTAGTAACTTCGTCACAATGTTGCACATCGATTGGAAACGCACATACATGTGAACGGAAACAATGTAAAATGCAAAATAAAGAGCTCATAAGACAAAACAGTCTTCTCACACATTTGGAGTGACCCCGTCAAATTAGCCGGGAAGGCGAAGATTCCGCCTTGTCCCGAAGCCTACACAGAATTGCGTGCAAGCGTCTACTGATGGCGAACGACTTATTGCATAGACCAAAGTGCCTGAGACGATCGTTAGAAGAAGCACGTTACTGCCATAGATATTGTATCACCGAGACTAGGAGAGACACAAAGTGTGTTCGATCTGTCGCTTTCGCATGTACCAAAATCTATCAAAAGTGAGAAAGATGAAGCAAAACAATCAACTCAGACACATTGACGAGTCCTCAGGATCTTATCATCACAGGCGAAACAGTTCGCCTTGTGCAAGAACTTGATCAACTTCATCTGCAAGCATCGGCCATTTGACGACGACCTATTGCATAGACCAAAGTGCCTGAATGATCGGTCGTACTGATGCAAGATTCAATGCTTAATATTGGGTGGTTGGAGATCCTGGACTACGACCAATCTGTCTCCTGGGGATGACAAGAGTCAAAAGAGCAAAGGGAAGAACGAAAGCAGCAAAACAATCGTCCAGCCATGGTGACAAATGGACGCAGCGACGCTCCGAAGCCTGTCGTTGACTTTGGACGTTGCGATGCATCGGATGGTATGCAAGCGACAGCGAAGCTGCCGACTTATCGCATAGACCAATGTGCCTGGACGATCGTTCATTTTGCGCTGCAGCTCAGTTGTATATCTTTACTGGCAAGAGAAAGCACAGAGCTTATCCCGTTTGCAGAACTAGTACTAGAAATAATGGCAAAAGACGAGTGAAAGGCGCAAAACAATTGTCCAGCCACGATGGGAGCGCTGCATTCAAAGAGGCTCACAGTGAGCCCACTGTGACCTCTGCCTCTTAATATCGTGAGCAAACGCTGCAAGCGACAGCCATGCAGACGACTTGTTGCATAGACCAATGTGCCTGAGCGATCGTTCGTTTGACGGTGTGGTTAAGCTGTGTATGTATGCTGACATAGCCAAAGTCAGTCTATGCATCTCGCAAAAATGATACGAGCGAGTGCCGGCCAAAAAAAAGTGAATGGGGCAAAACAATCGCCCAGCCACAACGGAGTCCTCAAGCATGGCGCCACCAAAGGCCCATTGCAACCTGTGCCAACCCATCCTGTCCAACGATGCAAGCAAGCGACAGTTACCCTGGCGACTTATTGCATAGACCGAAGTGCCTGGGCGATCGTTCGTGTGATTATGTGGTTCAGTTGTATATGTATGCCGACCGGGCTTCGGGCCAGCTGAAGCATCTTGCCAAAATCATGCGAGTGAGTGGCAAAAAAATAATAGTGCAAGGGGCAAAACAATCGCCCAGGCACAACGATCGTCCCGGGAAGCAGCCAAATTCAGGCCGATTGGAGCCTGTGGTAGCCAGATCGCTCGATCATGAAAGCAGCGGCAGTCAGACTGAAGACTTATTACTTAAACCAATGTGCCTGGGCGATCGTTGATTAGCGGCCTTGCTTGACCATATATAGTACCTGCTTAGGCCCAGATCGACTGAAGGATCCCAGGGCTGTCTTGGAGCGAGCAACAAGATCGAAAGTCAGCAGCGATGGAACATTATCTACCTGCGGTAACTCAAGGTATAGTCAGTGGCAAGTGAGCGCGGAACTTCTTGGAAGTGACAACTGTTCAACAAAATGCTTACAGCTGACTCAGATATGTAGTCCAAAAAAGAAACCACACGGTATCTGCTCGTTCGCCAAAACAATTGGCAAATGGTTCTAGGAGTCTCCTCGCAGTATAACGAACAAGAAAAGACAAGAAGAAACAGGATGTAATAGAACTGGATATAGAAGGGCAAAACAATGGCCTGAAGCTCTTTCCGGCAACTGCTACCACTGTGGCGAGTACATCACGACGCCTCGGCCGCACACGTAGCAGACTCACGAAATCTACAAGCGTCCGCCATCGACGGACGACCTATGGTATAGACCAAAGAAGCCAAGGCGTTCGTTGCTATAGGTGCATAAGCAACAATCAAATGAACACTCATAGAACGCATGGGACAAGGTAATATTGCTGTCTTTACTTGCATAGCTCATAGCACATTGTTTGTCGACGCAGTATGATACTTCACTTGATATCATTAATGTTTCATACACGGCCCGATACATATTGCAGCATTTGGTATCAAGCATCATACACCCCGTCCAATTCATTCATACAAAACGAAAAACTCATAACTGACACATTCATTGTCCACATCCCTACGGCATCTGACTCTTCCTCGCCTCAAACAGCACCTGTTCTTCCTCTTCACTACTCATTCTCACAATCGGCTGCCCAGCACCAGGATGCTGCAACACCGTCTCCATCATATTCGCATCACTCGGAATTCTCGCAATTCCCTCCAACGGCCGTTCCCGATCATCAATCTTCTCATATTCATCCATCGAGCTCGTGCCATCAAGACTCGCGAAGCGAGCTTTCTCTGGACTGCTCTTCGGCAGAGCTTTCTCGACGTGCAGCATATCGTCGGGAATGCGTCCGCTAGAAGAATATTGGTGAGTTTGACGGCCGATGCGACTTCGGCGGATAACGCGTCCGTTTTCATCGAGAACGACGTGTCCGCGTTCGTCGACGAGGACGTCGTCTCCTTGACAGTTTCGTTGAGGATCGTTGCCGTGAGTTTCGGGGTGCCACATGAGTTGTGAGTCGGAGCGGCGAGAGGAGAGCATGGAGCTCTTGAAGCTTTCCCAGCGGCCTTCGAAACCGTATTTGTAGAGACGGTGGAGGAAACCGGCCATTGCTGGGGTGCAGCAGCAGATCATGCAGGTGTAGACTTCGATGAGAGACCAGAAGCCAGGCTCGGCGAAATCCCATGTTGGGTTTCGGGAGTCGGTGAGGGCGAAGAGGTGTGTAAGACGGATAATTGAGCAAGCTGTTACAGCAAATCCAACAAGGAAGCAGGAGCAGACGCTGTAGCGAAATTTGTCAGTAGTTACGAAAGGCTAGACTGAGGGTTAGAGGTAGGACTTACCCGATCTTCTTATGCAATGGAATGCTGAGCCCGATGAAGCGTGGGATAGGGATGAGCAGGACTATCACATCGTACGCAATATTGATACCCGAGAATGCGAAGGCGGCAGCTGTGCGATTCGAGCATTTTCCAGTAACTCCTGGTAAGACCTGTCGCCATGCATAGCTGATTGGCTGACAAGGAAATATGCATGCGAGGACACATCCAATGGTACACATGATAAGGCTAGTTGCCACAATCCAGCAAGTGATTCGGAACGAGCTCATAGATTCCTCGCGCCAGATCCGAAGGTATAGAAACACGAGTGACAGTTTCGAGAGGTAGGTGACCGTTACGTATAGCGGCTGGCCAACGAAGAACCACTTTTCGAAGTCAGATTTGTTTCTGGATGAACAGGCGGAAAAGACTCACCAGCGCAAAAGGTTCTAGATTGTCAACGGGGACAGTCCAAACATCTCGACCAGAACCGTAATAGTATTCGTAGTAGGCCACAACAGTCATGCCTGTCATAGGCGCCACACATACCCCAACTGTCCAGTCATCGGCACCAAAGCCAGCTCCTAAAAGTCTCGGAAAGCGGGAGATGAATCTCGCAATCACGAACACCATTGCGATGCCGTAGAGGATGTAAGAGACCAATGCAATCCTCCACGACTTGTCGCGGTATGGGAACCCGCATGTCTCTGCTTGAAATCTTTGCGAGGCTAAAGAACCTCGGATATCGCACGATTCCTTGAGGCATGCTACCGTGGCATCGATCTTAGGTCCGCTCGTTTCGCAGAAGCACGGCTCTGTGATCGGGCAATTGAACGCCATGGAGATTCTACTGCCACATTCCAAAGCGCATTGCGGAAGCGCAGCGGCGGCTGTGAGATTGACATCGTGGCGAGGTTTCAGACTGTATTCGCTGGCAGCGACTGAAGAGAACAGACTTGGGTAGACCAGGCAGGCGAGAAAGGCGAAGATAGCCCGCATGTTGGTGTGTCGCACAAGCGTACCACCGAGCAATAGAGCAAACGTGGGAAGCAAAATCTCCGACAGGACGCAGTACTAGAGGGAACGGGTGGCTGTATATGAGCCGTAGTGCTTCATGATCCTCCCGGGTCATCTCAGTGGGCGGTTGCGCTTTTGGGCACTGCTTTTGCAGCAGTGATGGTCTAGTTTGGACATCATCGCAGATCCGGCACAGTTCGAGTCGGCGATTCTGCTTTGGTGCTTGAGTCGAAGCACAGTGATCGGCATGGGGAAGTGCAGGAGCTGAGTCAGTGTCGGACAGGCCTCCGTTTTAGCCATGACCCTCGGATACACGTTGTAGATAATAGGGTCCGTCGCCGTTGTGGTTGTCTGCTCAAGTGAGAAAGGCGCACCAGTATAAGGTTGCCAGGAGAGGTTGTCTGTATGTATTTTGGTCGTGAGGCGTATCTGTTCTGTAGAGTTGAGTCGGACCTGCATACAGCAAATCTCGGCAAGCCGACGTGATCATGCAGCTACAACAAGCGTCCGCCAAGTGACCTGGTTGTCAGTAGTAGGCGGTGCCTGAAGAGTTCCGGCTAGAGCTCGAAGTATGATGATCGGACGCTTACTATGATATTTCTTGTATCATGTTTGCATCACCCATAGTGGTCGCTGGAGTCGCCATGTAGCATCTCATCAGTGCCAATGCTCGACAGTTCACCTGCCCGATGTGGTATGTAGAGCGCTGGAACGTCTACTGACTTTGACGCAACTTAGCAGTCGTCGAGAGTGCGCTGGTGGCGATGCTGTGATATCGCTCACTTTGTTCATGTCGGAGAAGAGGAGAGCATGTCCAGACTCCGGGAAGACCTTTTGACCCGCGCGTAATCTTAGTCAGCAGAAATTGGCGCCATTCCTCTTTGGTGAGCTGTTGTGTTTGTGGAGGAGGGGTTCGCGACAGCTGCACCGCTCATCCAATGGACTCGGGCAGCAGGACAACAGCTGCAGCAGGCTCTGTTCCTGTTCGCTGGACCTGCAGCAGCTCAGTGTTGACTGGACTGACCAGGCGCCTCGGAGCATTCTTTCGTGCAGTTCGAACTGGTTCGAGGCTTCGCGTATTGATATCCTCGCATGCTATGCAAAGGCTGGCCTGCTGGCCGTCTGCCTTATCTATGCACCTCATTGCCTCGCTTGCCTGCTCGGGTGCCGTAGGTCAACAGGAAGAAGACAGCGCATCGCTGAAACACGCCTAGATTGTTTACTTGTCTGTCGCGTAGCACATGTGCGAGCAGTCACGATTTGAGAGGGAACATACTGCTCTCCGCACCGGCTGCTGAAGCACTTCTCACTTGCGAACAGGTAGAGGCTGACCGAGCAGTCCAATATGGCAAACGCGAGCGTGTCTAGCTGCGTGGTCTCCATCATCTCTTCCTTCACGAGCGGGCTGGACGTGTTCAAGAGGTTCCGGGAGTTGCGCAGGAGCAAGAAGAGTCGGACGAAGAAGCAGGACAAGACGGGCCGGGATGATGAGGTGCAGCTGGTGTCAAGCCTGAGGAGAGGGCCTGAGGACATCGGGCGAGAGTATCAGCGCAGCATTTCCGCAGTCGGCGAGCACTTCGCTCACGGCGATGGTAAGTCTCCGGTCCTCATCCGAGTGCTGTCATCCTGACAACTCCCGCAGTTGTAGCGAACACGGCTCTCGCTGAGGTCTTGCTCAAGCTCAACACCGGCCTCGTCACCGTCATCAACGCCTTTCTTGCGAGGGACAAGAAAGAGACGCCATTGGACTATCAATCATTGACGGCCCTGTCCGATGCGTCTCGGGTCGATACCTGTCGCGCACTACGGGAGCTCTACCACAGAATGATGCGTTCGAAGACGCCTCGCGTACCGCAGCAAGTCAGTCACTCGGACCTTCGATCGCCAGCGAGGCACAGGTCTGTTTCGAAGCGAGCAAGAGCGCGGGGTCCTGTTCTTGCCCGGGTTGTGATTGCCGATTCTTCGAAGCCGGGACAAGTCGCAATGGTGCGATCTGGCGAGCGCAAGAAGAGGAAGGCGACAAAAGGTGGGAGTACCGAGACATCAACGGCCGCACAGTCAACCGCCAATTTGGCAGTCGCCTCAGCAACGCAGCTCCCAGCTCTCCGAGAACCGAAGCACCCACCGCCGCCTGCAACGTACACCAGGTCTCAGCTCTCATTGCACGCACAGCCCGAGCCTCGAAGAAAGCAGTCCACCTCACTGCTCACGTCCGCCCCTCGATCAGCAGAACCTACGCATCGTCAACTGCCATGGGAATTGTCATCAGCTGCGAGGGCTAACCCACCGCGAAGAGCGAATAAGCCCACGCCGACCTTCTACTCAGAGGCTTCCGACGCGACCAAGCTGGGAGAAATCCCCCTCCACAAGTGGGCAGAGCCTGTCGACTTCGATGAGATGTCCAGGCTCAACAAGGAAGCAGCCAAGAATGGTTGGCCTTTCAATGAGATGGACACTGCGGCACCCAAGAAGAAGCGTGGAGGCTTCTTCAACCTCTTCCGACGCAAGACGGCCGATATGTGAAGAGAGTGATACTCCGACGATCGCGATATTGGACTGAATGTCGCGCACTATGGTCACTTGACAGCACACGAGATGGGACAGCATTCATTCCGCGAGGCGGGTTTCTCATTCGATGTCTCGACGCACTGTTATCACCAGACGGCTGGGAACCGTGGCTGGAGCAGACTGCGGGTTCGCATAGCACTCGGCAGGTGCACAGTGCTCGAGCCCGTGTTGACTTGCCCATGTGCAACTAAATTTCTGTCAGCAGAACGGGCCCGACTTTCAAGGTCACGGATTCGAACTATGACTCTCGGACTGCGCGACTGTGCTCGTTGCAACAGGTTGGGAAGACAAGAGCTGCAGCGTCGCCTTGTCTCGAATGTGGACTTTCCCAGCGAGTTGAGTACTCGTTCTCCGAGCTCAGTCAGTGACAAATGCGCTTCTCCAGTTCCCAGCCATGACTCGAGGGAATTGATGCGAACGCTCATGTCATATCATGTGTTCCTCGGGGAAATAGGCAGAAACTGGGACACCTATAATTCCGTGAAGCAATGAACCACGATCGACTCTACGGACGGAGCGGACCGGTAGTGCGCGTTGTGGGCCATGTGCAGTCATACTTCTGTCACCCTGTGCTCTCAATCACAGCGCTGACTACATCCACGCTCTGCAGATCGCGATATGCTGACAGGAACAGTGGCCGGTGCCCTGTAGCGCCTTCTGCTATCTGCAACTTGTCGGGATGCCGGCACACTCCATCTTCGGCCCGATGTGACCACGATGGATCGATGTACTCTGCTCCTCGTACATCTACAATTTCACATCCACGAAGCCGCGTTTGGTATTAATGGCGAGGAATAGCGTGCTGCGATCGAAGTGTGCAAGCATGACTTCGACACGCGTACGGACCACAAGCGGAGCAATAATGTCTCACTCCGGTGCACTGAGTATTCGAGCGTCTACGGAGGTAGCTGGGATCAATCGAAAACATTTCAACCGACCCACTTGTTCGACATAACCCAGCATCACCTTTCGCCACTCCACCGTTTTCCTCAATCATACTGTGGCGCGCTGCGCGTCGCTCCATCGGCCATGCTGCCATTGATATAGCGGTGGCAGCCACAGGAGTAAGTTGTACATTCCTCACTTCATTCATCCCTTGCCTCCAGCTCAGGTGATGTCAACTCGACACTCACGGCCGTCGGCCCAAGGACGCACGTCAACTTTGAGATCGACCAGAACGGGCGGGACGACAGTCAGTCACGATGTAGATTATAGCCTGGCTGGTCCGCCTGCCCAGCAGTCAGGGCATCACGACCCGCATGGGACATATTACGACGAAGACTACTTCTCCGCCAATCCTGTAAGGGTTTTTGCGAGAGCTGCTTCGATCTTGAGAGATGTGCTGATGAGTTCGGACGAGTCTTAGTGGATGGAGACCGAAAAGCCAAGAAATGAGAGCTTCTCGCTCGCGGGTACCTTTCCTCACAAAGTGAGATGGGGTGCAAAGAAGCCTAAGCAGAGTCAACAGCCGCAAAATTTACCCGCTCCGGAGAAGGGCGAGGCCGAAGCTGCACCACAGGTTCCCGCAGCTGAGCAACAAGGACGTGAGTCGGCTGAGCACAAGCGGAATCCGAAAAAAGGAAAACGAGATCCTCGCGATCCGAGACCAGATGCTTGTAAGTATGGCAGACGTTCAATAGATGGCACCTGCTGACCTTTCGACAGTCGATCCCGAAACGAGTACCCTGGAGAAGATCAAAGAACAACCAACCGACGAAGACGACGACGATCCCCAGTCCATTGAAAAGTCTGAATCCTACCAACCCTGGATCCAAGAACGCACCGTCTCTCATTTCGACTCCAAAGGCCAACGCCGCGGCACCCTCGCCAACGAAGCCATAGCTGCCGACCTCGACCCCAAAGACCGTCCCTTCAACCACTGGGCCCTCGTCCGTCTACACCTTCAACGACCACTCGCAGAATGGCTCGGCACAACCGTCTTCATCTTCCTCGCCGTCTCCGTAAACCTCAACATCATAACATCCGAAAACGCGACCGGTGACATGCAATCCACCTACTGGACCACAGGCTTCGCCGTCATGATCGCCATCTACATCGCCGGTGGCGGCTCCGGCGCTTTTCTCAACCCAGCTCTCACCATAATGCTCACCATTTTCCGCGGGTTCCCAGCGCGGCGAGTCCCTGTGTACATCCTCGTCCAACTCCTTGGCGCTTTCACAGGCGCGATATTAGCTTTTGCGATTTACAGAGACGACATCATGCATCTGGACGGAGCTCTCATCGCGGAATCCACGGGTAAAGCTTTTTACACGCAACCGAAAGACTGGATATCGAATTCTACAGCTTTTTTCACAGAAATGCTGGGAACGGCAGTTTTCGGTTGTGCGATTATGGCGTTGGGTGATAGTCATAATTCTCCTCCTGGAGCGGGTATGCATGCCTTTATTATTGGGCTTTTGTCGACTACTGTATCAATGGCGCTCGCGTTCAGCACAGGAGGCTGTTTCAATCCTGCGCGGGATTTTGGGCCACGGTTGGCGGCGATTACAGTCGGATACTCAACTGACATTTTCGCTGCGAGGCAACATTGGTGGCTTTGGGGTCCTTGGGGAGCGACGATTACAGGGGCGCTGTTGGGAGGTTTGGTGTATGATTTGTGTGTTTTTAAGGGTGGAGAGAGTCCCGTGAATTATAGTTTTGGGAGGTGGCAGATTGAGACGCTGAAGCAGGAGGCTGGGTTGGCGCATGCTTTGGGCTTGCATGGGAAGACGAGGGATATTGAGAGGAAGTTGGAGAGTGGGGAGATTTCTGATGAGCCGAAGCTGTGATGATGCGTTACGAAAAAAGAAAAGAAAAGAGCTTGATGAAATTTTGATGAGGGATATGAGATTTTAATGTCATTATTTCGTACGTCGTTTGAGTCCTTTTCCCCTCTTCCTTTCAGGCTGCTCACGAGATGTAAGAGACCACGACCTTCTTCGCGCTGACGCCTTTCTTCTGCGTGTCAAGGCCGAGTTGCACGGAGCGCAACTCTTCGCCCACAATTTGTGGCTCGGGAGCAGGAACTATTTGTTTCGACTTGAGAGCCGCAGGCAATAATTCCTTCCAGATGAACGGCCCGACTTCGTTCGTGAAGATGTTCGATGCGGATACTAGAAAGTCACTGTTAGTACTAGTCTCGATCGAAGAGCCGAAAAGCAAGTAAAAGGAAACTCACTCTGCCTCATCCTCACGCTTTTCGGGATCTTCTCATCATCCGGGATACCTCTCACAGAAACGACAATCGCCTTTCCCTTACTCCGATCCACGATTCTCGCACAAGCCTGTACAGCTCCATCAGCGCCCACAGCATGGTAAGCTCCCAGAACCGTCTTCCCATCTAACCACTTTACAACCTGATCCTCGACATCCTTGGCCCGATAGTCGAACGCTTCTGCGGCACCCAATTTCTTCACGTAGTCGAAGTTCTTTGGGCTACAGGTCGTAATTACTGTGGCACCGGAAGCAATAGCCAACTGAATGGCGCAGCATCCCACGGAAGAACTTCCGCCCCAAATGAGGAGGACGCGGTCGAGGGGTTTGGGGTCTTTTGATGGAAGTGGCAATTGGAGGAAATCTTTTTGATAGAGGCCGGCGGATGCGGTGGAGATTCCGAGGGGGAGGACAACGCCCACAGAGGAGAAGATGTCGCTTGGGAGCGGACAGAGGGCTTGTCGTTGGACGACGACGAATTTTTGGAAGGCACCAGTTGAGCCTATGGGGAGGTCGGCGGAGTCTGAGCGCACGCAGTGGCTGTTGTTTGCAGATGTTAGTGAGAGGATTTGTGATTGGACTTTTCGTAGATAGGAGGCGAGAGAGCTGGTCCGTTGGCATTGACTCGCAAACACATGTAGCCACTTCATCGAGAACTCATCAACCGGATGTGATAGAACTTACGCAATCACCCTCTGACCCAATCTCAAATCATCAACTCCCTCTCCGACTTCCACAACTTCTCCCGCAGCATCACTTCCAAAGACTGTAGGATATTTCAATTTGAAGATGTCATCATCTTGCAGAATCCAGTCGATAGGGTTGATCGCCACATCAAAGACTTTGATGACAACATGATCCTTCGGCGGCTTGGTATATGGAGCTGATGAGACTGTAAGAGGTCTGGTGTTTGGCTTCAATGCCCAGGCGGCGACATTCTTGTTGGCTGCGAAGACGTCACCCCAGCTTTCAGCGTTGGTGCGGGGCGAGGCGGGGTACATGATGGTGAGGCTTGATGTACGTTCGGTTGCGGGATTGGGTTGGATTGAGGTGGTGTGTTCAAGAACGAAGTTGAGATGACACTGAAGTTGAGGAGATGTTGTCGTTGCTTCTGGGTTGTTGTTTGAGGCAGGTGCAATGTTCCCGAGCTGTATGCATGTCGGGCGAATCGGAAGGCATGCCTGCCTACTTCTGAGGAAACCTTGTTAGAGGTGGCAGGAACAGTGGGTCTGTGTTGGGGTCGTTTGAGATGCTGCTTACGCCTACAGGCAACATGTGTTTTCTTATTCATTCCAATCCTTTGCCTGCCTCCTCCCATTGATAACTTCCATTCTCGATCTCCAGAACGATAGACTCAAAATTCTATGACTCTCATGAAAGAAGCTACGATTTCCTCCGAACAGTATTCAACTGCGATGACTGTACAATACCGAGGTCGATGAGAAGAATCAATGGTTTTGCGCCAGGCGCCCACGGCTTGAACGCAGAGTTGTCATCGTGCCCTTTCCTCCATCATCTCTTTCCAGCTCAAAAGCTCTTCCAATGTCCCGTCATATCACCTCGCCAACAAAAGAAGTGTATCTTCATCGAGCTTTGTTCGACGGGTCATGCTTGTCACTCTCCTTGGTCAAGTCCACCTCCGTCCTCTTGATTGCAGGCAGTCCGATTCTCTTTCTCCATTCATCTTCAGTAATGCGGGTAGTGGTGGCTTGCGTACCGGTGAGATCGATGAATTCCCTCGTGGTTTGTGCAGGAATTTTCTGGTTGCTTTCGGAAGATTTGGGCTTGTGAGATTCTGCAGCAGTATCGCGCGCCGAGAGGAAACTGTTGTCGTTGTGCAGTTGCGGCGTTCGTTCTTCGCTGGGCAAGTCGACATCTTCTCGATTTTGGTTGCTCTGCTGCTGGCTGGTGTTTGATGAAGCGGCGTCGCCTGTGCGAGCTTCTGCCGTGTAGTGTTGGTTGGGACATACATTGAAATCTGCAGACTTCCACTGAATCCTGTTACCGGCACCCAAGTCCTGTCGATGCGCTGAGCTGCCTGCCTCCTGCCCGGATTGGCATCTGCCCGCGGACAGTGCGACTGCGAATTACAGACCATCGAGGAAGTCGCTTTCGTGATCTTAGGTTGTGCTCTCACTTAGTTGCGCATGCCAGTAGATATATCGCCGCTGCTAGTGAACGGTGAATAGGTCTCAGGCTACTGTCGGTCCGTCGCAGATGAGACAGTGTATATTCACTCAGCCACTGCGACAGGTTCTCACCCCATAGCTCGCTTGAGATGCAGGAATCGGGAACATGTTCCAGAAATCACCGGCAAAGCATCATGGACTCCTCAAACTGTCCAATATTTGCTCCTGTCTTTTGGTGCAATCAGGACGTTTCGCTCGAGTGCAAAACAGTCTCCTTGCTCTTTTCCGGCATCGACGAGTTGTCTTCTCTGCCAAGCTTGTTCCCCCAGAAGGATCCTCTCTGCTGCCACCGCTCTCTTTCTTCTCACTAACCTTGTAGTAGTTGGTGGCGGATTATAATCATTACCTACAACGACCTCCACACTCCGCAAATTCGCGGGCTTGCACACCTTCTCCCAATCCTCCCTACACCCTTCTAAACCGTCTCCGTGCTCAAATGTGACTCGCAAATGCTTCAATCCTGGAAGATGATGAAACACTCCCTCAACGCCACCATAATCAGACCAGTATTGCAGATTGGGAAGATGTATTCTCTCGATCGCCCGGGCTTGATGCTCAAACAGCATAGCTGTCGCAAAGTCCTTGGGCACACCCGGATACGGAGACATGAACTCGAACGTGAAGTTGGCAAAAGGCAGGAACCACGTCTCCAAGTAGATTCTTCGGCAAGTGTGTAATAAGCTCAATTCAAGCCTGACATTTTCACACTTGAACTCGCCAATATCCTTCTGCTTCTCTGGACCAACCGGGCAAAGGCCGTGCGGGTCAAAAGGTGGACTGATAGCTTCTGGGCAAGGTCCTCTTTACAGAGATGGCCGCCCATTCTTATTGAGATACTGTTGCGGAATCGCTTCTGGGTGATTGCTCAGAGCGTATTGCCTTTCCCAATCATGCGGGAACGAGCAAGCGTGAGATGTGGTTTTCATGAAGCTTCGCGCTTCGTATGTTTCTGGTGTTGCGGTAGGGTCTTCGTCGCCGTCAAGAGGCCAGCACTCCTGTTGGGAAATGTGGGCTCTGGTCCATCGGTCATTGGCGCGACATGCTTTTAAATGTACATGAACTGTCTGAGGTGGGAAGACGAAAGAATAGATGAGGGAACGCAATTCGCCGGAAAGCTTGCTGAAGAGAGGGGAGGAGAGTTGGGAGTTGGCGGAATGAAGTTCAATCTCAAGTGGTAGTTCCCCTCGTGGCGGCCGATTGAGGAATTTGGTTGGGTTGATCCACTCGGGCATGGCTTCGGAACAGCTAGAGATGTATGGTTGAAATTCTTCAACGTGGGAGATGTCGTTGCGACTGGACAAGACACGATCGACGCAGGTGTGCCCAACTTTTGCCATCGAGGGTCCAGGTTCAGCTCCAGGAACAAAAGCTTATGTTCAAGCTGACCGACATTGATCGATGGGTTGAGCTACTGGTGCATCGTGTAGCCTTGACTCACATTCTTCTCTCAAGAATATAGCATTCACACAGAGTAATCAGTGCGTGCAAAGTTTCTCATCAATTGGTCCCGTGGAAAACCGACTTCTGCGTAGCGCAAGATCGGGACCGGGTACCTAGTTGGCATCTGTCGATTGGCTTTACCATGCAGCAGCTTTCAAGGGGACTTTGGGTCAGAGCTACGGCTCTGATGCTCAGTCGAACGACCCGCAATGCCGACAGGAACACATTGTCACTTGCCACGACTCTTCTTCACCAGCGGTCGCGACCCATCACCAACGCGACCAAACCAGACTTCGTGCCCTCCCTCCTCTCAGTCCCTCGTGTCTCCTCAAAGCCAGGTGGCTGGCATCCTACCTTGATCCACTCTTCCGGAGAAGTGAAATTCACCGTCATCAGACTCGCTCCCAACGGCGGCGAAGTTCCCATCCACAAACACTCGCACGTCTGGGACTACTTCATGCCGCTTTCTGGCGAAGCAGTAATCGAAACGAGGACCAAAGATGGCGTAAAGCAGGATTTTGAGATGAAGCCGGGAAGTTTCTTGGCCGTGGGGCCAGAAGACGTCCATCGTGTTGTGAACAAGAGTGAAAAGGAGGAGTTCGTGTTCTTCATTGCGCAGAGTCCGAGGGCGAAGTATGATTTCGTTGCGGATGATGGTACTGGAGGAGAGCAAGACTCTTGAAGTGGTCGATCGAGATTGTGGCGAAAATGACTTGACGAACAGTGGTGCCTCAGGCAGTCATCTGTTCTTGGCATTTACTCTCGTACCTTGCGTAGATTCTCGTACCTCCGTAGTACGTTCCTTAATCAACATTTCAGTCACTATATCTCCCGTGAAACCATGACATTCATGGGCATCTACCATTTGGGATCCAGGACAAAGCATGAGCCGAACGGCGGCGACTTCTCGCAGAAGAGTATCAGACGGGAAGAAAGAGCGGTGCGCTTTGACTGCATGCACCTAGGCGACTTGAATATTTTCGTGGAGACACGCAATGATGTACGATCGTATGCAAGTGAAGCGCCAGAAGGTGGATGCAGCAGATGCGCCTAACTTGGCAAGCTGGAAGCCACAATCGTCACATCCACTTCGATCGCTCGGCTCAGCCCATCATCGTCTTGACCACACGCAGGCGCATCGCTATGCCACCTTTCAACATTGCCCAGCTGAGGTCACGAATCAAAGACAGGCTGCACCATCGCAACGAGTCGTCAAAATCGAAACAGGGCAATCAGTCTGACTTGTCTGATCCTGCTGCCCAATCTGCAGCTCTCACAAGCCGGTCAGCCATTTCTGCTGCAATCACGTACAATAAGCAGCCACTTCTAGCAAGCAACTTCGATGACGAGACTGTTAGACAGCTCGACGCTGCACTATGTGCAGACTGTCAGGCCCTGGACATTGGCCGACTGTTCAACACTAATCGCATGACCCGATCCAACCCTTATGCAGCGGATTTCTTAGCTTCGCCAGAAGGATACGTGAAGACAACATTTGGGAGACTGGCCAGCAATAGTCTACACTGTGGTTGTTGCAAACTCATCCAAGATTGTTTCGTTCGACACAGGCAGATGCAAAGTCTTTTCTTGGACACGCCATTGACCATCGTGTTCGATCCGGAAAAGAAACAAGTGATTGCAATGACTGATCACGATTTACAAAGGACATGGGCCAACTTGAGTGCAGGCCACTGTATGTATTGCCATGAGATAAGATGTCCAGTCTGACCCGCCTTTACATCTAGTTGACGATTGAGTTCCGCTCAAGGACGTGGCATACAGTGACACCCAGCCGCTCAAGAGGCTTGTTGAGCACAGTCCTGGTATCGACCAAATATCTGATCGTATACAGCAATGGCTTGAGCTCTGCCGTACCGAATGTCACATTTGCTCGGAGAAAAGCAGTTTGCAGTTGCCGACCAGGCTGTTAGAGATGGCACAAGCCGGCGACGTAGTCCACCTCATCGAAAGCGCTAATCATGTCTTTCAAAGGCCATCGGGCAGGGCTGCAGAAGTTGATGAAGACGTCACGAACACTGCGCAATACGTTGCGCTCAGCTACTGTTGGGGAACTGCGGGCCAGTACACACTGAATCAATCCACGTACTCAGATTTGCTTCGTGGAGTCAAGGTCGATGTACTACCGCAGACTACGCAAGACGCGATTCAGCTTACGCGTGCGTTGGGTATACGCTACCTCTGGATCGATGCATTATGTACGACATCACTCGCTAATTATATGCCTTCTTAATAGCTGACAAAATGTGCTTGCACAGGTATCTTTCAAGGCGAAGACGAGCATGCAAACAGGGACTGGCAAGAACAGAGCGCGATGATGAGTACCATCTATGAAAACGCACATCTAACGTTGATGGCATCGAGATCGACCAGTGTCCATGATGGCTTCCTCAAGGGACGTGCAACCAGCCACTTGGGCGTTTTTTGTGGATCAGTACAGACTGACGGTGGCCGAAAACCAATATTCCTGTTTGACGAAGCTTCGAGAAGTCGGTCACTGGACGATGTACTCGAGCGAGAACCTTTAACGAAGCGCGGCTGGGCTTTCCAGGAGGTGAGGGCGTATCTCAAGATACGTAGCGGAAATATGAATAGAAGTCTTGCTGACTTGATCTCGCAGCGTATCCTCTCCCGCAGGAGTGTACTCTTCGGGGGCAAACAAATGTACTGGAGCTGCAGAAAACACGAGCGAGCTGAGAACGAAGACTGGATGGTGTCATGGGGAGGGAGCAGATCTTCATCTTGGACTCAGATTGTGCAAGATTATACGCCTTGCCGTTTAACAAAATCCACAGACCGGCTTCCTGCACTTTCGGGTCTGGCAGCGATACATTTGGCGAAACATTATGGGAACTCCCCACCCCAGAACCATTACTTCGCGGGTCACTGGCGTGAGGACATCTTGGAGACCTTACTTTGGCATCCTCCAATGACAAGTAGAGGAGCCATGCAGGCATTTGGATACCAGGCGCCTTCTTGGTCATGGGTATCGTGCGATGGACCCATTCACTGGGAGGACCCGAGCGCTACGTCGGAGCCAGTGGCAGCCTTGCTCGATGTTCAAGTTAAAATCGATGGCCACAATCCATTTGGACAAGTCAAAGACGGCTCGCTCGACATTGAGGCGCCCATCATCCTGCTTGAACACGGCGTTCTCACCTTCGATGCTCTTTCGAATGCTCACAGCGGTCCTAGTCGGCGGACTTCCAGGTACCCCAACCCCTTGATCGAGAATGAAGATCGAACACGGATTTATCGACTAAGACACGAGGATCTCAAAGCTCTTTTCCCGCTACACACTCAAAGACTTGGAGAGATTCATGATCAAAACATGACCCAATCCAACCCAGAGTACAGCGAGCCCGATTGTCTCTTGGCATTTGACACGCCTGAGACCTGTCAAGATAATATATATCTCCTGCCGATATTCAGAGATGAAGCGATTGGGAATGAGTCTTACAGACTCAGTGGACTGATACTGCGGGAGTCCAGAGAGAAAGCGGCGACTTGCCAAAGGGTTGGGATCTTTACAAGACTTCCCGACTTCTTGCCACTCGATGCAGAGCGTGTTGTCATCCGAATCATCTAGGTGTACGATGATGATAGTCCAATCCCGCAGCATATTCCCTCGTTTCAATGGCCGATTATTGCAGGGAACATAGGACCTAGCATGCAAAGCTGCAAGGCGGAAGTAGCACACCATCACGCGTGCTGCGCTGACTCAATCATCTCCTGACGTTCACTCAGCCTTCACTTGCTCACACAAATCTGGTCCCACAACCATCATACATGGCCCAGTGGTAAGCTCACAAATCGCCTAGAATTTGGCGCTGAGTCGATTGCTCAAGACGTCGCTCCCACAGGATCAAGCGAACAGTCCCGACGGAAGTCGAAATCCCGGTGCACACGAAGCCACGGATGATTGTTTTGCTCTTTCCCTTTTTAATTCCACGCAACACCTTTTATCGCCTAGCCTATAATTTTTGTTATCCTTTTCTCTCAAGTCTGCCGACCATCTCAACTCTCATATATTTGCTACTACCACCAATTTCCAACGTCGTCCTTAGTGAGTGGTAGACTCCGTAAGTCGCTGGTATACCTGGTGCTGAGAGCAAAGTCCAGTACGCGTACGCCGACTTTGAGACCAAGAAGTCGATCTGGTGTGCATGCGTCAGTGTTGCCGGAAGGCGAAGGACGATTGTTTTGCCCCCAGTACTCATTCTCCAAGCAAACCCTTTGCCGTTCAAGACCGTCGTTGCCTATTATTCGTTTTTTGAGACTGCCAGATCGATACGACCAATGTATACTGGCTTGTAGCCGCAACATTCAACGATCGTCCTTGGTCTAGCGGTACGACTCGTGAGTCGTCGGTGCGGGTCGATGCTGAGCCAAGCAACAGTCTTCTTCGTCTACCATGGTTGCAAAGCATGAGATGTGTTGCACGCTGTTGCAAACAGTGTGTCGAGGGCGATTGTTTTGCCCATCGACGCGCATCTTTGGGACTATTGCGTTCCTGTGATCTATTGTATGGCCCCTTTACTGAGTGCAGCTTTCATTTGGGTAAGCGCCGGGATATGATCCAGTTCGCTCGCAGCACGAGACCGACAGCACTGCAGTCGGCGATCGTAGAATCATGAAGTATCAAGCATTCCATTCCGTTAATTCAGGGGTATCATGATTCTCTCTACAGATCACGACCAACCTCTTCTTCCACCTAATATCGGCCTCGCCGGGTCCCAGGGTCCATAGATTTCATTCTTATACCTCTGCAACCCGATGAGCCACCAACTCGTCAGTCCCATCCCAAGACCCATGATAACTGTGCCCATCACGACACCCAGCGCACCCCAGCCCCAGCCTCCTCCAGATATCGTCATGCCCAAGCCACCACTTGCGAGAACGACCAAGAAGACTGTCAGCCAGACGTGGCCCGTCCAAGAGTGGTGACGGAGATGTCGGCGGAAGACGGGAAAGAGGCCGAAGACTTCGATGCTGAAGAGTGTGAGAGAAAAGACGTGAGTCGTGCTAGGAAGACGGGAAGCAAGGACTGTGGAAGCCATGAGAGCGGCGTTCGTGCTGAGCGACGCAGGAAATTTGGCCTCGGGTCCAGCGCCGTAATCGAAAGTGAAGATATTGAGGATGAGAAGCCACGACGAGAGTGCCCAGATTGAGTCGCTCGAGGTAGACTGTGTGAGAGATTTGAGAATTGGTGACAGGCCGAGGAGCGAGCAGTAGATGAGAATGGCAGACTTCGCAGTTGTGAGTCGTTCTTGCATTCGTGGAGACAGCATCGATGTTTTCCTGCTGTTATAGGGCGGGATATATGATGGAATGCTCGGCGGTGCGGGTAGCGCATCGCTAGTCGGTGAGCTGGGCGAAGCAGAACTGGACATGCCACCGTTCAGCGCAATTGAGGTCGTCGAAGGATTTCTCGAGTGAATCCTGCTTGGCACTGCAGCAGTGATGGGTATCTCGGAGATCTCCTTGAACGGCTTTCCATAGTCCGCGCTATATTCTTCGCTTCCTCTCGAGCTCTTCTCATCGTCCCCGTCAATTCCACCGGCACTGCCCTCTTCACCGTCATCCTCGTCACTGTGCTTTGACCGGCCCTGCCACTTGTCTCTAAAACCCCATGCAATGACAGTACACCCAGTCGCCCAGCCCACTACACTTTCCGGTTTGACTCTGCCGCTGAAAATGGCGGCGAAGCAGCAAACGAAGATCAGGACGGAGCAGACATGTTGCACGATGATCGTGCTGTCTGCCACCAGCGGCCAGAATTCGTAGGGTCTCAGCTTGGGGTTCATCTGAAGATGGTCCAGGAATGTCTCCTCGTCCGTGTAGTTGTCGGGGTAGGACTGCTTCACCCACAACAGCTTCTTCCATTGCCCGTTCGAAGGTGGTTTCGGCGTAAGAGCAGCACGTCTCCGCGAAGAGCTTCTACCTCGACGCTTCTCGCGACTCGATCTCTGCTGTCCACTGTGCAATTGCGATTGTGACATGCGCGATGTTATGGTATCGGTGCGGAGCAAGGACGAGGAGTTGTTCCTCGGAGGAGAGTGGTAGAAGGCATCGTCGGGGCGGAGGTGCTGCTCGCTGCGCCGGCGGAACGCACTGTGCACGCTGCTATTGCGAGATGACTGGTGCGATATGGTGGTGAGAGGGTGAAGCTGGTGGTGCTGCGACATCACATCGTGTTGGTTGCGGGCGATTAGAAAGGTGATGTAAGTGCACGCGAAACTGACACGACCTGGAAAGTGTGCAGGGGAGGATGAACTTTGAGCCGATGCCAAGCATATGAATTGGCAAGAATGCCAATCTCCGCCTCGAAGTCTAAGCACACGTCTCTTGTAACATCGTACAAGGAACAGAACATATTGCCGACAAGACTACCATTCACTCTGGTCTTTGCAGCAATCCGGAGTCGAGTTATAGGCCAGCCGCCGTTCGGAACTGAGCGACAGTGGTATCAAATCAAGCCAGGGCGATGTCGTCGGCATAACCCTCGCAGAGACGCCGTAGAAGATGGTCTTGTGCAGCAGATGCAGAATCTCAGCTCATCCTGCAAGAGCGCGCTCGGTGCATCGTTATCCCCGGGACCAATACGTTGCTGCATTTCGATGCGAAACTATGTGTTCATGCGGGTTTCAAGGCATTCTCGAAGAAGTATTTCTGAAATGATCGGTGCACCGGTCGCATCATGATAATCAATCCATCTCGCAGCTTACACTTACTCGGATCTAGAGACTCATGAACAGCCGTCCATCGGCCGTGCATCGCTGCATTGCATAAGTTCGTTGTGCGCGCATCGAGCGAGCCCTAAGAAGCTAAGTCGCGCTGCGAGACTGAGTCGGTTAGCTTGGGTAATGCAGACTCCATCTGCCTCGAACACACTTATCAGCAGGATATAGTCCAGCTCACTGATTGCTTGTGGTCAAAAGTGTGACTTGTCAGACAGACACGTCGGCTCTCACGACTAGATGCTACAGCACCTGCGAAACGCTTGGCTTAGCTTCAGAACATCGACCTCGAATTAGCTATGAGGTGCTGCTATTGACCGATAGCCTCCAGATTCTTGCGGGACCGCCGCATAACCCAGCATTGTTTCACGGATGAATACGGCACGGAATTTATGACCGGCTGGGAAGGCTACCGAGCCCGCCAGCAATAAGTTCATATCTGGAGCTGAGACCTCGCAAGCTGAACTGATGTCTATATATACTAGGAATCGTAGCCTCCCTTTTTGCTACCTTTCCCTTCGAAGTGGTAGCCCAAGCCATAACACCACCTGGTACTCGAACCGGACGGTTAGCCCAACATCCTGCAACCGCACTATGAAGACCATTCAAACGCTCATTGGCATGATCTTGGCACTCGCAGTCGCCTCAGGCTCGCCGTTAGCCGAATCGCTAGACGAACGACAAGTCGTCAGAATAGTAAGCAGCATGGTCTTCGCCAAGATCTGCCGTGAGCAGTGAAATTGACGTCGAGGTTTCTACAGTGTGGTGTCAATGTGCCATGCAACTGCCCATGCTTCATAGACGATCAGGGAAACGACCTTGGTTGCCCGGAGCGCTGCGTGGTCGGAAAATAATTGGTTGCAAAAACAGTAAGAGAAAATCCACTGAATAGCCGGTGTATGCGCGCAGCTAATGGTGCTACAGCAAGGAGCGGATAGAGAGCATTATCGAGTGCACATGTGAATGTACTGTCGTTAGTCTAGAGTCCGTGGGTGTGCGAGCACTGCATCGAAGATTGGACGTCAGAAATATTGTATATGACCAGCTGGATGTATGCGCTCGTTCGTGTTGCATTGCAGATCGATAATGTTCGGGGCCTGCGGTTGAAAAACTCAGAAGACATGGCCAGAACTGTCTGACTCCAGTAAGGCGCGTGCCTTGGCTCGTTTTGAGTGGTTGTGAGGTTGTGAGTGTTCTTGCCTCTAGTGAGCTGGTGCCTCAGGTTTTGGGTTCCTCTCGCGAAGCGTCTGATGCCATACCGTGCCGAGGAGTCACTTTTGCTTTGTCCACGATACAGAACCATCACAACGTAAGCCGAACGAAGTCGAGATGATGAGCTTTAGATATTTCGACGACGAATCTGACTATATACAACTTGCCTATGCGCAGGCGAAAGCGCGGGCTAGAAAACCTGCAAACTGCTCGTTTGCGGGCGCACTCGGGTATACTCGGAGATACTTGCGACAGCGACCTTTTGCAGATATACGATTCCGTCGCGATACAAGCGACAAAATCGAGATGCTTTCCTCTAGATTATCTGAAGACGATTCCGAACATATAACGATCGTCTACGTAGGAGCAGAGGTGCAGGCTAAACAATTCACCAACGCGTTGTCGCCCGGCTACAATCCAGCGCACGATTTTGGCATCAGACCCATTCCGCAGAGAGCAGGCACCAAGGCACCTACCTCACAACCACCGAAGCGCAGCAATCGCGGGTCTGACTTGGGAGGTAGAAACACTCTGCGAACGCTTGTACAGTGATTCCAAGAGAGCGTGACATCTTCGGCAAAACATGTTCAAAGACACTGGAGCGCAGAAGATAATCCTACGCAGCACAAATACGCCTCAACTTATCAGGGGCAAAGTAGCACGGCGGAACTGCACCGTCTCTGGCCATCTAAACCTCATCCGCCTCCGAGGGTTCGTCGCCAATACTTGGTCCAGTTTACTGAACTCCTTGGCACAGCTGGACAGCAACAAATACGCCCACGTCATAGCCAGTGAGGTCAGGCGTCGCTGGCTGTGTGACAAGACATGTCGATTTTCGGGACTCTTTGGTCAAGGCCCTTGTGAACCGCTAGTCTTAACTGTGGACACCGCTTTCGTATTAGCTGTGAAGTATCGCCATCGGTGCGGGCTAGGGCGTCGTGAGCCCTAAAAAGAGCCCTAAGGAGAGTCCTATGAGAGGGCGAGAAATTGACTGGGTAAAGAAAGAACTATAATCCACGAGCGATAACACTCCTGGAGACGACGTATACGACACTGCACGACGCTGTGCCTCTCTCTCGCCCACCCTACAAGCGCCGCGCTCGATCGTTGCCGGAAAGAGCTAATAGACCCTCTACCGGGCTCTATACCTTACCTTCTCGGGTGTTGACCTCGTCTCTGTTACTCGTAGGTTCGCTTTCGCTCCGACCATTTGCTTCCCGCGCAAAGTCGCCTGCTTGGGCAGAGAAGATCGTTGGTTCCCAGGGAAACTTGAATGCGAAGAGGTGACCGCGTTCGTGTGAAAGTTGATTTCACACTTTCCTAGTCGCATCTTCGCCCTCTGCTTAGGGCTCGCGGGCGCTCCATGCGCCCTTGGGAGATACATGTGGTCGATCACTTACTGTTGTTTCACGGAGTCCCGGCAAGTTCGTGTCCGGCGGCACGAGATGCTGAGCTCAACCGATGCCTACATATACAAAGAATCTCTAATGTCCCTACAGCTTTGATCAGTAATCGTATTCACCATCTGGCATCTGGACCGAATACAATCAACTCACGTCTCTACGAACACACTATGAAGACCTTTCACACCCTCCTTGGCATCATACTAGCACTCGGAGTCGTCTCTGGGTCCCCAGTAGGTGGCCGACTGGATGAACGACAGCTCATTCGAAATGTAAGCAGTATGTCTCCGTTCAACATCAGGTCCCAATAGCCGCGACTGACGTCAAGATTTATCAAGTGTGGGCTTGGAGGTCTTGTACAGTGTATCTGTGATTGCGAAAGAGATAATCGAGGCAACGACATTGGTTGTCCGTTGAGCTGCGTGTACAACGGATAATTAGTGGCGTGAGTGTGAGTACAACCTCTCGATGACTGTCGTGCCAGTGTATGCGCGGCTAATGAAAGAACAATAGGGTTCGGGTGCAGACTGTTGTCTTATGGAAAACCGAATGCAGTGTTGTCAGTCTGTAGATGAGGGGATGACTCAGTCTTGTGTCAAGGGTTGGATGTTGGAACATCAGATTGGCAACCAAAGACATACGCTCGTCTAATATGGGTTGCCCCTCGATCTTTGTTGGATAATATGTGGTCTGCTCCGAAGTCTACACCGCCGGTCTCGTCGTGCAATGAGCCGAACGTATGCTCGACGGACACGTCAGAAACTCTAGCCTTTACAGTGGTCCCACGACGCATTCATAGAATCATCGCCCTGCGACATGGATCAACAGTGCTTTCAAGGCTCAAGACATAGTGATCTCTTCGGCACACCTGGAGCAGAGTCCATATAGAGCAGAAGACGGTCTTGCACAGCAAACTCGGGAATCCCACATCGTCCTATAAGAAGCTAAGTGGCGCCGCGAGACTGAATCGGTTAGCTTTGGTGTTTCATCAGACTTCATCTGTCTCAAAGGGTTTACTAATCTCCTTGGCACAACTCTCAGCTAGGCGCTGGTGATTAGAAGTACGATTTGCGCTACATGTGCATTTGGACGTCTAGATGCTAAAACCCCTGCAGAATGGTGGTCTTGGTTGTAAACATATCGACTCTGGATTAGATATACATCCACCAGCTTGAGCCACCAAGGTCTTGAGGAGATGTTCGATCACTCAACAGTGTTTCGCGGCTGGCTTCGGCAAGAAGTCTTTGTCGAACTTCATGTCCGGATGTAAGAGATCGCAGGCTCGACTGTTGCCTATATATACGAGGAGGCGAGTCGTCTCTGTATGTCAACTTCCACCTTGATCGGTACCTATTGCATTGATCAACAATCGAATACACCACTTGGCATTCGAATCGGCCATGATCGTTTTATCATCCTACAATTGAACAATGAAGACCATTCAAACGTGCATTGGCATTATATTGGCACTCATAGCCGTCTCTGCGGCCGAGCCACTGGACAAACGACAATTCGTTAGAACGGTAAGCAGCGAGTTTCCGCAAAGGTATCTCTCTCTCTGGCAGTGGCAACTGACGTCGAGGATTGCTTAGTGCGGGCTCGGGGTGCCATGCAACTGTGAGTGCGCAATCAATGATCAAGGAATAGAGCTTGGGTGCCCCGGAGAGATGTGTGGTCCGAGTCTGATCAATCGTCTGTGAAGGTGAGGGCAGTCTTTCGATGATCCGTCGTGTATGTGCAGCTAACGATAGAACGATAGGGGCCGGATGCCGACTGTTGTCGCATGCAAATGCGCGAATGCGATGTCTGCAACGCAGAGCTCACGGGATGCCCGAGTGCTGTGTCAAGTATTGGATATCGGGAATATCGACGTGGCGACTCAACGCATGCGCTCGTCCGGTCTTGGTCATAGTGTCCATCGTGGTTCCATTACATGTGCTTGGGAGACCCGGTGAAAGTGACCAGAATTGTGCGATCAAAGCAGCGACGATTTCGACGATCAGCGGTACGCGATGGCTGAGCAAGTTGAAAATGGACGTTGAAATTCTCACCTTGTTTCGTTTGGTGTCGTCTTGTCTCGTTTCGTTCCGTTTCGATCTAGCTACGCCCCTTGGAAAAAGTGAAGCTTGAGGCAGAGCGGGCTGTGCTGAACAACGACACTCTGCCTCGGCATGATGCACCCCTCTCATACGTTTGTCCTGTACCCATGGGTTTCGCTACTCAGCGCTTACGCGTCGTACACACAGATGAAGTGCCCGTGTAGCTGAGGTCTGGGTGGATAGCGCATGGGGATGTGACGATCAGCTTCGAGGCACAAATGGTGGAACTTCCGCAGGGCAAGTGTTTCCTCGTGCGGACAGCGCGCAGAGCGGAAGAGAGCACGCACTGGACCTCAGGATATCGATGAGAACTCTTCATGTAGCTGCGTCCTGAGGTGGCAAGTCGGTTGCTCGAATTTCCACGCAGCAGTCAATGCGGCGGTCTGCGGAGCGGCACGATCCTTCCGCTGCCGATGCTCCTCTTCTCTCACACCGTGGACAATTCGTGCAACTCGTGAACACGATGCTTCTTCTCGTCAGCATTCATGATCTGAAGGGTCACTCGAAGCGATGGCGCATCTGGCTGGGTGAGACGCATTGCGAAGTCCTCTCGAGCCGGATGCCGATGGCGCTCAATGCCTGTTGATGGCAGCTGACACGAACGAACAAGACGTCGACGGCTGTGCTGTGCCACCTAGGCAAGCAACGCTTCTGCCTCACCGGTGAAGACACACACAGCGCCTAATTTAGCAAGTGAAAGTTTGTTCTCTCCAAAGCGTCCCAAAAGGAACGCCAAGTAGGCTGAACCAAATCCTTGGCCCTTTGAGCAATTTCATTCTAGGCGCTGTTTGTGCCTCACACCTGCATAAGGCGCCTGAGAGAGCAAACAACGCCACATATACTCACTTTTGCAAACTCATTAAAGTCGCACAACTAAATTTTCCAGTCCTTACCAAAACAACATCATCATCAACGACAAGAAGAACATCCAAGATGGCGCGTCTTTTCCACAACGCGCTCGTCCTCGCGACTCTGGCAACATTCCTCTCCTTCGCAACCGCCCAGCGCGCTCTCTACTCCATCGAAGGCTCCACGTCGACCTGCATCTCCAACAGCTCCATCACAGCTGACATATTCTCCGCCTCCATCACACCAGACAACAACATCATCGGCTACGACGTCTTCGGCACCTTCAACTACTCCGGTCCAGTCATCCTCTCTTACATACTCACAGTGAACTCCAAAACCACTTTCAACTTTACGGAAGACCCCTGCATGGGATCCGGAAATGCATATCTCTGCCCAGCAAGTCCAGGCCAAATCGGTCTGAATTCCAACCTCGATGTGCCGCCTCAGAACTTCGATGCCGTCCCGAAGGAAGTCTTCACGCTGCAGGGTCCGGATGCGAACTTTCGTTATGTGATGACGAATGCGGAATCGGGAGAGATTGTGGGATGTTTGCAGACCAATCTTACGAATGATGCTTCGATGGAGGCGAACTCGACGGAGACTGGCGGCAGTGGTGCGAACAGCACTTCGAAAGCGAACGGAACGGGATCCGGCAATGAGACTGGTGGTGCTCAGAACGGCGAGTCGGGTGCGAGTACTGCTTACTTGGACTGGACGTTGCTCGGGTAAGTTCTTGATGTGTCACTCATATGGTAAGCAAACTGACACTCTTTCATAGCTCGGCCATCATTGTGCTGGCGTTCGGTACTGCTCTCTGAAGGCAGAATGCAAAGTGACGATTCGAGTGCGACCTACCACTGTAGCCACTTGAGAGAAGACACTACTTTGGTCAGTTCTTCCACGAGAAAGCTCACATGTGGGAAACGAGCTGAGAGATTTCAAAGCTCGGCCACAATCGCGCTGTTGGGCGAAAGTGCGTTTTTCTTGCACAGGCTGCACGAGGTGAAGTACCCTGTAGTTGCATCACAGGCATGTGAAACTCTTTTCTTCTGAGCAGGCTGCACAGAACTGCAATGCCATCATCTGCCATAGCCGGCGCACAGAAACAAGTCTAGAACAGGCCATATAGAACTTCAAAAAGAAACTGAAAGTTCTACAATTCTATCTCATCCTCATCCTCTCCTCTACACCGCCTTCTTTCACTATCTACCTCTCCCACTCCTCCCTCCTAACAAGCGCCACAGGCGGCACATAACTCTCATGCCCCTTAACAAAATACCAAACCGTCGCAATCGCCATAATCCCCACAAACATAACAATTGCCCAATTCATACTCTCGGGCTCCACAGGCGTAGCAGCAGGAAAGAACATCCAACAATAAATCATCAACAAAAAACACAGCGCGATAGCATTCACAACCCCTCCCCACCTCCCTAAACTCCATCTCCGATTCGGCAGCGGTTGTCGTCTCAGCCTTTTAAGCAACACGCATCCAATAACGACGATGTAGGATGTTAATAAGGAGACAGCTGTTAAGGCGAGGATTGCGTTCAATGCTGCTGTGGATCCGATGTTGATGAGGGAGAGGAGAGAGGTTACCAAGAGGGAGATTAGAACTGCGTTGAGAGGGATGTTCCAGCCTGGGGTGACGTGGGAGAGCCAGGTGTGGCCGGGCATTCCGCGGTCGCGGGCGAAGGACCAGAGTTGGCGGGAGGCGGTGGCGATTTCGGCGATGGCGGAGGATGTGAGGGTTAGGATGAGAATGAGGGTTAGGATTGAGGCGCCGGCGTAGGACTGGGGAGGATGAATGTTAGTTTGTGGTTGATGGGTGTGGTGGTGGTTGGGATGGGCTTACTTGTGTTACGTTGAAGAAGACTTGGATGAATGGGAAGCCGGTTTTGCTTGCGAGGATGCTGTCTACGTCGCCGAGGGTGAAGCACATGGTGACTGCCATGAGGAAGCCGAGGACGCTGTTGAAGCCGAAGGACCAAAGCATGGCTTTCGGTAGGGTTTTGCCGGCATCTTTGACTTCTTCGGCCATGTGTCTGTAGCAACTAGGTTAGCACGCTTGCCTAGAGGGAAGGACATGAGAGGACAGGAATATCTTACACTGCGCAGTCGAATCCAATCAGGGAAATGATCGGAGTGAGTAGGCCAACCATAAAGGATGTGCCATTGGAGTTCCATCCTCCAGCATTCGTGAACTGCGTGAACACATCCTTCGCATTTGCAGTAGGCGCCAATACCCAAAGCACAATAATGATTGCGAAGAGGCCGAGCACATGGAGGATAAGAAGCAAGCCCTCGACCATGGGGAGCTTCTTGGCCAGAACTGTGTTGAAGAGAACAGCAAAGGCGGCCACCGCAATCACAAGAAGGGTTCCGTGCCATCTCTCCGGAACATAAGAGTCGTTGTTGAGAATGATGAGTCCTTGAATAATGGTCCCGGCCAAGTAAGTGATACTCGTGATGGCGCATTGCCAGCCAGTGAAACACAGCCAGCCCATCAGGTACGAGAGAAACTTCTGTGCTGGCTGAGGTGCAAATTCACTGACCCATGCGTACTGGCCACTGGAGGTGGGAGACATGGAGGTCATCTCGGCGATCGACATGTACACAAAGCTGAATCCGAAGACAACCACAATGTAGCCCCAGATCACACCGGCGGTGCCTCCATTTGTCAGGACGGAGGCGATGGTCGTCAGCAACACTTCCCATGTCGCGATGAGTGTGCAGCCGAATCCAAGGATGGACAGGAATTGGAAGTTTCGCTGGATATCTGATCAGCGCGTCTCATTCAGGAGTCATATCAGGCTTCATCAGCACGGAACTGGACACGTTCGCCACTCACCCTCAACTGTTGCACGCGCCCCAGCTGCGACATATCCTTCCTATCCGCCGGCGTCCCTCTCCATTTCTTGGCAACAGCATACTCCGACAGCTCGTAAGCATCTTCTTCTGTACTCTCAAAAGTCATGCGAACTCGTCCATCCTCCTTCGATGGAGGTGAAGAAGATCCATCGCGAACTTGTCCTGCCATGGTGGCCGCGCGATACGCAAAAGGAGAGAAATGGCCGCTGTCTCAAGAAAAGTAATGATGTTCAGGTCTCGTTGCACATGGTGGTCGGAGCGAAGGTCATAGTTCTACAGAACGGAAAACAAGAATGAAAGACCCCTACCGTTTTCGTGTGCTACAGTAAAGTCGCTCTGCGCAGGCGTGGCGTGAAGGATCCGCAGTTTGTCGATCACCCAGAACGGCAGCCGGACAGACGCGCCACTGCGGTTAGCTGATATGGGAGCATGACCTGCAGGGTCGAGTCGAGCTACTCGGTCGGGAAGCAGACGTCGAAGGGAAGGTCGCCGATTGAGCACGCGGAATCGTATACAACTGTCGGCAGATGGCTGGAGGTGCTTCTTGTTGGTCAAGCGAGATGGAGCTGTGGGGACGACTGTGCCGTCGGATTGCCGATGCTCGGGGGAAGGCAGCACATCAGGTTCTCATCAAGTTTGCTTTCTCACTTCTGCCGCATTCGAGCTGATCTGCCCTAAAAGAGCTCACATGTCGTTGCGTGGTTCTGGCATGCCGTTTGGAGGTGACAACGCGGACGACGTGCAGAAGTCCAAAACTCAACTCAAATGGAAGTCGCTCGGCAAGTCTTGGCAACAACGCGACTCAACTTCTGACGACGTCGAAAATTCTTCCATCTGCTCCACGTTACCCATGTTCACTTCATCACGAACGACTGCAAGCGACGTGCCTCTTCTGCTCGAGCGGGTGCGTCGTCCGACCACCGCACGTCCGAATCCCCACAACATTCGACTGCTCGCCCAGTCGCATCCTTCGAAGCCACGCCACACCATGCCGCTGTGGATCTGCACAACAATAGTCGACATTGGTCCAGCTTGCATCCCGTTTCTCCAAGGGCTTTTTCAATAGCCAGAATCGCCACGGAGATTTGTTGTTGCGCTCCTACTCGGCCATGCTCGCGTCGACGAGACATCGTATACGCTCGTAGCGACACGTGCGACCAGAGCTCTCCTCGAAGCAAGAGACGGACGACTTCGTCCGCAATCTTTGCAGCAGAAATACCGAACTTCATTACGCTCCTCCGACCCAACAGCATGGAACATTGCTGATTTGGCATGTTTCATCTGTCAGGAGTGCATTCGGCCAGATTGTTCCTGAAAGTCGGGCGTGCTTATACTCGTTGTACAGCCTAGCTCAAGCCGGACTGCTTCACACACATTGACCTGACAATCTTTTTACGTCTTCACGGCATTCTAGCCTCCGCAACACCTGAAGGCTGGCGTGACTGCTTTCTGTAGTGCCGGTACTCGATACTGTCGAAGGCACTGTGATGGCCCCTGGCTCGGTCACGCGCCGATGCACGAGGTGGCATCCCGTCACTGATCGACCAAAAGCTATGCAATCCTTCGGTCTTCGCGCCTTAGCTTGCATTCGCTAGCACCAACTACCTCGCTTCGAACAAAACTGCCCACTGTCCACGCTGCTGCACGAGCACTCCACGTTGCTGACGATGCACCTGCAACATCTTTGCGCGCTCGCAGCCATGTAAGCGTGCGACTCTTTTCTACTGTCGCACAAAGCATCATTCATACAGCGTGTTGGCGAGCTTCCCACACGCAACCCGCTTCCGCGGGCGCCTATGCAACCCGTAATCAATGTCGACGCCTTCACCAACTCCGTTACCTGATGGCTACAAGCCTGCAGCGGCATTACTCGACGCGGACCACCGTGGTTCTTGGATATACATCACGAATGGATTTGGACTTGTCGTGGTACTCATCGCATTCGCTATTCGAACTTGGATCAGGCTGAAGGTCAGCCCACCTTTCCGATACGATGATATTACTCTGGCGGGAGCAACCGTGCTCTCAATAGTTCAAGCTGGAGTTGTGTTTGCGCAAGTTCACAGCGGGTTTGGTACTGCGATTCGACTTCTCAGCGATGCTGCAATCGATCGGGTGCAGAAGGTGAGCTTGAAGACGACATCTCCTGTGGAAAAACAAGGACGCGGCTGATAACGAGGAGCTCGGTCTCGCTGCAGTCATCCTTTATGTCTTCACCATCTACGCCAGCAAGGCGTCAGTCGTGCTGCTCTTTGCGCGAATCTCAGCAGACCGATTCCACAAAGCTGTGGCACGAGGCCTACTCGCATCCTGCCTGGTCTTCGGCATTGTCTCCGCATTTCTGGTAGCCCTCAAGTGCGATCTGTCTGCACCATGGAGAGTCTACGGCCAACAGTGCTCCAGCTTGTTCGCACGAGCAACAGCGGTGGCAGTATTCGACATCGTCACAGAGCTCATTTTGTTCGGAATCAGCCTGCTGCTGGTCTGGAATCTGCAGACTTCACTCAAGAATAAGAGCCGCGTGGTATTTGCGTTTGGAACTCGATTGCCGTGAGTCTAAACTTACCCAGGAGCATTCTCCGGATATATCTCGAATGCCACAGGCAGAATCGAACGAAATTGAGCTAACAACTCGAACAGTCTAATCGCAGTCATAATCCTTCGTCTGGTCTATCTCCGAGATCTTGAAGACACCGACGACCCCACCCTCCAAGGCACAATAACCATAGTTCTCACCCAACTCGAAATCTTCTACGGCATAATGGCAGCCACAATTCCGTGCCTTCGCCCCTTCCTAGCAGGTTTCATCACCAACTACGGCGCCATGGGCCGCGAAACAGTCATGGGTGGCTCCCATATCGGCGGCGCAAGCCGCAAAGACCCCGGAGAATCTAAAGGCAGCAGCTTCGCAATGTCTGCTATCACTTCCAAAGACCGAGGGAAACGAGCATCGGCTATGAAAGAGAAGCTGACGAAGTCTGCGAATCGCGATACGATTGCTGGGTCTTCTCCTATTGAAGATGAGAGTTTTCGGCCGGATAAGGGGAGTAATGATACGCAAGTGAGAGGGGGGTTTGATGCGAGGAGTATCGCGAGTGATGAGTCGACGAAGATGATTATTAAAAAGCAGACACAGTTTCATGTGGGGAGGGAGCGTGGGACGGCAGAGTCTTTGAATGAGTTGGAGAGAGAATCGATTGCCATAGCGAGGTAGTGTCCGCCTTTGAGCTGAGATACGCGAACGGAATTACAGAACGTGAGTCTCAGTATGCTATTTTCGACTTGATCTTTCACATGCGCACAACAGATGTCAAATGCCTGACTGGGCATAGTCGTTTTGTTCATGGGCAGAAAACCACTGAAGTGAGCATTCACTTCACTTCTTTCTGAAGGCATAACCTTGGTACTCGACCACGACCGCGTCTATGAACACACCACTACCTCCGATCGTCCACACTCCCTCATGAACCATGGCACCCATACCACGTCACACATACAATCCTTTCCCATTCGAGAGACCTGCCACCTCCCGTAACAACAAGAAAGTCGCCTCCCGCAATGATCCTGTCGCCTCTGACAGTGATCCTGTCACCTCCCGTAACCACAAACTTGTCGACGCCTCCAACAACACCACACGCCAGAAGTCCAACGTCCACACACCACGTCCCGCACTTCCCTCTGGGAACCTTCGACCCACAGGCGCGTACCCAGGCCAATTCGCCCCTCTCACCAAACGCACCTCTCTTCCGCCGCCAGGCGAGATGACCCAGCACGCGGAAGAGAATCTGCGAGCTGCAGAGACGAGGGAGGCGAGGAGAGCGGCTGAGAGGAAAGCGGAGAGGAAGGCGAGGAAGGAGACGAAGAAGCAGATATCGGAAGAAGTGAAAAGCAAAGATGCCGAGAACGATGGCAAAGGCGGCGATGAGGCTGAGGGTCAAAGCAAGGATGGGATCGTTGAACAAGAAGAGAAGAGAGTTGCTGCGGATAAAGAAAAGAAGAAACGCAAGGCAAAGACACCGAAGACTCCCGGTTTGATTCAAGTCTTGGAGATGCAGAGTCGGGTGGCGGGATATGAGGTATGTCTTTCTTGCATATCATGATACTTCTGGGATCTGATCGACTGAGTTGAGACTTACATTATTACAGGTCAGCAAAACAGGAGAACTGACATACATACCTTTCACCTCGCGCTTCGTCTCGATGAAAGTTCAGCGGAGCCGGCGGCAGCGGCAACAGGAAGCTGAAGCCCCGGAAAATGCTGAGAGCGAGACACTCGGGCAAAACGAGAAGTCCTCTCAAAGAGGCGAAGACAAGAAGAAAACCATCTTCCCATTCCTAAAGCCCGAAACTGTCAAAATCCGCATCTACAAGCTCCTCGTGGTCGAGACAAAGCTTTGTATCTGGCCAGCAACCAAAGCAGGCCGAGAGCAGCCTGACATCTCGATGGTGTGCAAAGAAATTCGAAGAGCTGTTCTTCCGATCTACTATGGCGAGAACACATTCGCGGTGGATATTGCTCCATCCAACGCGCCAGCTGTGGTCAAGAAGACAGGCTCCGCGCCAGCCAGAGAACCATTGACGGGACTTGTTGCGGTGCAGAAGTGGGCTGAGGTCTTGAGTACCAAGCACAATGAGGGTGGGAAGTGGTTCGGTATGGTGAGGAATTGGTGCTTCAGTTATCGCGATCCTTTAGCTGGATTTGGCGGTCGGGGAACTGTCCCTGGCACAGTGGAGGGCAAGCGGGACTTCATCGTGAATGTGCAGGTCAGCACAAAGCGCGACAGCACAGTCGATGATGGCGAGGCAGGCGGCGTACGCCAAAGCGCTCGCGCTGGTCCCATTGTTGAGGTACATCGCGAAGCTGCGTGCATCATGCCAGGATGGAGCGATTGTGGCAGATGCATGGTTCAGACGACTCCTGAGATTCTGGTGGTGGCAATCCAAAACTGGTTGCGAAGTGATCGCAAGGCCTCCGAGGGTCTTGAAGAGCTTGTGCTGGAGATGAGGAAGATGGTCGATGGACTTCCGGCAGCTTGCTGCACAAGGACGCCGCCCAACGGTGAGCGTCCAGTTCTTCTTCCATGAGAGACTCCAGCATATGGGCAAAGCCTTGCGTCCTTCGGCCTCGATGGCGCTTCTATCGCCTGCAGTAGCCACACCTTTGCGTCCTGTAGCCAGCACATGTAGACATTTGCAAAAAGACTTTCCCCTCTCAACCCACAACCTCCCTCAACGCCTTCTTGACCTCCACCCTCTGCCTCTCCTCCTCCCACCCCTCCCCATCAGCCCTAACAAGCAACCTTCCAATCGCAACCGTCTCCCTCACACTCCCACTATCCACCCAAACTCTCCCATTCCTCCCCACCGCAACCTCGAATTTCAGCTTCTCTCCCACAACATCCAGCACCACAACTCCACCCTTTTTCCCACCCAACATCAACCTCCTGGCAAACCCCGCACTAACATCAAACACCATCCCTCCAGTCAAAGGCCCCATCCCCTCTCCCTTTCCAGTATTCGAATTCACGCATTCGATCTCCGTATCATCCCATTTATTCACTTTCGATACACGCGCATAGACTAAATCACCACTCTTCAATTGTGGTCGGGTTTTTTTACTCGCGCCTTCGAAGGAGAGTTGGCCGAGTAAGGCGTAAGGTGTGTGGGGTGTCAGAGAGCAGTGGTAGGTATCTGTACTGCTGTGGTGGATTTGAGCGATGACGAGATCGTTCACGGCGGGGAGATAGCGGCCATTGGAGTGTTCGAGCCAGAGGGCGGATTTTTTGTGGTCGACTTGGAGGGTGCCGGCGCTGGTGGAGAGGAGGGTTGAAGGTGGGAGGTGTCGGAGGTGAGGGCCGAGGGTGAGGGTGCCTTTCTTTGATTTTGGAAGGAGTTCGGAGGGTATGGGGTCTCCTGGAAGGAGAATTGTCGAGGTCATTGCTATGTCCTTGCAAACAGATGGTGATGTCTTCTGCTCAAGATTGTTCTTGATAGCTCATGTTGATAGGCTGGTTAGGGCTTCGGGACACCGAGCCGAAGTTTCCGACCAGGGTCTGTACGTTTTTTTGGATTTGTTGCGACAACTTGCGGGAGGAGAGCAGATCGCTTCTTTTTGACATCTCAAACACTCGTTGCACACCCGTCAAAATGAGCGCAGACAACGGAGCATCTGCCACTGAGCAGGAGAACTCCCGCAATGTCATCGGTATCTCCTTTGGCAACTCGTACTCCAGCATCGCCTACACAAACGCTGCAGATGGAAAGGCTGAGGTGATTGGTATGCTGAGACATTTCCCACCTGCTGCATGACATGCCGTACTGACTCTCTACTACAGCCGATCCTGATGGAGATCGTCAAATTCCTACTGTTCTCTCATACGTTGCCGGCGAAGAGTTCCACGGTGCACAGGCAAAGGCCCAGATTGTCCGAAACCCACGCAACACCATTGCCTTTTTCAGAGATTTCCTCGGAAAGTCCTTCAAGGAGATCGACCCATCAGCGAACCACTCCAGCGCACACCCGATCGAGCACGACGGCGGAAAGACAGCAGCATTCCAGGTGCAAGAGAAGGAAGTCGCAGAGGGCGAGGAAGGTGAAAAGAGCACATTGAGTGTCAGCGAAGTTGCAACAAGACACATCAGGCGGTTAGCACAGGCTGCTGGAGACTACTTGGGCAAGCAGATCAACGCTGCTGTCATCACTGTTCCTTCAGACTTCACCGATGCTCAGAAGGAGGCTTTGACGGTGGCTGCGAAGAATGCTGGTATCGAGGTGCTGCAGTACATCCCAGAACCTGTTGCTGCTCTTCTGGCATACGACGCCAAGATCCAGTCTGCAGGCGAGTCAAACCCAGCACAACAAGACAAGGTTGTCGTTGTTGCAGATCTTGGAGGCACCCGATCAGACATTGCTGTTCTTGCCAGCCGAAATGGCATATACACCACTCTCGCGACTGCGCACGACTACGAATTTGGAGGTGCCAGCTTGGACAAGGTGTTGATTGAGTACGCTGCAAAGGAGTTCTTGAAGAAGAACAAGAATGCCAAGGACCCCAGGACAAACGAGCGCAGCTTGTCAAAGCTCACACTGGAAGCTGAAGCCGTGAAGAAGGCACTCAGTATTGGACAGTCCGCCAACTTCTCCATTGAGAGCTTGATCGACGGCATCGACTTCACACTCACAGTCAACCGTACACGATTTGAACTGCTCGCAAACAAGATCTTCGCCTCATTCACCCGTCTTATTCAAGGTGCAGTCCAGAAGGCCGACCTCGATATCCTGGACGTGGACCAGATCCTCCTCTCTGGCGGTACCTCACATATCCCAAAGATCGCCTCAAACCTGCAGAGCGCTTTCCCAGAGACTACTGTCGTGGTTGCACCAAGCACCACACCATCTGCAGTTAACCCATCTGAGCTCACCGCACGTGGAGCTGCCATCCAGGCATCGCTCATCTCAGAGTTTGAGCCCGCCGACGTCAAGGAGAACACAGAAGCCGTTGTGACGGTGACGCCCCACCTTCAGAACGCCATCGGTATTGTGTCCGGTGACGATCAGTTCTCCGTCATTGTTCCCGCAGACACTCCTGCTCCTGCACGGAGAACTGCACTCATTCCCGTCCCACAAGGTGGTGATGTGCTCGTCAAGCTCGCAGAGGGCGTGTCAGAAATCAAGGTCACGCAAGAAGAGAAGCCAGCCACGAACGGCAAGAAGGATGACGATGAGGATGACAGCGACGAGGACGATTCCGATGACGAGCCCGAGGAGATCCGCGAGAAGGTCTACAAGACTGGCAAGCCCCTTGCCGAGTTCGCCATCAAGGGCGTGAAAGCCAAGGGCCAAGTCGAGGTGCAGATCAACATCGCGGCGGACCTGACACTGACCATCGTGGCGAAGGAGAAGGGCGGGAAAGGAGGTGTTCGCGGCGTGATCGAGGCGGGCAAGGCGACGAGCAACGGCTCCGCTTAGAAGGCGAAAGTTGCGATTCGACGCGGATCTGTTTGGAGTATGCAATGATGATGACTTCGGGAGGATAGAGAAAGCGGAAATGCATCGCAGCGACGAAAGGCATGGAGTTGCTACAGATAGAGGCGAATATTGAAAGCGTGATTCTTGTTCCTTCCTTGAGCAGATGCGTCACGCGAGTTCCACTTCACAACGCTCCTGCTTCACTTGGCGCGTCTCGTTCGCGCGGATTTCACTAGCGCGTTCTGGTGCCTGTGCGCTCTTTCGTCTGAACCACTTCAGCAGGCTCGCGGACGTGAGTCCCGACGAGACTTCGGAAGCACTACTGAGGCAAAGACGACTTCCATGCGCTGACCTCTCCCCGGAGCAACTCGCACCACGCCATGGCAGAAGTTGGCAATCCCATCGACTCAGTGGCTGCACCCGCGGCACAAGTCACAGGCAATACGGGCGGGATGATGGCGAACGTCTTATCACAAGCGGGCGGAGATCAGGGAGTGCTCGATCCAGGCAGCGCCCTCCTGCAATCCGCTTCGGGTCAAGAAGCAAGTGGAACTCAGAAGGCCGCATCTGCCGAGACCATCGACGAAGCCGATGAAGCTCGTCCGGCAGGAAGCTTCTGATATCTTCTACGGAGAGAATGTGGCGAGGTGCAGATTCGCGGTCCAAGGCATGAGTGTACAGTCTTCCTCATTGTTGGGGCGAGAGCTCTTGCAGACTCGTGAATTTGACACCTACCCGTCGCACTTGCTCCGCGTGCGTCGACTCGAAGTTCATTTGTATTACAGGGAGAGTACTGTTTCTGACACGCATTTTCTGCTCAACACATTCTTGATCAAACTCGCCTCCTTCCTGATGGACAACCACTCGGTGAAGCATCTCACGATCGTTGTGGATATTGATGAGCAAGTCGAAGAATCCGACTACGCTACCATCTTGTATCCGCTTCGACGATTGCGCGGCATTCACGACGTTCAATTTCGCGGCAGTATCCCAGATAAATATCGGATCCGGCTGATTGATGACATGAGGAGCTCCAAGCCGGCATACAATACTCTGCGACAAATGCGATTACTTCTGGAGGAATCATCCCAGCATATTGAGCTACTCGAATCTCTCACTGTGCAGGAGTTTGAGTGTGATTGTGGTGAATGTCCAAGGACCGGCGACAGATCGGAGCGATTGTGCGAGCTACGACGGCTTCGTGAGTCAGTGGAAGAGTCGGAAGTAGTGGGCTTCTTGTCGGTTTCAGAGGAGACAAATCTGCAAGCGAAACTTGGCCAGCTCAAAGATGCCCTCGATGAGTGCAGCGTTGAACAGTTGAAGAGGCTTTTTGAAAAGATTGAAGCGGCGGAGAAGGCTAGAAAAGCGGCTACTGACGATCCCTCCGTCCTTGATCAGGCGAACTCACGTGGTGTTCAGGACGACATAGATGAGGGATATGATTGGTCAGACATTGACTAGCTGTCTAAATACTTTACGGCGCTGGCACCATTCCCGCTGGCAAGCCTTTGCCTTCCTGGTTGCTGTTAGCATGCGTGCGACATTGCATGGATGGCAACTCACCTTTACACCACCCTTCCATTTCGACTCGATTTTCTCCCACTCGATTTCGCCAAGTGTCTTCGTGCGAAGGACATTTGCCTTGAAGCTCGACAACTTCGGCAACTTCTCGGAGAGCCGATTCATGTCGAAGACGTCGGGGAATGTCTTTGCGAGCGTCTGTTTGCGAGGATTTTGGACCTCTGCGAGTGTGTTAGAAGTATGTTCGACGTTCGGTATTGGCAAGCGGAGAGTGCGGGTTTCCGATTGACAGTCAATCTGTAGACTGCACGTAGATACGCAGCATGCAGCGCACGAAAGTTGTGATGAAATGCACTCACCCATGAAGAACCTCAGACTGGGGTTGGCCACGATTTCCACCTGCTCCAGATCTTTGCACAGCTCCATCGCATTCAGCAAGTCTTTCTTCGTTTCCTCGCCGGGCTCGATTTCTGCTGTTAGACTCATCACCATGAGACCCTTTTGCTTGTCTAGCACCTTGCGAATCTGCTCTGGCGTCAAGGTATACAGTGTGGTGTTCAATGCACGAAGTCCCTACAATTTTCATGTCAGCTTCACAAAGTCACGTAGCATAACTGTCTCAGAACGCGTGTATCTCACCCTCGGCACCTGCTCCCCTTCCGTGAGTGCCTCAATCAACTCATTCGCCAAAGTCTTATTAAAAGCCATAATCCCCTCCTTATCCGCCGCCCCCGCAATGACAGTCGGATCCTGCTCATCCTCCTCCTTACTAACATGTTCTGGCTCCGCAAGATTGAACGAACAAGAAATCAACCCGGGCCCAATAAGCAAAGGCAACTCCGTCGCCTGAATCTTCCCCATAAAATCCTCATCTTCATGACGAAAAGTATAATTCACTTCCAAAAACATCAACCCCCTCCTGGCATGACTCTCATCTTCCGAGCCATCGTTATACTTCAGCCATTTCGCCGCTCGTTCGAAGAAGTGTGGTTTGGCGAAGACGTCGAGGAGGTGGAGAGCTCGTAGGTTTCGTGACTTTTTGAAGAATTCTATGGCGTCTTGTTGGGTTTCCGGGGTGATTCCGGCGAAGAGTTGGGAGTAGATTACGAGGCTTTTGAGGTTGGGGAGGCGGTCGGCGAGGGTGGAGAGGAAGCCTTTGGGGTAGCCCATGCTGAAGAGTTCGAGGGTGAGGGATTCGATCGACGTGGGGATTGTGGTGGGGATGGTCCATGGTCGTTGGAGGATTTCTTGGTATTCGTCGACTTTGAGGTCGCTGGTGAGCGTAAGAGCTTGGAGGCCGCGGGCTTCGGGTGGGAAGGAGGGGATATTGAAGTCTGTGAGAGGGATTTGGGCGCCTTGGGCAGCGGATGGGTCGACAGGTTGCTGTTGCTGGGCAGGCGCGGATTGAGGATCCGGGAGGCTCTGAGGTTGTTGTTGGACTTCGGTAGCCATGGTGAAAGCTGCGCTCTAGAGGTCTATGGATAGTATACAATGCAGATGCTGAGAGAAATGTAGAGAGAGGAAAGCAGGTGAGAAATGTGAGGTGAGGAAGAATACTACCTGGTATTCATCTGATCCTACAACATCCGCTCGCGACAACCAAGATGAGGGGTACGACGAAGCAGCTCGCCGCTCTTCGAGCTGTTTCCATTCGTGTGGACCTGGTATCCTGGCATACCGGGACATGGCTCCCCTCTTTGTCGCCCGTCAGATGCGGAGGGGTCGAATGTGGGGAGAGGACAGGGTTCGTGCAGGAGGATGTGAAGTTGACGAATGGGCACTAGGCTCGATTGGAGTGGTTGCGGTCATCTGCGGAAGTCCTCACGCTGTGCGGCGTCGAGTCCGATGGACTAACAGACATCGTCCATCTTGGCCGTGTCTCGTCTTTCCAATCTTCCGAAAGGTGTAATCCGGATGTGCCGTCGCATCGAGTGCTGCAGTGAGGTGAGTTTGCCTGAGACAGGCCACCGCTTCCGCCACTGAGCGGAGAGAGATGTCTCACGGCGCTCATGCAAGGATGCCTTACCCGTCGACGAGCATATTCCGACTTCATGCTGTCCAAATCCTGGTCGCAAACACAAGAAAGCAACATATGTCGATGATTTGATGACTCTTTTGGCGCACTCTTTGATGATTGATCGCATCTTGGTGGCCGTCCGAATAAGCGGCTGAAGGGTCGGTACACGAGTCAGGCCAATGTCCATCTACAACCCTTAGGGTTACATGAGCACAAAGTCGTGAGGCGATCACCATGCTGCGACAACGAGGTTTGGGATCTTGATAACCTCCAATCCGATTGAGAATGGTAACAAAAGGAAGTCTGAAAAGCCTCGGAGCCGTAGCTGCTGTCTTGCATTTGGTGTGGTGAATCTGCTTGATTCCTGCCATCTCCAAAATGCTTGAGATTTGGAAAGTGACACTGCCTATGCAGCAACTACCTTAAGACCTTCCGCCACGAAAGAATACGAGACCACAAGAATATTATTATCAACACTCTTCCCTACCCGTATACCTGCAAAGGCTACATCTCCCGCCAGATTCGATGCAACAATGCCAACAGATGGCCGCCTCAAAGACTCCCGACGATACAGCAGCGAGAGCTGCCTACGTCGACCGCAACCGTGCCAGCTGGTCATCTCGCGAGTGCGCACACGATACGGACGCCGCGCATCTTTGCTTCCTGTATCGCGTGTCCGCCATCGCACAGCCGTCGCATGTCCCTTTCGCACATCGCAGCCAATACTCAGTCCTCGCGCAGAACGCTGTCACCGCCTCGGTACGTGATTGCTGCGGTCGATCGAAAGCGCATCTTTGTGCTGCAGAGCAGACGACAAGCAAGCGTCTGCCTCTGAGCGCGCGATGGCTTTCGAAGGGAAAGGGGTGGCAAGGAGGCGGCCCTACAGTGGTGCGGACAATGACTGGAGCCAGCACCCCAGGAGCGTCACAGAGGGCAGCAAGACAGCGAAGTCAGCATGAAGATGAAGGAGCGCGCGAGTATTATGCGACGTGACCAGTGGCGTGGACATCGTACGGCTCGAGGTCTTCGGGGGCATGGTTGTGTACGCAGGATGGGTAGTATACGAGATAGGAGTTAAATGCATCGCTACATACATGTGCTATGGGTGTCAACTGCAGCACACATATTACTCTGATAGTAGAGGCACGAGAGCGCACGTTACATGGTGGTAAGTGGTCGACTGTGCACACATGGAAGACTTGCGACCGTAGACTTGGCGTTATGCATTCATGCGACCGTGAGACTGCGAGTGTGATGGTGCAGAACTTCACGGCCAAACAAGCAGCGTACTTTGACGAGATTGATGATATATTATCTAAGATGCTACGATAGTTGTGCTATCTGTGCTACGTGAACATTGCCCTGACGTGTCCAGTCGGGGTTGAGCGAGCGTGTGCGGACGTCGAGACTTTGCGACCGTGAGCAGCTGTGTTTGGAGGACGCAGCAACTTCGAAACACACCAATTGACTACGCATCGAGCGACTGCCCTGCTGAGACGACCACTGCAAGAGACTGACGTCTCGATCGTGCAGCGAGCAGCGTCATCTTTGCACATATGCCTATGCTGCATCTCGATTGCAGATGTCATCGCTCGAATGCTGCAGGATGCTACGCACCACGTATCACCAGTCGTGCTGCCAATAAGAATGGAGGATCACTGCGAGCACTGCAGAGACGTATCACTGATCGTACTGCCAATGAGAATGGAGGATCAGTCCTTTGCTTCCAGCAGCTTCTGCAGCGAGTGATCCTCCAACCTCCTTCGGATCGAAGTTCGGTTTGCGCGCCAGAAATTTGGTCAAGCCAAAGCAAACATCGTACGACGTGTGCTGTTTCTCTGCGGTTCTCTGCGGCAGTTGCGGAGGAGGTTGGGAGAAGGGACTTTGTGAAGTCCTGCGTGACCTGCTTGACTTGCTGCAGCCACTCAGAAGCCCGCTGATATGACCACCAAGTTCGCTTCCGCGGTTCGGGTGAAAGCTGGCAAACGATATATATATCACGTCCTCGCCCACCTTGTTCCTCGACTCTTTTGCAACTCATATCTTTACCATTTCGAAGCCTTTGGAGTCCAGGAGAATGCTGGAGCGAGAATCCTCGATGCGACTTGTTCGGCCGTCGGCTTTTGGGGATGGAATTCGAGCGGCGTTTCGATGTGTCGCTTCGGCTGGACGTCTATACCGCGTTGCCCTCCTAACCTTTGGCTTTGCACTCTACCACGGCGAACATGGAAAATGTCAGATTTCCCAGCCCCCCAAGGAAGTTCGGTACGCGTTGATTCTGTGCTCGTTTGCAAGCATAAGTACTGCCCTTTCTTCTCCCCCAATTCTCTTCCTTTTCTCTTCACACACGGCGGTCATCAATTGGTATTACTCCCCAATTAACAACTAGTCGACGATTGTTGCTCATACAACTCTTCAATCAAAACAAACATCAGCATGCAGCTTTGCGGTTTGTCCCTTCCGAGGGTGTCCTTCTCTCGCCTTTGGCGTAAGAAGGACTGCAACCAGAACTACGCAGCTTCTTTGAAGCTTGGGTCTTACGACTTGACTCTGCCCTGCGAGTGCGTACGCTTTTGGGACGCGGACGAGGTGGGCGCTCTTCCGAACAGCGTGTCCAGGTTCACCGGCAGTAACTATACCCTCTCCATCCCCATCATCCTCACCGTGCCACCACAGGGCGAAACGTACTAACGTCTCACAGGTATGAGGCCGCATGAGCTGGTTCGCTATACTTACGGCGAGACTTGTTCTCAATGTAAGGGGGAGCAGCCTGCACGCATCGTTAGATGTGAACGCAGGATGCAGTGACTTGTGGCGTCTTCGGATGCCCTTTCACGCTAAATCTCAAACTGCATGTGCCTTTTGATCATGCAGGGGAAGCTCTGGCTGCCGGTCGACATACAGACTCAGGCGGCTGAGCAGACGTTCCTTCGGGGCGTCGCGCATCAATACAACTTCGAGAGGTCTCAAGGCCAAATCGTTGTTGGGTAAGCCCTCTGGCGTCTTCGGATGCCGAGGGCATGGTCCTGGCTGGCTTCGGCCGCGCCGGTGACCAGCTGCGCAAACGAGTCTGCACCTTCACGCGGTGCGCGGCGTCAGTAGCGGTCAGAGTCACGAAAGTGACACCTGGCGTCAGCGAAGCCGAGACAGACTCACCCGACCGACGACGACCTCCTCCTCCTCGACCGCCCTCCTCGACCGCCCTCCTCCATCGTCCTCCTCCTCGACCCGCCTCCTCCGCCGTCCTCCTCCTCGATCCACCTCCTCCGCCGTCCTCCTCATCCGCCGTCCTCCTCCTTCGTGCGTTCTCCTCACCGCCGTCGCTCCATCCTACCTCGACCGCCCTTCGCTCCCTCGTCGCCCTGTCCCTTCGCTCAGCTTGGCACCGGCCAGCTGTACTTGTAGTTAGTTCTCTCAGATAGCTGTACAATGTTACTGCTGTCCACCATTCTCTGCTTCGCAATGTGCCAGTCTTTTGAATGTTGTGCCTGCTCTCATCTTGTATCTCACCGTGACTGAGCCCATCACTGCCGCCACGTGTTCCCCTGCTGGCCTCTAGGTAGCCATCTGCCATCTTGAGAGGTGACAACTTTGTCTTGTCACCACGCGGTATCTCCATCTCATTGTCCTCATCTCTGCCGCCGAGTGTAGCTCTACCGTCCTCGTGGTCGCAGTTCTGGCGTCGTGGGACGTGTCTCTCGAGGCCGTCTCGTCGCGTGTCTCGCCATCATGGTCCTGGTCGCTGCTGCCAGGTGCCCCTCTGCTGGCCTCTAGCTAGCGATCTGCCATCCTGAGAGGTGGCCACTTCGTCTTGTCATCACGCCGTATCTCCATCTCATTGTACTCATCTCTGCCGCCGATTGTAGCTTTGCTGAACTCGTGGTCGCTGTCTGGCAGCTTGAGTCGTGTCTCTCGAGGAAGCGTCGTCGCGTGTCTCGCCGTCACTGTGCTGAGCGCTGCTGCCAGGTGTCCCGATGGCGAACTCATGGTCGTAGTCTGTTATCGTGAGAGTCGAAGCGTGCATGTTCTCACCTCTTGCCACGCGTCGTCCGCCACTGTCACTGCCCTTGTCACTGCTGCCTGTCTGCCCCTGCCATGCTCACAGTTCCCCTCGGTCATCGTAAGATGCGCCTGTCCGTCATCGTCAGTGCAAGCATACCAGAGCCTCGCCCCCGATATTTCTTTCCCTTCTCTCTTTGTACACCCACGACCAGCCAGTTGATATTACTCCTCAACTAACAGCAAGTCGACGATCATATCTCATACAACAATAAGATCAAAACAAACGCCAGCATGCTGCGACTTGTGCCTCACCACCACGCCCTCGATCCGCCAGCCGTCACATCATCGGCCACCAGGACCACCACTTGCTACGCGCTCCGTCGCAACGGCCAGCGTCACAGGCGTGAGGCTCTTCCACAGGCTCGACCGTTGTATATCATACAACTATACAATCAAAACAAACAACAGGATGATTTGGCTTCTGTCTCACCGCCACTGCCATATTCCCGACTGCCTGCCGTGCTCACAGTTCCCTTTGAGCATCGTGAGACGCGTCTGTCTGCCATCGTGTTGGTGTTCCTCCCCAGCTCACAACCAGTCGACGACTCTTGCTCATACAACACTTGAGTCAAAACAAACATCAGCATGCTTTGCGGTCGCGTTAGTGTTGCTCCCCAGCTCACAACTAGTGGACGATTCTTGCTCATACAACTCTTGAATCAAAACAAACACCAGCATGTTTTGCAATTGTGGCTCACCGCCTCCGCCCTCATTCCCACCGCCACATCTACCGCTGCGGTGCTCATCTGGGAATCGTGGGACGCGACTCACTCCATGGGTCGTCACATCATCGTGGAAGAAGGGCTGCAACCAGAACTACGCAGCGTCTTTGAGGCTGGGGTTTTCCACTCCCGACTCACCACCGTCATCGCTCACTAGACCTAATACGTGCCTTCGCTCACGCTTCTCGAGACACGTGCCTCAGCCGGCATGTCTGGGCAGATTCACCCCACTGGACGATCTTATCAGCGCCCGCCGCGGAATCTCTTGGAGCGACTCGTTTGCGCGAATGGACGTCCGAGAGTGAGCGGAACTCGCGAGATTCCAGTCAAGACACGCCAGTGATCGCACGGTTGGAGAGCATGGCACTGAGAAGAGCCTTTGGGAAGATCTACTTCGGCACAACATTCACTTCGAGCTTGTGTGCAGAGAGTGGACGAGGATTCCAGGAGAAGGTATTGTTGGCGCTGGGGTAAGCCCTGCGAAATGGCCGAATGTCTTGCGCGGACTAAGTACGCTCAGGTGGCAGCATGATCAATGTAGACGTACGGCGCACACCGGGGAACTTCCACCTGGAAGACAGTGCCCGTCAGAAGCTGGCGAGCTGGTAGTGGATGTGTGCTCGGGGGCATAGATTGCCGATGGTGGTGGGCGAGGCCTCAGTAAGCGCTGGATGTCTTTTTGAGACAAGACAGATCCTTGGACTTGCGACATTGTGATATTTGATCGCTGAGCGGCACTTTGCCAGTAAGCTACGCGTCGTGGCCTCGCGCAGGTGTTCCGTGCAAGGCTGCTTTCTTCATACAGAGCTCAGGAGATCTTGACCAGACTTCTTCATTTCCCTGCCGTCGGCTCCTCTAGTTGTCGAGCCTCTTCACCTATCAATCTCGCTGGGTCTGGAGACGATGAGGAGCATGTCACTCCAACCCGTGGCCGCACTCAGCGTAAATTTGCCGTGGACGGTCGCATCCCCCGCCGCCGCGGCTGTCGCTCTTCTTCGACTGCCCATCCCTCCGGAAGCCAACTTAGCCAGGATCTTGCCAAATCCCTTGTCTTTTCACTTTCCACACGACGGTCATCAGTTGATATTACTCCTCAACCAACAGCAAGTCGTCAACCAACAGCAAGTCGTCGATTGTGATTTACAACTTCTCAGCCAAAGCAAACGACAGCGTGCTTTGCGGCTTGTGTCTCGCCGCCACCGGACTTATTCCCGTCGCGCTCACATTTCTCGACAGTTCTCATTTGTCGCCGTGAGACGCATTTGTCTGCCATCGTGCTGGTATTACTTCCTAGCCCACAGTCGAGCCCTTCGATCAGAAACAATCGTCAGTACGGTTTGCGGTTTCGTGTTGGTGTTACTGCCCAGATCACGATGAGAGGACGACTGTTCCTCATAAAACTCTGGGAGTCTCTCTGTCATCGCCCTCGTCCCTTCCGCCACATCTACCACTGCCGTGCTGTTGTTATCAGTCTGTCCTCTGAGGATCATGAGACGCGTCTCACTTCGTCTGCTGTCTCATCATCGTGAACGAAGGACTGCATCCAAAACTGCATCGCTTCTCTGAAGCTGAGGTCTTCAAAACGACCTTGCGGATGCCATGAGTACCATTGCGTCGTAAGGCGTTCTCTGCTGTATGCTGCGCCGCCATTGTCAGAGTCACAGGTGTGAGGCTCTTTCACGCGCGCGTTTTCTCCTCATCTCGACGCATTCTTGCACCTTCATTCACGGCTCGCCGCCGCCACATGCTCCGCTGCCGATCTCAAGGTTATAACCTGCCGTCGTGAAACCGAGGCTTACGTCTATGGCTGCCCCGGCCGTCACAACGTCACACCACTACGATGTCGCCTTACCAGCTGAACGCTCGACCTCCACCGCCAGATGGTTGCACGAGAGGTCTCTCCACGAGCACGCCTAGCTCTGACCACGTCCCGTGTGTCCTCACGACCCACCGCCGGACCCGGCCCATACGATTGGTCGATGCCCTCGCTCACGCTTTCTAAAACACGCGCCTCGCTGTACTCCCTCAGAGTCACAACACTGAGCCATTCTTCCAGCGCCTGCTGTGTTTACTCATCATCGACGTCCCTCGATCAGCTGCTGCGCAATGGCAGTCAGCATGACAGCGAGCGATGTGCGCTTGTTGCGAGCACTCCGCCGGAAATAACGGTTGCTGGATCCGGCCAGGACGGAGCTTGTACTTGTTGCACCAGGAAAGCTCACGCAAATTCACGGACCGCCGTGTCTCCTCAAGATTGATCATCGGAGGTCTATCCGCGAGCGCGCTCACCTTTTACCGCGACGCGTGCATCCATGTCTCGCCGCTGTCAGAGCTCCAGACGGCGGCTGTTTCGCGCGCTCGCTCATGCTTTGCTGAGACACGCGCCTTACCGCCCTCTCTATGCGCAGATCCTCGCCACTTCGCCATCCTGACGCCGTGCGACGGGCTTCACAGACCAACGCGTTTGCTCGAGAGCGATCCATGGCGCTGAAAAGAACTTGTAACAAGACGCCCCTTGGTGCAGTGCTCGTCCCGAGATTGTGAACTGGGATTGGAGATGGCCTTCAGGGGAAGATGAGGCGTAGATCAGAGTTGGTTGCCTATGGGATTGGACATAGTCCGGACAGGTTCTTGAATCTTGGACATTGGGAGTACTTGGTCGAAGAGCAGCTCTTGACCGATGAACTTGGCGTGGTAACGGGATGTTGGCTAGTTGTGCGCAGCTAGTCTCTCCGTATCAACACCGGGAAGCTGAGACCGGGCGCTCCCATCGTGCGCTGATTGTCGAAGCCATCATACGGAGTCAGTCCCATCTCTTGCACTTCATTGTCATGGACCGGTCTTCTCAGAGCGTCCCGACTATGCCAAAGGCTGTGGGAGCGGCATCAGCCTTGCGCTTTTGATTCAGACTGGCTTCATGCTGGAATAGTGGACCAGGAAAGTCGCGGATAGTCGATACACGAGGAATAAGCGCCAAGTATGCTGTCAAGTCCTCAAGTAGTTGCTGCGCGTACCAGCACAATCCTCCTCAAGCTCGTGATAATCGACATGCCAGTTCCTCCTCTTCACCCCTGAGTTATGACTCTCATTCAGCCGGCATCCTGTCCTCCGGTCCCGAGCTGCTGCCATCTCCTAGCTCAAGAGGACCGTGAATCGGCCCTTGTTGTCATAACTAGTAGGCCGTGGCTCCCTTGTCGTCGGAATTAATGCTTCGCAAAACCCCTTGGCGGAGGAGTCTTCTCACCGCCCTTCGAACGGCTTTCGATGAATCCGCAGAAGGCCGACGAAGGCACTGACAACTGGTCTTTCTCACTAAGTATCGAGTCCTGCTCGATGCTCGCAAAGAAAAGAGAAGGTGGAGTCACTTGGTAAGCGAAATGTGGTACGTGGAACCATGCCAAGCTAAGCTTCTATTGACTTCACCCACGACCCTCTCGTTCCTCGGACTCCAGGCGGTACTCTCTTCGCGACAACGGACGAGCACAGAATGAGATTGCGAACAGTTTTGCCCGCGTTCTCGTCTGGGGTACTGGCAATCGAGCCCAGATTGGACAGCTCGCAGAGGTGAGGGTCGATCTAAAGCAGAAGTCAGTAGCACTGAAGGGGCTTGGGACTCAAGAGTCTGGTCAGACCAAGCTGACACACAGAATGGCTGCACAAGTACGACGATCATACACGGAGAGCGACGACTGTGTGGCGGATCGTCTTGTCTGAGAAAAACGCCAGAGACCGGGATTGCTATCCTCAGCTTTGATTCGAAGGTACGCTCTTAATCTCAGATGTCCGCTGATATGTCTGCAGATAGAACCGATCAAGAGTCACCCAATATCGTCTCTGGTGCGACGTGTCCTCGTGTACCTACTGCGAAGGATTCAGTATGTCCGAACCATTGTCTGCCTACTTCTCTTCGAGCTATGTGACTCCCTTTAAGACGATTCCATGCTACAATACAGCAGACGATGTGTACGGCTGCCTTGTATCGAGAAATGCGATGTTGAATGCGAAGATGGAACATGTCTTGAACACTGTGCACTGTGCAAGTTCGGCAAAGTCTCGGCAAAATGAGCTTGCGTCAATTTCTCGGGACGCTGCTTATTCAAATTATGAAGGAGCGCAGGAATGCCCTTCATTTTAGCCTGCCGACTTGACTCCTCTTCCTTGACATACCACAACACAACACCGACTTCGCCGCCCGCATCGCGACTCGTCCAATTGCGAGTCGCGCTCCATCTCGTATCCTTCGCTCTTCGCTCCCCCGCCTCGTTCTCTCCGCATCATCCTTCGGAACACATGTTCGTGCTAGCCGAATCAGGGCATGAGCCGTTGTTCGCAAAGCCTCGGCGTCAAGCTTGAGCGGTTGTGATGACCTCACCAGCACAAATCGCAACAATGACCGAAGCGCAATTGACTTTATGCGCACGCGTGTTCGATGCACAAAAGACGCGGGTGTCCTTCGTAGACAGGTAGGCGCGGTCTGGTGTTTCCTTAACTCTCTTACTCTGCATCCTTACCTCCAGGAGCCAAGATGAAGCTCAACAGTATAGCTATCACAGCATCACTTGCTGCTACCAGTGCGGCATGGTACACGAATCCTATCACTAAACTCCTACGGGAGTCTTCACCTGCTGTCGATATTCTGCCGCCGAAGCAAGATCCTTGGTACACAGCGCCAGCCAATTTTGAGCAAGCAGCGCCTGGAGCAATTCTCAGAGTCAGGTTGGCACCTGGCAATATCACGGAGGTGCAGGGCAACTCCAGTGCGGCGTACAACATACTCTACCGGACGACAGACTCGCAGTATCAGCCGACTTGGGCAGTGACGACTCTCTTCGTGCCCAACACTACAATTCTGTTCGGCAACGATAGATTGTTGTCGTACCAAATCCCATACGATTCCGCCGATCTCGACGCCAGTCCATCTTACGCCTTGTACGGCGCTGGTCTTCCCGATATTGGAGAAGCACTCGGCAAAGGGTGGTACGTGAATGTTCCAGACTACGAGGGACCTTTGGCTAGTTTCACTGCTGGTATCATTTCTGGCCATGCGACACTCGACTCTGTCCGAGCAGTACTGAACTCTGGATTCGGTCTCAGAAATGGCACGAGATACGCAATGTGGGGATACAGCGGAGGCGCGTTGGCAAGTGAATGGGCTGCAGAGCTACAAGTGCAGTACGCACACGATCTCGACTTTGCAGGTGTCGCCCTGGGAGGTCTTACACCCAACGTCACAAGTGTCCTGCTCGCTGGCACTGGCAGCGTGTTCGCTGGTCTCATTCCTGCCGGTATCCTAGGACTCGCGAGCCAATATCCCGAACTCGAGCAATTCCTCTTGGACAATCTGAAAGAAGAAGGCGAATATAATGCTACTGGTTTCTTGATGGCCAGGAACCAAACACTCATAGAAGCCATCGGGGCGTTTAATGGCCAAGACATCACAAACTACTTCGAAGGAGGACTGGACACGCTCTTTGCACCGATCTCGCAGCGTGTCATCAATCGCGACGGTATCATGGGCTACCATGGTGTGCCTCAGATGCCAGTGTATGCGTACAAGGCAATTCAAGATGAAATCTCGCCTGTCAATGATACAGACGCGTTGATTGAGAGATTCTGCGGTATTGGAGCGACGATCAGGTATGATCGCAACACTGTTGGCAATCATGGAGGAGAGGCGACCAACAACCAGCCTCAGGCTGTGGAGTTTCTGGACAGTGTGCTTGGAGGCACGTACAACGCGACTGGATGTCAGATTCAGAACGTTACTGTTGGCTCGTAGAGTGGTCCATGGAGAACAGCACAGCCAGCTGTTTCTCTTTTCGTTCCTGGGGCGGCAGCATCGCAGGCAGAGCGTTGGCAGAAGGAACATGATAACGAATAGATGAAAGTAATGTGAACACCATCCCGACTTCTGCTTTCCTCGAATATAGATACTGCTTGTTTGTGCTCGCATCAATCGTTGGCAACGGCTTGGCATGCTCGTGACGAGGGAAGGTGTGGCGGGCTCCGATGTGCTTCCTCACCTTAGCTCTACCACCACGTTTGAGCCGCCGTACCTGCATATAGCCGCAACAAATCTGCCAAAATGTTGACCACGTCCAAACCTCCACGCTATCTTGCCCTGCTGATCCTCTGTCCCTACCCATTCCTGAACGACTGAACGACACCTCCTCGAAGTCGAGCAAATCCTCCAACCACGAACACAGAACTACCCCACCATGACCTCACCCTACACGAACCAAGAATGGCAGCGGCTCATTGTCGACGTAGAAAAGAACCTGAAAATCGACGAAAGCAAGAAATATGATATACCAGATGTAGCCAGCACGGTAGACCACACTCTTCTCAAGCTCGACAGCAAGAGCAGCCAATTCGATGAGCTATGCAAAGAGGCCAGAGAACACCAATTCGGTTCTGTCTGCGTGAGACCTGAATGGGTGAAGCAATGCGTTGATGCGTTAAAGGGCAGCGGAGTGAATGTTGCGAGTGTGGTTGGCTTTCATGAGGGGACGTATACTCTTGAGGAGAAGTTGAAGGATACGAAGATTAGTCTTGAGGGTGGTGCTGCAGAGTTGGATATGGTTGTTAATTGGCCGCAGTTGCAGAAGCAGGAGTGAGACTACCGACGGAGATGACTCTGCGGGACACATACTGACAGCTTTGCAGATACGAGACTATCTACGCTGAGCTGGTAGCGATCCGAGCAGCCGCACCACACCCAACGCTCATCAAGCTCATCCTTGAGACGTCGCAGCTTAGCGATCAGCAGATTATTGCTGGAGCGGTGCTGGCTTCGGCTGCTGGGTTGGACTTCATCAAGACTGCTTCTGGATTTCATGGACATGGGGCAACACGTAAGTTCTTCTTCACAATCGCACAGCAGTCTTGCACATCATAAGCTAACATCTTGCAGTGCCTCATGTGCGACTCATGAAGGCTGCTTGTGAATATCTTGCCCGTAATCCAGTACCTAATACTGCAACGCCAAATCAGATGCTTGTCAAGGCTTCTGGTGGCATCCGATCTTATGACGATGCGATCAAGATGCTCGAAGCTGGAGCCAGTCGACTTGGCACCAGCGGTGGTGTATTGATTGCTCAGCAGGCAAAAGAACGTGCGGCGGGCACAAGCAGCACTTCAGCTCCGACGGGCTCAACTTCTGAGTACTGATCACGACGGACTTTTTTCGGAGCACCAAACGTGCCGCAGCTGGTGTTTTGCTATCTGCAAACGGACACTGAGTCCAGACCCTTCTCTGTCCAAGTTGCAGCTTGCGCTCGAGCACACTGCGAAATCTGGTCGAGTTCTGTCATACGTGGGGTGAAGCGCCAAGGATACAGTAGACTACGCATAACGCAACGAATCAGGAACAGCATAATTGCATTTGCCTGTTCAACCATCGGGACCTGCGACATTTACTGCCTTCGATTTCCTCAATCATGAGATCGGAGAGCTCGGAAGAAGTTCTGCTGCTATCATCGATTCCAGACCTGGCTGTGCCAATGCCTCCCTGCGCTCAATGGTCGTTTCAGCTTGCATGGCGGAGTTGTGGCATTGCTGGGATTTCTTCTCTCTCTTTCCCTCCATGTTCTCCCACTGTCTTCAAACACTAAGCCTGGCATGATCTCACAACACTCTCACAATTATATTCACAGCAGCGCGTCGCACGGGTGTTCATATACCTTCATAGCCAAATATGGCTGGAGATAGCCAAAGGTGCGTCCTGCAGATGAAATAGCAGAAAGATTGCTGATGCTGATCTGTGCAGTGCGACTGCATCGCCTCGCAAAAGTAGCAATGAGTCAAGTCGACTGGGCAGGCTCAAAAGAAGTCTCCCAAAGCTGATCACTCGGTTCTCGCGCCCTAAGATTGGTGAGCGCAGCAAGACAGATGATGTCGTAATCAGGAAAGACCATGGAAAACCAGAAGTAATTCGACAAGCGGTCTCTGCTGGCGCGCATGACTGCAGGGCCATTGATGCAGATTGTCAGGCTGGCCCGAGCAAGGCACCAAATCGAATGCGATCAAGTGCTAGCGGCTATCGTGGTGACCGCAGCGCTTTGTCTACCAGTACTGGACAGTCTGTCAGCATCGACTGGGCATCACGATTGGGCTCTCCTTCCAACAGCGACCGCAATAGTGAAAGCTGGACGAATGTTACCACGCCGGAGAAGACTACTGCTGAGCGGTTTGTGCCGAGACCTGGTATCATTCCTGATACTTCTTCGGCTGAAGATGAGCGATTCTCAACTGGCTCATCTACGGACCTGATGTCGTCGCCATACGCCCCAAGAATATCAGATGGTACTCCTGCTGAATCGGTCCGTGTCCACAGCGAAGAAGTACCACCTGGGTCAGGTCTCGAGCGACCCACCGAAGGCAATGGTCTCATTAAGACCGCTTCAGCACCAGCATCCACTCAAGACGGATCTCTGGCCTACTGGCGTTCTGCTCTTTCGTCCAAGCCGGACAAAGGCAAAGGGAGAGCTTGTGACTACATTAAAGACGTGGATGGGCGAGTGTGCAGAAAGAATGGAGACAGGAAACTCACCAGACCAGCTGCCGAGATACCCGTCACCCAGAAGGCACTGCCGGTGATCAACCCCGGTCATGATACTTGGGCTGAAATGTCTTTGCAGCAGAAGAAGAAGCTCAGTGCAAAAGTCAACTCGAACCTCTCCAAATATCACTGGTCTGCTGCGGAGGAGCGAAAACAACCTGCTGTTGAGGAACCGATTGGACCTGCTGGAGAACGTGCTTATAAGTCATCGGCGTTCCCAGATACTTTGTCGCGGAAGGAGAAAGAAAGTAAGATGGCTTTGCCGCCTGTTGTTACGAGTATCAATGGCATTTCGACGACTAGGATTGTGCCTGCTGGTTTGCCGGCTGCGGTGCCTGAGGTCGAGGATGATGATGAACTTGAGAGTGATGCAAACGTACGTTCTTTCCTCTATTCATTTCATCATCATCGTGCGCTGACAACTCAACGTCCCAGTCCATCTCCTCCGTCCTCTCCGCCGCCTCCGGCAGCCGATCCGGCTACTCCATTGCCTCAGAAAGCTCCTCCAGTAACCTAATCCCGCGCCAAAGACCTCGCGACTCTGCCCGAATGTCTCGCACAGTCGGTGGAGACATGACGCATTACAGCACTGGCTCCATCGATCTGGAAGCTCTCAATTCGAAGCATGCGAAAGCTGCAGATTTTGAGAAATTCGCGAAGAAGAAGTCTTCGGGCCCGAAGAAGGCGAGTGCGGGTGCTACTAATGTTGGTGATGATGGAGAGGACGGAATGCAGAAATTGGAAATGTGGAGGACAAACTCGAAAGCGGAGGGAGCGAAGTTTGTGATTTGTCAGAGTCCGGATGAGATGAAGGAGGAGGTGGGAATGTGGTGGTGAAGTATGAATCTCTCTTCTTTGCGAAATGTGCAAATAGCACAGCACTCTCAGTAATAGTAATACCATCACAATAGACTCAATAGATCGACTAGAGCTATGCCAAACTACCTGCAAATCATGGTGGGGTTGGATCTTGTGAAGAAGCGGGGAAAGCTGATCGCTGCGAGCTTGCTTCATGGCAGGCCTCCCGCACGAGCGAGAAGACGAACTCCGTGAACGACATGTCCGACATTGAACACCGCGAGTCCGTGATCTACAGCCCTGCATGAGAATGTATGACTCCTGCGGAGTAAGTACGCATTTAACCTTGGTAAGCCTGTGAAGCTCGCAGCTCTCTTTCGACTTCACTTCATCATTTTCGGAAAACTATTTCCGTATCAACACGAACCAAAAGCCCCATTTCTTTCGTCTTTCTACTCTGTAATTCTCAGCAAACATGACTTCTCAAGGCCGCCTCGCAGCAAAAACCGCCATCGTGACCGGCGGGTCGATGGGAATTGGTGAAGGCATTGTTCGTAAATTCGTTGAAGAAGGTGCTAAAGTTCTAGTACTGGATATCAATTCCGAGCTCGGGACAAAGGTGGCAAGCAGTCATCCGGAGGGCCAGGTCGTCTTTTTGCAGGGTAGTGTGACGAAAGAAGAAGATTGGAAGAAGGCTTTGGAGACGGTGTTGGAGTGGACGGGGAAGTTGGATATTGTGGTGAGTTCATGATATCATGTGGAAGTAGACGTAATGGAAACAATGGATGCTGATGAGAAATGCTAGGTGAATAATGCAGGCGTGGTTCATGTTGCTGCTGTAAGTCTGCGCGACCTACTGGAACGAACACAGAGTGAATGCTTATGACTCTACAGCCTTCGCCCACTGTCCCCAAGTCCGAGTACGATCGCATCATGGACATCAATGTTTCGCCACTGTATCAGAGCGCCACCGTGATCGCCCCGTACTTCCAACAACAGAAGAGTGGCGTGTTTGTCAATATCAGCTCAATATCTGCTCCTCGACCAAGACCAAATCTCGTCTGGTATGCGGGATCAAAGGGTGCGGTGAGCGCTGTAACGAAAGGTAACAGTAGCCGAGAATGGAAATCTTGCGGAAGTTTGCTAATTATGTTACATCATAGGACTTGCCGCCGAATTTGCGAAAGACGGCATTCGATGTAATGCCATTTTGCCTGTTGCAGCCGACACAGGCATGCTGGCTCCAGTTCAGGGTGGTGTAGATACCGAAGATGGGCGAGCATTAATCCTGAGGGGCATTCCGATGGGTCGTGTGGCCACTCCAGCAGATATCGGAAATGCGGCGGCGTTTCTCGCCAGTGACGAGGCAAGCCTCATTACGGGTATCGAGCTTCCTGTTGACGGAGGCAGATCGCTGATGTGAGAGTCGTCCTGGTTACAATATCTTACAATAGCTCTGAACTTCTTTACCGAGCTCAACTCATGGCCCCTCCATCCTCAAGATGCCCAAGGCGCCACAAGTTGTCTCGACCGAGCCCCTTTCCCATGTCGCAAGTTCACGATTGCTCTCAGCATGCGAATCATCTGTTCCAGTCCGCGAAAGCCAGTTGTGTACACTATATCCGTCAGAATTCCTTCATCTCCGCAAAGCTGAGAAGGGATAGGAAGGTCCAGCATATTGTTGTTGAGCAGTACGGCGTGTCCTTTGAGACCATTCCTCCAAAATGTGCCATCGCGTTGTTCGATGCAAAGAATGGCGATCATGACAGCTGCCGCGAATTTGGAGCCATACCTTAACGCCACAGTTTTGGCGTCGTCGATCTGCTGCTGTGTCATGTCGTTGCGGAAACGTGCCCACTGCGCTGATCTGTAGAGGCGCCATTCAGATAAAATAGGAGTATTTCCAACGCCGATATTGCAAAAGTCTTGGAATGAAACTGCTTTGTATGCGGGTCCTGTGATGACGCCGTATGCAAGATACTCGTGCGCATACGCCCGATGGCCAAGTATCGGTTCCAGAGACGGTACGTGGACAATGAAATTGGCATGGGACAGTTCTGTCGTGTCGATGATACCGATGAAGTATTTGTGCGCCATGTGACTGTTTGCAAAGTTGAAAGCAGTGTTGATGTCAGCAGCCCATGAGCTGAACTGGGTACGGAAAGGCGGGATCCTGTACCCGGTAAGCTGACGGTCGCAGTTTTCACGTAGCTCAGCCTTCGTCATGTCGTAGATCGTCCTTGACGCATCAACCACATTGGTGGAAAATGCTAGCGGTGTAATGCCTCTCGTTGTGTTGAGCCCTCGGGACCCACCGGAGTTGACATGCCAGGCTCTGAATAGATATCGAGGTGTGCGTCTCTGAGCTTCAATCAGTACGCGCTTGGTGTCGTCGTCCATCTTCCCAGGCGGCAGCGCGGCGTGATGATCATGAACAGAGTCGTTGAACGAGGCATCGTCATCCGATATATCGGGGTCTGTGTCTGACGATTGAAAGCTCGCATCATCGCTGTCGGTCTCATAGTCCGGCTGTCCATTTCCCACGGCGAATTGAGCAAGGCCTGTTTGAATATCGAGGACACCTGCTTCTCGATTGCTGTCGAGCAGTTGACGCTTGCGTTTCACAACAGCAATGAGCAAGTTCATGCCGCGTCGAGCGTCGGGAACGCGAAGCAGTGACGACTTGGTTTCCTTGATTTTCGGAACGGTCTTGAACAAATCCTCCGAGATATCGAAATCTTGAAATTCTGCCACGACTGCTGATTTGAGTGAGCAATCATCTTCGAGCCATTTGATGTGACTATCAACGTGGCGACAGAGCGAAGCAATGGCCATACATGCCACCGGGAGCTCGAAGTCCTGGCCGAATAGGGCGCCAAACGCTCTCGCCAGGATAATTTCATCTGCGAAATAGTCGGTCCCGGCAAAGTCCTCGTCATTAAAGATGTCCGCTGGTGCAACCTGGGAGACATGGTTTCGTTCGAAGTATTTGCCGGAAAGCTTTGACAGGGGCAGTGGCGTACAAATTTGATTCAGAGTAACGAGTGCAAAGTCGTCATCTGAAAGACAGCCGTAAACATAATACCAGTCGTCTCTCGGCTCGAAGACGTCAGCGCCATGCTGCATGAGATGAAAGTCATTCTCGTGAAGGACAATATTGCCTTGCCTGATGCAACTTGTGTCGAGTACAGCAACGAAGATTTCGTCGGACGGATGCCTGTTCTCCTTGCAATAGCTAATAGCTTGCCAGACAACGGACTGCAGAGAAGGTTCCCAGATAGACCACAGACCGGAACGAACGCGGTCTGGTGGCTTGCGGGTGAAGCTGACACGGTTGAGATCTTTGATTCGCTGGAGTGGCATCTCAAAGATATTGTCGGGCACGGCTCCAGTGTCGAAAGCTTGGGGCTTGACAAGACCGCGCGAGAAGACTGCACTGTGTGTACGATCGTGGAGTAGACCGAATTCGAAAAGGTAAGGTGGTGCTTTACGAGCTGCTCGCTGTACTTTTGCTTTGAATTTCTTGTCCCATGGCGTCGGAGAAGCTGCGCGTTTGACCATGTTCTCCGACGGTTGATGCTTGTGACTGTAGCTGATCTGGGGTTCTGCTTCGATGCGATTTGCTGTGGAGATTCTTCTTGCTGCTGGGTCCGCGATGGTCATATACCAAAGCGACTGTCACTTGGCATGCCGTTGCTTAAGACATCTCGAGACTCGTTGTTGCGCACAATCTTTGTTCCCACATGTTCTGAAGGTCTGTGCCCTGCAAAACATTTCAGGCAATCTCAGATTCCGACGTGTTTGCGCAAACATGTCTCACTATAGCTTTCCTCTGTACCTAGTGGCGTGGTGCCCTATTGTTATCCAGCTCGGATACCTGGGATATGCACATCCAAGCTGAGACAAGTTGACGCCTGGAAAACAGGGTGAAGACGGAATTCTCCAGCATTCGCCAGGAAGCAGAATCGAAAAGAGCGGTCCAGCCCAGTGGCTTCGCGCTGAAACGAATCATGCCTTCGCAATGTTCTGGAGATATAGCTCCGATGTGTGGAAGCACTCGCCAGAAACGAGCAGTTTCCAGAAAGGGAGCAGCGTTCTCAGCTTCTAAGCCCAAGCAGAGCCCCATCGTCCTGCAAAGCATTTGGTGAAACATAGGTACAGATGGCTTCAGGCTCATTGCGAGGTCTTGTGTTTTCAGCTGCCACAAATGTCAATTGCTTGCCATCGAAAGTAAACAGCTGCTAGAGACACCCACAAGGGTTACATACCAAACCCGCAGTGCGGCATCCACATAGAATGGTCGTCGATATCCACGGAGAGGACCAAAGCATAAATCTCTTGTCCGCATTAGATATCTACATGCAAGAAGTGAAACTGCAGCAGCAACAGAAATAATGCAAATTCATCACATCCACCCTATTCGTGCCATACACCACTTTTCGCGCTGTCCCCGTAACCGATTCGGACGCTCCACCTCGATTCGCTGGATCACTCTTGTCATTCTCGCGGCCGATTTCGCAACAGCCCGGCAGGTACTGTCAGCCATGCCCGCCGAGTGCCCATGCCGTGCGCCAGTTATACCACAGGCCATCATTCACTGCTGTGTGCACTTCTCAACCTTGAGGCGGCATCTCCCAGCTGAAATTTGCGGGCCATCAGCTCGATCTTTCCTGAGCGGTATTGTTGTGGATGGAAACGGTCTTCACTCATCATCGTCGTCAATGCGTCCAGCAAGAAAGCTGAGCTAATCCTCATCGAAGATCGCCGTAGCATTGCTCAAAATCGTTTCCAATACAGTATGTTGCCATGAAGCGTCTTGGATGTGTGGACCTTGATGGGCACCCATGAGAGTAGGACTATGAAATATGTCAGCATGAAAGCCCAAGAGCGACGAAGGGAGAACAGGAGGGAGAACTTACGCCAAGCACACAGCCAGATTCGCCGCAGTCATTCTCGTGCGGGCCTCATTCTGCATGACACGATGCAAATGCAGCACTAGCGCTCTCATAGTGGCGTAGTTCGCATCAGGCAAATCGTTGATACATTGATGCAGCGCATCTCGTCTCGCATCATCTCCATCAACCTGAGCGGATTCAATAAAGTTGGTGTACCCATCCTTGGGGAAGAGAGGGTCAGGAAGCTCTCTGAAGAAGCCTTTGAGCAGACTGGTGACAGCTGTCACATCGTGACCAAAGTTCGAGGGGTTGCGGAAATCCAGTTGGGGATCGTTAGGCTGAAGTGTATCGAACATATGTCTGAGGCGATTGACTTGGCCAATGTTTCCGTTTTGTCGATAGATGCCTTCCACGTCGAGACCGAACAGGTCGACGGCTTGTATGCATTGAAAGACGATGATGGGGACAGCAGACTGATCACGAGCGAAGAGGTCTTCCAGAGACACACCAAATACTCTGCCGCGACCACCTGCACTGAGTGCTGTCGGCGAAGGCTGGAACTGTGGTGCGGGAGCGACATGGGGTGAATTGGAAATGACCCCTGTAGACTGGATCGGTGTGTTGCCACTGTAACCAGGTGGAGCTCTTTCATTGGGATGTGTAGGATACGGCGGTGTACTGTTGTATGTGTCGCGAAGTGGTGCTGTCGATGGATTGTATGGTGAAGAATTGTTGTTTCCGGAGAATGGAGGTGAAGCTGCGCGGAATGGATCCGATGAAGGCATACTGCCAGACATGGGAGCAGGGGATTGATTGTGAGGACCAGCAGAAGCGGGCCCAGCGAAGGATGATGTTGGACCGGCGAAGGAGGATTGTTGCGGAGCGCCACCCAGACGACTTGTGCTCGAACCAGGTTGGGACGTGCCTGTATTGACACTCAGCGAAGGCTGTGAAGATGCAGGAGTCTGTGGCGCCAAAGTGGGTTTCTGCAACGGTTGCGACTTAGGCTCCAAAACTCGACTCTTCTCGAATACCAGCTCATGCGTGCGAGCAGGTATCTTATGATGCTCGGCGCCAATGTTGGAGTTGAAGTCGCGTTCGTTGTCGATGTCCAGGACCAGATCGCGCAAGCTGCGCTGCATGTTGGAAGCATCGGAGAGTGGCTGTACCAGAAGACCATTCCCAAGCAGGAGCTTCTCGTTGAATGTGGCGAACTTTTGCAGCTGCAGTGTCAAGGCGCTATCGCACTCTTTGATGTATTTCTCCAGCTCCTTCACAAATTTTGGACGTTGATTCCTGATCAGATCTTCCCTCGCAGTTCTCGCCTCGTCCACTTTGGCGCGGTACTCGGCCTCGGCAGCCTGCGTCTTTCGTAGCAGGTCTTGCTCGTGCTGCTCTGCGCTCTTGGGTCCCTTGATACCCAGTCTACGGCCTGCTCTGGTGTCTCCCGTCCGCGCCTTGTCGTAATCTTCCGCGAAACTCTCATACTTGGCTTTGGCTTTCTGCATGGCGGCCTCCAGGTCGCTGACATTTTTCTCGGCAGCGAGACCTTCATGCTTGCCTTGCTTTCTCCCGCGCTCCATGTTTGCGCTCAGCACATCTAGGTCCTCATGCATCTGGTGCAGCGACAAGGCGAACTGCATTCCATTATCTGCCATGCGGTCATGGATGCGCAGGACTTCGGTGAGCTGTTGGGCATATGTCCCACTTCGAACATCGGCTCTTCGAACATTATCCAGCTGGGTCTGGGTCAATCGCTTCAGTCCTTTCGCCTGGTCTTCTTCTAGTGTAGATCGTTTCTTCAAGAACTGGGCAAAGTCGCGCGCCGAGGCGATGCTCTGTTTGAGTCGGTTCAAGAGTGTGTTGACGCCAATATCAGAGTACATGACATCCTCCACTCGCTTATCATACACGCCGCCCCCGCCATGCGACGCGTCGCCGCTGGTACCAGGTCGCGCGCTATCGTTGGTCGGACTGCTGGGAAGTGATCCATTGGGAGCGGCGGGCTCAACGGCCGCGTGCCCGTTCGTGTCGCGGTCGATCTCGGTGGACATGCTGTGTGCTGTCCGGCCAGGAGAAGTATCCAGGTGAAAGTGAGGATCCGAGAAACGATCCGGACCGGCAGTGATAGTTGGTGATAGATGTGTCGTTGCGGCGAGGAAACCGGCTTTCGAAGCTCTCCTCAGCCACAATGCGACGCGTGAGAGAGTGCACGGGCCGAAAGTCGTTCTGCAGGTGCCGAAGATCCACTAGACGTCACTGCCGCCCGAACAACATTGATCGTCTCAAGTGAACATCGACATTTCGCACGAAGCTCCTGCACACAACATAGTCAACATGCCATCGACAGCTACGCTAGGATGGGAACAGAGCGCCGACGCCTGTCACCCTACTGTGGCCGACCACCTACCCAATGAAGTCGTCACATGCCTCACCAACGCTCGATTCGTGAGTATACATCAAATGGTCGGACCTCAAGCCGAATTGCGACTGACAATTGATGCTCCAGCTCCATCTCGCAACATGTACAAACAACGTGCCACATGTGTCACTCATGAACTACACCTACCTTCCATCCCACCCATTTCCGCAGTCCACGACCACGCAACTCCCCTCTGGCCCCACCATTATCATGACCTCGAACCCCTCATCGAAGAAAACGCTTAACCTTCTCCAAAACCCGAATGTGTCAATCCTCGTCCACGATTGGGTTTCCTCACGACCGCCGAACTCCATGTCCGGCAACGATCGTGAACGCAGTCCCACAGGAGGGCCTCGCTCATCACTTGCCGCGATGCTGATGCAGATGAACTCGACGGCAGTGAGCTCAAACAGCATTACGATGAATGGCGAAGCTGTGGTTCTGGAGGCCGGGAGTGAAGAGGAGAAGTGGTGCAAGCAGCAGCATGTTGCAAATAATACGTTCGAGGATGGAGACTCTACGGGGTTGGGGAGGGGCAGTGTGGACGGCACAGGAGACAGTGGGAAAGGAGCGTATATCGAAGGAGAAAATGTGAGAGTTGTGGTCGTGAAGATCAAGGGCGGTCGAATAAGTGACTGGAAGGGCAACGTGAGCGACTGGGCTTTGAGAGGGAGCGGTGAGAGCGTCCAAAGTGCAGTGGGTGTAAATGGGACGTGAAAAGAAGAGAAGTACAGCAATGCAGTAATATGAGCTCGTGAAAAATCAAAATACTGGGCTTCTCAGAATTGAGCACTATGGTCTCGGGTTCGCAAGAGCGCAACAGGAAGAAGAATCGAACAATGATCTCAACGCAGGTCATCTCAACTCAGTTGGAGCAGCTGGTCACATGGTAGGCGTCGGAACGGCGATGATTCGAGCACTTTCGATTTCTCAGGCACGAGCAACACCTGTTCTTGTTTTACTATACGGCACCTCGGTTCCACGCTTCTCAAGAAGAAGCCATTGAGCAAAACCCCACTTCTTAACTTAGGGAGCACCTCCAGTGAGTAACAATAACTGAAGAGGACAGTCCAGTTGACACTTTCACATACAGGCGTTATCAGGATCTCATCTAGCTTCCTAAGATGCCCATGGTGTTTTCACTCCCTGCAGCTTAGCCGCCGACCTCGCTAGCTCTGAGGCACAATCGAAACAAGCCGCCGATGGCACAGTAGCTGTGGTGCGACGGGGGCGCTGACATCGCACTGAGATGGGGGCCATGCTCAATGGGTGCATGTTGCTCGATGTAGCTTCACTCCACCTCCCCAGACGGCCTTGACTCCATAAACATGGAATCATGAGTCGCTTCCAAATTCACGAATAGCTTGCCGCCTGTCTCATCTGGATGTGTCGTGGTGGCATCGAAAGGTCCAGCTATCGGAAACGTTCTGATCAAGCCTAAGCAGGATCATGCTCTCACTGGGCACGTTCGATTTATGATGATCTGTGGACAAACACTTCTTATGCGCGCTTTCGTAGCCATCAGGCATGGGCTGTGTCTCTGCACGACTAGCTTATAGCATGCTCTCGGAATTCCATCTCGCTCAGAGTAGCGCTCTGGTCCAGAGTGGAGCGAGTAGCGATTCTTTGAAGGGTGCAATCAAGCCCGGTCCTCTGATTGCTTTGTGCAACTCTACGCACGACAAAGAACATGTAACATGGAAATTGAAGTCGATGCGGGAGGCGAGAGACAGGAGGAGACTCGTATACTCTTCACTGGGATTCGATACGATGTGTCGTACGGGCGACTGAGCTTTGGAGTTTTGGAATCTTGATGTTAAAGGTTAAGGGCGGTCGAGTAAGTAAGTAGGAGCGAAATATAAGAGGAAGTAGTGAGAGTCTGCAGAGTGCCGTGGGCGTAATAGACGCGAAACTGGAGGCGAAGGAAAACTATTCAGCGATGAGGTATAGTGCAAAAGTGAAACAACGGGCTTCGTAGGATTAGAGAAACGGCGCATGTCCATAGTTTCTCAGCTACAGGAGTAACCAACATTTAGGCCCGCTTGCTTGTAGAACGCCTTCCATATGCAATTTCGCTCAGGTAAACACGCCAATTCGCACATCAAAGTACATCAAAAAGCTCTGAAACTGCCGCGCCATTTGCCCAACTCCTCCTGCGCCTCTACAAGCTGTGCCTTGGCGGCCTGTAGCTCAGCCGTCAATTTCTTGTTCTCTTCTACAAGCTGTGAATAGGTCGGTGGCGGCGCCATGAGCTGTGGAGCAGCGTGGGTCTGATACTGTGGCGGATTGTATGGTGGTGGAACGTCGAGCGCGGTGCTGGATGTAGCTTTTGGAGCGTCTTCACCATCCCAGAACTTCTTGGCGAGTTTAGCGCGTTTGCGTATGCCACCTTTCTTTGGGTATCGCAAATTGCGGCGGGTGTAGCACCGAAGAGTCTCCTGGTAGATCTCGTCGTCTGGCATGGTGTGAGGGTTGCGCTTCAGGATTGCAAACAGTTTGCCGCCTAGGTCGTCTGGATGTATGTGGTCGACGTCGAAGAGCTCGGCCATTGAGTGCTTCTCCATTAAGAACTCGTTGTCCCAAGAAGCCAGATCTTGGCCGGCAGGAAGCTTGGATACAGGCATCGCTGGCGCAACACTCTCTGTCTCTTCGTCTTCACTCAAATCGATCGGATGCTTCTGCGTGCCTAGCAGATCGAGCGGCGGAAGCGCGAATGGGCCAGCGGCTGTGACTGTATACAGCGGAGCAGCCGTGCGCGGCACATTGCGACCGCTGTACAGATCCAACAAGGCGCTTGCAGCATCGGCGCGTCGCTGGCGCTCCTCTCCACTCTTGTAAGACTCGACGGTAGTACTGTAATTTATTAGTGGTCAGCGTGTCGTTGAAAGCGGCGCGCAAAGATCAAAGGCAATTGGCCCTGATCTGGAATTCATTGACTTACGTGCAGTCGGTGACATGGTGCTCGTGTGGAGCTTGGATGAGGTCGTCGCGAGCCATCCTGCTGTTGCTGAGGCGCATCTTCGAAGCGCCGCGATGCATGTCGGCAGTGAAGTGGATGGTCGAGTTGGTGGGGTGCAAAGGACTAAGAGCTTGCCAACAGCAATGCGTCATGAGTGAACAGCGGAAAGCTGCCTGAGTCCGCCAAAGTGAGCCGGCACTAGCGTCATCCTGAGCTATAAGAAATTCGAAGTTCGCTCTGCAACTCAACTTTCTTTCCTAACATCGCCGCCCTCGGCATCAGCATCCATAACACCAGCGCCCACACCTCGGCATCAACGGCACCAGCGACCGCGACATCAGCGAGCACTCGACATTCGAGTGGCTCGCCGCAGGTGACTATCACGTCAGGCACAGCAGGATTGACATGGCGCGCCAGTAGCCGCTTTGAGGCTCATCTTCGAGTCAGCACGTCTGCGTGGACGGGGCCGGGTTTCGCGCCAGCGCCGTCATGCTCGTAGACGTTGCTGTCTGGTCCATGGGCACTCATTGCACGTGTCGCGCGTGTCAATTTCGCCTTCATCGGGATGCGTGTTACTGAACTGCGCCGCGGATTACCAGCCTGCCACAACCAGGGGTCGGAGGTACATTGCTGGCTGTGCCCAGAGGTGTTGTACTGTACCGCCTGGCAGGTCTGCTGTGCGGAGCAACGCAGGAACCGGTACATGAGCTGAATGATGATTGCGAGTTGGCTGAGCGACTACTGGGCGCCAGGTTGATGATGGCTTGTGGTTTGGCACTTGACCGTATTATGTGTGCGAGGCATTCGGCCTCGCGGACGCTGACGCTTCTTTCTAGGTCATCAGACATTTGGCAATACTTGTGCCGGATGCTGGAGACCATCATCTTAGCTTGCTCATGTCCAACCTCGACTCCTTGGTCGCAGCCTGTGTCATCTTCACGGTAGCCGGCGCGCGTGATGTCAAGCCTGCGACAAAACCGAAGACATCGACTGACGCGCGCTCTTCAGTCCTGTTCTCGCGTCGACTTCAAGGTAAGTGGCGCGTCACGCGCTTGCACTGAGTTTAGAACGTTGTCGAAAGTGAAGTGCCGTGAGAGGTGAAGTCGGGAATCAGCCGGAAGCTCGAGGCTTGGCAGTGACGCGAGGCACAACCATCGGCGCCACACAAATCATCAACAGCAACATGACAACCTTCATCAGATCTTCGCAGCCCAGCTAGCCGCATCGTCGGCAACGAGAAGACCAGCTCCTTTTGCAACTTGTATGATGTTTTGTTCTCATCTCCTTTGTCCCGCCCATTGTGGAGGAAACGCTCAAAGAGCTAGAGCTTGATTGCGAGCTCCAGGGACAAATCGCTCGTTTGACGACGAGAGCTTTGCTCTGAGCGGAACTGCAACAGGATCAATAACAACCGTGTCCCCAAGCATAAGCCCAAATGTGTGCGAGAACGGCAAGGACAGTATATGCAGGGCCCTTCGCGAACTCGTGAAACCATTCATGATCGCGCATTCGGAGTCCTGCCTTTGAAAATGACCATGCGGCGCAGGAGCACCATGTGAGATCGGTGGTCTGCATCGAGAGTCTTGATCGACAGTTTGACGACTGCGAATGTAGACGTCGTGTCTCCAGCATACTCTCGATGTCAAGGCAGTCTCTCGGACACCGGGCAGGATATTTCTGGTGCCTGGTCTTCGAATCAGAACATATGACAAATATCTCTCCAGGAGAATGGATGCTCCATAGCTCCTTTATCTGCAAACACCGATAATTGTCCTTCTTCCCCTTGCTCGAAACACATGCGAATAGTGGTTTCTCAAAGCATGATTCCATGCTAGAGCTGACAGGAGTGGGGAGCATTCCCGGTGACCTTCTACACGAAAAGGATCGAGTACGTACTGACTCTGAGACACTGAACGCGAAATCCGGACAATCAATGGACAAACAAAGATGACACGAGCTCATACATTACGGTGGAGAACAAGTGCATAGGCGCCGCTTCTCTGTATCCAACTGCTGGAGAAAGGTGCTCCGAGGTTTTGCTTCCAAGTAAAGCACGGGGTATGACTGTTGAACGAAAATGTACAGGTCAGGCGTTTTCACACATCGTAGTCAAAAGTGAGGAAGTAAGAGCTGCTTTACTGAACTCAGCTGCAAAAAGTAGGCGTCTAATGTGCAAATAGTCGTAGAATATGGATATAGCTATCGATAACCTCGAGATCATACGACCCGTTCTCTCGAGGGGTGAATGTGTGACAGCTGTCCTGGTGGAAAATCCGTAAGGTACAGACATGTCCTGTCCTCTCCTAGAGATGAGATGTAAAGAAAGCATTCTTTTTATTCCGAGCCCGAAAGGATCAGAGCCATGTTATGTTTGCATGTTCCAGATCGTGAAAGCTGGAAAGACAGTCAAGATCCAAGTTCAGTCACTTACGGTAGGCTTCTGGTGGGAAGACGACGGTGGTACCTGGACATGCTGAACGAAGGAGGATACAGAGGAGTCGTGCTTCGAGACACGGCTATGGAACGCAGGGGACCGATGCAGATCAAGCAGGGAGAGCGCTCACGCTCTTTAATCGAGACAGATGAACGAAGTCGTTTCTCTGGGAGCAACCGCGTAAGTAAGCCTGTGTCAGGAGAGTTCACAGACATTGTAGCTATGACTTACAGTCGAGAGGCAACGAGAAGGAGCTGTTCCTCCGAGCCAAATTGAGGTTGCTATGTGCTCTGTGTAGAGAGCATATGTAAGAAAGCCGGACCTGAAGCTTGAGGGAATCATCAAACGCACTACTGTCTCCGCTTGCAAAAATATCACGCAGGTGCTCGAGGGGCAAACTGCCATTCAGTCGAGTCCTGTATTGCTGCAGAGAAACAAAGGTCCGGTGTTGACCTCTCTGACGAAAGAGATATATTCCAGGTACTGTGAGCAAGGACAAGCACGGATGCAGCCCATATCATCAAGCAGAGAGCGACTTTGTCGCTAAGTTCCATCCGCGCCAGACCACACTCCATCCACCAATAACGCAACTGAGGCCTGTGAACAAGATCAGACCCCCATATCTCGTCCCATAACCCCATCTCTCAGCATCCGTAACGCCTCCGCTCTTCAGTAACTCCACTCCAGCCACGCCACTTACAACATACCCCACACCTCTCGCACCATTGAGTAGACCGTACAGCATACCGGTATTGATCGCCTCGTTATTGTTTGTAGCTTCACTCTCCATTTCTTTGATCCAGCCTCCCCATGTGGAACTGTAGCCTCCGGCGAAGAAACCATAGAACAAGGAGAAGCATATCAGCACAGCCGGGATTCGATTGGATGCTAGGCCCCACAAGAACAGTGCACAGCTTGCGGATCCAAAAGCTGAGATGAAAGTATTCGTTCCCGCAGAAACGTTCAATCGATCAAACAGCAGTCCGAAGCCCACGCAGGAGATGATCCCCGGAGCATTGAAAAGCGTGATCATCAAGCTGGACGACAGCGTTGACAGTCCCAAAATCTCCTTGGCATACGAAGAAAGGTATGTTTGCGGAATTCCGTAACCAGAAGAAAATATCGCGTTCGCAATAGCATAGACATAAAATGTCCGATGACGAAGAAACGTCCAAGGAACTTTCTGCTGAGCTTGTGCCCCTCTCCTGAAAGCAGAAGGCCGTTTCGGCATGATGGCCAGGCCGACCCCACCAGTGACCAGAACGATCAAGGCCCAAGCCCTCAACGTCCAACGAAATCCCCAGTGCGTGAGCATAGCGGAGAACATCAACGGACAACCAGAACCGGCAATGTTCTTGCTTGATAGGATAGCTCCATACGCAGTAGCTCGTCCTTCAGATGGGAAGAATTCATCGAGGTAGAGGGTTGTTGGGCTGTATACCAATGTGTTGCCTAGCGCGGCGAGGATTCCTTGGGTGAGGATTAGATGCCAGAGTTCTGTGCTGAAGGATGATAGGAGGAAAGCGAGGGCTGAAATGATTGTTCCGATTGTGGCGACGAGACGGCGATAGGGTGAGAAGCGGCCTCGGTCGAGGAGAGTGAAGAGGAAGGGCATGAGGAGGTACATGACACCGTTGGTTAACATGCCGATTATGCCAGAGGCGGAGGTGGAGTGGAAGGGGAGGGTTGAAGAGTGAGCGTAGTTTTCTTGGAAGATTCCGAAGGTCATTGCGAAGCCTGGGAGCCTGGAGTTAGAGATGTGCTTTCGGAGAGTAATTGGTTTGGTCTTAGAGCGGGTATAGAACATTTACCCCAGATTGGCAGTTGTAGAATAGCAGACCCTCCAAGCACAAGCCAGGTTTGCTTCTTGCTAATGCTGTTCATGTTCTGTTGCTGTGGGCGTCCGCCGGCCTGGTTCTCGTCCGGCTCATCGAGCATTTCGAATTGTTGTCTTCGTTGGGAGGCGTCCATTGCTGGGATGGTTATCTCGACTCCTGGTGGGTGTTGTTTTGTCGAGTTGAATTGTGTTTGCTAGCAACATCGAAGAAATATATGTACCGTACCTCAGTTCACGTCTAATCGGAACAGCATGTTCATCCGGCAAGAACGCCGGGATCGGCAAGATCGGCATCCATTTCCGGAAAGTACGTACTTCGTGGTCGATAAGTGAAGGATCATGGCTCAGAAGTCAATCGGCACGACCCTTGAGACTCTGCGGCATATGTGAGGCAAGAAAGCCACAAGAAGGCGAAGACGGATTGGCTGATGGTGGGCAGAAGATGGCATCATCGAATGATCGTTCACGCTGGTTCTATTGACTGTCCGTTACTGTGGCCGCGAACTCGCTAGCAAACATCCTCAACTTCTCCGGTCTCGCTCACAAGTGGGCCAAGATCGCCATCCAGTGTCCTACCGAAGAGTTCTAGCAGCATCTGGAAGCAGATGCCCGAAAGCGCTGGGTCGTATCTTCCCTTGCTCAACTCATCCCTGATGAATGCATGCTGTGCCCATGCAGGTTCGTAGAAGCTGAACACAACACCAGCATCGTGCAGAGTCTTTCTGATCAGGTCCCGTCCGGCAGGTGGGACGTGCGTATCACGCTTGCCAAAGATCATGACGAGTTCGCCTTTGATGTCCTTGACCCTGTCCAGCGAGTCGTCGTTCTTGCCTTCGCCAAGCGTTTTGGAGTGGATATCGGTCGCAAAGTAGCACACAGCAGCTCTCACACGCTTATCAAATGCTGCACGAAAAGCCAGATGCCCGCCAAGGCACATGCCAGTCGCCCCAATGCGTCCATTGCATGTTTCCAGTCCAACGAGGATATCGATCGAGAGAGTAGCGTCTTCGTCGTAGGCCGAGACCTTCTTAGCTACCTTCCAGTCATTACCCTTGTCGGTTCCTGGACCATCGTAGGCCAATGGCTCAGGTCCGGTGAATTCGTGGTAGGATGAAGGAGCAGCGACGATGTAGCCGTGAGAGGCAATCTGACGTGCGAAGCGTTGAACTGGACCCGTGACTTGATAGATCTCGCTGAAGACTACCACACCTGGGAACTTCGCTTTGGGGTAGTTTGGAATGGTGGGGTGAAAGATGAAGACGCCTACCTTTCGCTATCAGCCTTTGTCATAGGCTGAGAGATGTGTGCTGGGAGAAGGCATACGCATGTCGCCGCCAGCCTTAGTGGCGACATCTTTGTGGCTCTCCGTGATGAGCATTTTGAATGTGATCCCGTGATGACTGGGGGAGATGAAGGAGAGCGGAACTGAGCAGAAGCGTGGCGTCAATGAGCTTTGTCAGTGGTGAGGTTGAGAGGGAGCACCCCGCCGCCGGGAGTTCCCGCGATGACTCTCCATGCGATGTGATGACACCAACGCCGTCCGTTCCTCCTTGTCCATTCAGTCCTCCCTCTGGGTTGGCTCCAGCGACACCACCGCCACCGCTACCACTGCTATCGCCTATCTGATTCCCGCCCCTCGCTAGGCATCCGACAACGAGCTGCACCCCGCCCGCAGCCGACTACGAAACTCCCTTGTTCCTGCTCCGTCCGACGCCTTCAGTGGCAGTCGGAGACTATGTCGAATCCGCCCTCGATCAAAGCAGGACAGTCCAGCAGCAAAAGCCAATCGCTTGCTACCCAAAACCAGATCAGTCCCGCGCTTTCGTCAACACAGCAATTCTTCCAGGACTCTCCGGCCGGAAGAAAGGGTGGCGCGTTTGCTTCGCGATCGTCCCCAGCCGCTCCTCGAAACCAGCAATCTGCAAAGCCCAAGCACGGAAAGAGCAAGAAGTTTCGGTCGTTGGATGAGGATGCAGATGCTGAGGAGTTCAGCATGCAGAATCCACACGGCCGACGCGGCCAACAGAGCATCACGCACTTGATGCAGTTCGCTTTGCCACCGCGACCAAACACGCACGATCGATATCACAGACATAGTTACAACGGCCCGCGGCGTAACAATCGCCACAATGCGACGTGGGGCTTAGGAAGTGGTTATCATGCAGTAGATAAGGCGAGGTGAGCTCAGGGAGGCGTGAAGATGGCATACGGATCGGAGAAGTCAAGCTGACGGTGTGCAGATACATACATGCCAACTACCGCTTCATTGTCGATCCGAGAGGCGATTACCACGCTCAAGCCGAGGACGCTGACGTGCACCTGGACTGGAATAATGTCTTGCAGGTCATTGCTTCAAGTAAGACACAGAACGCGTCTTGCCCGATCTGCCTCGGCGAGCCTACTGCACCTCGAATGGCGAAGTGTGGGCACATATTCTGCATGCCGTGTTTGATCCGGTACATGCATTCTGAAGATGCCTCAAATCCTCCTCCGGAAAAGAAGGCGAAGTGGAAGAAGTGTCCAATCTGCTACGACAGCATCTATATCTCCGAGACCCGGCCTGTGAGGTGGTTTGATGGGCAAGAGAACGACCCTCCGCGTGAAGGAGGAGACATGGTACTGCGGCTGGTGAAGAGAAGACCTGGTCAGACTTTGGCAATGCCTCGCGAAAGCGGCGAAGTTATCGCAAAGGGAGACGATATTCCTTGGTACTTCGCGACCGAAGTAATGGACTACGCGAGAGTGATGAAGGGTAGTGAAGATTACATGCTGCAGCAATTCGATGAAGCCATTGCCGCAGTACAGCAGCTGGAAAAAGAGGATGAACTGATGTTCGGAGAGGATACGCAATGGACGGGCAGAGCTGTACGGGCTCTCCGGGAGGCAAAGGAGAAGGTGCGAGGAATCGGGAACCCTCCTGCTCAGCCACGGAAACCAGATCCGGCTGAGGAGGCAGCGCCAAGTCGCCCACCGATCCAGTTCAATGCGAGCGATGACGGAGTGCCAGATATGTATCTGCAGAAACACGCCGAAGCACAACCTCCGATTCCAGCAGAAGGTGCCAGCTCAAGCCTCGAGCAGGTGCTCGAAGACAGGCCCTACGTACCCCGAACTCTTACTGAGATGCGCCAGCGGCAAACGGAGAAACCACAACCGAACGAGTACCTCTTCTACCATGGTCTGCAGCACTTCTACCTCTCGCCTCTCGACATCAGGATCTTGAAGACAGCCTTTGGGTCCTATCACTCGTTCCCATCAAGCATACTCCCACGAGTTGAGCGCGTTTCTAGTGGACATGTGGTCGATGATGACTTGCGGAAACGCGTCAAATATCTCGGACACTTGCCATATGGCTGCGAGGTCGGCTTCCTGGAATGCGACTGGCGAGATGTCGTCAGTGCTTCCGTGCTTGAGGAGTTCCGTCCGATGCTTGAGAGGCGCAGAAAGCGAAATGATGAAAAGGAGACCCGAGAAGAGAAAGAACGCATTCGGATCGAGAAGGCGCAGGAGCGTGAGCTCGCGCACATTCGACAGCAAAGACGATCAAGCATCACGAGAAATGACGAATTCTTTGCGCCTGCTTTGCCGCCAAATCTATCGGGCGAGATCGATATCCCTACCGGCTCAAGTCCCAGAGCGGATCGTCCAGGCTTTGGTAGCTTAGCCTCGCCTGGCACTTCTCCTAGTATGCCTCGGACGGTGTGGGGCACTGCGGCGTTGCCTGCATCGGGTGATGCAGCGAATCTGCCCACAGACAATCAGTTCTCGCAACAGGAAGACGGCTGGTTGCAAGGTTGGGAGAGAGACTTGCTCGACCATGATGCTCAGCAAGCACTTGCCGCGAGCATGGATGGACTCAACGTGCAAGTCAAACCTGCTGGTGGCAAGAAGGGAAAGAAGAAGAACAAGATCACTCTGATGAGTACTGGTGGTGCTCGTCGTGGAGCATGAGCTCAGTAATGTTCTGAGCTGATGGGCAACATTCATTTTGTAGCGGAAGCCAGCGCCGACGCTCGTATGCTCCAAACCTTTCGGCAGGACAGGGCCGAAGTTATGTATATGCGTAGGTTCAAATCTGCTTAGACGCTGCATAGGCTTTGCAATCAGATTAGGTAGCTCCATATCGACCATGTTCTTGTTCATAGCCGACTCCCATTCTGCGTCGCGAGAGCTTGGTGAAAAGCCGGTAATGATCTCGACCAAGCAACTACCAAAGCATCACCTCACCTTGCGAGCCCGTGCAAGTGCGCAGAAACACAAGAAAGGCAACACATTAGATTTCGTTGTCTTGACGAGGACTTCGACCACTGCGGTACACTTCGGAGCGCGTCTACCATTGAAGATGACCATTCTCGGAACCGCCGCCCTAGAGGCACAACTTATTATATACAATTTTGGCTTTCGACTACTCGACCATGGCCGTCACCGACTCATCAATAATTCTTCTGCCTATTGCGATCACAATTATCGTTAGCGTGAGCTCTGAAAAATCACTGCGAACGACCACATCAAGACAAGAAAGGGACGACCGGTGAAACTTACATATCCCTCTTCACCTCAGGCACTTCCATATCCGGCACAATCACATGCGCATTGCCATCCTGTCCCGACACAGGCGGCGGGATAAATTCTTTTCTTCCGGCTTTATGCACCCGGCCATTGATGCAGATGACGTTCAATTTATCGTGATCTTGGAGGATCGTGATATCTTCTAGGGGATTTCCATCGACGAGGATGCAATCGGCATAGTAGCCCGGCTTGATCTGGCCCAGTTCGTGGCCGCGCATGAAGAGTGCGGCTACGCCTCGTGTGGCAGCGAGGATGGCTTCGTGGGGAGTGAACTTCAGGAGGTCAACGAAGTGGGCGAGATCGCGGGCGTAGGTGCCGTGGGGAGTCCATGCTTGGTTGAAAAGTTAGCATCTCAATGACGCTGGTGAATGAGTGTCGAGATGCGTGATGGAGAAGGCTTACCGAAACCATAGTCACCGCCTGGCAAGACGACAATTCCCCGACGATGCATCTCACGCAGACCAGCTACGGCGACATCGAGCTCTTTTCGGTAGCCGACTTGTTCGGCTTTGGTATGTGGATATCCGAACGCTTCGGCTTCGTATAGCGTTGCCCAGAGCCAATTGATCCCTGGTGCGACAATATGCTTTGTTTTGGATTTTTCGAGCATTTCCATGCCTTCGTCGTCAATGTATGAGGCATGATAGATCTGGTGGCGGGAGTCAGTTTTGGCAGGAGGAAGGGGCTCAAAGTATCACATACCACGTCTACGCCGTGCTTGACGCACATCTTCAACGAGTCGCGAGCTCGTGCGTGAGCACAAAGTCTTTTGCCGAGACGGTGGCCCTCTTCTACGCATGCGGCGGTTTCTTCATCGGTGAAGTAGCAGTCTTGAGCCGAGCGGATTTCTGTGATCTATTATAGCAGCGACCTCGTTGTCAGTAAGATTACCCGAGCGAACATGTCAGGTCGAAAGAAAAGTCTATACGCAGGCGCACTGGAAGGGAAGAAAGAGGTACAAACATCGAAGAACCTACCTCCTCCCCAGACATACTCAACTTGATATTATCGGCCCCAATTTCTTCTGCATGCCTCTTCACCGTCTCCTTCATCTCCTCCGGGCCGTCAGCGAATGCGGTAATACCTCCCACCAACTCCCCTCCTCGCCTGGCAATCTCCTTTGCATTGGCCAGATACCTCGGACCCGAGATGTCTCCCGCATTGATCGCATCGCGAATCACAACATCTAGTCGATCTTTGGCTGAAGCCGCCCCGAAGCACATTGTATAGCCTGAGTCGAGGAAGCATTGTGCACTACGCATGGTCAAGAGTGTATGTTCTTCTACGCCGAGATCACCGAGTCGATCAAGATCTCCGCCGTTCCACGTGAAATGTGTATGAGCGTCTCCAAGGCCCGACATAAGTGTTCGTCCCCGGCCATGAAAGTGGCGGACCTTGGGAGATGATTTGAGGTTGTCGATGTCAGGGACTTGGCCAACGTGGGTGATCTTCTCGCCTATATCAAGGATACTGTCAGTGGCTGTCCTTTAGAGAGGCAACAAGTTGCCATGCGATTCAATGAATACCTTCGATCAGGACATCTCCTCGATATGGCTCTGCTCCGGACGAATCGAGGATGTTACTATTGCGGACATTTCGTCAGCGACTTCATTCGATGCTGTACGTGATATCCCTACTGGCTAGCATCTTACACGTCTGTGAACAGTATCTTGCTATCGGGATGCGTCCCAAACATTTCATATTGCTTCGGTTGGAGCGAAGGGTCAAATTTGATCTGATCAATCGCTTCCAGATTACGAGGTCGTCCTTTGTACACTGGCTCTTGGTCTGTCATGTCGTTCTTTTTCTCCGATGACCAGGCTGGCCATGAGTTGGGAGGCTCTTCCACTCGTGCTGGAGCCATAATTCTTGATGATTCTCTTCGGAGTTAGGTTTTGATGGATTTTGATTTGGATGCTAATCAGTCTGATCGACCTTGTGTAATGATAAGTGTGACGATGAAAGCACGTCCATGTTGAAGCCTTGTCTCACTTGTATAATGCCTATGGTACCTGGCGGACCTGCTTGCCACGTAAAGCGGGGTCAAGGTTACGGTTCGTGGAGTGACACTTGGGAAGGAGCGTGGCGATCGCGGAGAAGGCGGAGAAGGCTTCGAATATGGATCCTACAGCACAGGCATCCACCAAACCTCAGACCACCAATTTCTGGGGACAGCCGTTGGATGCTCCCTCTCCGCATTAGCCACCGTGGTATTTGAAAGATCTGGCCGTAATTATTGACCTTCCATCGGATGTGGCGCGGACATAGATTTCGCGCACGACAAGGATTCGAGCTCGCATAGTCGCAGCCTTACACAGCAATTCGTCAAGATGGGCTGGATCAGATTGAAAACCTCTTCTGGTGCAGATCGACCCGCACAGGGCGGTACTCACCTTTGCGATGCCAAAATCAAGGAGGAGTCCACCGAACAAATCGAGATCGTCAACATTCATGGTGATCCAGCTAAGCTCTCGCCGGCTCAAATATATCCTTTGCAGCCAAAATCCATCCGCGAGGCTTCCTTGCCCTTCATCCCCGCTTCAGTTGTCCTTGCTCAAAAGACCGCCAACAGAGATCAACAGCGCACCTGGATCGTTGTCGATAATATCGTATACGACTGTACAGAATTCGTGCACGAGCATCCTGGCGGGAATGATGTGATTGAGAGTTTCCGAGGCGAGGATTGCTCATGGCAATTCTGGCGATTTCATAATAGGGAGCACCTGAAGGAGTTCGGAGAATCTTTGAGGGTGGGAAGGACGAAGGGAGTGACGAATCGATTCCAAGAGCCCAAACAGTTTATTGGGTCAAGTATGATTGGCTCTGCGGACGAGTGGTAGCCAATACTGTACTGTGGTAAGATGTAGATGTGCTTCATGACCGCGCACATCCATTGTCTGCACGGTGTACAATGTGGTTGACTCTGACACTATAGTGCTATAGCCATCTGATCCGACATCGTGCTACTACGGCCTTGCTGCGCTTCTCTCACTTAATCTCATGCAGAGGCACTGTACACTATCTCAATAATATCTCCTTCAATCTTGCTTGTACATTGGAAATGTTGGTAAATTGATCGGAGTCAAGCCTCCCGCGAACAGCCCGGCGCACCCAGCCCAATCTACAAGTAATGGATGTGTTAGCCAGTAAGGCCTGAATGTGACAAATTGATGATGATCGATCACTTACAAGCCAGAAATGCAACCACAAAACCAATGGAGTTCGCCGCTGTGAGAATGCCGCCATCGTTCATCATGTATCCAACGCCGAGCAACAACAGCTCAATGTCCAGAAGGGCGAGCGTCGCGAACAACACCCAAGAGCTTCGCATTGCGGCAACGGTGTAGATAGCTGTCAGAATGAACCATGCCCATGCGTACATTGCTAGAGCTTCATAGAACTCTGCACGTATCTGACCAGTCGCTTGGTCGGTGTACGAAGCGAGGATACCAGTACCTGGAATGTAGACCATTGCATAGCTGAAATTGAAAGCGGCGTAGGAGGGGAAGACTGTGGCGCCGAAGGTATTGCCTGCCACGAACTCCTGTGACAAGAAACGCGTATAAGCTCAAGTGCTCGACTGGAGTGAGAGTAGCCATCATAGATCGTTTTCGGGAGAAGGTGTCTTACCATGATTCCAGCAATGAATTGACAGACTCCTCCGAAGAACATAAGAACTCCGATCATGACATTGGGAGTCTGGATTGCTCGTGCATGCACACCGTATATGGAGATGAGAAATAGACCAGTCGCGAAGGAAAGTAGTCCCAATGGCGCTGGATTGGCGAAGCTGCGATGGACAACAGGCAAGGATGGTTGATCACGATCATCGATGTGACCGCCTGCTGTGCGCAGTCTTTCCAACTTGTCGGGCGCTGTTTCACTGTACATCGCCTCTGTCTTGGATGCGTGGTCATATGTGTTCGAAGACATCGTCAGGGGTCAATCGTGACGGAGACCTGAGGGGTCGTGGAAGAGCAATTCTGATGTGCACGCTGCAGAGAGTTGTGACGACCTCAATAATTGACACTGGACTTGCGATGAGGGCATGTCTATTGACCTCGTTTATCATCGACTGCGATCCCAGCATTGGCTTTCCACCAGCCTCCTTGCTGGACCAAAGGACGGGCGCCATTGCGCGGAGATGGCTGACATATCTCGGAAATGATGAACACGAGAGCAATTATGCTTCGTGGTTGACGAAATAGTGTTGGTTTACCCTGGGTTCACTGGTTTGGCTGGCGTAGCCCACGTGGACAGCCTCATGGAACGAGCGACTCGATCTCCGCTATTTCTCCGCGCAGGGCTGCAAGTCCGCTTTCTGTCCCGCTCGTTCCTGAGGGGAAACGCAGGGAACCGCGATATGGCGGGCCCACATGAGCAATGGCGCTAGTGGAAGAGCTATCACCGCAGCTCTATTGCGTTGCAACAATTTTTCTGTTTCCATTAAACAGAAGAGATTGCCACACATCACAAGCTGGATCAAGTGAAGCATCGAATCCATCAAGTAATACCCAGTCCTTGCATTGGAAAATGTCGTCCAAGCAATACCAGTTCTGCGCCTACGTCGATCCAGCTCTCGGAGTCGAGCGTATCGGAAGCTTGGACGGAGATCAGATCCAGCCTCTGGCTTACCCTTCGGGCACACCACTCTCGAACCTTTATGAAGTAATCAGCCTGGACGAGTCGACCATAATTCCATTTTCAGAGCCACTGTCCCGCAACACAGTCCGGCTCCTTGCTCCCATCAATGGCCGAGACATTCTGTGCGTAGGCAAGAACTACGCAGAACATGCAATCGAGTTCAACAAGTCCGGGTTCGACAGCTCGGACAAAGCGGACCAACCCACCCATCCAGTCATCTTCACCAAGCGTTTCACATCCATCATTGCAGACGGTGAAGAAATCTTGCCTCATCCAGATTTCACACAGAGCGCAGATTTCGAGGGCGAACTTGGCGTGATAATCGGCAGGCCTGGATTCCAGATCTCGGAACAGGATGCCATGAAACATGTCTGGGGCTACACTATCGTCAATGATATGACAGCCCGAGAAAGGCAACGAGACCATAAGCAATTCTATATCGGGAAGTCTCCAGACACTTATTGCCCAATGGTAGGTTGACGCAACTCGATGGGGTCCACTACTGGCTCCGCTAATGTGAAAGTGTTGTAGGGTCCGGTGGCCATTCCTGCGAATCGCTTCACGGGTGCACTCCGTGTACAGACCAGAGTCAATGGTGACCTGCGGCAAAATGCGACGACTGATAATCTGATCTTCAGTAGGTGTCGCCGACAGAGACGGGGCCGCAATTCAGGACAAAAACGCTATTAGAGCCCGCGGACCAATGACGAGATGGTAAAGCGCTTGTCTGAGATGGTGGCTAACGTCTGTGTCTCTCAGGCATTCCTTATCTCATCAAGACGATGTCTGAAGGACAAACCCTGATGCCAGGAGACGTCTTGGCCACAGGCACAGTGAGTCTTGCGGACGTCCAAACAAAATCCAGACCATTGCTGATACTTGAGAACACAGCCCGCTGGCGTTGGCATCGGTCGAACCCCACCGGTATACGTGAGTGAAACCCCACAGTGCTGCAACGGACGTTCCAGCGGCTTCCAGGCGTAAGCTAACCATTTGTGTCTCAACTGCAGCTCAACCCCGGAGATGAAGTTGCAGTCTCAATCGAAGGGTTGGGCACCCTCACTAATAGAATCGCCTCGAAGTCTGCCGCCAACCCAACTCTGCAGCGTGTGCAACAGAACCAACTCAAGGCGCTGCCAGTAGCGAACGCCGGAAAGAGCTTGAATGCGAAAGTAGGGCTAACGGACATTGGAGGAAAGCCTCTGAATGTTCTACGCCGTGGTGCAGAAAACGGTCCACCAGCTGTCTTCGTCCATGGCCTTGGCGGTACGGCGGATTACTGTAAGCACAACGATCAGCGTGTTCGAATTTGGTAAGATCTAAGCTGACTTTTGACCTTTTCTGACCAGGGACACCTCTCATTCAAGCCGCCGGCCTAGACAAAAGCCATGCACTGCACCTGTTCGACTTCGAAGGCCACGGCCAATCGCCCACATCGCCGCTATCGACCATCACCATAGCCTCACTCGCAACCGATCTGAAAAACGTCTTCCAGAATGCTGGGATTGCCCCCGGCTCCGATGCCACGCTTTTCGCACACTCAATGGGCTGCATCGTGGCGATAAGATTCGTCTTGGACAACCCACAGCTGGTCAAGAAACTCATCCTCGTCGGGCCTCCGCCGATCCCGCTTCCAGAAGCCGCAAGCAAGAATAACAAAGCGCGTGCTACGCTCGTGCGGCAGAAGACAATGGCTGGCGTCGTGGACGCTGTTGTCGGAGCTGGAACTTCCGCCAAGACACAATCAGAGAATGGTCTTGCAATAAGCGCCGTGCGCATGTCGCTTCTGGCACAAGATCCTGAGGGATATGCGAAAGCGTGCGATGCGCTGGCTGGTGCTACAGAGTCTCTGGATCTATCTGCGATTTCCGCTGACACGCTGATTGTAACGGGTTCAGAGGATAAGGTCAGCCCTCCGGCACTTTGCCAGGGCTACAGCGAGAAGCTGAAGAACAGCAAGGGTGTCGTTGTCTTACAGAATGTTGGCCATTGGCATGTTTTCGAAGATGTCCAAGGTGTTGCCAATAGTCTCAAAGCATTCTCGTAGAGTAGCATGTCCCGCACTATTGGGCAGACACATCTCGGGGAAGACCACCAGGGCACCCGTCCCTGCACCGTGCAATCGGCATCTTAGTGCGTGTGCTGTAGGTCTCTTCGAGTCAAGGGCTTTCCAAGAGCTGTTATCATGCGTCTCCACACTCCCACTTACTTCCACATGCCATTTGTACTGCAGGCTTGCCAACGCTTGCTCGTGGTACCTGTAACGCTTCGACGCAGCATCGCAATCGGTGAGCTGCCCGTACTTCGTCTGAGATACGGCCGGCATTCGTCGGATAGGCCGTCTTCATTCTTGCAACAAGCATTTAGTAGGCACTTGCTCTGAGAAATTGGATCAGAACGAGGCTTCAACCTGGTGTCGGACATCCGCCGCATGTTCCAGTCTCACGGACTAACAGGGTCATTGCCAGTATTGGAATGACGTATCCAATTGTTGCCGTTCATCGTTCATTATTGCTCACGTTGAACCATTGCTCCAGTGGAAATACTGCCGGGCTAACCCATTGCTGTGGCTGAATCTCGGCCAGGAGCTCATTCCAGTCTAATATGTTTTCATCATTCACGACTGGTGGATCGTGATTGAGCAGGTTTTGCACCTCGGCCACACCAGAATCCTCACGAGCGTTGTTTTCAAATTCCGATGAAGCGGTATGCCTCTGTGCATCGCTCGTGCCGCTGCCCTGGTGGAGATTTAGACTCCCTTGCAGTCTCCGGTTGGGTTCTGAGCCATGATCAATCATTTGACCTGCAGTCTCGAATTGAGCTACGAGCATCTGCAGCAAAGGCGCAGCTTTGGCACAGAATGGACTCAGATGACCCATGCCAGCGAATCGAGCGTGGCAGTCTCGCAATGCTGGGCCGATCGCATATTTGCGATTCTGATGCAAGCCTTTTTGGCACATCATGACCAGCACCACCGTAGCATGGAAGGCGTGAAAACTGCCCAGTCCATGATTGTACCATTGGTAAGGTTGCAGTTCCGGGACGTTCTGCACATAAGCATGAACATGCAAAATGCTCATTGCAGCGTCCAAGCAACGGACGCTTGACCATCGCAGGACATCTTCATCGTTCGCAGCGTCGCTCGTTCTGAGGATAATTTGCTGATGCAACAATAATGTGAGATGATGAGCGTAAGATCGCAGAATGTTTACGTGTGCTCTGTGGTGGGGCGCTAATTGTTGCTCAGTGCGGGCAATAGCGAAGAACTGTGTGTCCCATGATCGTTGTTCTCGTTGAATGGCGCCATCGAGGCGACGTATTTGCGCAAGATGACCGCAACTCTTGCATAGAACATGTTCGCAAATATCAGTGCAGATATCGTACAGTCGGAACTTTTTCAGAAGATAAGTCATTTGCGTCGGGCCGCCAGTGGTCGAAAGGCTTTCCAGGGCATCGTCGGACGTGTCCGTATGCAGATTATCATCGTCAATGTCCGCAGGTGCACGGCAGTTGGATGGGAAGTAGGCGTGAGCTATCCCGGGGTGGCCCATGGCTGTATTCTGATGTGTGTAGAGCATCTTGAGCGCGGCCCAGCATCGCCTTCGTTCTTCGCATTGTACAGCACCGAGGCTCAAGCGACTTGGGTCGACGTGACAGCCAATCGAGAGCGCCAGATGGTGAGTGAGGCCAAGGAGGTTCCAGCTCTGGCCGTGGCTATGATTGATGCTATATATCAGCAGAATCAACGACTGAAGAGTCGTGACATTGTGTCTCCATAGATAGTGGTCAGCCTCGAGACATCTCATTGCCAAAGTTCGATATCGCGATGACAACTCTTCTACCTTGTCAAGCGGATGCTGCTTGTGACTGAGGTCAAGAAGTGGACTATCGGCCGAGAGCGCATTGACGGCCGCGCCGAGTATGGCGTAGAGGAGTGCAAGCCAGGACAGTGTGATATGGTGAGGAGTTTGCTCGAATTCTTCATATTGACGCCGGAAAGTGGGGTCGTGTACTGGCAAACACGTCAGTCGACAGATGGCTGAGGCATGTGCGTCGTTCTGGAGCCGTCATTGAGCAAGCCAGAAGTCACAAGCTATGGACCTATCTGGCTGCGGAGCGACTGAAAAGAACTGTCGTATTGTACTTACGAACATGAAAAAGAGACGCATATGATTGAAAATAAATCTGTACCAATTCCGCACAGTGCAGACGGGATGGCAATGCGCTGACCAGCTCTTCCATAGACGTTGTATTGATCGAGTGAATCGGGAAGTGGGCAATGCTTCCACTAACACCCGCAGACACGTCGATCGATGCGAGTCGTGACGACTGCCATTGCGGCGAGCCTGCAATGAAACGAACGTAGCCTTTCTCGTCAACGTGAAGAGTGCCGTCTAAATCCCGGTTCGATCGTGCAAGCCCTCGATCATCGAAGCTTGAAGGCGGAGATACTGGTTCAACGATCTGGTTGGTATCGTTCGACCAGGGAGGAGCAGAGCTGTGCGTGTTTTGTTGCCTTAGCATAGCTTCTAGTCTGCTAACGCGTTCAGCCAAGTCTGCGGAATGATTGTTCGATGCCGTGTTTGTAGGACCCGTCGACGAAGAGGCAGGCGACAGCTCCGCATCCTGAGGTCGTGGTGCGGAGACGGGTTGATTTACCCAAACGCAGCTGACGCCCCTCCGTACGCCTTAACACAATAATGAAGTTGTAAGCGAGTGTTCCAACTCATCCATGGAGCATCGCTGGCTGTCATGGAACCAATGACTTATCAAAGCTGACACGACTAGCGAACCACATTTCAGCGGCGCATGCACTACGTACATGTCGAGCATGGCTGCCTATCTCGAGAACAGCGGATTTTTCGTGTCCGACATGGCTCGCAGGATATTGGTTGCCGTCTCTTGGGCATTGCATCAGGCATCCGTTTCGCGCCTTGTGATAGAGAGGGTAATCAGCAGCGGAGATGGTGCCTGGGTCCGGAGATATATTTTGTCTTTCGATGCGTGGCCCGCTGTAGGCAGTACCGGCAGACGACGGCGATGAGGGTGAGGAATGGGGTAAGGCGCAGAGACAGTGCGGAGTTGTAGAAGAAGTCCGCTCCTACTCCGCCTGGACGGAGATGGAGTCGTTAGCGTGCCTCGGGCCGCCATCACGTGAAGTGAAGACAAGGGTCCAACATACCGTTCGGAGTTGGGAGGAAGTTCATCGATATCGACAACCTCACCCGACAAATGACTTCTCGAGGCCGATCCTACCATGGCCGCTGATACAACTTCCTCTTATCTCTCCCCGGAACTTCACGCGCCTGACTTCTCACCCACAGCCTACGCCAATACCCTTGTCCTAGCCACCAACAATGCCTCCGATACGCCGCTTGACCTGTCCACTCCACTCTCTCGCGTGCTGTTCGATGTCCAAGAAGTAGACACGCACATCGACACTCTTACTACACAATCTGCTCTGCCAATTGTTCAGCACACCGGGCAACAACATGACGCAGCCAAGCGGGTACTCGAAACTGTTGAAGAGCAAGTTGAAGGTCTGAAGGAAAGCTATGCCAGGTTGCAGAGAGAAGTCGTGGAGCGATATGAGGCAGCCGAAGAAGTTCGCCTTGCAAGCGAAAGGATGTTGAAGACGTTGAGGCTGGGCCGCGGCGTGCAGAGAGTGGTAAATCTTGGAAGACAATTACAAAGCTCGATGGATGAGGTGGAGAGAGCAGGAGGTGGGTATCGATCTATGGTGCCTGCCGCACGATTAGTGTTGGAGATGCGAGAGTGCTTCCAAGGCCCGGACGGCGTTATGCTGGCAAAAGTAGGCGTTGCAGCATCTGTGAGGCAAGACATCGGCAGCAGTCTCGAACGTACACTACTGGAAAAGTGCAGGAGTGTGGTGAGAGAATTCTCCATGAGCAGTCTCGGTGGCCCATCTCTTGGCGAGAAGACTTTCGCACAGGCGAAGGAGACGAAACGCAGATCAGAGGCAAGCATGCAAACTCTGTACCTGCTGTCTCCGGTGAAGCCAGGCACAAAGGTGAGCGTGGAGGACTTCGAACCAAGCTTGTTAACGCAGGCGCTTAAAGGCTATCTGGACACGGCCTTGACCTCAAGCCTGGCGGCGCTTAGCAGAGCATTAGCCACTCTGCCCATGCTAGACCGGACCCTGGTCGAAGTCTCCGCAAGATGTCAGAATGTCATTGCTCTCGAAGCATTGCTGGAAACCGTCAAGCCTCCCACTGCACATCCTGGTCTCCGGTATACGGAGAATACTGGCAACTTGCTCGAGCCTCTATTGCGACATTTGGAAACCACCTCTCTGCCTTCGTATTTCTGGCGCAGCATGGCCTCGCAACTTACCTCACGCGTTCAAGACATCTTGTCGCGCGGCGGGGTGAGCGCGAGAACTTTGCGATCAAACAGAAATCATGTTCGAGATGCAGTACGTGAATGCGTTGATCGTGGCTATCGAGGCAAATTCGCAGCTAGGAACCAGGCCGAGAAGGGAAACTGGGAGAGAGAAGCAGCTGTGATGGTCGGCAGCATAATAGGACCTCTAGGCCGATGAAGCAGGCGACACTTTCGCGTGAGCTCGGAGCCTTTCCTCTCTGTGTCCATGAGCAGCATCTGGCTTTACTCTGCCAGCTTGCATTGTAAAGGCATGTGCCACCAGCGATCTCGGGACTTCCAATGGAATTGCTTTCCAGGCCCACTTCTCTGCCATACGCTCCTGGAAGATATGTTGCCCGTACAGCTACCTTTGAGACTTCTGCCATCGGTTGAACAAGTCCGGTGCACCAGCCGTTCCGAATGACAGCAGATCTTGTTGGAAGGGGGCTTCCGTTGTCTCATATCTCATCCAGCTCCATGCCGCTCTCCCAAGCTGAGGAACAGAGAAATATTCACCTCTTCGGAAGGAGAGCTGGTGTCTCGTGATGGCTCCTACCACTTGTTCTCGGCCCCCGAATGGCCCCTTACAACATGCTCTTGGTCGTTCCGCCCCTCGAAAGCTAGAGAACATCCATGTTCTTAAAAAATGGGTGCTTTCTGGCCGTACTTTCGAGCCGTCAGGCTTGGTAGTACCGACCACAAGCAGCTCAGTCAGTAGAGAGGTAATGACGGTGATTCATGATTTGAACAGCCTGCAAGAGATGAGCCACGGAGGAAAGTCACCTCGTTTCCGAGACGACAGGGCTCGCATCAGTCACCTCTCGACGACGCTTCGGTATTCACGCCTTGCACCCGAGTCACCTGCTGCCACTCTCCCACATTGATCATACACAGCGGCTGCCCGACGTCCCGCTTCCGACATAACGTGTTAAAATCTGACGCAACTACTAATGCGACTCATGGCGATGAGGTGCATTTCCTGCAAGTTGAAGTTGTCATCCGCACGAGCGTTTCGCGTCATGCACAGCCTTCATCTGCCACGAAAGACTGTAGAACAATTTCTTACTCCCAAGGAAATATCTGTGCTTTTGCATTGATACAGCCACTTTACCCGCAGTACGACTGATGTTTGACTTCATCATCGCACTGACTTGGTACAACATGATTCGAAACGATCCAAGTAATATAGTATCGGCGACTTGATTTCTACGAGTTGTCAGCGATGACGAATCGACAGAATGCCAACGTGCGAGACACGTTTTCTCCGGACGTCAACCCCAACGATCAAAGTCAAGATCTCTCGCACGATCTACCACCACGTACTCACGCAGCACCGAGCGATCGGTCCCGTGCAATCGCGGTGCGGTTCTGCCAGCGAACTTGTTTGAGGTTTGACGCCACTTGAGTCATACATGCAGCCGCCAACATTGTGTTTCACAGATTGAAGAATTGCGAAACGACAACACATGTCAAAAGATGTCAAAGCGTGTATGTCAGTCATCAGCGCATGAGTAAATTCGATTTCACTGCAATTCTTGCAGCCTGCGAGTCGCAGCATGATTAGCGATCGGTGTGCAGCGCAATGAGTAAACATTAGTTGACTTTCATGCAAGATACAACATTGAAAAGTGGGTGGATGGCGGGCTCGAGTTGAGATATTCTCATCAATATACTTCATCGAAGTGAAGCGCATAATCCACAAGAGGTCTTCGCAGCGAAAGCGAGATCACGCGCGTTGTCCCCCGTCCCGAACTCTCATTCCGAAAAAGAAAGTCTTCGTTCCGAGACAACATCCATCGGTTCCTGCAGAAAAGAGCAGAGTCCACTGTCTGTTTTCATCACGGAACCAAAAGTAGCGCGTGCCCTACATCTCTCAAAGGTCACGAATGTTTGACTGTACAGTAAAATCGGAAAATTCGGCAATCGGATGTTCAGAAGAACCATCAGAAGAGCAGAGAATAAAAAGACTTTTAGCTATTTTCCCATCCCCTGTCACGACTTGTCCCAATTCTAACAACGGTGCCAGCTACTAAACTGTACGAGCAGGCCTGGTTATAGTAACTGCCAAATATGGTTCATTCGGCAAATTTTGTTAGTGACAGCTTTCCAGAAGGTGTCAGGAGTGTTGAATGGCAAGTAGGGTTCATCGAGGGAAGGGCAGCGAGAGCGCTTGATTTTTGAAACGTGAATCCCCGATTTGGCCAGCTTCGCGATGATGATTGTTCGTGTCAAGTCGCTCGAAGCAGGTTTTGCACGTGTGTTTGGGAGGACAGGGTTTATCGTGGTTAGGGCCACACGCAGGACAGCTTTGTGAAGAATGAGGCTAGAACGTGTCTGGTCTGGAGCATTTCTGCGATGACAAGATGGGTATAGTAAGGGTTCTTTGCTGCAAGCTTGTACAATGTATGTACCGAGTTGAAACACATGATGTGCGCGCGGGTTGTTGCATGTAGCGCAAAAGGAGGAGAACCTGCGACTGGACGACACATGGGTCCATCCATCCGTACAAAGTGACAACGATGATTAATCAACTATTTTAGCTGCCGTCGGTGTGATGAGTTTCAGTTACGGCCGGATACGGCGACATGATTTGACTGATTAGAAAGTAGCAACAGTAGCGGGCAGACTACTGAGACTGAGACCTTTTCGAACGAAATCGAGCCCCGCATCACCTGAGGTTCGAACAAGTGCCAAATCCTAGCCCTTTTGTCACAAACAAAAAGACGGGACGGACATTAGTGTGCATTTGCTCGAGTTGTCATCGTCAAGAATTGTCCATGCGAGACGCGAGACGAATATTTGCTCATCAGGGCGTCGGGCACAAGTGGTCGCCGAAACACGCAACAGACGGTGAACGAATTATGCCGCGCGGACGAATAGTTGTGCATCGCCGATTCCAAGGTCGCAGTTTTTGCTCGCTCCGTCCGTGTGAGTGCCAAGTCATGTTGCGGTATAATGCCAACAAATGCAATCCGCGTCACAGTGACAGTGGTATGTCTCGGCGTGGAGTAGGTCGAGACCCAATCTCTTCGAAGACGTAGGCGGTGTCATTTGTACTGCCTCCCTTGGCATATTTGATACTTGGCCTTGGGAGAAAGGCCTTGGCGCCTCAGCCAACATAACGTGAAGGTGAGGTTCTTGGCGTCAAGAACAATGTTACTGTTGGACTGGAGCCTTATTCGTCAACTGCCGTGCTCCGATCCCTTCGAGTCTGGGCTACTGAGCATTTTTTGACCTTGGCGCAAATCAGGCCACTACAGCACTACAAGGTGCCGCCCTTTTCAGTTTTGCGAAGACCAGGTTGATGCACGCTCAGTGCCCTAGTAAACTTCAGCGGCGCCAACGAGCTGGTTTGGCTTTGCGTATGGAGCATTGTAGTTCTCCAATTAATCTGCAACGATTCAACGTTGGCGCCGTTGAGTGTACTAGTGCCCGTGCCTGGAAGAGTCGTGGTCAATCGCCTGCTCGTGGTCGTGAAGTTCATTTTAAGATCTGACAATTCCCAGGTAACGCCCTGGTGAGGCAGCTATTTGTCCTCGTGCGGTCTGGGACTGGTGCACAGGCGGTGGAAGATCTCCACGACCAGGCTGGCACAATCAGCCAACCAGGATGGCAGGTGAAGGCCGGTCGTTTGGCACGCGATGGCAGATGCCGACGGGGAGTGATCCTGGATTACAGCGCCAAGGATGTTGAGACAAGCGTGGAGTGATCGAGGTGATCGTGGCGGTGGTGAAGAGAGCAGGAAAGTGCAGGGTAGGGCAGGCTGGTGGTGTCGACAAGCATCGCGCGGAGCACCCGCTGGCTTATTTTTTCGTTCACATGGGTACAAGTCGTCATCCGAGCAGTATTTCCGAGCCGAGGCCAGCTTTCGGACGCCGAGTGTCTGGTACGCTTGGTGCAAAGAAAGGAGAACGAATGCTGCCAATGTATCACCAAGGGGTGATCAAATTTCTCGACGTTTGCGGCACAGCTGTCTTGGAGATATCCCAATCGATTCAAGGGGCTGATTGACTGAGCAGGACGTCCAAGAATAAACTGATCACACGCCGGCGGTCATATGTTTGATGACTGATAGTGTCCCTGATCACACGTGGTCGGCACATAGCGAAGACCTGAACGTAGATCCTTCGCACATGCGATTTCTTGGTCCCTGAATTGCAAAGAGTACAGCGACCATTTTGGAGCATATCGCGAACGCGACCATCTCGCTGAAAGTCCGAGCAGGAGACCAGCAGATTGACATCGGTACTGTTCGTATTGATCGTATCCGAGGCGCTCCCTGCATCTGACTGATGAGTGCTGTGGAGTCGGAGTTCCATTTCAATGCTAAATCCGGCGTTAATTGAGTTGAAGTTGGAGCAGATAGTGGTATAGTAATCAGTATAGCATGATTGCTTCCATGGTGGTCGTGCAGAATACTGAGGCTAGAAGCGGCATTTCTCGCGCCAAGACTTGTCTGCTCTAGTGAGTGCTCTGAAGTTGAGGTCGCCGTTCTTTTCGGATCAAGCGCTCTTCCTACGCCGTTCGCGACTTTCATCCCTTTTTCGAATGGACGCAGCGACACGGGCACGGAGCGTCGCTGCTCTCACCTCGCCGACGGCGATAGCTCCGCCATTTGCAACAGATGGTGACTTACTATTACGCTTGAACCGGCGTCATATGCACACCGCTCTCCGCTTTCAGAAGTCCAGCGACATACAGTGTAGGGCCAAGTCACTGATTCCATGTCTCTTTGGCAAGCTTCGCTGATGCTTCGCGATGATCGTGTCTTTCCCAGCAATTGGTAAGACAAGACCATGCAGCTAAGTTATGCATGCACAACTTGCAGTTATGAAAACTGCACAGCCATTCGCCAAGCCTTTGTCTCACTGCGTATTGCTACGCGTTGCTATGGCCTGGCGGCAAAGGAGCTAGAAGATGGTCCGTCTGGTAGGCGGCGCAGCAAGTATGATGCGAACAGAGTTGCCTCGCTCATACGAGCCTTCTTTGGCAAGTTTTGATTTGGAATCTCCTCCCAGAATGTTTCTGTATGCTTGTCGCTGACGCGAAGTCGTCATATGGACCTTGTGCACGCAGATAAATAAGCATGTGCTTGCCAGGCTCTGGAGTGCGTGGTCTCAAAGCCATCGCAGAACCCCATATCTAGGCGCATAATGGTTCACGACCAATGTCTGTGGAGAAAGCCCCCGCCGGAACAATTATCCAAGGCTGCGGTAAGCCATGCAGGCTTCGTGTAACGTCGCTAGCTCTTGGTAGCGGGGGACAATCGTGCCTGAAGATGACTGTGACTTTCCTTCATGAAGTCCAAAAACTTCAAATGTTCTCAACAGCTTCACATGAGGTTTCCCAAGGTTGCGCAGCCTATGGTGGCATTCCTTGTGCATTGGCCTAGCTGCGGCATGGCACCACAAAGCCCTCCGCAATGTTTCTGGCCTACGCGCAGCATGGTTCACTAGACGTCTCAGACGTGTCCCTTCCGCAGCAGCTGAATCAATCAGTGGGTGGGTCAGAGTCCTAGCCCAATTGCAATATAAACAATCTCAGACTGTAGAATTGTATTGGCCGTCATGAAGGATGCCTGGTGGTCCTGGTCTAGAATCAGAACTGGTGGTTGAACCGGCATGACAAAGGGCTGCGGGTGCTGACTGAGCTCGATCCACGGTGTGCGAAGTGGAGCTTCACGACTGCGGACTGTCGCAGCTTGACGAATCACATTGCGGTTTTGCTCTTTCTCTCTGCACTGATCAGCACCGCTCGATAGTGGCCTCATGTGCGCCGCGCACACCGCGGCCGATGCGTGCGTATCGTCCGCATGAAGTCGTGGCAGTGCGAGAACAAAGTGTATTGTCCTCGTCGCGGTGACGATATGGAATTGCCCGGTTCGTTCGGGGGATTTTAGTTTGTGTTGCTGCAGTGTCGGTGGCTCGGCGAGCCAACATCTGTAGGGCGAAGTACTGTAAGTCGCACGTAGTCGCTGCTATGGCCAATGGAAGGCATGCTGCCCAGGATAGGGCGGGAGACGGGTTTCCAAGAACGTCCTTCGACCAGGGAGCAGTACTCCAGAACACGGTGCCAGGGTACTCGGGGATTCCGAACGACGGCCCTGGGCTGCGGTGATCAGGTAATGATTCAGAGTTGGGAGTCAAGGCGCGTGATGAGGGAGCACGGCAGCATGTAGTGGCCGAGGGCGTGGTAGGGCAGAGCCTCATACACGTTGCGGCCGCTGGTGCTGCGATCGGGCGAACAGAAAACAGGCCAGGAAATGAAGTGCACCGGGGGCCTGCCGTCCTGGACGCAGAGTACGAGTTTAGCACACCACTCGCGTGCGTCGAAGCATGGCAAGTTCCGACGCGCAACAGCGACGGCGGTCCTCCGATTTCCTGGTCGACCGCGCGACTGGGTCGTTTGTGATTGTGCTCGTAGTCGCAGCGACAAGACGAGAGGAGGTGTGATTGTGCCTAGCCTGCGAGGGAGATGATGGCACGGCAGGGAGTCATGGCGGGCAGTCTTGGGCAGGATCTGCGCCTCCGCACGCAACGTCAGCAACTCGCCCTGCGAAGGCTCTATACCGACTGCGCTTCTGGGCATTCGAGGCATCTACCGCAGCGGTCTGGGCGCGGTGACGATGGGGAGGGCAGTTTCGAAAACGGCAGTGAGAGGACAGCAGACTGGACGGCGTCAGATCGGAAGCCGCTGCTGCGACTTGGCCGATATGGACGATATCGCGCGTAGGGCGCGGGCGGGCGATATCGATTCGTCCGATTCACAAAACTCACGCAGCGCCCAACTCCCGAGCTCCGTCGTCTCGGCTCGTGTTGCTTCTGCTCCTTGACATCACCCTCTCTGCGACTTGTCAGCAGTGACCGATCAGTCATAGCGCCATCCCAGCGTCCTGTTCAGAAACAGAGTTCACTTGGTCCCATGCCACCAAGTAGGCCTTTCCACGCCGCATTAGTGTGCCGCGCTACTGTCCAAGAGCCGCGCCAGATCCTGGCTCCCTCGCCGCTATGAGGTCGACGCACCGACGGGTCAAACGCTGAGAGCTTCCGTTGCGCAGAGGGATCTCTTGCACAATTGTCTAGCCTTGGGTGCCAGGATGGCCCTTCGCTGTATTACCAACATGGGTCTGAGCTTGGACTCCGCCATGCGCCTGCCCAGCGACACACCTTCTACGCCGAGCTGCTATATCATCGACCACTTCCTCCTGCCACGCTCGCAGCTTCTGCTAGTCCTTCATATTAGACTACTCCCCTTGCAATACTCTATCACGATCGCATCTGTCAGCACAAATGCAATAGGCTGACTGTCACACACGTCGATCAATCATCTGCTCGACCAAGATATCTCAAAGAACCATAGCACATCGCCCACCATGTCGCATCGCGGGCAGCTTTCCTGCCTGAATTCACAACCAGTGGCCTATCATTCACACAGCATGACACCTTCCTCACACTCCCCAGTCAACAAGATGACCCCATCACGGACGGCCTCGCAAGACTCGACAGCAGATGGGATCAGGAAGCGGGTGTGCAAAGCTTGCGATCGTTGTCGATTGAAGAAGAGCAAGTGCGATGGTTCCAACCCATGCACTCGCTGCAAGACCGACAATGCCATTTGCGTATTCGGGTAAGCCCATTGCGATGCGAATCTGTCCTTTCTACCATTCTAACGACTTCTCAGCGAGCGGAAAAAGTCCCACGACAAGGTCTACCCCAAGGGCTACGTTGAGATGTTGGAACAACAGCAAGGACAGCTCGTGAGCGGTCTTGTGGAATTGTACGAGAGGCTTGTGAAAGCCGACGCCTGGACTGGACCTCAGGTCGAGGAACACGATGGCAAGCCCTACACACACCACATTCTGGCCGCACTGGACTTGCTCGAAACGAGAGATGGGACAGCAGTTGAATTCGAGGAGGACACTGAAAAGTTGCAAGCGAAGTTGATCGCTGGAGGTGCTGGCATGGCGGGGCATCCTCGTCGGTCATCAATCAGCTCAGACTCCGAACACAGCCAACACAGCCACGCCAGGTCGCAATCACACGGCACACCTCAGCTATCACAGCCCGCACCGATCTTCAAGGAGGAGTTCAAGTTTGGAGTGAACAGTGAGCCCTCATCGCCTCCGGCCCCAAGCCCGGTACATCGCAGCCAGAGACATTCCTTCCAACAGCCAGCACACCCCTCACCTCTCCAACAAAGCTCGCCGGCCGGAGAAGATCCAACCATGTTCCAACCGGAATGGCAAAATTACCCTCCTGCCAACGACAACAAATATGCCACACAGCAGATGATGCGCAACGACTTCTCAATGCAAGCGCCGAGCATGCACCAGCAAATGAGCATGTCTGGCCTGCCTACCTCCTTCCAACAATGGGACGCGCCACAAGACTTCACCTTCGACATGATGCAGGACCCCATGCAAAACTGCTTCGATCCTTCCATGAATGCAGTCCAAAATAACAGATACACTGGGCCTGATATGACAGGGATGTACCACCAGGACAACATGGACCTCGACTTCGGTAATTTCGTCTCAGTACAAACATGAGAGGGAGGGCATTTCTACTTTGAGGATACGAATACGAATCCACACGAAAACAAACATTTCTGCAGCACCAGACAGGATTTGGAGCTTCCTCGTTAGGGCAGCACGAATAAGTTTCACGAAACCGAGCTTCCCAGGCGCAGGCCGAATTCGCGCATGAGGCTTTATCTGGGACGAGGAGGGGGGATAGCTGTTGCACTGCCAGCACAGCTTGCTAGAAGTATAATGGGACGAGGAAAGGTCAGCATCAGAGGAGGTTCTTTGATTTCTTATTTGCTCTTGCGTTCAAGCGAAAAACTTGATACCCATCGTTTATTTGTGGGTTTGCGTGTGGGAAGATCATAGAATTGGGAGGCAGCTTTATGTATAGAGCCATGGTACATACGATCGCTTTGGGGCCAGGCCGGAGAGAACTACCTAATACACTGCAACAATTGGAGATTCATCTCCTCTTACTACTTGATGCTTTACGACTCGTCGTCACGTTCTTCACATGTGCTGTAGGTTTCGGTAGTCGTGACTCGGAGCCAGAGTTCAAAACTGCTCGGCTTGGCAACAGTGCGCTGCGCCTGGCTTCGTTGCACTACTGTCGCACGACTGGACCAAGATGTTGCTCGCCGGCGCAAATGCCACCGCGGCCGCGGCTGCCGTGGTGTTGGTGATGCCTGCCATGTTGACTTCGATCGCAATTGCAACTTCAAATCCGGGCAGTGACCTTCCGTATTGCAAATTGGCTCCTCGCTGAATTCGCCAAAATTGTCAACTGGAACGGTCTCTGCACCTGGTCAGTGGTGAGGTCAAGATTGCGTGACGAAGGCCGTGTTGGTGAGATATATCGAGCAGTGATCAACAATAGCAGCCGGGCGGTGTTGGGGAACAAGCTTGCAAAGTCTGCTGGCATCCCGTGCATTCTGCGTTACGCACGCACCTACGCACAATGACCGCGTCAAATTCTCCGCTTAGACATCACTGCGCACACTCGATCACACTGGAGATGCATCTCGCGAACCAGACTTCTTGCGACAAGGACACATTGTCTTGAGGCCAAGAAGCTGTCCAATTGAAGCCGCAATACAGGCTAAAGACAGCTGTCGTGGAGAATTCACGCCCACTCTTGATCGGCTCCACCAGAGCTTGTGGATGAATGAGATGTGGTAGAAGAGAGCAGACAACCTCACGATTGTCCACTTTCCTGCCCTCGGTAGGTCTTGCGACTATTGAATCAATACCACTCACTGCACAACACCAGAACAGAACAGCCGCTCAAGATGGCCGCATCTCGATCTTCAGATGCATTTAAGTTCCTGTCTCAAGGCGGCCTTATCCAGGAATTCAATGTCGGCGGCCGCAACATCGTGCTTGGCTTCGAGTCGCCAGAGCCATACAAACACCGATCTAGCCAATTCTTCGGCGAGAACATTGGGCGAGTCGCAAACCGCATCTCGGGCGCAAAGTTCAGCTTGAATGGCAAGAGCTATGATGTGGCTGCAAATGACGGCGTGAATGCTCTACATGGTGGCCAAGAAGGTTGGGGCAAAAAGACCTTCGATGGGCCTCACAACGTATCACGCAATGGCCGTGATGCGTTGGAGTGGAAGTACGTGAGCAAAGACGGCGAAGAGGGGTACCCAGGCACAGTCGAGCTTCGCATGTGGTATTACCCCACTGTTGAGAAGGATGATGGCAAGGAAAAGACCAGCCTTGAAATTGAGTATGAGGTCGAATTGATTGGCGACGAGGTCGAAGAGACTGTTGTCAGTTTGACTAATCACAGGTACTGTATCATACCTCGCTTGCAAACGAATCCTTAATGCTGACACAACGTCTAGCTACTTCAACATATCAGATGGACCCACATACGAAGGCACGCGGGTAGTGACTCAAACCAACCTGCACCTCCCTGTCGACGCAGGCTCCATTCCCACAGGCGCCATCGAACCATACCCAGAGTTCGAAGCCAACAAGGAATTCATCTTGGGCGCCTCAAAGCCCGACCCAGATCACTGCTTCATCATGAATCCTGATCCTTCGAGCATACCACTTGATACGCGCAAGGAACCAATGAAGAAGCTCATCGAGCTCAGCCACCCCAACACCAAGATCCACTTTGAAGCACTCAGCACCGAGCCCGCGTTCCAATTCTACGCAGGCAGCAAAATTCAAGCTCCTCCTGCGAAGGAAGGCCTCCCGCCTCGTGGGCCTAGAAGTGGTCTCTGCATCGAAGCGAGCAGATATGTCAACGCCATCAATCAGGAGGAGTGGCGCCAGCAAGTCGTTTTAAAGAAGGGTCAGCTCTGGGGCAGCCGAACGATCTACAGAGCATGGGTAGAGTAAGATTTTCGTTTCTTCTCATCACCAGGTGCATACTGCATTGCATATACGCCCTGCAAACAAGACTCTTCTGCTTTTCGCCACTGCGCGTGCTGCATGTGGTATGCGAACGCGAGCGCACCTTCACCACTTTTCTACGATGTATGTCTTGTCGTGCAATCTCTCGTGGGCTTGCACAAATGCGCATAACCGAGTCATGAGAGAAAAACGTGTCTGTAGAATGGCGCAAATGGCTTGTTGGGCGCAAAAGAGGCTTGCAGTGGTCGCCAGCCCAGCGCGGCAGCGGCAGCCACTGCACTGAAAATCGGATTTGATCCGAATCCCGCCCGACACGTCAGGGCTGAACACTCATCCTACAGCGCGAAGTACATTCACAATGCACAGGAATTTGACAGCGCAACACGGCAGGAGATGTCTGAATTAGGGCATACAATTGACATGAGGATCACAGGTACGAATACGCCTGGCTGATGCGATATTCGGGTTCGAATATTGTTATTACTTGGCGGGATATTATCACGACCGGTTCACAGAATCCTCTTGTCGGCGTGCCTCACAGTACACACAATGGAGTCGCCTTGTCCTCAGGCAGTCCCGACAAGATGGCACCTGACGATCCGGATGACTCCGACTAAACCTCCCCTCTCGTGCTTATGTGCTGATGATCAGCATCTCACCCAACCACGTGGGAAGCAAGCAAGCAACGGCAACGGCCCACACGACTGCATATGTGCATTGCACCGCGATGCGATGACGTTACACAGGTAAGGCTCCGCGCTTCGCGGCATGGGGAGCGAGAGTCTTGGAGGAGTCTTGCGAGTCGTCGTCAAGGATGGAGTCGAGCCTTCCTCAACAACAAGCACAGCGCATCTTCCACGCGTCCCGCGCAACGCGTTTTCGAACGTCCACGTCGTCATGGAATAATCATCACAATGAGTGTCGGCGCAAAGTCGGCTGTAGAGAGCCTCCAACACTTGGAGACGGGCTGGACTACTACTGATGAACTGTGCCACAAAAAGTCGGCCTTAGGAGGTACGGTCTGCACAAGGTCCGAGATGCCGGGTTTCGCGAGCGGTTATGCATGAACTACGCGGCCGCGCCCAGCGCGCCAAGCAGCTTGCATAGTAATCGTCCAGCGAGCAGAGCCTTTGAAGCGGGGCGTAGTCGGTGGCATGACCATCATGTCCCGACTTCATCATCGCAACGGCCGAAAATTCGTGCGAAGATGCGGGCAGGACACGACAAATCATTGATGAGAATTAGTCTTGCATTGCAATGACTGTTGTACTCTGTACCTGTCATCAGATGCCGCACTTGCTAATCAGGAACATTAGCATGCTGTTTCGAAACTCTCTCCTGTCATCAGACACGTGCGTTGTGCGGCAAAGTGTATACTGGTCTCGTGCCGAATTGCGACTACTGTATTCTCTCATGCCGGACATTGAGACTACTGTACCTGCTAACAATTAGATTCATCTGGAGAGAAAGTCGATTCATGCACGACTTTCCACTTCCACTGACGTATCTCGATGCGAGCCATTCGCTCCGCGGACAAGCTTTTGCAAAGCAACGCGACAACTGGCTACTGTGCCGCAATCGTGCATTTTGCGCACGCAACGGCGTAGCGTGTGCAGAAGAAAGCCGTCGGCCGAGCAGCCCTTGTTCGGAACGTTGCCGCAGTAGCAGTATGCTGCAGCTGTGTGCTGATTCGCTTGATGTCGTGTGGTTGCTCCCGAACAACATACCACAACGGCCAATAATCGCCGGCCTGCTTTGGGGCTTCGATCGCAATCGAAGGAATAGAATGCTAGATACCCACTGCGTTGCGTCGTCAATGATGTGTGGTGAAGACATGATCCTCTGCACGAAATACGCGGATCAGAGATACGGCAGACGAATATTTCGGTGCCGTGCAGACGGAAGTCAACGAAGGCTACTGAATCAGTAACCGCTCCCGTAACCATATGAGCGAGGTGACGCCATTCATCGTTCACGAATTGGAGAAAGAAGTTTTTTCTCCTCCCAACCTCCTTCTTCGATAGCTTATTAGAAATCACAGCATGGCGTTCCTGCCGATGTCGCCAATGGCACGGTTGGGGTATGATGAGCATGCTCCTCTTTTCCTCCCACTTCGTCGCTAGTGGTATGATAGTGCTGTGGACTGTGGCTTGCCCTATGAAGATTTGGAGTGCGCCGTGGTCGGTCGTGCCGTGCCGACAGTGGTGCCTCTGCAGAACCTTGTTGCCGATCAGCCGTGGAGGGAGGCAGGTCAACGCGAGTGGATTTTGTGTCGATGTGATTCGGAAGGTATCGTACTGGTTGAAAAGGTGGTGGGGCGATGGACAAGTGATTTCTTTGCAGGAAAATTGGAGCAGAGAAGTGGTAGTGTCGCTTCCGAGAAGAGCGTTGGGGTCGTGATTGCTGTGTGAAGTGATTGATGAATCATCATCGTTACAGGGGTGCGTTACGATGGTCTTGGCGTCGATAACTCTAGCGCGAAGGTGCACGAAAATCTATCCTCGCTGAGCGAACATCATCAACACGACCACGTCCAAGTCACGTTCCCTGTCATCCTCATGGCATTGCAACCACCGAGCACGCAACATCAGACAGCCCAAATACGAGGTCTCTCGCGTGGAAGACAGCCGTCACCATGAACAACCCATGTACCTGGACTCCAAGACAGCGGTCGTGAGACTAGGGTGCAGCAATCAAATGGGCAATGCAATCCAACACGCGTCGAGAGCACAGGGACGAGTTGCGGACCTCATACATTGCATGATCATCACGAGGTGGTGCCCCGAGTGAGGCCACCTCGTTGTTGCAAGACGAATACAGACATTGGATCACTACGGACATTCATCAGACCTATCTCCGGAGACAAGACCTGATAATCCCGATCTCTGCTCGGCCTGTGTGCGCCACCGACATCCGACGAGATCTGCTCAGGCTTTCTCAAACTGCTCAAGTAGATCATCAACACCGGACGGGCTCTCATTTTCGGCCGGTGGACGATTGCCTGGGACCGCCTTTTCGAGGTCGTCATCGCGAGGTACCGCTTTCGCGGCTATGCCACAGAGTTGCCCAAGCGCAGCGACAAATACTCTGCGAACCAACTGATTTCGCACCAAGTCCGATCAACAGAAATGGCCATTCTAGGGCTATCATGGTTGGTGAAACATCTTTCTCATCACTTCATTATCGATGAGCGGTGTGAACGCGAAACTTTATTCGCTGTGCATCTGCGATGATACTTGCAATCGGCGTAATGCAACTGGTGGTATTAGGAACTATCTAGATTCCGACCGCTTCGGCAAGAATGTTCAAGTGGGCTGTGCTCATCTCCACGAAACACATGATGCAATGCAATGCAGAAGTGAAGCACAATACAGCTAAACGCCAGGCGGTGGCGGAATACTCTGAGGGTTTCTGAAGGTGTTTCGAGGATCATAGATTCCTTTGATCTGGATCAGTCTGGGAACATTGCCTCCCCAATACGCGGTAAGAGGATCCTGCAAAAAGGGATCCACGTAGCCGGGATAGGCACTCTCGTCGATACCAGGCCGCAGCTGTCGACAGAGTTGATTGAGACCGATTAGGAATTGACGGGACACAGGGCTCACTGGACCAAGAGGATTGACAACATAGCCTTGTTGGAAATGGATTGCATCGCGGTGCCAATATGCTGTTGCCGATTGTGGGATCTCTTCAATACGGCCTCCGTTGAGATCCCAAACGATGAACCAGATCAGAGTTCCCTTGTCGGCAGACTCCAGATACTGGAATAGCTGATCAACGGCGGCATCAGAGAGCAAAGTCTGTCTTGTGTATTTCAAATCGGTCGAGTAGAAGTGCGCAGGGATGGAGCCACCGATATCGTATATCAGATCCGAAAGGCTGTGTATGAGTCCCGTCACGACACGGCTGGTCACCGTGATGCCAAGATGCTCCTGGCCAAAGGGTATAAGATCCAAATTCAGTTGGTTGAAAGCAGCATCATCACCAAAGAACGTTCCCGCGAAGATCATAACGCCCTCTAGCAGCGTCAACGTTGCAGCAAAGTATCTCGAGAGTCCAGGATCGGCGATCAGGACTTGCCACTTCTTGAATGTATCTGCCAGGTCCGCGATTCTGCCAACAGTGATATTGTACTGAAATTGCGTGACAGCGCTGGGTGGCGGTGAGGTTTGCATTTGGATCTCTGTCATGATGCAGAAAGACCACGCCGCGCCTCGGACTGCGAAGAAGAGGTCTGGATGCTCATACTCGGATGCGGTGACGATACTTCCATCGGCGAGAACGCATTGAACTGACACAACCTGGTCTGATGCCAATCCGAGAAGTCGTGATAGAGGGCCCAATCCTCCAATTGCAATATGGCCACCAGTACCAATGTCACCCACCACGCCGTAAGCCATGACCCTGTCAATGGCCGCAAGCTGAACATCCAGGTCGGCCAGTTTGTTACCCGGTCCAAAAGTGACAGTTTGGTCTGCCGGATTATAGCTGAAATCGTTCATGTGCTGTAGATCCAAGGCCAGTGCACCATTCTGTCCGCCATAGCCTGTCACGGGCATCAGCTTGCCGTTACCAGAAACTACACCACAATCCTCACTCACCAAAATTCAGATAATTATGCCCTCCAGACTTGCCCTGCACCGCAATCCCATATTCCGACGCACAAACGACCAGCTTCGACACATCGATTGCATTCCTGGGATACGCAATCGCCGCGGGAGTCCAAGGCCAATCCAAATTATACGGATGATTATTCGTGAGCTCCTCCAAGATATCCTGCGGAAACGCATACAGCGCCGAGTTGTTGTCCAGAGCGCTCGCAATACACTGCTGAAAGGGTCCTTGCGGTGGAATCAGGCCAGCAGCATCGCCCACAACACCTCCTACACTCTGGCCCACATTGTCGAGTATGCCAGGCACCTCCCCAACAGCGTGCCCTAGAGAATCCGTGACCGAGTCGATAGCATTACTGAGCCCTAGCCCCAGGTCGCTCATCCTGCAAGTGGCGGTAAAGACCGTGTTCTAAATCCGAAAACGAATGTATGTTGAGCTCGATGTCACTGCAAGGAGAACGTTTCGTATTCCTCGCGCGCGCGCATTCGACCATGTTGCCCACAGCACGTTGCGCCCAACATCACACTATCCTCCCCGCCCCCTCCATGCATCCCGCGAGACTTCATTTCCCAGCCCGCTTGCTTCTCATTGCGCGGAAATTTCGGGCGGCAGCGGCCCTTTTGCAGAGCCTCTTGACTCTACGAGCGCCGAGACGTCGTGTCTCAAACGAGTAAGAGGGGGGTGTCAAATGATAATCCCCAGCAAGGGTTAACCTGGTTATTGGTTGTGTTGACGCGAGTTTGTGATCTGGAGAAGAACGCTAGTGAACGAAACACGCCAAACCTAGTCGTTCGGCTCTTGTGTGATCACGAATTTACTGATCACGAATCTGATCAGATCATTGCAGGGGCGCACGAGAGATTCCGAATTTGGATCGCGTTTCTAAAAATCGAACACCTGATGTTTGTTTGTTGCCGACGTGTTGAAGAAGATATCGCGAGAACGTGGCGGCCGGATTGATGCTCCGGTTGAGATGGAACCTGGCCATTGCGCTGTACCCAAACTGAAGCTAGCTTGAGTTCGGACACCAGGCCCGAGATACTGAGATCGCAGGGGTGGTTGTACTGATAGCTCATGGATTTGAGCTGTCCTCAAGGCGTGAATTCCGGGTCGAGAACCGCATGTCGTACTGCACTGCTACTTGCGTCCTGATCACGAAGAGACCCTAAGTCAGAGGGGTCCTTAAACCTGGTATTGAGTTTCCTGCGACTCATGACTGGCATTCTTCGAGAATAACCTCCGCCACTGGTCAAGCAGAAAGCTTTGAGTCTGTTTTCCTCAACTCTCCCCACGCTCGTTCGGACCTGAGCGAGGCTGGGCAAGGTGCTCCTGTCAAGTTCGGCGATGATGACCAATTTTCCCAGTCGACATGCTGGCTGATGACAGCTTAGGGCATTGAGGATGCGGCCGTCTGTTACGCACGCAAGCTGATCAACGACTCCATACACACGTGAAGTTGACTTGCCAGGTGTACGCAGATGTTCTTGTGATTACACTATCAGAAGCGTCTCGACTGTGAGTCCACAGCTGTCTCGGTGCCCGCAATGGCAAGCACTGCGAAAGACTTTACTTTACCGCCAGTGCGGTTCGTTTGTGCTGCATGTCAACATTCGCACGTAAACCGAGGCCTTGTTCCAGCATAGCAGATATGTGATGCGAAGCAAAGCTGTCACACGTAGTCCTCGGTTTTCCCCGGTCACCGCAATCCGTTAAGAGTGCTGACGTCCAAAAGAAGTTGCAACACGACGTGCACCCTGCATCGGTTGCGGTTTTCGGCAGACTGTGATGGGCTTGTTGAAAGTCTTTTCGCCCATGTCCAGTGCATCCCGTGCCATGGTACCGTTCTGCTGGGACGTAGATGTAGCTGTGTACTGGACGGTAGAGCTGACAAATGGCTGGTCCCTTGACAATGGTGTTGGGGTCTGTACCTGAGAGAACGCGGCCGCGTTGTGCAGAGACGTTGTTGGCAAGGAAGATCTGAAAGCTTCACGAACAGTTGAAGATTGCAGAGAGGGCAGTGACTAAGGGCTACGGCGTTAAGGCGTTTGAGAAAGGTCCGAGCCCGCGCAGAACACGGGTTACGAAAGCATTTGCTGGGGCTTCAAACACTATCTCTGTCACCGGTCACTTCGTCAGCACCCGCTGTTCTGGTTTCGACGCGGTCGTATCACTCCCTCCGTGGCCACTTTGATGCATCCGATTCGGTGACTGGGGTGTGCAAAGCACGAAAGAGGAAGCAGGCAGTTGGTCTTACCTTTTCGTGGAATCTTCTATTCACGGATCAGAGGGTCAACATGGTCGTCGTGCAGCTGTAAATGTAGGCGCCGAATCTCTGCAGAGCCAAGGCTTCAAACCCTGCTTGAAGGCATAAGAGAAGAAAGCACAGAGGGCAGAGAGGTGATGCGTTCCTCGCTGTGGCAAGATTTGGCGAGCAGAACAACTGTCATCCCAGATCGTGATTATGTCGATATTGACTGGCGATGAGCTCAGTACCTGAAAGTTATCTGCAGTGGTGCTATCCTCGCCGGTAAAGTGAGTGCGAATCCGGACGACTACACTTTCGTCGTGTGCGAGGATTATAGTTCATGTTGAGCTTGAACAGGTGAGGCGGGTGGCATGTCCTACGATGGCTGCCATCAAGCTGCTCGCTCAGGTTTCCGCCCAATAGTCACATAGAATTTCTTATGCATTCCCTTCTGAACTACGAGCATCTGCTTCAGCTCAGCTTGTAGCTGTGCAACCTCGTTGGGATCTGCAGCTTCGCCCATCGCCCTTTCTAACATATGGTACAGAGCATCGGGCAACTCTCTCGCAGAGTAATCTGCCATTGCTCGCATCTCCGGCGTCGCTTGTGCTTGTGCACCGAAGGGCAAGAATATTCGAACGTCTGAACATCCACAAAACCAGCATCGTTCATCCAATCTTTGACCTTCGATCCACATTTAAGATCCATGCCCTTCTGTTTACAAATCTCTTCATGCTTGTTATGCCATTTCCAGTTTTGACTGATGACGTTTTCATGTCCGTCATACCAGACGAAGTTAAGATCCTGAATTTCTGCCCAGCCGCCAGACTTGAGCAAGGAGAACTCCTTTTTGATAAACTCCGGCCAGTTGATCATACCACAGACGAGCAGCCTCAAGAAGATGTAGTCGAAGAGCTCCGATGATTGAGATAGATGGCGTCCGCCAGTAGTAGGTGTCCACAGTGAAGGTTGTTCCGAGCAGAAATCGCCCTTGAAGAATCGAGTGTTCGCTCTGAGTACACGACTTGCTGGAACCTGCGAGAGATCGAGACCAATGCACTCAGCTTCTGGATATGAGGACGATATGAGATCTGTTACCACGCCAGTACCACAGCCAACATCGAGGATGCGCACATCTTTGCCGGCGACATTGACAGGTGCATAGAGAATCTTCCCATGCATCATGGCTGATAAATGTTCTGCTTGCCTATCCAAGCGTTGGTGCTCCGCAGAGTCATTAGGTAATGCGTATTGCGCATTCTCGTAGTGGTGGTAGGTCGGTTGTCGTTGCCGGTCGTCTATCGAATTAGTGGCCTCCTGGTCGTTGCTGGATGTCATCGCCATGTTTGAGCGCGCAAGCAGGAGTTGCTTGTTGAAGTTCCAAATGCTCGTCAGTATCACGCGATGCTGCAAGGTCAACGAATGTGTAGACGGGCGCGGCTGATGAAGTATTTGTTGCACAGCTGGTTGCTCAGCACAGCGAGCGGAGGAGACCTTCCCGTGAATCTGGACATAATCAGCGGGAGGCCTTGTGAGAAGGATTCGATGCTTTGTGGTTAGTAAAAAATCAGCCGCAGGAGCTGAATGAAGAGCGGAACTTTATGCTTCATGATGGCAAATCGTTGCCTAGCATATCATTTGACAGATTGCGCTGATTTTGACACCATCCTGATGGAAGTTTGCGAGAGGCTGCCTTTCAGCCAACCACAATTTTCTTCTCTGCTCCGCATGTAGAATCTGCAAATATCTTGTGAATACTCTGACAGCCGAGCAGATGTAGAATGAGCGTCGCCAGTCCCATGTCGCTGGTGGTCGCCGACATACTTCACTGTGTTGAACGAACGATAAGTAGGAATGAAAACTGCTGTGTGCACCACGCCGCGTGCGTGCATAAGCAAAGGATCGGCAGTGCTGCAGCATAAGCTCATCAGACTACGCAGTCAAGCTTCCATGTGCTCACGACTCAACGCTTGAGGGGATTCGTGGGAGCTTGACCAAAGCTTTGTTCCTCGGCAGCGGCGTTCCGGAGGATGGTAGGGCCAGTATCGAAAGCGATAAGTCGCTTCAGACTGTCGTTGTGATGGAAAGCCCGTGCGCCCGCGATTCTGCTATGGTTGCTGTACACGTTCAGGTCTTGCGAATAGATGGGAAGGTGGCGTAAGCCGGCCTTGACAGTACATCTGGTCTAGCCTTGGCTGAAGTGACATTGAGACCATTTCGTATCGGCTTCTCGCAAGACTGCTTCAGCGGTCATGGCTCCCATCGCAACATTGTAAGTCTGTACAATACTGTGAGCTTCACGCATGCTTCATGAATGATCTGATGACGCTCCGCGCGTGGTCTGGAACAACGTGGTATCCGGGCAGTCCATTTTGTGGGAGACACTTACCTCTGGGGGAGGCTCATAGGAACCACGCCAAGTGCCTTCGTAGATGTACTTGATCTCAAGAAAGATCTCGAGCGCCGATCGTTCAATGCGAGCAGCATCCAACAGCTCCTCGATAGCACATCGAAATGTGGTCGTGCCGCTGAAGCCTTTTCTACACTCTACATCAAGTGCGGAGCCTCTATGGTCCCATGGTGGTCGCGTCAATTCGATGTTCAGCAGGATGTGCAGTGTCCTCAGACCCGAAAGCTGTGATAGTAATGATGGCATCCCCGCTTTGGTCGTATAGATCACCGATGGATATTTCTGTCGGCCGATAGGAATCTCAAAGTCCAGGGTCAGAAGCACTTTACGAACCGGGTGAGGTAGCGCGGGCATAAAAGGAGGAGGTAGAGCTAGTCTGCCGCATTCTGTGCGCTGAAATTCCACATCAATGTGCAGTATAGATTGTTCGAGTATCGCTTGTACGGACAAAGGCATCAGCACATCGGTCGCCGGGGATTCGCCCAGTAGCCTGCGCGCGGCAGCATTTATTGAAGCCTCGTCCTGAAGATACACATGATTCATGGTATCGAGAACCATATATTCCAGGATCTGCAGCACGAGCTCCTTTGGCAACTTCTCGGCCATGATCAGGACCAGTGGTCGATCACGATGCCAGCGGCGTATCTCGCGGATGCACTGCAAGCGGCGTCTTGGAATGTCGCATTCGTGTTCTGGGTAGTAGTGTTTCAATGGGGTCCTACACCCTTGACGCTGGAGGGAACGAAGTGCAGACTCCTCCAGATGTGGATTTTGTTCAATCTTCCATGCCGAGCGCTGAACCACAGGCTCCCATTTCGGACGTATTGATAGCTCCGCAGGAGAGAGCATGGAATAGTAGTGAGTCTCGTTACCAGTTCTTGGGTTGACCCACGGCCAGCACCGCTTATCCGCTGCCAGCGGATCGCTCTCTGAGGCATGTCGCCGGCGATGCCTGCTACTTGACATGCCTTCTGACGTCTCGAACTCAAGTTTCCCTTTGATAGGAGTAAGAAGATGATAGTCTGCCAGTTGTCTAAAGAGCCTCACTGAGGCTGATGTTGCCGCCTTCGCGTGATCACGGGATTTGCGGTGTTTGTATGCTTGAGGCTCTGGAGCCAGTCACTCGTGGTTGACGCGCCGACACATAGACTGCCAACAGTCTAAGCAGGACACTTGCAATACAGGCAAATGATGTTGTTGGATCAATCAGCAGCTGTGAAGTTGTGCAGGCAACGAAGGAGGTTGATAGAGGTTGACTGAGACCCACGGAAGTCGCGGGACGCAAACGCCGATGCGCGGAAGTGACGACGACAAATTCCCACAGTCGCGTCTACAGAAACACCACCACGCAAACATCAGGCGCACAATGTCATCGGCCACAGAACCGCCTGAGGGCGTACAAACATACACATCAGCAGACGAAGTACCCCAAGAACTGCAGAAATACTGGCATCAGCGCAATTCGATCTTCTCCAAGTACGACGAAGGCATCTGGTTGACGGATGATGCCTGGTTCGGTGTGACACCCGAGCCAATTGCAAAGTAGCACATCTCTTCATTTGCTACGAGACCACAACTGACGAAAGTACAGAAAGATTGCTGAGCATGTGGCAACCGCGCCCAAGGAGAAGAAAGTCCTTATCGACGCGTTTGCTGGAGTCGGTGGCAATGTGATCGCGTTTGCCCTCTCCGGACGCTGGAGCCAGATCTTCGCAGTCGAAAGGGATGCGAAGACACTCGCCTGCGCAAAGCACAATGCCGAGATCTACGGAGTTGCGAAGAAGATATGGTGGATTCATGGCGACATTTTCGACGTGCTGAAGGCGCGTTTGAAAGCGTCTGCAAAGAGTGCTGTGATCTTCGCCAGCCCTCCATGGGGAGGACCTTCGTATACGGACTGGGATGTTTTCGACCTGTCTTACATGGAGCCTTACAATATGAAAGCTCTCTGGGATGCTTTCTCGATTGCGAACGAGGTCGTGCTGTACCTACCCAGGACTTCGGATGTGCAACAGCTGGCCAAATATGCCAAGGAGAATGAGAAGCTCCCTGTCACCCACTATTGCATGAGAGGTGCAAGCAAAGCGCTTTGTGTGTTCTACGGCTCTTTCGGGTTGTCTTGAGATGCGGCGTACAAATTGATGAATCGAATGGACTACGAGAATATCAGCATTCTGGACTAAGGCTATCGTCATATCATAAACTATCTCAGCGCCTTTTGGAAGCGCTGCTTCCAAAGCCCCGGGTTCTCATCTGTAGAGAAGGGCTACACGGACTATGCTGTCACTCCACAAGCTGCATTTACAACTCCACCGGGACCTTGTGCCAGGCATTTCCCAGGAGTCCACGAAAGTTCCACGTCGCATCAAAGGTCTGCGGCTGAGTGTTGTAGCCCTCGTCAACAGCCTTCACCACAAACACTGGATTCGCTTGTGGTAGCTTGTCCTTTGGCCAATCGATAGTCCACTGCGTCCAAGCCCATCTTCTGGTACCTTTGGCGTCGTCTTTACGCAAACAAGCTTGTCTCCAGGTTTGACCACCGTCTGCAGATACGTCAACACGGACTATCTTTCTTCCGCCGCCACTGAAAGCAAAGCCGTTCACGCGTAGTGGCACGTTGCCATCGTCACATCTCATGATGTCGGTGATTGCACTCTGAACGGGCATTTCTTGGATGCTTTGTGCGGCCTCCCAGTCCTCCGCCTTGAGATCAGAAGCTCGCACGTTTGGCCCGAAACACTTATAATCTCGAGCATGCCAATTGGATTGAGACTCTTCACAGCTCAGGCGAACTTTCCCGAGCCACTTCACGCTGCGCGTCGCAACGCTTCCCGGCACAATTGCTCTCAAAGGCCCCCCATGATCGCGGGGCATTTCTTCACCATTCATCTTCCAGGCCAACAGGACGTCCGAGGCAGGATTTAATGCTGTCTGAAGGGGTATGCTTTGTTCGTATGTGTCAGAGGGTGCGCAAAAGTGGATATGCTGGTCCGCGTCTGGGTCATTCGGACACGTCGCACAGGCTTTGTCCACATCGTAACCAGCGTCGATCAAGACGTCGCGGAGACGAACGCCTGTGAATTCTGCAGTACCAATGGCACCAATGTCCCACTGAAGACCAGAAGTCTTGCCGTGCTGAGATTCGTTCATGTGCGCTCGGCGATTTCCTGCGCACTGCAGAGTTGCTGTAATCGTGTGCACTCGGAATTTTGATTTGAGGTCATCGAGAGTGTACGACACCTCTTCGCCGTCGGACAGCTCGATTTTCAGCTCATGCTCACTGGCATCGATTTTCGGCACCCAGAGATGATGCCTCACAAAGAAGAGTCGCAAAGGAGTGATGAAGTCGCCAAGAAGCCTGCCAGGAGTCTCTGCATTGCAGGGTTTGGGTGTTCGCACGATCAGCTCTGGATCGCGCTCTGGGTCATCCTTGAATGGATCGTCGATACAAGCGCCCTCAGTGCCAGACCAATTGATCTTGCCTTGACTGTCCAGATCCCTTTGGTCCAGCTCACCAATGTAATAGTCGTCGAGAATCCGCTTCACTTCTGGCTTGTTGTGAATGCTGAACAGCTTCCAGTAAGGATCGATTGAGCCACCGCAAGCGCGAAGAATGACCTCTCCGCCTGGATGTGCCTCAACGAACGAGGTAATGTCGTATACAGACGTACCATGGATGACCCATTTGCTCGAAGATGATCGATCATGCTTGACCACTTCTGACAAACGAAACGTTGTGGAGTCCGCCTCTTCATCAACAATGACCTTCACATCGGTATCCTCGTCCTCAGGAACTTCGACGATATTGTCTTGGACCCATGAAACCACTGGAGCGGCCAATACAGCTACCGCAGAAGCTCCAAACAACACAGCCAGGACGCCCTCAGCATCAGACTGTCGAGCGTGCGAAGCGTTTCTCCAGTAAGAAGACTGGCGTACCCCATTCCACTGCAAAAACCTCTCCCGCCTCTTTACCAGCAAGGACGATGTATATCTCGACCCACTCTTTCGAGCCTCTCCGGGCGCAATTTGCTTGACGTGATTCGTCGACAGCGTTCTAGGGCCAGCAGGCCGTCCAATCGGGTTCTGACATGGTTTCGGGGTGTGGAGCAGTGTTTTCGGGATGCCGATGAGTTGTTTGAGACGAATTTGGCCTGATTTCGACATTTTCGTGGTTGTTCATGGCCAGTCAGCGCAACGACAGAAGGCGTGATCAGAGCTTGTACGTTTTGGGAGCGGGCAGCGGAACAGGGTGAGTGGGACTGCCGGACTACCTGACAACTGGACGCCGACCAACCGAAATCACGTGAAACGTACTTGTAGGGCGTGAAGTCGGTCAGTCGGGCTTGCTTCTTGTGATTGGAGTGCAGGTGATCAGCTTAAACCTATCGGAGCCATTTGATAGTGTAATGCCGTGGGTATGCGATATCAGTGGTTCAACGACATGCTTTGAACGACGACCCGAGACCGCTGACTGGAAGAATCGGATTGTCAATGGCAATAACGGCGCCCGAATCTGGTACAGTCGTACTCCGGCTTCTGATTGCAGACAGCACAGTGTCGCTGAACTTGGCTGCTTCAACGCTCTTACCATAGCCCTTGACGATGGCATGGCGAGTATCACGAAGTGATCAGCACTGCGGAACGCGTGTCGTGACCAGACTGCGGAGTAAGGACGGACAGCGCGGCAGCCGGATATACCACGTGAACCAAATTCGCCTTTAGCACCGTGCCCACTCCTCTTAGGATGGCTATCGTCGTTCATTGCATACACTTGGAGTCCGCCGGATGCTAATCACCAGTCATCTAGTGCACTCTTACGGGCGAGTTCGTCCAGGTTACAGCGACCAGCAACGTGAATGTCATCGGGTAGGTGCAAAGCATACACATTTCCACCATCGGGGACAGGAACACTGGTCTAGCGTACAGATGCACGACGTGAAAACCAGAGGCTGGCATTCTAATGCTGAGCCTGTCATCTCCCCACAACCAGAGACATTTCGGCAAGGACGATGCGTAGACACACCGCTAGGCTGGCCCAGTCGCAAGGGCATCCAACAACGAGAGTCAGAAGGAAAGCACAATGAGTTTTCACTCATGGCTACCAGAGTGACACCCATCTTGTGTGCCCCCATGCCACGCGAACCTGGATACTTGTGGCCTTCTTTGTAAGGTCGTTCTTGTCGCGCGGCCGTGTTGGAATTCTCGACGACGCCGAGCCATGCGCCTACCTAGCAATATGCTGCTGGCATCCAAATTCTACCACTGCCAGCGCTTACAAAGACATGCTCCGCCAGCATGCGAGCACAATAGTGATTAATAATCCGGGCACACACAGCAAGGATTGTCGTATATACAAGAGCTATACGAAGTGAGACAGGGAGTCTATGACCTCAAAAGTGCGGTGGGACGTCAAGACCGAATCGCGTTTGCCAGCGTAGGCGGCAGTGTCAGCAGCCGAACGACGATGCCACTGCATAGACGGCAGAGGTAGCAGCCGATAGCGACCTAGTCATTGCAGTGCAACTAGACAACAAAGTTGAACCTTGGGGGACCTAAACGTCGAAGGACGAATCAGTTGTGACACATCGCACACAAAGCAAGTCGCATCGCTGGGACTTACCCCAGCTTCACAACCGGGATATGGCAAGCTTCTAACTTTATCGGAACGTGGTCACTGAACAAAGCGTTTTAGCTTTTAGGGCGCACGGCATCAGACCAACATACAAAAGTCGTCACTTGACACAACTTGACACGTTCAAGACATACAGCTCAATTTTCGACCTCCACTTGACCGCAGTCATGCCTCACGCTACCGCCCCTGCGGAGGGCTCGATCGAAACTGTTATGAATTACCACTACGAACCGGCACCAGGAGAAAAGACAAAGATTCTGTATATTAATACTGTCGGCTCGAAGCGCATGAAGAACACTCCGCAGGTTGTTCAGGTCACAGACTTGCGCAGCACCGATAATCACTTCACTATTGATGAGCATGGCTTTCAGTTTCTGAACTACCCCGGTCCAGTGGGCCAGAAGCACGAGTCCTTCGAGAACGAAGACACTGTCAAGGAAGTCATACTCAAAGAAGCCGAAGAATTGATTAAGAAAACGTAAGCCCTTGTCATTGGCAATTCCACAGGCAGATACTGAGCAATTGACAGTACAGGTGCTTCCAACGTCTACGCCTTGCATCACGTTATTCGACGAGAACCAACGCCAGCAGCTGAACACATACCAGCTGATGTTCCAGACGATGAGGTTTGGAAGTCGAACGGTACTCCGGCAATGCACGTGCACGTTGATCAATCATATAGAGGCGCCGACCTCATGCTGCCAGAACTCAAGTTTGAAGGGGCAGATTACTTCCGATCCAAGGCACAAACTTGCAGATGGGCAGTCATCAACCTTTGGAAGCCATTGAAGACCGTCACTCGCCAGCCGCTAGCTGTTTGCGATGCCAAGACTGTGCGAGAGGCTGACCTTCGACCCTATCCTATGAAGGTGCGAGCAGAAGACTCCTTGGATAAGAAGGAAAGAGAGTTCGAGATCTGGCATGTCATGGCGAGCCCAGAGCACAAATGGTACTGGCCATCTGATATGAAACCAGACGAAGCGCTGTTGATCAAGTGCTTCGACAGCAAGCTTGAAGGAGTCGCGAGAAGGGCACCACATAGTGCGTTCAATTTGCCAGATGACCAAGGTCCGCCAAGGGAAAGTATTGAGATAAGGTGTGTGGTATTGTGGGAGGATCAGCCCAAGGAATAAGGGCTGGCGCGTCGTATCTCGGCAGATATGCTTTTTGAAAGCTATTTATTTCTACTTTGACTTACTCCATTCGGCATGAGCGGTCGACTTTGGTCTCACTGACACCCGCGCTAGGCTGCCCAATCAGCCCAAATCGTCGATGTCAGCATGATATACACCAGCTCGGGCTCAGCTACCCCCGATTTAGTAGAGACAACAATTGCGAACATGCGTCTTAATATACAACACGGTGTCACCACTGAAGGTCCCGTCAATGATTAGATCGCCTGACTGCTTTCCTCACGACATGGGCTCCAACGTGGTCCCATCGGTCATGAGCTCTTGGTGTTCACAGCTTATGTCAAGCTTCAGCAATGATCGCCAGCGACCCGCACGAGCAGTGTGGTACAACAGCTCCACCTATCAGCAGCTGTGATACAGTGCAATTCACACTCCTCTGCGTTTCGCGCAATCGACTAGTGTTTGCTGTAAATACAGGAGATATAGGCGGATCCGGGCAATCATCCGTCCGCGCAATTGGATGTTTGCTGCAGAACCTACTTCCTACTCACCTGTGGGACCCAAAAAGCTGCTGTTCATGCAGAACCCAGCTCACGGTCGAAGGATCACACGCATGAACATGCAGGCAGAAGGTCGGGCTGCGTATACACTGCACCGAAACGAACGAATACGAGCCCGCGGACTGCTGGACGAAGCGCTTGGTCCATGGGCCTAGACCACCCGGTCCTGCGTTTCGACCAGGGTGCTCTGGGAACTGCGGGTCCACACTTTCGCGCAGGACCGCAGCTGGTTCTGTACGGAGGTAGAACCTTCCAACAGCATGCTGCGCATCACTCGTAAGAGGTCGCACGACTGCTGCAGGATGCACACTGCCACCCACTAAGCCTCTCAGTTACACCGAAGGCAGACACCTTTTGTTCTGACCCAGCTTTTCCGAAACCTTGCTCTTCTTGATGAGGTAGGTGTAGGTGTACTTTCTCGCCTGTTCGTTCTTCCATGTCCCTTATCGTCTCGATCCCCAGCTTCACCTGCATGGCATCCCACATGGGAGCTGGCGGAGCCGCTCATCAACCTCCAGCTCCAGCTCCAACCCTCTCGACAAGACCTCTCCCAGGCCCAGCCGGATATCGTACTTCCTCGGAAGAAGAACATCAACCTCCCCGCTCCGAGCCCGAAGACATCTTCTACCAAATCGACCAAGAAATCAAATTCATCCAAGAAGAACTCTCCGCAGCGTTCGCCAAAACCAGACAAGAATTCGATGCCGCTAGCAAAGGACAGCAACAACAACATCGTACCTCGACTTTCCCTCAACGCCATATAGAAGCTCTCTTCCACCTCAAACAATTCTCTCCAATTTTCCGAAATGCCTACAAAGACCTTCTCTCTCGCCTTCCCATCTCCATCTCCCTCCGATCTCGCAACGCCGAACTCGGCGTACCCATGACTTCTCCCGTCGACATGCCCAGCACACACTATGCTCGTTTCCGATGCGTTTACGCCGATACAACAGCGAACATTACCACGCAGCAGTGCGAGACCTGGACTTTCAAGCCGTATGTGATTGACACTTATTTGCTCGGGTTGAGTAGGATTTTGGGTGCTGCAGCGGATACGATGTTGGAGGGGAATGAATTGGAAGCGCAGTTGGCGGCGGGATATCGTCAGATGTGTTGTTCGGGGCATGAGGATAAGTTGAAGGAAGAGCAGGCGAGTGTTTTTGCTGTGGCTAGTCGGCCGGTTGTGATGAAGTGGAGGGATGATGTGCAGTTGTGGTGGTCTGTGGGGAAGAGGAGTTGTATGGCTGCGAAGGGGAAAGGTGAGAAGGTCTGAGAATGATGGGGAGGTATGGATTTAATGTTTTATTTGGGGATGAAGCATTTTGTGAGCGTTTCGTTGGCGCAGGACGCTGAGAGGTGACAGACCTCGTAATTTGAAGATGCAAGTGAGATTTCTGGAGAGCTGAGACACAGTAGAATAGGAAGAAGGCTTTTGAATTGGTGTGCTCTATCAATGCACAACTTGTTAATGTCTCAATGTGAAGGTCGTGATATCGATCTCGTGCTCGTTGGCACAGAACTTTCTGTAATGCCGAAAAATCAATGCCCGGTGCTGTACCACAACGCCTCGCTCAGTCAAAACCTCTCATGTCATATCGTCGTGTCTGTATCTCTCATCACCAAAGCGCCATCTACTTCTGCCTCCACCACATGTCGTGATCGACGATCAGATGCTTGAAAGTAGAAGACACGCCAACGCTCCATCTGTTGTGAATCTCGTCAAGGCAGTCAATCAGCGCCATTCTGGAATAGAGCATCGTGTCGTCGTCTTCGTCTTCGCATTGCTCATGATACGCCACGTACGCATTGTAGAAAGCTGGACCAACCAGATCCATGCCGAACTGACCAAAAGCTTCTGCCTTCTCGCTCTGGCCTGCATGAGCAAGTGTGACGCTGACAGCGGCGAAGCGAGTTGCGAGAAAGGCGGCGGAAGTGGCGAGAAACTGGTCGTAGGCCTTGGATGAGATGTGGGAGTTGAAGGTGCTGTCTTCGGAAAGCTCGATGTCGGCGAGGCAGGCGGTCTGGATCTTGTGGTATTTCTTGGAAAAGTCGAGTTTCTTTGGCTTGACGTGCTTGCTGATGCGGCCAGAACGGACCTCGTTGATGTATTTGTTGCGGTTTGCGCGCCTGCGGCTGAGCGGCATGTCGTCCTCGCTGTCGTCGTCGCTCTCGGAGGTGGATTTTTCGGCGAGAACACTGTCCTTCCGTGAAGCTTTCGACGGAGCGTTTGGAGTGTCTGGCTTCTTGGTGCCTTTGACGGAAGGTGTTTTTGGGAGAAGGTCTTCTGGCATCGCCGAGATCACGCTGTTGTATATGTGAACGCCGGTGACCTGGCGCGCGAAATTCGGCTTGAAGCCATTGTCAATGAGATATCTCTGCAGGTGGCCAGTACACACATGGTCTGACTGTCTCTGCATGGCGTTGCGAGGGCCAGATGGCGCTGGCGGGACGTCGGTATCCTGGATGTCGCGGAAGCTGTCCAGAATGACCTGGGAGGAGATATTTTCGTGAATGAAGGTCTCGTCGAGACCTTGGCGAGTCAGGTAGCTCTGTATGTAGATGGTGAAGGGGTCGCGGACCACCTCCGCTGGCGAGGCCTGCTCTGCCGTGGTGCTGGAGACGATGTTGGTGGAGGGCTCCATTGGATGGCTGGTATGGGTGTGAGAAAGTGGAAGCAAGGTCTCAAAAGTGGTGTGAAGGGGCAGTACGTGATCGTCAATGTTAGCAAAGAAGAGAAGAAATGGAAGAGAAAGTTGGCCCTCTTATGGTTCTCATTCACAATAGGAAGAACCTTCACTATTGATTAACTTAAGGACAATGTGAAGTTTCATGTGACAATAGCCGTATTGTGCTTGTGCAAGTGAGGATCCTATTGTGCGAAGTAATTGTCGTGCCCGCCAGCTCTCGCGCAATAGAGGATGTTGGAGGGTATTGAGAGTGACGACGCGCCAGTAATGGCATTCTTGAGATTGTCGGAGAGGCTGGGGGTGATTATTGTGGTGCGCCTGTGGTGGGCGAAGATGGTCCTTAAGTGAAGGTCTTGGCAAGAGCCTTTGCATGAGACTCTGCACGCTTCGCGAGCTCTGAGCCCTCGCAGGCGCCCGCGTTGCTACAACTGAAGTTGAAAATTTTTGAGAGAAAAGACTGTGGTGTCCCATAACATGGCTGAGCCTCGGTGGAGCGCGGCAGGGAAGTGCATGGAATTTGCAATTCTCACCGTGAGCCGACTCTGCGCTTCCACTGCGCACTCCTCTCCGCACGGCTGGACGCCTGGGTGCTGTCAGATATCAACCTCGAGTACAATCTTTTGAAGCAATCTGTCAGAGATGCCCATCGTTGCACTAGATGAACCCAATCCACTTTCTTGCCTGTGGAGGCCGAACTCGTGGCCATGCCCGAAGGCTTCCACGCATCATGCTCGATGCTATGCCATCTCGTATCCATCTCTTGCCCACCTCATCTTGAGATCTGCAGACATCTCTTGCCAGCACAGCCATTCTGGAAAGTCTCTCTCGCATTTACATGCAGATCGGAAAAATCGCAGACATGGCAACGAGAGGGCTCCGGTAGATGGCCGCTTCGCGAAGCAAGATCGGATGAAATTCTTCTCGGACGCTGGAGGCCTGGATATGCCGTTCTGCGCACGCAGGACATAGGCTTGACGGGATGAGGGGCTGTGGGATCAGGAGTGTCGCTCTGAGCTTCACTTGGAAGCTGCGGCCCGACGCGGTTTAGCGCAATCACTTACGCCAAGCCCTCGCTCTTGGAAGCTGAACGCGTCCACCGCGTCTTTCCAACAACATCAAACGCATGATAAGCACAAAGTTGTCTTCGAACTTGTGTCTACGGACCGGCCTGGGCAGAACTGCTAGCATGTATACCAGCTCAGCCCCAAGCCCCGATGAATGCGAGAAACAGGGTCTTGTGCTTCGCGCTTGTGGCTGTGGCTGATCTAGAATTATGTTATCCCAACCTCACAACTTCAGCTGAAGCGTGTCTTGCATTCTGACACATATAGGCCGCTATAATTAAGAAGCGTCTCGAAGCAGTACCTGTAGCCCTGGGCACAAAACACAATGCTCGCGCGAAGCCGCAAACCGCACTCGCAAGATGCGGCGCCGACCGTGCAATTCATGTCAGACCTCCACCTCGAACGCGTGAAGTACGACTTTGAGATCACCAAAGCCGCGCCGATTCTCCTTTTCGCAGGCGACGTTGGACGTTTCTGCGATGAAGCACTGTATCGAGCTTTTCTTGCCAAACAATGCTCTCAATTTGACAAAGTCTTGCTCATCGCTGGCAACCACGAGTTTTATGGTAGCAGCCGCGAAGAAGGTCTTGCCATAGCACAGAATCTTGTCGAAGACGAGGTCATGGGCGGCAAGCTACATTTTCTCAATCGGACAAGATTCGACATTCCCAGCTCGAGCACAACGATCTTGGGCTGCACACTCCACTCCTATATCGCCCCAGACTACACCAGACTGACCAACGACTTCAATTGTATCAAGGACTGGAGAGTTCGAGATCACAATGCTGAACATGAATACGATGTGGAATGGCTCCAGACCACCCTCGCCGAAATGTCAGAGGAATCGAGAAACCGGAGAGTCATCGTTGTCACGCATTACGCACCGGCCTTCGAGAAGACTTCGCATCCTGCTCATACGAACAGTGATGTCAGTCAATGCTTCTACAGTAATGCTCTCGAGCAAATGGCGAGCTGGAAAGGGACTGAGCAGGTCACAGACTGGATCTTTGGCCATACGCATTGGAATGCGAAATTCCTAGTCGGCGCCGTCTTGGTGCAAAGTAATCAGTACTGCAACGATTCGGAAAAGCTGAGTTGGTGGCAGAAGAAAACCTTGTATCGGCCGTTCGAAATGGAAGCGAAGCTGCAAGTTTTGAGATAGCATGAACGGACTGCGAGCGCCACCGTTCAATGTATATTGACCCACTGAGGTTGATGTTTGGAATTCTGTTGACTCATTTCGTCGGCCAATTCGCCTTGCATTATGCCATGCACGTAGCAAACGCCTATGAAGAGGTAATGATCGCCCTCCTCTCTTAGTATCCATGGGACACTATTGCCGAGCGGCAAGAAGAGCAAGTCACCGATCTGTAGATGCTGCGACCCAAGCCCCATATAGCCTGCTCTAGTGAAGAAGATCTTGCGAAAACAACTGTGAAACTTGAAGTGGTACAAATATTTCACGCTCTGACCAGCGCCAGTGCCTTCGGCGTTCCGAGTCAAGCTGACGCTGGTCATCTCGGCAAGTCGATTTGCTGTGCCGGCTAGATCATCTTCTGCCTCGACCAGAAGACGGCTTTCGTTGCTGGTTTGCAGTGCTCCCGCAGCAAGAGTTGCCGCGAGAGCCATGAGAGGCGTTTGTCCTGAGTGAACGCCCAATGCTGTCCTTGCGCGTGGCAACGCATACTGTATAGCAATTGCAAGCTTTTTGATGGCGAGGTCGCCGTCCTCCTCGGCCGTCCCGTTTAGTAAGAGCTCAGACACTTGATCTACGACATCCAGGAAGACGCCTTGACAGCGGAGTATCGGATCAGTGAGGTCTGTTTCGAGAAATTTGGGCGCGCCATTTCTCGAAGCTCGAAATGTCCACCAAGGCAGTCCAGACGGGTTCTTCAATCGGTCATAAGCATCTTGCCAAAGCGGCGACCAAGTCGGCCAATTATTGTCGCGATACCAGCTATCAGGTCTGTTACCACAGGTTCTCGCCCATCGCATGATTTCGTAAGACTTGTCTTGCGAGAAGGCTGTCCTCGTAGCTTGTATGTAGACACTTTGAAGCGGCAAATCATAGTTGGGCTGGAGTTCCTGACTCACAGACGTGTGTGCAAGTCCAAGGACCGCATAGACTTTGTCTCGCATTTCGGAATTTGCGTGGCTGTGCGTGACCTCGAGCAGGTATGTCATTGGCAGTCCATCATAGCAAAGACCTTTCCGGCATCCACCTTCGTGCGCAAGGTTCAGTTTGCAAGCATGCCACACTCGAAGGTTGTAGAGCGTCTTGCATCGGCTAATGCCTCGTGAAAGGGCGTCTCTGTTGATCTCGAAGCTACCACTGTGTCTCTCTACTTTGACCAGCGCACGCGCCACCATTATGGCATCCGTCAGCGGGATATTTTGTTTGCCATAGAAAGCAAGTGCTGTCTTCGCTAGCGCAGCTTCTTGAAGGATCCACAGTCTTCTGAACCAGGGGCTAGAATAGAATTCGGCGAGCGAAGCTCTAGGTAGGTCGCGCAAATAATCTGTCACTGGCAAAGCTGTGTCGTAGTCAAGCAGCTTGTCAAGTTGTGCGCGCGAGCCTGCTGCTTGTCGAAGCGCCTCTGCTGCAGCCGCAATTCCTGTCATGATCTCTTGGTGGCCATTAAACGATAGTCCGAGGAAAGCCAGCACTTGTACTGCCGTCGAGTAGATATCAGACATGAGCAGGACCTGCTGTGCTCTCTCCTGTCTGTCGCTGAGATTGATGCACACAGCATCAATCCAGATGAAGCATGTTAGATCCTCCGATTCAAGGAAGGATGCAGTGAACATATGTTGCACAGCCTCTACTGCCGTCTCTAGAAGAAGCACGCTCATCCCATCGAGCAATTTGTGCTGGACGCGGGTTTGATCGCCCCAGACATAGCTGATTGCGGAGAAGGCTGGAGCATCGTGCAGAGGTACTGTCACAAGCGAAAGAGAGATGTCGCTCCAAGTGGCAGCGGGAGATGGTCTTGAGAGTTTCAGTAGGCGCACTTCATTGATCGTAGCGTCGAGCGGGTAGTAGTGGTAGCTTGTGGCGGTTGAAGGAGAGTCATCCGGCCTGCCAGACATGCTGGCCTGGGCGGTATACAATTGTGAATCTGTCAGTCAGTGTCTTCACCCTTCAAATTAGTTAGAAAACCGGCTTGTCAGTGAATCCTGCAGCAGAACTACAGTACCTCCTAGCTCATCTGCAGATAGCATTCGCCTGCGAGGCCGATGTTCTCCGTGCTCTACATCACAGCCAAAGCTGACTTCCCTACTCGCAGATCTTTATCGACGACAATGCATGTGCTTTGCTCGCTGCACGCGAAAGTCGTAAGAAGAAGTGCCACAGCGTTCGTGGAAAGAGGTTGGTGAATGAAGCCGCGACTTTTGCTCTACAGGGTACCACTCTTACTTCACGTTTCATGTCTCAGGCTACCAAACTCACGGCCCGAGTGCTTCTTCCGAACGACGACATCGGCGGCCACAACAGAGTTTATGAGTCGTGCTTTCACATGAAAGCCAGACAGTAGGTGAGAGGAATTATTTCAAGCTCCATTCGTTTCCCAGTTCTCCTCCCAGAGCCTGCAAAGCAACTCGGCTTCACAGTCATCCAACATGCCCATCACGGAAGGCGCACCGATTCACGGCAACCCCGCTCACCTGCTGCCGCCGTCATGGAGAAAGTCCATTGCCCTCTGGCTTGAGGAAGATACGCCGAGCTTCGATTATGGCGGCTTCGTGGTTGGCGATGGCCCAGCAGAAGCTCGTCTGCTTGCGAAGAGCCCGGGCATCGTGGCCGGTGTGCCATTCTTCGACGAGGTGTTCAAGCAGCTCGACTGCACAGTAGAGTGGTTTGTGAAAGAGGGCGATGAGGTAGGCAAGGAGAAGAAACAGCATGTCGCAACTGTCAGAGGTCCAGTACGTTGCGTCTTGCTGGGCGAGCGTGTAGCATTGAACTTGCTCTCAAGATGCTCAGGCGTGGCATCAAAGTCACACTCGCTGCTGCAACTTCTTCGGAAAGCTGGATACAAGAACATCCTGGCGGGCACGCGCAAGACCACGCCGGGCTTCAGATTGGTGGAGAAATATGGCATGCTAGTGGGAGGATGCGACCAGCACAGACACGATCTCAGCACCATGACTATGCTGAAGGACAACCACATCTGGGCATGCGGAGGCTCAATACCGACAGCAGTGGCGGCTGCGAAGGCGGCGGGTGGCTTTGCTGTTAAAGTAGAGGTCGAATGCCAATCTGAAGAGGAAGCAAATACGGCGATTGAGGCGGGCGCGGATGTGGTCATGCTTGACAATTTCACGCCGGAAGGTGTACGCGTGGCATCAAAGAACCTCAAGGACAAATGGGGCAGAGGCGTCAATGCGCGCGCTCTGGTGGAAGTCTCTGGAGGACTGACTGAGGAGAATGTGGCGGACTACGTCTGCGACGACATCGACATCATCAGCTCTTCGAGCATTCATCAGGGCGTCAAGCATGTCGACTTTTCTCTAAAGGTCATTCCAAAAGAAGCCTCAGCGGCTGGGAAGCTGGGCAACGGCGAGTCGGCTGAGACATGATATGCTTTGACCTCAGTTGTAAGTTTTGGCCGACATCAGTAGCAAAGCTTCGGTATTGAAATGTCCTGAGCATGATTTACTTCCGCTGCGCTGCTTTGGTCACCCACTCGGTACTGCGCCTTGGCCAGTCTTCTTTCCTAAACAGACTACGGCTGTCGCCGATCTGAACGAAAGCGCGAGTGCTTTCCGCGACCATCAACGCCGACTCGAAGACATTCACTTCTGTGAGTCCCTTTTAGGCTTAGCGGGTGAACAGCCACCTGCGCGGAGGACATATCAGCAGCGTCGTTCTTGTCTGTTGCTACTTTCCCAGTCATCGCACTGCATCACATCCAAGATGCGGTTCGAGTTCACGGGCGCACCACCAGCGCTGCTGTCCGCTCCAGGCGAGACATCTCCTTTCACTAGCTTCTCGGCGGCCACTTCCTCGCGCGTGACATCCAGTCCTTCCACGCCAACCACATCGTCTCAGCCCGCGGCGTTTGGCAAGAGCAGCGTTCTCGGCAAATCAATCCAGTTTCCGGTCTCCGCACAACCCACCGCCAACCCGCCGCCCGCCACCTCGAGTGCTTCCACGTCGATCACGTCAGGACCGGTAGTCGGATTTGGCAAGAACAGAGTTTGGGGCAAAACGGTTCAGTTTCCAGTCGCCGCACCACGCGGTGAAGTGCAGGATGATGCGGCACAAGGCCTCCTCATCAGAGCTCTTCGGCGCTTTGGGAAGTCGAAAGCCTCGCCTTTCGCTGCGAAGGACGCTGCGGCAGACATAGCGCTGAAGGGACATCTCAAGAGCAGCACACAAGCTTGGGTGTTGGAGCGGAGTCTTCGCAACGCAGATCCAGAAGTCCTTGCATTTATTGAGTCGGTCTTCGGCGGACTTGTCGACAGGGATGCACCAGATGCTCCTTCACCCACCCCAAGTGCCGACACGGAACCAGATGCAACAGGCGCAGCAGACGCAGCGGATGCAACAGATGATGAGGAAGACATTGACGAGAGGATCAAGAATTTCCGCGCCATGGACTACAAGATTCCTCGCTCTCACCCACGCATCCAGCATTACGGCGACACCCTCAAATGGAAGCTGCTGGATGACGGTTTCATACATTACGAGCAAGGCGCTTACGTGCTGGCGAAAATCATCATTGGCAAGATGTATGCTCGCACATCTCCTTCTGACCTGGACGAAACCATAAGGGACACGCTGAGCTGGTCGACACTGTACAACATCACTGAACTCACAAACAGCGTACTCAGAGCTTTTCGCAACATCGATGATCAGTTTCGCCGCGGCGAGTTGGACTCCATGGAAGCTGCAGAAGCAGACCACTATGACGGCGAAGAGTGCATGGACGAGTGCGACGATACGGCAGATGGGCAGAACACAGATCTGCTCATATACGAAGACTTGACCGGTGAAGAAGAGACTTACTTTCGCTTCATGGATCTACCTGCCGAGCTCCGTAATCGAGTCTACGTCGAATTGCTCGCACCAACTGGTTTCATCCTTCTTTCACGTCTGGAAACCCCTAGCGGATGCAAACCCTCAAGGGAACGCCTCGTTGAGTCCGGAAGCGAGCTCGAGATTCTTCAAGTATCCAAGGACATCTACAAAGAAGCCAAGAGTATACTCTATCGCGAGAACACAGTCTGTGTGGCTGCTGCAATTGAGGTCTCGACTTATCCATGTATCGACACGCAACTCCTTCCCAACAGCAAGTTACCCCTCTTGGCATCAGTGACCCTGGTCGTGGACTTCCGCGCTGATGGCGAACAAAACAATGCCTGGATCGATCGCGTGCATTGGCAGCAGCTGCAAAAGTTGACGACTCTCAAGCATCTTCGTATCTGCTTTGTCGAGTCGGCGCGCCTGCAGGACGTCAACCCCCACAAGAAGCTCATGCTGAAAAACATTCTCGAACGCATCCCTGCCGAGTGTCAGCTCACATTCGAGTCCAAGGAAATCCCCGAAATCGATTTTGTGCAGGAAGTCCTCGAAGACCATGAAGGTGTTGCAACGGAACGTCATAGAAGTTGGTCGGAGGACCCATATGAGGTCGCTGGAAGTGTCTTGGAGCAGTTGGTCGACGAAATCAAGAGCGCGGAGGGTTTCCAGATGGGCTGCAAGAGTGGACATGAGCGAGACTATCGGTTCCCACCCAAGCCCGTCATGAGGACTCTGCAGCAGCTAATCGCGGAGGGTGCGGTGGATCCGAAGATCGTGCTGGGAGGCGGTACTTGATGGCTGAAGAGTTCGTTGGATGTTGTTGAGGAAGGCAGTGGAATTGGAGGGGCAATGCAGCATCGCGGAGGCTCAGAATGTACAGAATGGGCACTGCCGGTGGCAGACACGACCTTCAATAGACAGTCAGCTGTATCTCCTTAGACCGCTGGTGGATGCCAATGTAACGAATGCTTGGCAAGACATAGAACATGCAGGGTGCGAAAGTAGGATGACTTTAATGGGTCGTGCCCTAGGAGACGCGTACCTCCTGCTACGACGCGTCGCATGAATCGGGACCATTTTGCTCACCGTAATTGTATTCCTCGTCACTTGCTCAGGTGTTGTCCAATGCTTCTGGCACATGCACGACGCGGTGGGCGGTAAACGCCACGTTGTCGGCAGTTTTGAACGTCATCCGGCCGGCCATGCGCCCGAAACGACCCTGCCTTTGCCTGCCTCAGCCACTGTGGATTTCTCGTGAACTCCTCCCCTCCACCGCCTCATACCCCGTAAACAAATCCGACCTGCGACTTTCGACATAGTCATAGGGGACTATCAACCTGGTTTCACCTACTTCCCACTGTTCCAACGCTCTCCCTCTTTTGACCACGACATCGTCAAATCTCGGCCTCGATCTGACGACTTTCCCGCTCGACCACGTCCACGTTCCCCCCAACCAAGGAAGCCAAAGAGAAATAGGCGTTAGCGACGCTCCAAAGTCGATAAGATGGCTGCAGAGAACCCACACTTCGAGCCGAACCCCCAGTACGATCACTACGACTTCCCAACGACCGCACCTGAGAACAAGCCTGGCCACCCAGGCCACACCACGAAAGAGCAAGATGCCCAGGTTGAGCAGCTGCGAATGATGCTGGAGTCGGAGGGGTATACCGAGAGACTCGATACTTTGACCCTCCTGCGATTCTTGAGAGCAAGAAAGTTTGATGTCCAACAGACCAAGGAGATGTAAGCACGAGAGAGAGGGCTGGCATTGGGATACAGCTGACTGACCACATACAGGTTTGTCAAGAGCGAGGAGTGGCGCAAGACCTTTGGAGGTGGTGTGGACAACCTTGTGAGGACATTTGAGTACAAGGAGAAGGAGCAACTGCTGCCCTACTACCCACAATACTACCACAAGACCGACAAGGATGGCCGACCAGTTTACATTGAGAAGTACGGAAATATTGACCTCGAGGCCATGCGGAAAATCACCACCGACGAGCGCATGTTGGAGAACCTCGTTGTTGAGTACGAGAAGGTTGCCGATCCCCGTCTGCCCGCTTGCTCGCGCAAAGCTGGCCAGCTGCTCGAGACCTGCTGCACCATTATGGACTTCAAGGGCGTGGGTTTGATGAAGATGAACCAGGTTTACGGATACGTCCAGCGTGCTTCGGCTATCAGCCAAGACTACTACCCTGAGCGACTCGGAAAGCTGTACCTCATCAACACACCTTGGGGCTTCAGCAGTGTCTTCGGCGTGGTCAAGCGCTTCTTGGACCCAGTCACCGTTGCGAAGATCCACGTGCTCGGTGGAGGTTACCAGAAGGAGTTGTTGGCACAGGTGCCGGCCGAGAATCTGCCCAAAGAGTTTGGCGGCACTTGCGAATGCCCTGGTGGATGCCAGCTGAGCGACGCCGGTCCATGTGAGTATAATGTGAAACATTCATTGAGGTGATGAATTGCTGACATGCATAAAGGGCACGATGCACAATTTGCCAAGCCAGCGAAGTGGGAGACGCAGAAGACAGAGACCAAGCCCGCCGACAACACGATCCCTGCGACCGAGACGCATACCGGCGAAGGCGCTCCAGCTGCTGCTCCTCCTGCAGGCACTACCGCTGCACCAGCCCCAGCCGGGGACCGCGTTCCAGGAACTGAGGCTCACACTGGCGCTCCAGCTCCACAGTAAAGAGCCAGCATCGAGAAAATTTCGGTTGAAGTGCCAGAGATACATACAGTGTAATGAAGATCAGTGAGCATGGATAGTGGAGCATAGTGAGGCGCAAGACGATGGCGCACGGGAGGCTACATGATATCCAGAGTCGAGAGCATCAAAGACAGCTTGCTTAGAGGGCACTTGTGGGTGGTAGGTCTCGTATGCACGTTGTATGGTACAGTATCACAATTCAACTTGGTGCCGTATCCATCTTTGCTGTTTGACCAGAGCTCAATTCAGTTCAACGTTGCTAACTCCGGCTCACGGCCACTACACAGGAAGGTTCGATGAAGTGATACGCTCCTCCTTCATGAAGCAGTCGTGACTGCGTTCGGCATCTCCTACGCGACACAACGCCTCGCTCTTCCTTCGCCGAACACATCCAATGTCTTCCAACTGATCAGGAACAGTCTGCAAGAACGATGAGATGCCGCGGCCAGTACGCTGCAGACTGGCTCGTCTTTCCCATTTTCACTGCATTTGTTGACTACTTCTTGCACCACTGCAGCCTCGCCTCGTCTCCATCTTCCGCCAACACGCATTACTCGCCAGCTCGCTGGTCTTCTTGGGAAAGTTGGATAGAGCGCCTCTTCGTCGTTCGTTTCCGCCACAGGCTACAGCAAAGGCGGCACAATGCCTTTCACCGACACCGTGTCCACGCTGAGCGGACGCAACTCGCGAGCCAGCAACGTCTCTGGCCAGTCTCGCTCGCAGCATCGCTCCCCACCGACGAGCACGACCGAGCCATGGTCCAATGCAGGAGTTCTGAGCATGTTAAAGACTTCAACAGATACGGGCGATATTGGTGCACTTTCATTCAACACCTCGCGTCTCCCTGGCATGCCGTCTGCCCGGCACCGCGGACGGCCATCCAACACATCGAAGCAGTCGGCTTCTGGTCATCCTCATATCACCAGTCTCTCATCGAATCACAGCTACGCTCCATCCCAGACTTCACGCGTCAGCTCGCAGTGGGACAATGCTTCCATGACCCAGCGTCGAGGATCGCTCACGAGCATGCAGAGCATGCCTCCGTCGATGCCGCCACTTCACACTGGCAAGCCCGCGATCTCAATGCAGCAGCCATTGCAAGATCTCGACCCGCGAGACAGCAGATCCTATTCCATGGGTTCGACCGTGCCTACTGGCCAGCTGCCCAGGCTTCGCTCAGCGGCCAGTTTGAAGAGCCAAGGACACGAACCAAGACACATGAATGCCATGCCGCCAGGCCCTGTGCCTCCAATGCCGGAGAACCGGTCGCCTTTTGTCTACCCGACCAGACTGAAGCGGCCGGGCTTTCGTTCTCCTTCGCCAGCACTGAGTGACTCTTATGCTGGCCCTCACATGGGTGGACCACAAATGTCGCGACGAGCACACGGTCCTCAGCCTCCGCCAATGACCGCCTACAATGGGTACAATGCTCCATACATGATGGACTACAGCAACTCGCAGACGAGCATGCGCGGTCCTCCTCGTACTGCAAACAGTTCGCCGGGCCCATCATATGCGCATCCACAGTATGGGTATCAGCAGGGTCCGATGCGACCGCCTCCTCCGATGGCCATGCCACCACCAATGCCACAACCGTATTCGCAGCAATACCCGCTGCAATCTATGGGCCCTCAGATGCCACCGCGTGCTCACTACGGGCCCCAGTATCCGCCTGGTTATGCCTATCCACCATATGGCCAACCACCTCCACCAGCGAGGGCCCGTGGACCACCACCTCCTGCCAATGTCGGACCCATGGCACATCACATGTTTCACAACGCAGCTCGAATGGCACGTAATCTGCCGCATCGTACTGACACGCCGATGACTGATGGTGGTCCTCCTTCCTCTGATCCCGCTTCTGCGAGCTCAGCTCAGGACTCTTCAAGTCCTCCGACGCCCAGAGATGCAACGACTGTGCGCGTGGTGGTTGATCCCGCCTTCATCGAGCCTGAGTTGCTTGATCTACCGGACTCCAGTGAGCCGATGCTGCCTGGTCACAAGTACTTTGAGTACGTAGATGGTCGCGACGACAAACAAGCTGAGGTTCCGCACGCCTCGATACCTCCTTCTGGTTTTGTCCAGCGCGTGAAGGCCATGCTCGAGTCGAAAGCCGCATTGGAGGCTGCACAGCAAAACGAGCACGACAAAGCCATGCAGCTGGTACATCCAATGCAACTCTATCGTCATGAGCTGGACGTGGAGAATGAGCAGGAGGGTGAAGTGTCCGATCTTGAGCTGCACGAGATGGCCGCCAATGAGACTCCCCGGTTTACCATTATTGAGGAATTCGAAGCACCTGTCGAGCTCCCAGCATCGCCTGTGAAGGTTGCTGAACTTGACGCTACGGAGGCCACCACTCGCATCACAAGAGACATGATTCGAGCTGAGCTGTCTTGCATTTCGACCGCTGACAATACACTTGAACAAGCACAGCCCGATGAGTCGACCGCCAATGTCATCAAGCAGCTTGTTGAGCGAGGTGATGAGCCTTCGACAGGATCGGACCCCATAAAGCAAGAGTCAGCGCATTATGGCCATTCTCGCCGTTCATCCCGCCAAAGTGCAATCAGTGCGAGACGCCGACAAGATCTGATTCATGAGCCCATCACGGAGGCATCCATGGAGGCGTCTTTGCCCAGCGCTGCGGACTATGCCATGCGCTTCCAGGCACCTGTCGACACGACCCATTCATCTGATGAGTCTCAGTCCAGAGACCCATTTGCGCTCGACGCCGATACTGTTACACTGCAGCACCAAGCTGCGGCAGCCAAAGAAGCAACTCGCACGGAGCAGATGGAAGATGGCAAGAAGACACCAGGCATAGAATCAGCACGGCAGAGCGTCTTTCTAGACTTGACGCCAGTGAGCCCATTGAAGCCAGGAGAGGAAGTGAAACGCTGCTCTGCTGTCAGCCCCGTGCAAGAAGATCCGCGTGGCATCGACGAGACCTTGCACGTGGCCGGCAACGAGACGGAGCAAGAGCAACCCCCAACAGGCTTCCATGAATTTACCACAATCGATTCTCGCGTCGCTGAAGCCGACTTCATTCCTCCAACTCCCCGGACGCCCAAGACTTATTCGAAGTCCGTCCAGCTCCATCGGCCTAGCCCGCATTCTACTGACGGCACGAATACATACAGCAACCGTTTCTCACTGCCCGGTGACCTGAGCACTGTCGGCGACACCACACTGCAGTCCGCATCTGACATGGTCACCGATGTTGCCGTACGATTCTCTCTTCCTGGTACAACGGTCACTGTCGGCAAGCCACAGATCATCGAAGTGTCACCTCGTTCGACTCCTGACAAGCCGAAAGAGGAGTCGCCAAACTTCCAGCCGCATTTTACAAAGCAAGCAGGGCTTAGGCCGAGTCGTCGCAATTCCGTCACATTTGCTGATGAGATTGCACCTCTCAACATCAAGAAGGCGGAGCCAGCCAGATCCGACATATCTTCCAACCAGCACAAGTCGATCATTCGCAAGCCGGCTCCACGTGATGACCTGCATCAGTTGCAAAAGACCTCACGGGACAGTGCTGCGGACATTACGTCCAACTTCAATCACTCCACACATGCTCGTTTCGGCAGTGCTCACTTGCGTCAGCTCCCAGGGCTGAAGGAAGAATCGATTGAAGACTTGAGCAGTCCGGAACGGAGGCGTGCAACCAATCATGCCGAGTTCGCACTGCCAGCTCGCATCGCTGCTGTCAAAGCTATGCAGGAGAGGCGCTTGCAAGACTCTGGTGACAAGGCAAAATCTCGGCGTACTGTTCAGAAGCACAATCGGCCTCTTGCGGACACCAGAGATCTTCCATCACTGAACTTCAGTCGTACAGATCTCTTCGAGAAGCTGAATGATGCTCTGGAAGTGCGCCCAGTCAAGTCAATGGACGTCATTCGTCGACGCGATTTCACAGGCATCCATTGCCCATCTCCACAACGTCCGATGAGCACGGAACCTCTTCGCGATCGTTATGCCAGCTTTTTCAACAAGCCTGAGGACTTCAGCTTCTTCGAAGAAGTCGACACCAGTGATGACGAAGATGAGTCTGGGACGGAGGATTTCGTGGATAACAGTAGGGCGCTTGTGCCGGTCGTGAAGGTACAAGAGAACACCCAGGTTGAGGACGAAGATCCGATGAGCGGCAATCGTCCTTTGTCTCCAGAGGACTTCCTCCACGTTGCACATCAGGCCAGTCGACTCTCCATACCATCCGTGGCAGGTCTCTCCGAGCGAATCTCTGAGCTCATTCCTGGGCTGCGCAATCTGTCAAATTTGCGATTGGACTCTTTGCTATCGTCCGACAACACCCCACCAGCAGGCAGGACATCCAATGAGTTTGGCAGGCCAGATACCGTCCTCACCAACCGCACTTCTGCTGGTTTCCGCACACTCGCAGAGCGCGCCGAGGAAATCGTGGTCAATGGCACACACGACTCTGCCGCGCCATCCGCTCTTCACGCGTTGCTCAACAAAGATCTCCCACCACTACCGGGCTCGGCTTCTGCCGACGAGTTCTCTGGGATCAATTCGATGGATGGCAAATCGTCATACTTGAGCGGGTCCGTCTCTGTGCCTGTTGATCTCGGCAAAGACGTGTCGCGTCCAGTGTCTGCTCTTCTTCGCACCAGAGCGCCCACCACTGAGCAAGAGGTCCAGGAGTTGCTTCCCAAGGGCATAAACCCACTTGCTCGACTTGGGAACAGACGCTCTGCCATCTTGTCACAGCCGAACAGTCGTCCGTGGAACGTTGACAAGAACTACCCCTGGTCGGGCAATAAGATCGAAATCGACCTTTCGGTACCTTCTCCGGCGCATACTTGCACTTCCTTCGCCAGCGATGTTCTGCGGGAGCGCAAGACCAGATCTCTTGATCTGCCGAGCAGCTCGAGATCTCCCACGGGCAGCAAAGGCATTGACATCGGGTCCATCACTGCTTCCCCCGCAGGATCTCGCTTTTCGGTGACCACTGAGCAATTGACTGGGGTCAGCACTGCTCATCTCAGACACAAGTCGAAGAGGTCAATCATCGGTTCCATCTCGAAGAAGTTTGGCATCACCTCTGGACGCAACGCAAACCTTGATGATATCGTGGGCAAGAGTTTGCCAGGGTCACCTGTTCCTCGCCAGGCTTCAGTACTTTCCCACAAACCTGGTGACCGGTACCCGACCAGCAGTCTGACTCCACCCGCCATCGCCGCATTGGATGAGGTGCGCTCGTTCTTCTCGGATAACAGCTCAGAGCGTCACCGTACGGCATCTTTCCGCAAGCGCCTCACACAGTTCAAAGGCAAAAGCAAGACTCCTCGCATCGAACTGCATCCTCCTCGCACAACACAATCTCTGGACCTTCAAGGTAACACCGAGTACAGCGCCGGTTCGATTAACGAAGCCCGATCCGAGAGTGCTGCCATGCACTTGCAGTACGACGCGGCCGGCATGGGCAAAGCCGAATTCCACTTCAAGCGCTTTGGGGAGAAACTGCGTCACTTCTTCCATCGTGGCAGTGAGTTGTTCCGGAGCATCAGTACGCGAGGTCGACCGAGGAGGAATGAACCGAGAGACGAGTGGCTTGCGGATTCGCTGTATTCCGGTGTGTAAGAGACCTGCCTGTGTCGTGAGTACCGTTGAAGTTTCCCGCAGAGCAGAGTTGCTTACTGATTCTGTGCAGGTCCGCTGCCGATGCATGTTTGATGCAGAGATGGAGAATGTGTTGGCTTTCTCTTTGTGTCGGAGGCAATAATATGTGTTTGGTATCTCTGAGGGAGCTTTGTTATTGTCAGCGATATCTTGGGGCTTTTGTTCTGTGGAATTGTAATGCATGTGTTACTAGTTTGTTGTGAGATAGGTTCTGTATGGTAGTGGTATCATTATACTTGTTGTCTCGTAATAGTCGCTTTCTTTCCATACCGGATTGAGAGTGAGATTTTCCAGGTGCCACAAATTGATTCGTTCATTCATCCACGATTCTGCACATGAGCATCTCCAGTCAATGTTCTCCGATCAACTGATTCTACATGAATCACGCAGCAGTATGCTCCTGTGCAGTGACGGCCTCCCTCTCTTGCTTTCTTCTCTCCCATCTCCGTAGATTTCTCCTTCGGCCTTTCTCTGGTTTTGTCAACCTCGTAGCTCTCCTGACATTTTGCTTGAAAAAATGTTCTTCTTCTGTCGGAAGTCTTCCCTCCACTTTGGCGGCTTCGTACTGCTTTTTGACGAGTGCCGCCGCGATTTCGAGCTCGATGAGTTCTCCATCTTCCTCCGCTTCTCCACTTCGAGAGTCAGATCTGAGAGGTGCAGCTAGAACGAAATATTTGTTCGTGCTGGGGCAGTGGGCTACGTTGCCGTGTTGGAGGGCTTCACGCTTTAGGGCGACCAAGTCGATGGTTGGGAGAGGTGAAGCGGTGGTTGAAGGTGAACCAGTGGGCACTGCCTGGAGCGGTGAAGTCGAAGGTGAATCGTGTGGTCCTGATTTTGTGGAGTAGTTGCTTTCAGGGTACTCTTTCGTTGGCTGCGATGCGCCATACCCTAGAGCGTTTTTGGATATCTGGAGAGGAATAGCTGGTAGCATTTTGATGCCATTTCCCGTCGACTCGAGTGTGGCAGGCGGTTCTGCTGTCGGGGCAGGGCTATATGCCTTCGCAGATGTCTTGCTGCATGCGGAGGACGGGGATATCGGGTCTGCGATCTCCGGCATATTGATCTCGATAGCCTCGAGTGGCGAGAATGCGATTGTTGGCGGGACAGCTCCCTTTGACTCGCATGCAGAAAGCGGTACATCTGTGCGAGGGCCTGAATCCACCACAGACGTCTTACTGTATGAAGGTGCCGGAGATTGGATCTCCGCAACCTTCGGCATATCAATGTCGACACCCTCGAGCGGCGTGAACGGTGTTGTCGGAGCAACAGTGTTCAGCGAGCTCATTCTCATGTCCTGCCACTTCCCATGAGTGGCCATAACCCTCTTTTTCCGGAGCGTTTGCATAACTCTAGCCCTGTTTTGGGGCTTGATCCAAAGGCCTTGTTTGTACTTCACACTGTGCTTCTTGCCAGTGTCCCCAATAGCGCTCTGGACGCCTTCTCGAGCTTTTGCCACCATCATTCGCCATCTTTCCTTGAACACCGATAACACTTTCCCTTTCCACAGTGCCCACACGGCTTGGTCGAGCTTCTCCGCGACTTGAGCGCCCTCGATGCGCTCTACTACGTGCAGAATATATTTCACTCGTGCTGTTGGTGGTCGCTGATATTCCTCCAGTGAGCGCATAATGCCCGCAACAACGAAGGCCTTCGCCATGACCGGAGTGATCGGCATATCACGATGCCTGAGATATTTGTAGATCTCCCAGACCCTGCGATATGCAGCGCGAGGGGCGACAGCAGGAGATGTGGCTATTTTGAGAGCAGCAACTTCGATGAGCTCGGCACGCTGCTCGCGAGCAAGAGCATCGCCATGAGTCTCTCGGTGCAGGATGTGCCAGAAGGTGGACGCGCTGAATTTGTCCGCTGCTGCACAGCGCAGAAGCAGGTCCGGAAAGTCGTGCAGAGACAATCGCGGCGAAGCTTTGAACACTCGCAAGGCAAAGGCCAAACCCGCTTTGCTCTTGCTCCGGAAAAAATGTCGCACGAGTGGAGCTGAGAGTCCCGTTGGCACTCCGAGTGTTGGATGTCTCTGCAGCTCACGGAAACGATAGAACAGTGTTGGTGCACCGCAGTCACGCATCAAGATGGTAAACATGGAGATGGCGAGACTGGCGTAGGCAATGCCATTGCTCTGCAATGCATGAAGAAGCGCGATCTCAGCCGACCACTGGCGAGCCCTCCCAGCTCTGGTCTTTGCTTTCGCCGAACGGAAGTGGAGATATTCTTCCCTTATGGCATCGAGATCCGGTTCTTGATGACTGAAGTGGTAGTGTTTGCTACCTCGGAAATCTGTACGATTTCCAGATGTCTGTGACGGCAATCTAGGGATCCAATGCCGAAGCAGCATCTCGCATAGATTTCCAGCTCGAGCGTTGAAGATGCAAAGGTGACCAGCCAGCAGGGCAGGATCCGGAAAGTAGTAAGCCAGCACTTCATGGACATTGCGCCAAGAGTCGACAATATTCGCGCATCGGAACGATGAAGAGCGACGCAGACAGTATAGCCAATTCATGAGGTTCTTCGAAGGTCCGGCGTATAGGTCTGATTTCTCGCACAGGCTTCTGGCCACAGTGCCGGATATGTTCTGCAATGTCTCATGTTTCATGGCATCGAGTATGCGAGTGATGGACGGCGAATCTCTCTTCGCGGAGCTCATCAGAGATGTAAGAATGTCCGGCAGGTATTCATCGCGAAGAGTTCGCAGTCGGACCTTGTCTGCGATAAGGTGGGCAATCGCTACTTTGGCTTCCTTGCTCACTTCTTTGTCGAGCATCCATTCGCAAAGTCGTAGAATGTTGTTGGCTTCGGGTTCATCGCCCGTGCTCTGCAGAAAGTCCATCACTCGGCTCAGGTCCTTCACTTCCACGATGTCTGACTGTGCTTCCTTCAACAGCTCGTCAAAAGCAACTCTGCTCACATCCACAGCATCAACATTCTCTTCAACGGCCAGAAACTGTCCGAAAATGTCTTCTTTCCTTTTCACACTTTTCGGAAACATCCAATGCTCATCTTTCTTGGCCTTCTCTGCGCCGGGTGGCTTCCATTTCAGATCTCTTGCTGGGTCAAACTGCCTCCCTCCATAGCCTCCAAAGCCAAAAAGAGCGCCAAAATCAGCTCCGCCCGCTGCTACACCAGCACCAGCAGCACTCATTCCGATTCTCCGCTTGGACAGTCTTCGATGAGCCTCGAGTGGACCAGGTACGTTGCTCCCATAGCGGCGGTCCGCTGTGCGGTGCGCACTGGAAACGCGTAGGAAGCGGTGCCATGCTTCGGTAATGACCTCGTCGGTAAGCCAGAGACACTGTTCAATGGGAGCAGGCCTCAGTGAGGGCCTGCATGGCATTACCAGAGGATGTGTCGGGTGGTGGTCTTGAAGCTGTCGCGGTCAATGGGTGAAGCTGGGCGCGGATTGCGGAGACAGCGGAGGTGGGAGTGGTGGCTGTTCTCCCAAAGCCCAGTCCATCGCTGGAGACTGCATCAGAAACAGAACACAACAGCGCGATGATTGTACGAGCGCTGCGACTGCGGCATGGTGAGTTGAACAATTTGTATCATTATGCGGTATGGATGCTGATGGAGCGCAGGCCGCATCGCCCTCCCCCGGCGCATACACACATCGTCGAATCGCCTCTCCTCGCTCGAATCGACAGTATCGCCCAACGCAGAAGCTGGCGAACGAGTAGGGATCCCACAATTCGCCGCGACGGCTAAAGAAACCATCGGCCCCAATACCGTCGTCGACCGCTCTGTCCCGTTGAACGACCCGAATCACCCTGTCGCCCTCGACTACGCCTTTTTCCAGCACAACAAAAAGTACACATCTGGCGTCGGGTCGACCATTGCACCGCACTACAAGCCCCACGAACTCCTCACGAAACCGCCGTCACCGCGAGACATCACACTCGAGGCGCTGATCGCTGCGCAAACACATATCGGACATGCGACGAGTCTATGGAACCCCAGCAATGCACGCTACATTTTCGGAATTCGAGGCGAGCACGACCCCATTCACATCATCTCTCCCGACGCGACTGCATCACATTTGCGAAGGGCGTGCAAGGTTGTATCAGGTGTGGCAGAACGAGGTGGTCTGATCCTGTTCGTGGGAACACGGCAAGGACAAGCGCGTGCCGTTGTAAAGGCTGCCGAGCTGTCAAAGGGCTGCCACTTGTTCACAAAATGGATTCCCGGAACCATCACCAACGGACAACAGATCCTAGGGCGATGCGAGAAGAGAGTGAAGAACGAGTTGGATGAAGATGTGACGGAACAGTATGGCTTCCAGGACCAATTGTTTTCGAAAGCCGCCATCAAACCTGATCTGGTCGTGTGTCTGAATCCACTGGAGAACTACGTTTTGCTGCACGAATGTGGCCTTAATAACATTCCCACCATGGGCATTATCGATACCGACGCAAACCCGACATGGGTCACATACCCCATTCCAGCCAACGACGATTCGTTACGAGCCGTGCAGTTCATCTGTGGTGTGTTGGGACGAGCGGGCCAAGAAGGACAGGAGCGACGTCTAAGGGACGCTCGACCGACATCAAAGCGTCCCGGTGGCTTCGTCGTATACCCTGCTGTTCATGGCCTACAACCGCCAGAAGGCGAGAGACGGAACCAGAGAGGCGGTGTCAGGGCTGTAGGAAACGCACAGAGAATGAAGATTCAGTCAAGAGCAGACGCGGGACATTTCGCTGCAGCTGAGCAGGCTCTCGACTCACAAGACGAGCCTCTGTTCCCAGACGACTTCGAAGGCACCGATGTGAGACAACACGAGCGCGATCAGAGTCTGTTGGACCAAGCCGAGAAGATCCTCTTCGAGAACGAGAGTGCTGCGGCCTCTGCAGCCGATGCATCCGGAAGCAAAATCCCAACCTCCGCCTCAGGTATACCATCAGCAGAACAAATGAGCGGGATGGACACCCTCGAAACCCAGCAACCCGAAGATCTCGCCGAGTCCATCTCAGATGAAGAACTCGACATGTACGCCCAGTTCAACGACGCCGAAGCGCCCGATCTCTCCGCTGTTGACCAGTCCCTCGTAAATGAGACCTACGCTCCTGCCGCCGAAGCAGATACTTCCGCCGAAGACGCAGCACAATTCGGCATCAAAGCTGAGCCTGGGACCGGCACTGACGACCCTGTCTACTCGCAAGCGGAAGCTGCTACCGAAACGCCGAATGATACCATCGAGCAGGTTGGAGAGGTAGAGAAAGAGCTTGGAGAGCAAGCGCCTGAGGTGAAGGTTGCAAATGAACAGGGCAATCCAGAAGTGCAGGATGTGGATGCGGAGAGTCAGAAGGAAGTCGACAACGCCGTGGACAGTGCGAAGAAGGAGGACAAGTAGACAGGGCACAGGACGGGAGGTGTAGATATACCATTATCCAGACAAGATCAAAAGAGTGGGCGAGAGGAAATGTATAGATATGGATATTGTGATGTCAGCCCGTTTCCCATTCTCTCGGTTCAGTAGGAAAAGGTATGCTTTGAGGCAAAAGGGAATAAGTCACTTGTCGGACTCAGGCCTCCATATCGGAATGGTATTGAGGAGGCAAAAACAATCGACCTCGCCTGAGCGTGAGATGATCGAATCGTATATCACGGCCGCCACATGTCGCCCGTGAAAGTACCGTTCGTGTGTTCACCAAGCCAGCGGCCCCGCAGAGACGACTTAGGGATCTACCACTAGACCAAGGACGACGTTGCAGGCCAAAGCTGGACACAAGGATATCAATGTTGCAGGCGTGCCTCGCCCGAGCGGGAACGAGTACTGGTTGTAAGAACAGGTCTGGACTGCAAAAGGTTGTCAGAGAAGAGAGAGAGGGGCCCTATCAATCGTGCGTTTCATCGCCATCCAGAAGAGCAGAATGGAGGCAACAGAAACAAAACAATCGCTCTTGACCTAGCAGAAAGTGCAGCAAAGAAGGCTGTAACGATGCCATATCGTTGATTGCCATTTGAACGCCACCTCGATTGCCGGCATTATCGTCAGAGAACGACTTACGAGCATACCACTTGACCAAGGACGATCGTTGCGGACAATAAATCTCGAACGCTAATGAAGGTCATAATCAGTCGGTGGCGGCCACGAATCGAAGGGCGCGAAGTCGTGCTTTGAGTGTCGGGAGCAGCTAAGTGAGACTAAGCCGAATGGCAGGGCAAAATTGACGGCGCTGCAAAAGGACGAAGGCGGAGGCAAAACAATTGCCCTTGAACCTGGCGCATAGGTCACGAAATAGCGGCGACTAAACGACAGCACATCGTTGAGCAACTACCAGACTTTGCCACCTTTCGCATTAGCATCTTAAGAAGACGACTTATGGGCGTACCGCTCGGCCAAGGACGATCGTTGATGATGAAGAAGTTGCGAAATTATATGAAGGTGACTACGATTCCGGGCACGTGATAGTAAAAGGTCACTGTGATCCTAATCCAAGGTTTTGGAGAGACCAAGCAAGAGAAGGCATTGGATAAATGGTGAGGCAATAGTAATCGCTGCTGCAAAAAGCGCAAAAGGAGGGCAAAACAATCGCCCTCAATCTCACTAATTGCACAGACAACATTCGCACCTTTGAAGACTGCCAATCTTAGTCACAGCAACTCTGTCTCCTAGCCTTAGCACAAGCGTCTGGATGCCAAAGACGACTTACAAGCTCACCGCTTGACCAAGGACTATCGTTAGCGACTCTGACTCCAGGAGGCTGATAAAGCTCAAAGGCTTACACGGGCGGAGAGGAGATCGAGACATATCAAGATCGTGGTATTGGAGTCAGCCAAAGATCAAGCACTAAAAAGAAATAGGACAAGAGTAGGTAAAGGCCTCTTAAGGAGGACGATAAGGAGGCAAAACAGTCTGTCCTTAGCTTGCGATTTGAATTCAACACCACCGCAGGCCGACTAGGTCAAGTCGTCAGGCTGCGGTATCGAATCATCCAGCACAAGCATCTCCGCAAGACGACTTATAGGCATACCGCTAGGCCAAGGGTGATCGTTGCTATCCATTCCGGCATTATTGTTCAAGTACCCTCACGACCGCGGGCGAGAGAACGTCACGAAAAAGGGAAGGAGTGCATTCTATCCTTCGCACTTTCATGGGCTATACGCGGTTTCGTTGGACAAAGGTAGTGAAAAGGGGCAAAACAATCGCTCCAGGCTTCGCGGACAGGAGCTGGAATTTGCGCACAACGACCTGCTTATCATATAAGGTCGTCGTAAAGTCCGCTCGAAATCCCTTCAGCACAAGCGTCTATTAGGAAGACGACTTGAAGGCATACCACTAGGCCAAGGACGATCGTTATAGTTGCTCAATCTCAACGCCTTCAAGTACTCTCACCAGCATGGGTGGAACGACAAAAAAGTATCAAAAAGGATTGTTGGCCATGCCTAGAGTACGCCTCGCAGACTGCCTCGAATTATTTACGAAGCTCTCCTCTTCGCTGAAATATGGCCTTTCTTTGACCACTCTAAAAAGATGACAGAAGAGCAAAACAATCGACCTTGGTCTTAGACATAATAACTGAAACAACAGGCTTGTTCATAATGAAAGTTTCAGTCTCGTTGAGCAGCTGTATCCAGTCGTGTTCAGCACAAGCATCCCAAATATCGGACGACTTACAAGCATACCACTCGACCAAGGGCGATCGTTGAAAGCCTCCTTTCTCAACGCATTCAAGTACCCTCACATCTGGGACAGGGAGAACGAATGCGTTCCTAGCAAAAGGATATCCATGATACACATCAAGCCAAATCACAATCACATCTCTTGCCGAACTCACCCTTCTAGACCGCTCCTTTTCGATGCATGGGACCACATTCTCCAATATAACAAAAGCAATACCAGAGCAGAGACCAAAATGTAAAGACAATCGCCCTTCGTCTCGCATTATGAGTAGAAGAAGAAGGCCAGCAGACGCAACGCTGGTCTGACTAGACGGTCCCTCGAACGCTTTCCAGCCCAAGCATCTTATTGAGAAGACGACTTATAAGCATACCACTAGACCAAGAACAATAGTTTCAGACGTCTGCTTTCGAGCATTCAAGAACTCTCACATGCGTTGCATGAAACACGAAAGTGTCGAAAGATCACACTTGATCGAATGACCGGAGAAGCCTCCAAAGTAGCAAAAGGCGTGCAAAACAATCGGCCTTGCTCGCGCGGATGCAAGGGATGCTTCGACGAGGCAACGACATCGTGTCGTTGGACCCCCGAATCTCACTCGTCCACCCTAAGCATCTTACCGAGAAGACGACTTGTAGATATACCGCTAGACCAAGGAACGATCATTACAACGCTCCTTTTTGACGCAATACATGTACTCTCAAGAGTTGCTACAGGGATAAGAAAACGATAATCCTGAGTCCGGCAACGGAGAAGCCCCTAGCTACAGTATCGTGCAATTTCGTAATCAACCATGAAGCCACCATCTCTTCTACAATGTTACACTCAGTATTATCTGTAAAAGTACCGAAAGAGAGGCAAAAAAGCAAAAACAATCGCTCGCTCTTGACCTCGTAGTTAGATGATTGTAGCTCAAGCAACGATCCAAGATCGTCAAGCAGAGCTAAGCTTCGTCACCTTTGGACTATGCGCCTTCACTCCGGAGACGACTTATCAAGCAATACCACTCGGCCAAGGATGATCGGTGACGAGTTGGTAAGACTGATTCATATATCAAGTTTGTGATCTTTGCTTGCGAGATATGTTGAAGGCAGCCAGATCCAGAGCATGATGTTGCCCACTGGTTTGCGTCCATGTTTCGAACGACAGCAGACTCTAAAGACCCATCGAGTCAGCAAAATTATGGTGAGATTCGTAAAATTCAAAGAAAAGAAATCGTGTCGTGTTTGATCACACATTGAATTCTTGGTGCAATAAGCTATGCTATCAACGCTACAGTAATGTCCCAAGCCACAATCATAGCTGCGATAGCAGCAGCGGCAACAGCAGCAGTAGTAAGCCCATCAGTAGTAGCAACAAACAGTAGTAGCAGTAGACTTAGTATACATACACCATGAGCAATCCCTAAATTCCGTAGGGGGTCTATGAAACTGCAGACCAGAGAAGCTGTCCATCGCCATTCTCTTCTCGCTTTCTCGCTGAGGCAATAACAGAGAAAATGAAACGTGTCGTGAAAGCGCCTGTCCGCCTGCCCTTGTTCGTCCGCATAAAGACAGCCAAACTCGCATAACCACCTCAGAAGCGGGTGAAAGGGCCAGTAATTGGTGGTGGTATCATGACGCCAGAAAGAAAAAGCAAAAGAGGTCGAAGTAGCACAGCGGTGTTGGGTGCCTATGCCTGAGCCTGAGCCAGCGCAGTTCTTCGACAAGATGATCGGGCTGTCGTAGCGCAGATCGATATCCGTGCTCTGACTTTACTGCGACTGGTAGTCCTATACCTGTACACCTTGCTGGCCCGTCGTACCATTGGAGTAAACGTGATGTTGTGACGCCAAAGCAGGCTGCTGCGGAGGCGGCTGCTGCTGAACCAGGGAAGCCGGAGTCGCCGAGTTGGTCGTAGACATGGGCGTGGCCGAAGTCCCAGCTGGCGCATTCATCATGCGCTCTCTCTGTGCCTTCTCCGCTTCGAGCTTCTCCTTCTCAGCCTTCGTGATCCTTGGCTTCCTAGGCGCGCCAGGAATCTTGCCACCTCTGCTGCCACGACCTCGCGTCGGTGCGTTGGGATCCCGCACTTTCTCGGTAGCAGTTGTAGTAGCACTCGAAGCAGCAGTGGTACCGCCTCTACCGCGACCACGTCCTCGTCCACCGCCACGGCCTCGGCCAGATGGTGCTGCAGACTCAACATTCGCAGTTGTGCCCTCAGGTACAAGCTTGCCGGAGTACACGAAGAAACCATCCTTCGCCACAGCGGCCTTCTCCTGCCAAGCGAGCTCCGTATCATCGATGAAGTCGTCATCTTTGTCGTACTCCTCGACCTTCCTCCGCCTCTTGCGTGGCTTGGCGTCATCAGCTCCAGTGGCAGACTTGCCCTCGTCATCCATGCCGCCCATCTCAATGTTGCTGTCTCCATCCATATCTGACATCAAATCAACAGACATGTCGTCTGCAGAGCCTCCCTCGAGCTTGTTCTGTGCAGCTGCGACTTGCAATAGCTTTGCTCGATGTGCTGCAGCTCGAGGATTGATTGCGTCTTGACCGTACTTCTTGAAGATCTCCTGTGCGATGTTGACCGTGTTACCACCATCTCGATTCAGCGAGATCCGAATCTCGATGTTTGGTCCGCGGATCTCTGACTCTTGTTTAGCTCCAGGTCCGCCAAAGAGATTGTTGCTAGCCAAAAGTCCAGTGCCAGCAGCCTTGGGTGAAGCGGCCTTCTTCTCCTTGGCCTGGACTTGAGGCGTCGGCGCCGATGACGACGATTTCGAAGGTTGCGTCTTCATTGGCGCTTCGCACACAGGTCCATCAATGTCCATCGCGCCGTCCGTTTGCGGCATCGGTTGCGCTTGAGGTTGTTGTTGTTGAGGTGGAGGTGCCGGAGAGGTTAGTGGTAAAGATGCCTTTTGAGGTAGAGCCGCGGGTGCAGCCACTGGTGGCGTAGGTGAATGGTGTGCAGAACTAACAAAGCTAGGCGGCTGTTGTGCGTACGTCGGTGTTTGTGAGGTGTGCGACAATGGGAGTGAGGGTTTGCTGGGAGGGTCAATGAGGCTGTTGATGGACGGTGAAGCTGAGGCACGATTGTAATTGGGTGACAGGTGTGCTGATGGTTCACCATTCGTGTGCCTGGTCGGCGCAGGCGGAGGTCCGGAGGGGCGTGCAAAGGTGTCGGCTGATGGAGGTGCAGATTGTTCACCACTTGACTGCTTCGTCGGCGGTTGCGGCGGTGCTGCACCGAGGATGGAACCTCTGATCGGATCAAAGTTCTGACCACTCGAGTACGGGCGCGGTGTCGGCGGTTTTGATGCAGGTGGAAGACTGTCGCGTATCAAGATGTCGGGCTGATTCGGTCGTTGCAGAGGTTGCGACGCCAGAATGTGCTGTGGTTGCGGCGGAGGNGTGGACTGACGAGGTCCAGAGGCAGATGCATCAGGGGCAATGGCAGCAGGCTCTTTCTTCTGGCGCTTGCGAGGTGCAGGCGCAGAGCCATCTTCGGCCTTGACCTTGGGTTCTCGCGGCTTGCGAGGCTTCTTCTCCTTTGGTTTCTCATCTTTGCCTTCGACTTTGGGTTCCCGAGGCTTGCGTGCTCTCTTGGGCTTAGCAGTTGTGTCGGCGGGCGTGGGTGTTGGTATAGCATGCGCAGGTGCGGGAGTTGCCGAAGTGGAAGATGCAACAACACCTTCAGCAAATGCGGAGGCGGCAGCAGCAGGAGCGCGGGTTGTGACGCGAATTTCGTCGAGCGAGCTGGTTTGCGGGGACTGCACTGACGACAGAGACGACGTCTCGCTTGCAGCGTCGTCATCGGCCATGTGTTCCGAGTTCATGGCGCAGAATGGCCAAATCGACAATACACGCCAAGAAGATGGTATAGAAACACGATTAGCACACTAGGCAGATGTGCAGGGTGCACATGCGCAGTGCGCGCGTCTGGATCTGGCGCGGCTCAAAGGGTGCTCGAGGGTGCTCGTTCAGGGCCTCATCTCCATAAGTCGAAGCGGCCAATAAGCGTGGGGCTAGCGAACGTCGCAGTTTGGACCAGCGACGACGACAACACCTTTTGCAGGATCACGGCGGGCGGACTGGTAATGGGAGGCGGTGGTATAGCTGATGCGTTGCGTCTCGTTGCCGCGGTCCGGATGCAGGTCGAGATGGGCGCAGTTCGATGGCGATCGGTGGTTGAATTGATGAAAAACCGTATGGCAGCCAGTTGCATACACGCAGAAGTGCAGGATGGGTTGGAAAAAGAGTCGAGAAGGGGCGTGTCGAGAGTGCTGGAAAACATAAGGGAAAGCCGGCGCAGCACGCAGCACGGAGCACACTTTGACGACTTTGGACGGGCAGGCAGAGCGACTTGGAGCAACTTGACAGAATCCGCGGGGCAGCAGCCGGTCGTCGGAAACAACTGTGTCAGAGCGCGGCCAGCGAGCCAGCAATCTTGTCGCGGCCTTGTGCCATCGCCCTCCTCCCGACAAAGCTAGCTGGACACCGACATATCCAGACTCGGCATTGCTCTATGCCGCTCTTTGTCGGCTGCATTCATTGTGAAGTCTTCATATCAACTTACCCATTCGTCTCATGCTCTTGTGCATCTGGTATCAACTCCTCTGCGCCCTCCATGGCCACTGCCGTCGGGCTGGGCGCTGGCGAAGGGGGTTCCGCTTGCTGGCCGCAAGTTTGCGATGCGCTGGCGGGATTGGCTCAAGTTCCATCGTTGGCATGAAAGCATGACCACGGCAGCACTCTGGAACATTCATTCCGTGTCATGAGATCTGCTGTGAATGCGAACCAGCTCCTGTGACCACCACAGTCATATATTGTGCGGTCTTTACACTCGTCACATGTGCCATGTGCTCGTGTCGTTCTTTGAGTTTCGCAAATAGAAGCTCCACTACCCACTAGCGCGATCCAATCCCAGGGCAGGCGCGGCGCGGCTGCCGATCTGCGCTAGAAGCTTAATCGATAAGGTCCACTAGTTAGCCGCGCTTCTCTTGGAACGATTTTCAGGCACCACACCCACAAACATCATGTTCCGAGGCGAAAAGGTCCATATCGATCTCGGCTCAGACAGCGAGAATGACACGGCGCAGAAGCCCAACATATTGCCCGGCGCATTTGTGGGAGATGTCTTGGAGCGCGCTCCTGCCGCGCCCAAGCCACCAAGCGCCCCTGCCTTGAAGAGTAAAAGCGGCTTTCCTGGGCACCAAAAGCGCAACGTGGTGAGCCGCTTCAAACAGCAAAAGTCGTCAACTCCGGCTGCAGAGTCTAAGCAGCAGTCCTCGAGTATCAGCCGCACCGATAAAGATGCGTCGAGTGGCAAGCCGAAGTCATGGGAAGAGGGAGAGAAAGAGCGGATAGATCGCGAGAACAATGACAAATTGGCAGCAATGTCTGCTGAAGAGATCGAGGAGGAACGCAGAGAGCTAATGAACCAGTTCAGTCCAGCGCTATTACAGAGGCTTCTCATGAGAGGTGATGTGGCGAGTGGGAGTGAGGAGACAGACCTTTCACTTCTACCTGGCGAAATTCGAGAACGACCGAGCGAAGCGCCTCTGCCGGCGCCAGATGCCGTGGAGATTGGAGTGCCTGACGTGAAACCTCGCGAGAAGCCTGCAAAATCAGTTGCCTTTGCAGAGGAGCCAGAATTCGAAGACGCAAATGGTCAAGAAGATGTGAAACCTCAAGAAGAGGAAGTTTTGCCACATGACAGCGTCCACTTTCCACGACCAGATCAACCTCCTGCCCTCGACCCATCGTCAGACACATTTCTGGAAGACCTGTATCAGAAGTACTTTCCATCTCTGCCCTCAGATCCAGATAAGCTGGAATGGATGCAAACGTCTTCCGCCAAGAACACGTATGATCCCAGCGCAGACGCACTGAACGCAGGTGACGTGCGGTTCTCCTTCAGAGGCGACATCATACCACCAAGCAAAGCGAAAGAGATCCCAGTCACACTTGGCCTTCATCATCATGGCGATGCGCCTGAAGCAGCGGGCTACACGATCGCAGAACTGGCACATCTTGCGCGATCTAGCTATCCGGCGCAAAGATGTATCTCATTTCAGACACTGGGACGCATACTCTACAAGCTCAGCAAAGGCGAATTCGGTGACCCTGGTGAGCCCGAGCATGTACTGGCTGGTGATGTCGTTGAAGGTCCAGAAGATACCTTCGGTGAACTAGCACGAGGTCTGTGGCGAGAGGTGGAACGGCTACAAGTTATCCAGATTCTCGTAGATGAAAGCGAAGGAAGAGGAGTCGATGGCGGAAAGCACATGAGCGCAAAGGCCTACGCGACAGAAGCAGTATGGCTCTGGCGAAAAGGCGGAGGTCGCAGATGGGATGCAAAATAGAACCCCAACCCCACTTCAACACGAACCGCATCTACAACGCCGCCTTCTCCACAAGCGCCCACTTCCCATCTCTCTCCCTACTCCTAACCTTCCCATCCCTCTCCAACTTCCTCAAAACCTGCTTCAACCCGCCCTCCGCCGGCCCCCAAAGATGCTCCGGATACTTCGCATAAATCACCTTCACAATCTCCATACTCCCCCACCACTCATCCCCACTCGGACTCTTCCTCCCCAAAACCTCCAAAGCCTCTACTTCCCTCTGCTTCCGATGCTGAATATACTCTTTAATTTTCCCCTTCCCATCCTCAATCACAACCCCATGACTCGGATATGCCCGTCCCTCAAACCCATCCGCTTCTAACATAATATTCAGCGAATTCATGTATGCGGTGAGGTCTTCGAAAACTGCAGTCCCGTGTCCGAGGACGTTGTCGCCTGTGAAGAGGGCTTTTTCTTCTTCGAGGATGAAACACATATGATCCGTCGTATGTCCCGGAGTATGTAAAGCTCTCAATTTCGCTCCTTCGACTTTGAAAATTTTCCCATCTTCGAAGCCTGATTGTCCTGCATCGGGATTGTTTTTCCAGATCTTCAAATTCTTCCCTTCCGCTCCCAAGAGTTCTTTAACGTCGTTGACTCCACCAACATGATCCGGATGCCAATGCGTCAAAATCACACTTTCGATTTCCACATCTCCTTCGTCATGTAAAACTTTTGCGAGACTTTCTTTCCAGATTGGTAGACCTTCTGCTGTGTCGATGAGGATGCGACGTTTTCCTGTGCCGATGAGATGGGTGTTTGTGCCTTGGAGGGTGAATTTCGAGGGGTTTCCGCCTAGGATTCTTATGACGCGGGGGGAGAGACGTTCGATGTTCGGGATGTCGGGAAGTTGTTCGGTCATTTCGATCTTGTTGTTTGAGAAATCTCTTCTGGGTTGATTGTTCTTGAGGCTGGAAAGTTTGGAAGTCCGGTCTGTTCTTGTCTTGTTCGAAATAACAAGAAGTGGCGAGTAGCAGCAACGGAAATGATTGCCGAATGAGATCCGAAGTGGAAGTCTTGCTGCGGGGGAGTGATGCAGAAGAAGCGAGGTCATCTACGTCTTGAATTCTTGGGCATGTCTTGTGCAGTCAGAGGTGCATATATACTTGGAAGCTTGACGTTGACACCGGAAAGCGATTGCGACCATGATCAGTCAGCATTGCTCACAAGGTAGCTGAAGTGAAGAAGGCGCAATCGAGTCTAGCCGAGGCCTGGCGTGCCGAGCTAGCGGAGAGCTCTAACGCCGAGCCATATCTTTCCGACATTTCAGACATACATACTTACTGTTACTGAGACAATAACTAGGGAATGATTGGATGCGTTATGAGTTGTGACTTCTGTACATGAACCTATATTTTCAGGCAGCCGGAATGTGGTATCTAGTAACGCTGAATTCCGTCGCCCTCCAAGGACTTTGCGCGCGAGAAAGCGCCTAGGATGCAACGCACTTTCTCTCCACAATACTGAGCGCTCGTTGAAAGCTATCATATATCATGACGCAGCATCACGAGTCAAGCAAAGCTTACTAAGATCTGTTGTACGTGCCGAGTCGGGCGAGGATGTCTGCCATGTTCGGCGGTGCAGGAGGCAATCCTGAAGGTGGTTGCTGAGCAGCCGCTGAAGCCTGTGGAGGTCCTGGAGGATACTGTCCCTGATACTGTTGCTGCTGTGGAGGCGGGAAGCCGGGTTGTGCATACGGATGAGCACCAGGTACCTGAGGCGAAGCCGTGCTCAGAGTGGATAGCAGATTTTGCAGGTTGCTTGCGTCTGCTTTGGGTGGATATCCTGGCGGGTATCCTGGGGGCGGAGCGTGAGGCGGTGCGGCATTATATGGCGCCGGCGGTTGTCCGTAGCTGTGAGGATATGCCGATGGAGGAGGCGCACCGTATTGCGCCGGTGGCGGCTGCTGTTGGTATGGATATGCTGAAGGAGCTTGTCCTGACGGCGCGTATTGAGCAGGAGGGGCAGCATATGATGGTGTGCTCGGAGGTTGCGCAAGGCTGTTCCTCTCTCTCATGACCAGCTCGGCGCATATGGGAGGATCCAGATTGTCGTACTCCTCGAACTGAACATCTCTGTTTCCTCCCGCGCGCTTGAATATTGTTAGGCCAATTCTGCCAGTATCCTGGTTGACGCGTCTCAACTTGCTGATAGCAAGTACGCCTTCCACAATCTGCCGCCTAATGACCGCATCCTCGTTCAGTCGAGCAGATATTGTAAGCACATCAACCCGCACACCGCGAGAGGAGAAAGCTTTCTCGACCCACGACAAGAAGTCGCGCTCCAACCCTTCAAGGGCGATGATTTGCACCTCGGGCACGTCTCGAGGTTGTCTCCGAGGGAGTGGCAGGTCGTCGTAATCGGGCGATCGACGTGAACCGTGATCTCGATATCTGTCGTCTCGTCCATAGCCGGGAGATCTGGATCTCGTCCGGTATCTGTCATCGCGCCTCCTCCCATAGTCGCGAGGCGAAGGCGATCGGTTGTAGTTTCTTCCGCCGTCTCTCCCACGACCCCTGCCATTCGAATTGCGATCGTTCCGTCGATTGTCGTACGGGGAGCGTGAGCGGCGACCTTGATTCTGGTTCTGTTGCTTGTCGCGCGGCGGCTTCTGAGGTTTGCTAATCTCAAGGTCTTGTTTGGTCAGTTTCAGCCGCTATGTCTGCATATTCACTGCCAAACTCACGTATGCGTTTGTCACGGATCTGTCGCCCTTGCTCGGCGCTCAGTGCGCGCATGCAATCCTCGACCCTCAGAAATTGGACGAATCCGTACGCCTGCTTGATCGATATCTGTGCAATCTCTCCGAAATGATGGAAGACGTGGAAGATGTCGCGTTTCGTGACCTTTTCGCTAGAAAGGTTCCCTGGCGGGGCTGTTAGCTTGATGGCAAATGATGAAATTAGCAAAGGCACTCACCGACGAAGAGACGCGAACCTGGAGGGAACTGGTCCCATCGTGCTTCGTTTACGTAGCGACGCTCCTCATTCATGAAGTAGTCATATTTGCGTTGAGTCTCGGGCGTCCACGGGATGTCCTCTGTGCCTGCAAGCGGACTATGCTCGCGAGGTTGCTCTCGTGTCGGCGTGAACTGAGGCTGTTGCTGCGGCTGCTGCTGGGCAAATGGAGTTGACCCAGTGTTGGTCGCAGAGACTGGGGATTGCTGATTTTGGTATTGTTCGTTCTGACCAGATGTCGCTTGATTCGAAGCCGCTCCCACAGGTGGGACGAAATTGTGACTCTGTGCATCCGCAGCGTTTCCGGTGCTGTTGGCGCGATTGTGCGCTTGTACTGCTGGATTCGCGGCATGTGGATGATAGTCGCGGATATGTTGCGAATGAACGTAGGCTGCATTGATCAGCGGCTGATCTTGTGGAGGAGGTCGAGGTGGAAGACCACTAGGTGAGGCGAGACCGGCCAAGGACGCAGCAGGGTCTGCTTGAGACTGGGATGGAGAGAGGGCGGAGGCCGCATCCGGGCCATTGTTTGTAGGCGTGGAATTGGCTGCGGGTGCAGCAATGGAACTCGAAAGCTGGTCCAGCAAGGCCTGAACGTTGACTCCGCCAGGGATTGGCGTGGACTGCGACGGCTCGGTCTTCACCTCACTCGCTTGCAAGGCATTGGCATTCTGTGCGAATTCAGCTGCACTGGCGCTGGGATCGGCAGGTGCATCCTGAGTGGATGTGATATGAGGCTTGTTGTCGTTGTGATCACTAGAGTCGGCGTTGTGTGAAAAACCGTTGGAATTGGTGGTTTGAGCATCAGCTCCATTCGTAGCTGTCTCGGTACTATTTGAGGCATCATTGCCGTTCTGTTGCGCGCTGCTCTCGTCTCGATTCAAGTCATCGCCATTTCCGCCGGTCGAGTACGGAGAGGGGATGGTGACGTTTTGGTCGTCTGGGTCGCGCCAAGCTCCTGGTCGAAGCTCGGTGTCGTGCATGGCCGCATTGTTCATGTGCGGCTCAGCTTGATTGAAACCGACATCCATCATTTTATCCAGAACAGGGATGGACGTGGGCTGAGGGAAATGTAATGGCTTCGGAGAAGCGGGAGAAAGCAGAGCGGGCTCACTGCGTAGCCAGGCCTCTTCGGGTGGTTCTGGTGGTGCTGAAGATCCAGTGTCGTTGGTGGTCATCGGGATCAAAGGCGCATCCTAAGCGCAGCGCGAGAGACGGTCTGAGAGCATGGCAGAGTTAGGGACGAACGACGAGGAGCGGTGGTCTGGGCGACGATGACTGGAGTTCACAGCGCTGGGCTCTGGGGCTGGAAGTGGTGGTGGTGGTGGTGGTGTGCAGGGCAGACACAGAGACGTTCAACAGCAAACGACCACGAGCGCGCCAGTGGTTTGCCGCGTACAGCGCAGCACGAGCAGCGAGGCGTTGGCGGGCCAAGATCTGAGCAGTATTTACCTGGATGGTGATGGTGCTGGAGGGCGGTGGTAGTGTTCAGCGAGGAAGAGCGCCTGCGATGTGGCGGTTGTCGCGGCCCGGCGTATTGCGCGAGAGAGGCTTTCCAGGCGAGCACAGTGTGGAGACGACGAGCCGGATGATGCACGACGCGCGCGAGGAGAAGAGTGCGCTGTTATGGTATGGCGTGGATGGCGATGGTGATGTCTGGAGGATGATGATGGCAAGACCTTTCACGACATGCGCGCACATGTACTTGCCGCAGAAAACTCGCGCCACGCAGTCGTGCTTGCCCTTCGCTTTGTGCCAAGCATTGCGCGGGAGCTTGACTCGATCAGGCAGGAGCTAGCTCACTTTCGGCAGCATTATCCCGCGCCAAAAGTGCGCCTGCGACACACAGCTTGAACTGCTGCACGAGCTGTACTTCATGGCATTGCTGTTACGCACGACGTTCCGTGCTGCCAAAGCTGCCACTCCTGCGCCGGCATGGGGCATCAGACAACACGCTGTCAAAAGAGGCGGCGATGTCGATGAAGCAGAGCTCCAAGCAGCTCGCCAATGGCTCTCCAAACTTGACCCGGACACGATTCCTAGAGACATTTGTGAAGTGAGCTTCTCACGATCTTCTGGTCCAGGCGGGCAGAATGTCAACAAGTGAGCAGTTCACACGAATGAGGTGAGCCAGACACATGACTGATGCAGCGATAGAGTCTCGTCCAAGGCGACACTGCGCATACCTTTACCCTCACTGTTGCAGCGAGTGCCGAAAGTGATGCATGCACCAATTGCCAACAGTCGCTACCACGCTGCCAAATCCGACCACCTTGTCATTCAAGCCGACGATTCGCGAAAGCAGAACGACAATGTCAATGCATGCTTCCGCAAATTGCATGATCTGATCGTGCAGGCAGGCCGTCAGATGGTACCTGGCGAGACCAGTCCTGAACAGATGAAGCGGGTCGAAGAGCTTCAGAAGTCTGAGGCTGGAGCGCGGCGCAAGATGAAGGAATATCAGAGCAAGAAGAAGAGCGCACGCAGAGGTGGGAGGGGAGGTGACGATTGAAGTCATCGGAGTCTCAGCACGTCACAGGCCAACAGTATCACCCAAGCCTTCCGGCAAAGGTGATGAGTAAGATTCGACCTCAATGTCACAGCATCTTCGACAAGATGACTTCAAATCACTCGAAAGCCGACATTACCTGGCGGGTTGTGTGCTATCTCCATGGTTGCACGGCTCCTCTTGCCAAGGCATACAGCTTTGTGCGCGGTAGTGGCGAAGAAGAAAGATGCTCCGCTTGACGAGTACTTCACCATCTGCGCATCGCTAGCACGCTTGTCACGCGCAGATCGCGTACTCGTTACGGGGCATGAGTTTCTTTGGAAGTTCCGCGGCCAGCAAAGCAGCAATGGTCCACAGAGCGCAAGCGCCCACGGCTCACTCACCATGGCCTCCAGACCCAACACCAACACGAACAACAACCTCCACCAGACTCTTGTCACTGCTCCTCCTTCGTCAAGAGCAGCACGGAAGTGTGTACAGAGTCCAGGAACTTTCCACCTGGCGTATATCACTCTACCGCGCTGCATCTGCTATGTCGCCGAGGACTTGAGCAATGGTGCACAGATCCCAATTGTGCCAGTCACCAACATCTTTCCGCTCTGCAGTCAGGTCGTTGAGGTGCTCTAGGAGCGCTTGACTGAGGCTATCTGGAGAGCATGGGATGGCAGGTGCTTCCGCCACAAGATGGCAATCCGGCGTACCTGTTCATGGGCGAGCGCATAGTCCGGGCTCGGCTCTTCATAGAGTAAAGCTGCCAGCAACGTGCTGGCTAACGAGCCCACGTCCGGATTCAGCAAGCTGGTTTCAGCTTGTCGGGTGCATTTAGCCTGTCAGGACAATTGCGGACATCGCCATGCGATGCGGTCATTGGAGCATCAACGCGATACTCCTGAGGGCTGGTACGGGCACTCGCTTCGAGCTCTACGAAGACGTGTTCGGCGGCGCTTCGCTCTTTCCTGTCATCGAGCCCATGTCTTTCGAATCGCCGGCGCACTCAGTCGACCTAGCAGGCGGCCTGACGGTCGATGAAAAGCAGCTCAGACGTTGTTGCTTAGGTCCCAGTCAGCAATGGAACTTGTCTGTGACTATCTAATATAGCGACACCTGAACGTGCTTCCACGGAACGCGCTTCCACGGAACGCGTCTCCTTGAGCAATTGAAGACCCCAAATGCTATGCAAGCAAAACAAATTTCTCATCACTTTTTCACCCACTGTCCTCGCGTTCCCACCATTGAAATCTATCAACATTGTTGCTTCCTTACGACTGCCGTGTGCGCGGCTCGGCCAGAAGGTCGGCCCGATGGTCGCGCATTGGAGCTCTTGCTTGCTCGTGCAGCAAGCACGCTGCTCTCTTTGACAAGAATTGCACGGGGTGAGGAAACACGCCGCAGGTCGATGTGACGGCCTTTGATTGCGACAATGGTCGAATGCCTCTGAGCTCGGCCTGACAATGATGTTTATCGCCAAGTCCATCCCGCTGCTGCTATGATGATGCGGCCAGATGCCGTCCAGATCGAAGAAGAACTGACATCATCATTATAGTCGTCATGAGGAGCTGCCATTAGTCGTCTGGTTGATGTTGTAGCAACGATTGACCTTGTTGAGATCTACTAATTCGACTATATCAACAATGCCACCAAAGAAGAAAAGCGGAGCGAGTAATCAGAAAGAGGCCAGCGGCCACAAAGATTCCGCAACCAAGCAGGAGAAAGATCCCGAACAGCAAAACACTTTGTCCAAGAAACGCAAAGCTAACACAGAATCTGAACAACCTGTAAAGGCCTCCCGACGCTCTGCTCGAGGCACGCCAAAACCAAAGCCATCCCATTCGCAATTACTCAATTACCTACTATCCCACGATGCCGAAGCCCAATGCCGTCCACCAGACGAAACGGAAGACATTGAATCCAGAGGAAAAGACATCAAAACCTACTCTTCATCAGTCCTCAATCCCTTCGAAGAGCTCACATGTGCCATGATCCTCTCTCGACCTATCTCCCATCGTCTAGGCCTCCGATCGATTCGAACAATCCTCAATTCGCCATACTCGTTCAATAGTGCCTTGGCAATCAAGAACGCTGGAGAAGAGAAAGTCACGCAGGCATTCTATGATGCGAGAACACAGCATAAAGATAAAACGGCTGCGCAGTTGTATGAGTTGGCGAATACGGTGTTGGAGAAGTTCACCGCGGCAGAAGGGGACGAGCAAGGGACGCAGTTGGGAAGAGTGCTTAAGGAGCATAAGGGTGATGTTGATGAGGCTGTGGAGGAGTTGAAGAAAGAGATTAAGGGCTTTGGTGCGACTGGGATTGAGATTTTTCTTCGTCGGGTGCAATGGCTCGAGGGGTGGGATGCAAGGTATCCGTATGTGGATTCGAAGACGCAGAAGGCTCTTGAAGAGCTTGGTTTGCCTTCTGACGCCAATGATCTCCGCGACGCTGTTGAGCAAGAATGGAAGACGCTGAACACGAAGCATTTGGCTGGCGAGGATGAAGCTGGTCGGAAGCGCAGAGCGTTTGTGGTGATTTTGGTAAGAATCGTCATTCGAATGTCGTTGTACAGAGGGACTAATCGTGATTATAGGAGCGTGCATCGACAACACTTCTGGAGAGCAAGGTAGACGATGTTTCTGCGGCAGCAGCAGCATTTGCTTCGGAGACTTGATGGAGCGGCTTCGCGTGCAAGATCAGGATCAACGTTTAATGTATAGCACTATTTGCTTTGAACTCGTAAGCCAAGCAGCAGACGTCTCGATGTACTTCCGTGCGCGCTTCGAAGGACACCTTTCCAGCTGAATCAATACCATCTCAAGACCGCCCTCGTGCATCCAAGGCGCAAGCATGGGTATAGCTGATTGTGAAGTTCGGTACAACAGACAACAGCTCTCGACCGAGGCACCAAAATCCTACTCCAATATCCACAATGTCCACAAGATCTCAGCACCAACCACTGCTCAGAGAGTTTGGCGAACCGACCTATTGGAAGACAAGGTTTGAGACCACTGGCTCGTACCTGATTTTGGCTCGAAGCACATGCAAATGCAAATGCGATCGTCGGCTCTCAAATCATGCGTAGGAGTCGAGTCCGAAGGGTCGTCCATGCGTGAGGAGTCGTCCAGTGTTTGGTGCACTGTAACTGCGGCACCTTTCACTGTCAGCTGCAGCTTGCGGTAGGACATGGTGAGCAGAAAAGGAACTGAAGATGTGAATTTCATTAACTTTGGTATCGTCTTCTCATGAGGCTCGTCTGGTGCAAGCTTTGAAACTGGTGTGACTGAGCAAGTAGCAGTCAAATAACAAAATGGGTATATTATCAACATGGCGCGCAAGCAGTCCGCCTTCCACTCCTCATCGCACCGGCGCAGGAGCTGGTACTGCCGCCGCCGGAGGTACAGGAGCAGCAGCAGGTGGTGCTTGTGCGGGCAGTCCTTGTGCTGGCGGAGCTGCTGGCGGTGCTTGTGCTTGCGCAGGCGGAGGAGCAGCAGGTGCCTGTTGTCCCTGCTGTGCTTGCGGTGCTTGCTCTTGCGGTCGCTTCCCGTCTGCTGGCGCCTTACTACACTCCGCCAAATCCTGTAATAGATCCCCAGCATGTACATCAATCACGCCGGCCTTCCCATCCTCAATACCAAACGACAAAAACAGCGGATCATCAACATATCCATGATACGTCTGTCCCTTGTTCTTCCAGCTCATACTCGTGAAGAATATTTGCTCCGTGTGCCCCTTTGGAATCTGGTCTTCGTGGCCACGATATTTCGGACTGCCGGAATCTGCGGTGAAAGGACCGCGACCGTAGACCCAGTAAGGTCTTTGGCCGATGGCGTGGATGGGGAAGGGGGAGGTGCGTTTAAAGAGCATGATGTAAGGTTCGTAGATTCCGTGGAATTCGCGCCAGGCTTTCCAATGGAAGATCGTCATGATGAAGGTGTTGCTGTCGGTCGGAGTGCACGTGGGATCTGCGCGGGCGCACATGGTGATGGAGAGGGAGTTGGTCGCTTGATGGATCCCTTCTGAGGCGTATTCGTAGTGTTCGACCGGGGGCATGAAAGCATTCATGCAGCGCGCATCGGCTTCTACGGTTTGGGGAGCGAGGTCCTCGCCGACGTTTCCCACAGGACCAAGAGCTGCGTAGGATCGTCTGGGCCAGAGGTCGTTGTGAACGTAGACGCCTCCTTTGTCGTCCCAGAAGACGAAGAAGTTCTTCTCGAACACGTGCCAGGGCTCAGGTCTCTGCAGTTCTGTTGCTTCCTTGAAGTATGCGATATCTGCTTGTTGGCCTGCTGCCTGGAAAGGTGGCAGCAACATTCTCCCGTCATGCATCCAGATTCCTAGACAAGCATGGGCAGACTGAGATCCGTACATCACGTATGGTGCATCTGGGCCATAGAACATGCGAGCGTCTCGCGGTCCTACTACCAAATTGATCCACGCATTTCCTTCTGTGCAGTTGCCGACAATCGACTCGGTCACCTGCATCACGGTCGGTGCCTCAGAGCAGACCAGTTTGTCCATGAAGAAGCCAGCAGTGCAGACCAACTCCTGATGCTCCGCCGTCATCTCGTCCGATCTCTCGTGTTGCGCCAGCACGACCCATCGATCAGGCTCCGTGGGATGCGGTAGCAAATTGGGATTGTATCCTGCCTCACCTCCCAACCAGACAAGCCAATACTTCTTCTCTGGCGAGGTCATCGAGTAGATCTTGCGATAATGTGGTGTCCGCCGCCCGTACATGTCCACTCCCGGCCCTTCATCGATGTCGTGAACCGGCGGCGCATTGTTCTGTGTAGGCAACAAAATGCCGCCCGCGACTTGTTGCGCAGGAACTGGATTCCCAGGCTGCACAGCTCCCGCAGGTCCTGCAAGTGGTGGGCTGTCCGTTCCTCCCAGAGTCGCCTTGAACGCCTCGAAATGGATCGTATCTGCACCTCTGCTGCCGAAGATGTAAGGCGCGTAAATGATGCTCAGGAAGATCAGCGTGGAAATCGTAATCACCCAGAACCTTCGCGTCCGCACGCGTGGTGGCAGCAGCGCCGTCGCGTCCTTGAAATCCCTCGGATCCATATCCGTGAGCTGGTGTTGTCAAAGGCAAACAACAATGCCATCCTCCGATGTAGTCAAGTCAAGAAGGAAAGAGAACACAAACAAGAGTTAATTTGCCTGGATCATCGTGCTCGGTGTGGCTGATCGTCTCAATGGCATGTTCCGCCGCGTGCGTTGCTCTGAAGCTACCGACGGGCGTGGCCAGAACGTACCATTTCTCCGCAAATGATAGGCGGGGATCAAACCTTCTCTTTTACGACGGAGCCAGCCTTCTGCACGCATGCAGGGCAGCATCAGCGGCTCTGCTGTCCATGGAGCGCTCCGCGTTTGGCGCAATTTCAGCAGGCGGACGTTGCGTTGCGGAGTCGTTGGAGGTGAACGCCAGAACGGGTTTGGTGAAGGAACGAGGCTGGCTGGATTGGGAGGGGAAGGACGTTTGTGGGTCCGAGAACCACAACCACGTCCACAATGGTATGTTCTCTGGGCGAGCTTGTACGAACGCCCATCTTCTTGTCTGGTTCTTCATGCATGTACCTACTAATTTCTACCTCATCAAGAGGAGTTGAATCTCTGGATTGTTTGACCAGGAACGATTGTAGAAGAACGCCAGCTCTCGCAACGAGCACGAGCCGACATATTGACAACGATTCGATCGATACCGTCGTTGCAGCGTTGAAAGAGCAGAAATGAGAAAGGATACTTGATCGTCCAGCTGTACAGACAACGAAAGTGATCAGCACAGCCTCGACGGTATCCTCCGGTTGCCAAATTATGCCTCTGCGACGATCAACAACACGACGATGATATCCCATGGACCCGCCGAATCGTCCAAAACCACAACAACACGACATCTCGACGGCCTCCGCGGTCTAGCTGCAACGATCGTCTTCATTCAACACAATCTTTCGAACTTCACCTGGGGGTTACACGACTTCGGATTCGGCCAATCTGGACAGCATTACTACTTTGTCTCGCTTCCATTCATTCGAATCTTCTTCAATGGAGGTGGTGCAGCAGTGGTCATCTTCTTCATCCTTTCCGGCTATGTCCTGTCAGTGAGCCATTTGCGAAAGTTGAAGTCGTGGTCTCCTTCTACAAGTTCCAACGATATTCGGACATGGCGATGGTCGCTGCTCAGTGCTGTCGTCCGACGACCAATCAGGCTGTACCTGCCACCTCTGGTGATCGCATTCATGGTAGCTCTGATGATCCATATACCAGGACCTGTCTTCGTACCTACGCCCATTCTGAAGCCGCATGAAGGAGGCATTGGCGCAGAGCTAGTGCAATTCGTTGTGAAAAGCGCAAACTTCTTCCAGCCTTTCCAGGTGCATAGCAACAGCGTCTTCAGCTGGTATACCTATGATATGGCCATCTGGACGATCCCTATCGAATTGAAGGGCAGCATTCTCATTTTCGGCTTGTTGGGGCTGCTTTCGTTATTTGGTCTGAGAGGTGCAGGTCCAATACGAGCAGCAGTTATTGCCGCGACCATGATCGTAATAGGAGGAATCATGTTGAGCTTGTCTTTCAAATGGAGCATGGCATGCTTCTTGTTCGGCATGGCAATAGCGATTGTTGATATTTGGGATTTGGATGGCAGGTTCTTCCGGGCTCTTCCATCAGAGCACATTCGGACCGTCGTCCTGCATATCCTCTTCTTTGCCGGGTGGTATCTGCTCAGCGAGCCAGCGCATGATGGCAATCCCTTCACGACTTATCAGACTCCAGGTTGGAAGTGGCTGTCGACCTTCATACCCAGGGGATATAATCAGGAGAATTACTACCGGTACTGGCACAGCTTCGGCGGCCTGCCGTTCGTATACGGCGCTCTCCGAATTTCATGGCTTCGATGGCTGCTATCCAGAAAGCCAATCCTGTTCCTCGGAGAAGTTAGCTTCATGCTGTATCTCGTGCATCTGCCACTGGGGGATGTCTTCGGTGTTCGCATCAATGCTCTCTTCGGTGGGCCAGTCAGTGAGCATCTCAAAGACACGTTTTGGGATGGCTCGCTTGCAGTGCCAGATATTGGACCTTTTGAGTTGAGCACGCGGCCTCTGCTATGTCTGAGCCTGTCGCTTGCAATTTACCTGTTCTACGCGTATTATGCCACAGAATGGATAGACAAGCCGGCTGTTCGTCTCAGCAGGAAACTGGCTGTCAAACTGCGGCTCCAAACCGATCGGGCAGTACCGGCACAGGAGCCTTTGTTACCCATGGCCACGGTAGATTCAATGCAGCCTATAGGACGAGGTGTAGCATAATCATTGTATAGATTAGAGAAAACTTGCTCGTTCGATACCTGTGTTGTACATGGCTCATGTTCGCGCTTGCAAGGTGACTCGTTTCGCGAGCTGGCGTGAGACGCGGAACTGCGTCGGAATTATTGGCTGCTTCTCCAATTGACAGCGCTTCGCTGCCGGTAGGCAATATTGTCGCGTCTGCCCTGCGGACAAGGTCGCGTTGTTGTTCGTGGAAGCAGGAGTGACAGACTGATTCGCGAAGATGGAAAGTCCAAGCCCCGCATCCACAGGGAAGAGCTTCTGGCCTGTGCAGCAACGCGGTATCGACAATGCCTCGAATTGCTTCAACAATGCTTTGCTCCCAATCGATAGCAGGTCTCACACTTCGGTATTAGCAAGTCCCGTTACAGCAGTTTGAGCCTATGAAGACCGTTTGTGTCCACTCATAACATAATGTGATCCGAGGAAAGACGATTGATTCAATGCCCTGAACTATTCCTTTGCGCAAAACGCTACGCTAACCAAAAATCCCATTTGCCGACCTAACTTTCTTTTTCCAGACTGTTCATCTCAGTCCTCCAGAGCAGGCACATACCTTTCTACGAACGTGCAAATATCCCTCAACACAGGCCCGCTCAAGCTGTGGCCGAGGCCCTCATACTCATGCACTTCGAGATCACTCTCCACACCTAGCTCTTCCAGCCTCTTCAGGGTATCTTTCCAAATTCTCCCCGGGATCATCTGATCTTTCTTTCCTCTCGCCAGTAGAATGGGGACTTGACCATGTACAGGCGGTAGACCTGCCACAGCTCTCATATCCTCAAGTTTTCTCCCCGCGCTAAGAGGAAGGTAGCCCATCAGCCCGACAATTCCACCAAGTTTCCCAGCGTACTTTTCACTTGTCAGGTCTGTCAAAAGTGCCATTGCACAGCCTTGGGAGAAACCGCCTAATACGATTCGGTTTGGTGGAATGCCCTTCTTCGTGCACGCATCGATGAGTGATTCGATGTACTTGACTGTCGCGAGCATCCCGTCTGCGTCTTCTTCGGGTGCGAGTTCTGGACGATCTGGGGGGAAAGCGGAGAATGAGGAAGGTGTGTACCAGGCTGTTGTCATCGCTTCGCGAGATTCCATGGCATTTGGAATGATCCAGTGCATGTAAGGAAGTTTGTGGGCGGATTGGAATTGCTGAGGAACAGCTAGACGATTTTCTGTTAGAATTGATCCAGAGTTATGCCACGCATGCTGCTCTCCTACCTTGTAGCCCTTCGGCATTGTCGCCCAGTCCATGAACAAGAATGAAAGCTGCTCCATGTGCTGGATCCGAAGCTGGCTTCTCAGCTGGGATGTAAATCGGATCCTGGCGTTTGGGCTCGGTCGGCAGTGTCATGCGACGCTTCATTGGAGCAATGCCGTCCATGTTGTCGACTTTTGGGGTTGGATTATGGCTGAGAGTAGCGGCACTCATGGTGGAAGGTCTGGAAGCGGAGAGGAGCTGTAAGGTAGCAATATGCAGTAGCCAGTAGCAAGCAGGCGGAACCTGGAAACAGAAGTAGATCTTGGACAAACAACAAGCAGCGCTCTGAAGAGTTGCTATTGGAGCTGGAGATGAAGAGGGTGAAGACGGTATTCACGGGAAATGGCAAATGCTTTTTCTTCTCCCTGCTTGTGAAGACCTAGCTTGTGAGTGATTACGCTTTGGCTTGCCGCTATCATTACTCGTGGCCTCCGCACGACCGCAGATGGGGCTGGCCCTGGGTGTCGTGAGCGCGAGACATCGTGCAGGGTGGGGCAAAGAGCAGAATGCACGCTCGACCTCGGAAGGAGTCGGTACAGATGCACGCACTGGACGTGTCAATGGTTCCGCGCGTGACGTATGAGCCGACCAAACACGTTAGCGTGCGCACGGATGCACGTAAGTGAACCCTCTTTTTCACATGCACGACACGACGCTGTCGCGTGCGAGCGTTTCGAACTTCTTCGCGGATTCTTCGGACTGACGTTGTTATGTTGAATTGAGGCTTTTTCTTTTACGGCAGGGTGCTTGGAGTTCGGCATTTTGATGGGACGAGATCGACTCGAGGATGGCGACTCCTGGACTTCGGTTTCGAACGCCGTACATTGAGGAGCTGCCTATCGGACAGCAAAAACAAGCGCCGGGATTCGCGTGGGTAGCTGTTGCAGGTCCAGTTGCAGACCCGTCGAAGAATTGGGGGACGACGAATAAGAAGAGAGCAAGAGGAGCAGGCGCTGGAGGTCAGACTGAGGCACAGAAGGAGGCGTTGAGCGCGAAGCAGCAGAGACAGGTGGAGAGAAAGATTCGGGAGCTCAATAGCGATGGCACGAGGGATGTGCAGATACCTGCGCCCAAGGGAGAGGTAGCAAAGGGAGGAGGTTACAGAGTGGGCAAGACGCCAGCTACTAAGAAGATTCTAGCTAGCGGCAAGACGTTCCAGCACTACTTGGACGATGAAGAGGCAGAAATCGCGCTGAAAGGCAGAAGAGACTTGGACAACCTGCCAGGGCCAAAGCCAGACTCGCAGCGGGCCAGTAAGACGCCGATTGCCAGACGGAAGCCTTCGAATCTGCAGAGAGAGGAGAGCAGCACGGGTGGCAGTCCTGCACCGAATGCAAACGCTCCACCCGTCCCGACTACACTCGCACCACCCATGCCTAGCGACCTGATGGACCTCGATGAAGAAGACGACGATGCCCTCGATCCTATGCCGACGCAAGCCGAGATGGAAGCGCTGCTGAACGCTCCTCCTCTCACCTACAACCAAGCACGATCAGCTCCACCGCCCGCAAGCGCACCTCCTCCACGCCAGTTCTGCGAGACGTGTGGGTACTGGGGAAGAGTCAAGTGTATGAAATGTGGTAACATGACATGCAGTGTGATCTGCAAGGATACACACGACGAGCACAAGTGCCTCAAGTTCTATGCATAGGATGCTGGAGATGAGAGGCGCGGTGCTCGTCGTGTGAGGTTCGCATGAAATAAGGGAGCTATTGGAGTTGCAATTGCATTTCGAGATACCCATATTACAGAGCAGAACCACAGCCAACAGCCGCTCATTGACTGTTTCCATTTACTGAACGAAGAACGATTCAACACCTCATACAGTCATCCCGGTGCAATTGCTAGACAGCACAATGCTCCAGGAGGAAGAGAGTTCCTCTTGGACGTGTACAAAATCGTGTCGGAGAGACCTGGTGGAGACAGGATCACTTTCTGTAGACGATTCGGTACGTCTCCACCCGTTCAGATTTGACACTGCTGATCGCCGTAGGGTTGTCCAGAGACTTCCTGGTTCTCGAGATGACAGGAAGCAGCGGCAGCTCCATCGCTCCGAATCGCTCAAACTAGTCGTGGCGCTCAAGGGAGAAATCTTGCAACTTCGTGCAACTCTGCCGTAGTGGAGCCGCAAATTTCGCCCTCGCCATGCTTATGATACCAGCATTTGTTCTGTGAGAGTCGCTCCTCAAGGCCTTCCGTACCCTCCATCACCTCACTCGCCAGAGTCCGCAGAAATGCAGCGGGAAACTCTTCGTCGTTACAAGATGACAGAATTCCCGCGTGGCGCTTGAAAATATCAACGAGGAGGCTCCGAGCTCCGGAGTCGTCTGGGACGGAGCCGAAGACAATCTGTACAGGAATGTGGAGCTTGGCGCCTTTGAGTATCTCGGAGGCGGCCTCTGCTTGTGCGATGCCAACCATCGTGTCCAGGACGGAATCGTGGAAGGCTTTGTCCATCACTGACGATCCGAGAACCAGAGCTCTTGCCAAGATGGCCCAGTCGTCCGCGTCCGCATGAACTCCGCCATACCACAGCTTCTTGCCGTTTGGCATGATCTTGCGGCTATACAGCCAGTCGACGTATACTGCGAAGAGCTCCACGCACATGTAAGACAGCTTCACAACTGCGTTGCCCTTTGTCCACTCCGTTTTGGCTTTCGACTGGAAAAACTTCGAAGATCTGCACAGAATGCCTTGGTGTACCTTGTAGATCTTGAGCGACGACGGATCAACGTCCTCTGGAGGCCCAACATGGATGGAGACGATGACATCGTCAGGACTGTGCTCCTTCGTCAGAGTATGGCCTTCAAATTCTCGAGTGTCTCCGCTCTCCCAGATCGCATATACCTGATGAAGCAGTCGCGCTTACCAACCTCCTCTTCATCTTCAAAGTTTGGCTCTGCTGGCTTGTCGCCGAGGAAACTGCCCAACATGTGCAGGTTCCCGCTCGTGCGGTAGCTGGCTAAGAGGTGTTCGTGATACGACACGCAGTCTTCCACATTGCCACCGAAGTGTTGCAGTGCGACCTTAATGTCTGTTTCCCTGCAGTGGAAGGAGAGAAAGCTCTTCACCTCCTCGACATTCTCGCGGGTAGCCATTGGGCGTCAGTCGCTGTGCCGGATGCACCTTGCGGTTGTTGTTGTCGAGAAAGAGTGAAAATCAGACGCATAGTCAGACGCGAGCTAGAATATTTCAAGTGGCAGGTGCTGCTGCAGTTTGCTTGCGCTGCCTGCTTGGCGCGCGAAATGAAGCGCGACGATTCACCTCAAATCTCACGGGCGCTTCAGAAATCGCCCAATTTCTGACGACAAGGTAAACAGTGTATCTCGAAGCGGCGACCTCCACATGACCTCCCATCATCTGCGAAAAGCTATCACCCAGTTGGAATACTGCGGCGCATTTTTTTTTCCCGCGAACTCCACTGCTTCGGCTACAGGTGGCTCTACGGTGACACATGTTGCCTCGAGTGCAAATATACAAAACGAGTGAGAAGTGTGTTCTGCTGCGCGAACTTCTCTAGATGCCTGAGGCACCAGCCTATTCCTTCACAACTGCTTCTTGTTGAAGCTTGGTACTGCATTGCAAGTGAGGTCTTAGGCCTCGAGGGTCCTCCTGTTGCTAATACACTCCAGAAAGCTACTAGTGATTGTGGAATCAAACCTGCCATTCCACAATATTATTGCGGCGACTCCATTGGAGAGGCGTGACGACTGCGGAAGAGGCGCTGATAGGTGCACACGTGGCGCAGTGCATCAACAAGGCTGAGCTGAGGGGTTTTGCTCTGCCACAATGTGAACTTGAGCCGTAGCTGTTGCAGCATTCCGTATCCTCGCAGACTATCGCACTCTCGGTGGGCATGTTTGCACGAGTTCATCAAGATGAGACTGCTGCATGTCGAAGAGCTCAGGTTCGAGGAATTCTTTGACGAAAATGTCCCGCCGTACGCCATCGCTTCACACCGGTGGGGAGCAGAGGAAGTGACATTACAGGACCTTCAGCAGAACCGCGCCACATCGAAGATCGGCTACAAAAAGATTCAGGCGTTCGCGAAATATGCACGAGAGAACTTGAAGTCCATCAATTGGATCTGGATTGATACCTGTTGCATTGATAAGACTAGTGCCGCGGAACTGTCAGAGTCCGTCAATTTGATGTTCAAGTGGTATCGCAATGCTGAGATATGTCTGGCCTATCTCGCAGACATTCCATCGGCAGGTGAGCCTCACGGATACTTGAGAAGCGAATGGTTCCGGCGAGGCTGGACATTGCAAGAGCTGTTAGCCCCACGCGTCGTCATCTTCCTGACGGGCGACTGGCAGGTCATCGGGAACAAGGGCGCCTCCCTGAATGATTCGATCCAATCCGCCGCCGGGTCGGGACTGGAACCAGGTATAGCAGTTGCTACACGCCTGCCAGAGGACGTTTTGCACGATTTTGACAAGAGCAAGAGCATATCTCGAAGCGAGAAGCTAAGGTGGATGGAGGGCAGAGACACGACTCGCAAAGAAGATCTGTCGTACGGGCTCTATGGAATCTTTAATGTTTATCTAGGCGCAAACTACGGGGAGGGATTTCGCGGGGCGCGGGATCGTCTGATAGCAGCCCTCCCCGAGCGGGAGGATCGAGAACAGCGTCAAGCGGATCAATTCCGTAAAATCACAGAGTGGCTCGCCCCGCCGGATCCATGGACAGATCATGAGACCGCACGAAATGAACGAGCTGCACAGACAGGAGATTGGTTGCTGCAATCACCAATATATCAGGAGTGGAAACATCATACCACTAACTTGCTATGGCTACATGGCAAGGCTGGTTGCGGCAAGACTATTCTATGTTCGACAGCAATCGAAGACATTCGAGTGTACTGCAACAGCAGGGATGACATAGGCTACGCAGTCTTCTACTGCGCGTTCTCTGACAGCCGCAAGCAGTCACTTAGAACTATGCTCCTGTCAATCGTCGCGCAGGTCTGCTCGAGAGAGCCTGGTCTAGCAATGCTGCAGAATGCGTACGAGAAGCATAACAGGGTTACTCTAAGCGCTGACGACCTCGAAAAGATCATGTTCTCGACATTGAGAGCCTACAAAACAATGTATTTACTGGTCGATGGAGTCGACGAGTGCCCTGAAGACAACGACAATCGCCGTGGGGTGCTCGAATTCCTAGTACGTCTGTCGCACAGAGCAAGCAATGTGCGCATTCTAGCAGCAAGTCGCGATGAGCCCGGAATTCGCTCGTCAATGCAAGCATCAAAAGCTGCACAACTTCCCATCAACACACACGCTGTGGACGCCGATATTCGCAGATACATATCAGCGGAAATACTGCGTGACCTGCGACTTTCTCGACTCGATTCTCAGACCAAAGCACAAATCGAGGATACACTCACGCAGCGGGCAGACGGCATGTAAGCATATAGCCCTCCGACCTCTCAACCGTGAGTCTGACGCGCTCTAGGTTCCGCTGGACGTTCTGCCAGTTACAAGAAGTGAAGAAATTGAAGTCAACAAAGCCGAGATCCATTCAACAAGCATTGTTTGCTCTGCCCGCAACACTGGACGCGACATATGAGCGGATACTAGAAACGATAGGGGAGAACGTGCGGGACGACGCACTTATACTCCTGCGCTGGATAGCCTACGCGCAAGAGCCGCTCACTCTCGAGCAGCTAGTTGAAACCACGATTATTGATTTGGACCAGGAGGCATCGGTCGGTATCGATAACCGAGGAGGTCTGATGGACACTCTAGAGATTCTTTCAGGATTGATCATAACTGAGGGTCCAAAGCCTACACGCTCGTGGGCTATAGGACCATTCTCAAGTTTGCTGCGAGCTAATAGAGCGGCGGCTAGAGCTCGAAAGGCTAGAATTCGAAAGGCTAGGCTTCCAAAGGCGAAACGCGCAAAGGCTAAATGGGACATTTTCGATGATTCCACGGACGAAGATGGATCCCAGGACGAAGATGATTCCACTTCTGATAACGTTTTCCCTTCCATCAGAGAGGATTGCCTGAAAAACACAACAGTCAGGCTTGCCCACTTCTCTGTGAAAGAATACCTTGAATCCACTCGGATTTTGCAAGGCAGTGCGCGAGGTTTCCAATTGTCAAGCGCTCGGGAACACTGGATCATTGCTCAAAGCTGCCTGGCATATCTTCTATTCTATAGCCGGCACGCACAGAAATCACACAGTTTAGGGGATTTGAAAGCGTTTCCGTTACTCCACTACGCAGCTAAGACATGGTACGTCCATTTGTCTTCAAAAAGCACAGAAAAAGTCGCTCGCGAAGCAACAGTTCTTCTGCAAGAAGACGTGAAACACGACTGGTTGCTGATACACCGACCCGACGACCCGTGGTTTGATCCTTTCATGATGGGACCAATCGACGAAGCGCCAGCTCTATACTACGCTAGTTATTTGGGACTCCAGTCTGTGGTGCAGTCACTAGTAGACGCAGGCGCGGACGTCAATGACGATTCGGGGATTTTCAGCCCTGCATTGGTAGCAGCTTCGACGAAAGGCCACGAAACGATCGTGGAAGCCTTGTTGAAGGCCGGAGCGAACCTCAAAGTGGAACTTGCGCTGCACGAAGCAGCAACTTCTGGCCATGCGAAGGTCGCGAAGATGCTGATCGAGGTAGGAGCGACTTTCCACGCTGCGAAAGAGCCATGCGATGCTCAATGCACACTACTATCGACAGCGTCCGAAGCAGGTTACAGGGAGATAGTGGAGATGCTAATTATGTCTGGAGTCAACGTCAATACTGCTTGCAGTCCTTCTCTGACTCCGCTAATGCTGGCGTCCCAACGAGGTGACGTGGAGATAGTAGGGATGCTCTTAGATGCTGGCGCTGACCCGATACACAGGGCGTTAGAAGCAGCATCCCTTAACGGTCATCGGGAGGTAGTCAAGAAGATGATAGAGACGCTCTTAGAGAGGGAGAAAAGTCCTGGTGCCAATCAGACAGCAGGTCCACTTTCGGAGGAGCTCATCGCTGCTTGTAATTTGGGCTTAGTTGAAGCAGCAGAAGTACTCATAAAGGCAGGAGCCAACGTCAACAACCGAGGAAGGCTTGAGACCTCATGGGGCGTTTTCAAGAACGTGAACGCGCTTGAGGTAGTTTTGGCCAGCGACGAATACAAATACAGTGTGGAATTGGCGGGCATGCTACTGACAGCAGGGGCGGTACTGGAGAACCCAATCAAGGGACGATTGAACGAAGCACTCATCACAGCATCAGGTGCAGGATCGGGGATTTTGGTGCGGAGGTTGATACAAGAGGGGGCAGATGTTAACACTCTCATGGACCGCCGAATGCGCGTGGCCACGTTGCAAAAGCAACGTTACACCGACAATACCAATGCTTTGCGACTGGCAATTGCTCACGGGCACGAGAGTGTGGTAAAGCTGCTACTGGCTGCGGGAGCCCAAGTCCACCGTGCGCCGAAAAGCTGGATAGATCTCTCGCATCGGAACGGGGACTACCAAACTGATGTACAACTAGCACTGAATGTAGGCAATGAGAAGATAGTGCAGCTTCTGCTGGATGCAGGAGCGAAGATCGAGGATCGAACATTGGTCTTCGAGGACAAGGACGGAAATATATATGGAAGTGCTATACAAGCAGAATTAACACGAGGCAACAAAAGGATAGCGCAGATGCTAAGAGGCGCAAGAGCAGTATCACGGAAGCGACGGCTATATATGCTTGGCCGACGTATACCTCCCTTCCATGGTAGTAAGGCACACTGATTAAGAGGAGGACAATTGTTCAATCAAGCTACCTGATGCAAAATAAACAGACTCACTAAGCCAATCTTGTCAAAGCTTTAGCATCACTTCCAGTAGCCTTTCAACATCATCCGCAACGTAAACTTTCACACCCTCTGCGTCGTCCTGCCGCTCAGGCACCACGCTGCAGTCCAAATCGCACGGCGAGTAGGCTGGGAGAGTTTGTGCAGTTGTCTCCAAATGCAGGAGCTGAGATCAAAGATGCAACATCGAGACAGGAGAACGAAGAGGCAGGTATGTACAACCATAGATTATGAGCTAAAAGGGCGCGGGGCCATGAAAGCATAGTGCACATGCTAACAAACGCGGGAGCTTTGTTTATGATCCACCCAATGATCGAAGCGAGGATAAAGGAAAGTTACCACAGTGCTTGAGTAGCAGCTAGAAATAGATGGTAACCGGAATAAACAAGAGCGCAAGGAAGATTGGAATTACTTTTTCGGAGCAGAGGCAGAATGTGCAATCTTGGCGGCAGTCCGTACTAAATATGCTTCACATCAACGATCCATAACAATGTGTTAGGTAGATGTAGCAAGTACCACCAGTAGACATCGTAACAGTAACACACATCGCTTCTTATGCAACGCAAGACATGAGCTCTATCAAAGCCATTCCTCACAACGAGATCTTCGTTCGACGGCAATGAGGCCACTCCCACCATCCCCAAAGATCCCCAACCCCCAACCCCCCCAACTGAAAACTCGCCAACCTAACCTTTCTAACTGCAACAATTCGTACAAACTGTCCAACAAGCCTGTCCTCTACAGCAATATTCTTTGCCGCAAGTCGTGGCGCAACAATCACCGCAGAGATCGAATTTTGGAGCAAGTGGAGATCTTGCATTCAGTTCTTGTATTTCAAGAGGATCTTCTAGACCTTTGAGGTCGGGGAGAGCGAAGGCGAGGTGGAGGCTGAAGAGCATGATTGGGAGGAGGGTGGGGAGACGCATTTTGTATTGGATGGTGTAAGGATGGGTTGGGTATGGTATGTATGTTGGTATGTTCGATGAGTTGAGTGAATATTGGTTTGCTCGAACAGAACAGATCTTCGAAGGTGATACTTACGATAGTCTAGAAATTGTTAGCACGTCAACACATTGAGATAGTTGGCGGACATCCCAAAAACTGAGTTTTGCACGCCATTCGTAGGGTCTGCTGTAGAAATTAGAAGCTACGGATACGAGGCTTATGAACTTAGGTTACGAGGCTTATGCCCTTAGGGCTGGTTGTATATGTGTCAAACTGCAGAGCGCAATTGTAGCAATAGAGCAGCGGTCCCAGGACCAGAGCATGCCAAGAATGTGGCATCGAAGTTGCAACATAGGTCTGGAACAGGGCATTAGAAAGAAAGCGCGCCGATGTATATCACCCAAGACTTGCATTTGCAGGTGCACACTAGAGTTCGTTTTGTATCCATTGAAAATCATCGTCTCAAATAGGATGTCCCGCAACACCATGGCTTACTGTATTATGCCGATGATAGACGGATATTCCTTGCTTGCTGGTCTCCTTGATCTTTCTGGTGCCCTCAACAGGGCGACCCGTCTGCCGGTAGCTGTCGGGTCATATTGTGCTTCGAAAAGCCGCCGAGCGTGAGGTTCATTTTCCGCATGACAAAAGGTTCGTGTTCGCGGTTCGAAACTGCTATGTCTACGGCAGGCCTTCCTGGAGGACTTCTGCGGGGGACAATCTTAGCGAGAACGCCCTGATGATAGAGATGCAGAAACACTGTGCTCAAGGAAAGATCAACAAATTCGATTAAGCTGCTTGATGAAAGAATACAAACCCTGGAAATCCCTCTCCCATGGAAGCCTCAGCTGGCTCCCCTCATGCAAGCTGAACACAGCTCCCTTCGAAATACTTTCCCCCTTCTATTTCCTTATTCACCCACTCACGGAGTATACCCCGGCGGTGGCGGCGCAGGCGGCGTATACCCCGGTGGATTCTGCGCAGTCGACGTAGTCGTCCTCCTCGTCGTCGTAGTAGTAGTAGTCGTAGTCGTAGGCCCAACATACCCCGGCGGAGCACCCGGCGGCGAAACCGTAGTCCTATAAGTCGTAGTCTGAACCACACTCGTCCTCTGCGTCGTAGTTTGCACGATACTCGTGCTGACTGTTACAGTCACAGCTGGAGGAGTTGTGGTGCTGGTGACTGTGACTGTTGAAGCGGGGATTGTGCGGGTTACGCTGTAGGTTGTGGTTATGGGGGAGGCGGTGGAGATTATGGTGCTGCGGTAGGTGCTGACGAAGGTTGAGACGATGGTTTGGGCGGGGGCTGTTGAGACGCGGGTTGTTACGATGGTTTGGCCTGGTGCGGTGGAGACGATTGTTTGGGCTGGTGCGGTGGAGATTATCGTTGAGCGGTAGGTCGAAACGAAGGTTGAGACGACTGTTTGAGCTGGAGCCGTGGACACGATTGTTGAGCGGAGTGTGGTAACGATTGTTGAGGCTGGAGCTGTGCTGACTCGTACGGAAGTCACCTGTTGCGTTGCCGTGACCGTTCCGCCTGGAGCAGTAGAGGTCACAGTCCGCTGCAAAGTCGCAGTCTGAGTATTAGTGCCAATGGAGTAGACAGTCGTCGGGACGTAAGCTACGGTAGTCTCAACGATCGTGCTGCCTGGTGCGGTGGTGACTTGCGTGTAAGTAGTTCCACTTTCAACAATGGTAGTAGTGTAAGAGCTTGCCGGAAGAGTGACAGTGCGCTCAACCGTGGTCTGAACAGTGGAGACGTAGATCGTAGTCGCCGTCTCAGTCGGTCCCTGCTGGGTCGTGGTAGCGCTGTAGGTCTCAGTCACGCTGACCGTACTCGCTGGAGCTGTCGAGATGACAGTGACAGTGACTGCTGTGCTTGCCGTGACAGTCTCAGCCGGAGGAACAACGGTTGTAGGAGCAGTCAGGGTCACCGTCTGTCCCGGAGCCGTGGTGACGATAACAGTCTGTTGCGTCGTTGTCACAGTCTGGCCCGAAGCTGTAGTGACCACGACCGTCTGCTGAGTCGTCGTATAGGTGACAGGCGGAATACCACAAGAAGATGGCATAGGCAAGCTCGTCACACCAACACTGCTGCAGAGGTTTCCAGCGAACGAAGCCACCTCAGCACAGCCAGTCGCATTGCAGTTTTGGCTGACACAGTTCGTCAGTCCATCGAGGTATGCAGTGTTCCTGCAAATGCAGTTGACATCGCCTTCGGCACATCCGCCATACGAGCCGGCTGTAACGCAGATCTGGGCACAAGATGGAACATCCGTAACCGTAGGCGGGCGAGCTGAAGATGTGCTTGCAGCGCAGGACGGCATTGGCAAGCTGGTAACACCAACGCTTCCGCAAACGCTGCTCGCGAAGTTGACGACATCAGAGCATCCAGTCGAGTTGCAGTTCTGGCTAACGCAGTCCGTGAGGCCATTGAGGTAAGCCGTGTTTCGACAGATACAGCCGACATCACCTTCTGCGCAGCCCCCGTACTGTCCTTGGGTGACGCATCGTTGGGCGCAGTTGGGCACATCCGTGACCGTAGGTGGACGCGCGGTGGTGGTTGCGGCACAAGAAGGTATAGGCAGGCTGGTAACGCCAACACTGCCACAGACATTCTTTGCGAAATCGACGACACCTAGGACCGTATATCAGCTCGCCGCATCAACGGTACTTCGATCAGGACGACTCACCTTGGCAGCTCGTTCCAGTACATTCCCTTGACACGCAGCCCGTCAAGTCTTGCAGGTAAGGCGTGTTGCGACAGATGCAAGCCACATCGCCTTCAGCGCAACCTCCATACGAACCCTGAACAACACACCTCTGCGCGCAAGAAGGCACGTCCGTGTAAGAAGGTGGAGGAGGAGCACACGAAGGCTTCGGTAGATCGAAAACGCCCACACTGCCGCAGACTTTGGTCGCAAAGTCGATAACACCTGGGATCATCGTCAGTCGTTCGTGCTTCACCCGAAGCTTTGATGGGCGAATCCCGCTTACTCTGGCAATCGCCTCGTCCAGTACACTTCCTCGCGACACAAGTACTCAGTCCCTCAAGGTAGCTTTTGTTCTTGCAAATACACTTCACATCGCCCTCTGCACAGCCACCATACTGTCCCGGCGTGACACATTCCCTTCCACAAGGAGGAACATCGGTGACAGAGGGAGGCGTTGGTGGTGGGTACAAGGTTGTAGTCTTCGATGGAATACCGCAGGATGCGTGAACAACGACTGTGATGACATTGTGGTCGGCTGTACGAAAGTCAGCAAATTTTCGCACCGCTGAAGCACCGATACGCGTCGAGAAGGATTGCTCCCATACCATGTTCTTTCTCGCACTTATTGCACCCTTCAACCGCAAGAGCAAATGCTAAGATCGCCGCAGCAGCGACTTTCCACTTGGACCCGGCCATAGTCAATCAATCGTGCAGCAATGCACTCCTCCAAGGTAACGAATGTAGATGGTCGGTAGGCGGTTGCGCAACGTTGGCAGCGCACGCGCAAGAAAGACATGCCAGAAGGCCATTGATTCTCTGTTATCAGAATGGTGTACCGATAGCACGGTTCTGTTATGGCCGTGGCCCGTGGCATGTGCTTGATTTCTTTCCTATTGAGCTGCGCTCATTTTGTGAAGCAAGGGATAGGACATCTCGGCCGCTTGCGCTGTGGAGGAACGCGGGCTGCCGCGCGTTAGTTCGACTAAAGTCCCAGGGCAGGACGCTTTCGGCCTTGAGCTGCGGCACGCCTCAACAGCAGTACAGCCACGGTGGCAGTAAGTCAGCGTCGTCGCTCTCTGTAGTGTTGTATGCACATTTGACGGCGGCTGACGGATTCCAGTGGACTTCGCATGAGGTTCAGGCTGATCGAATAAACGAAGATGGTGGAACGGGTCGCTTGCGCTGAAATACAATGCTGATCTATCGGTACCATGTCCCGCTGAACCCTGAGAAGGCATGTGAGCTTCCCGCAGATAGCAATTCTGAGCTCGACGAAGACCGCATCGACTGCGGTGGCGAAGGAGGGTACAGCATTCTTTCCTGCTCTGATGCAGACACCGTCCTCGAGCTGCGCGCACTGTTCGCATATGTTATTTTCGACACATCGTCGTGTTCTCTCTTCCAGGGTCGGACAAGGTCTGATTTGCGAAAGGCATATCGACGTTGCTTATGGACCACGATGGCTGCGAGGGAGATCTGAATGAGGTAGCTATGAGCAGGTTAGCGGCGATCGCAACGTGTGAAGCGATGTTGTTTGGGGCCACGTGCATGATAAAAATTGTGGGTATTGCTGCAGCAGGTGCAGATGCGCTCGCGTGATACCAGCTGAAGAACAGCTCGTTGTTCTCGTTTGTCTTGTAGATGCTTGGACAGAAGTCTGGTTTCGAGCTCGTGCGAAGGGTGCTGACACACGGCTGCCAGAGGCCCATTTGCGCCGCCCCGATGCATATGGCGACGCTCGATGAGATCAGCGCCCATACTGGTGCCAACCGATCACTCCATAGGCAGAACAATTCCGTGATCGTGGTGATGCTCAGCACAAACGGAACTGTGCACCAGAATAGAACAAGAACACTGCAGAGACGTGAGTGTGGGCAAGGACCGCGCTCCGTTTGACTTACGCCCGATCCTTGACGAAGTCTCGGCCGTCTCCATTGAGTTCCACAGCAGCTGCGTTGAAGATGGAGAGGATGAGGATCGCCAGAGTGTTGGCGACGACAAGGGCAGAGAGTATTGGCATACCGACGCGGCCGACGAAACCCTTCCAGGGTGCTCTGATAGCCATCCTTGCTGCATGCGTGCGTTGGTGGGTTGGTGGGCAAGCTGAAACGAGACGCCGCGAGATGCACCGTTCTATCTTATACTTGACGATACCGACATCATCACAAGTCGTTCGCACAACGCCATGCCAACACACGGGACCGTGGGGTCAAGGCGGAGGACTGCAAAGGCATTTCGCACGAGGCTTCGCAAAGCAAACATGCGGCGGAGCTTGTGCGAAGGAAGTGATGAAACGTGCGATCTGCGGTCTGCCAGCGACTAGGTGTTGAGCATGAGTGCCACAGAAGTCATGTAGTGGCCGCTACAAGATGGCAGCACGGGAAGGTGCTGCGGGGAGGAGATGGTATGGACTTGGCGGGTGCAGAGGTCAGCGAGATTGGTTGTGTGGTGCAGCAAGCAAGGCTGAGATGTGCAAAGTGTATGGGGGCTCCGCCGAGTCGAAAATAGGTGTCGAAGGATGCACAAAGCGTGGAGGTGTTGGTAACCGTTGACGGGGCGCAGCAATTGAGTTGGGCGATCCCGCGTGCGAGTGCAGAGATCTCTGTACGACGTGCCGGACAGATCGTGGTGGATCTTGTGCAACGCCGCATGCATGTCGAGCGAGGATGCGGTGTCGATGCTCTTCTGCCACCGCATCATCGCCCTCTCTCTGCGCCGGCAGTGCGATATTGCAGAGAGCTCGTGGTTGCAATCTTCGGCCTCGCGCAGACGTGATGATGACGCCTCGATCGTTCATTAGACACTCTCCCAGAAGTGTCGCAGGATGCATTCGCAGCGGGCGGGCGCTGTAGCCGAAGTGGCCGTCGCTGCAGGGCCCAGCATCAGCGTCTGCGCGGACAGCTCTTCCATCGCCCATGCAGGTGCAGGACAGGGCAGGACAGGCGGAGCTCGATATTCTAGCGGTGCAGCGGTCATGCTGGTTGGCGAGTGGTTCGGGTGCTGCAGCAACTCACCGCAGACCGCACAACTCGGCGACGACTTCCAATGTCGCTGTCCCGATGGGTGCTGTTCGCGGAGGAGAGGACACTGGCGCATATCACTGCCGGGAGTCCATCGCGCCTTCTCCCGATGCAGCGCCCCCGTCCCATCTGCGGCAGGTGGCATTACGTCACCCGCGGTGGGAGAAGCGAAAGTAGAGTTTTCGGCAGGAGCAGATCGCATCGGCCATCTCGCACGCGTGCTGAGATTCCAGTCCTCGATCCACACTCGATGGAGCTAAAACCTGTCGCCGACAAGGGCACGCATCGGCCTGCACGCAACTCTCGTTCGCTGCTCCAATCTCTCGCCTCCCTCCTGTCACTTCTGTCCTCCTCTTCGGCAATCCGCGAACTCTTGCCACCGCTCTTGCATCTCCGCCATCTGTGCTTCGCTTGGACAAGATTTTTCCTCGATCGCTGTTCCACAACGCACAATCTGCAGAAATTTTGAACCACTGCAACGCAACTCCGCACCGCAGCCATGCCCAAGGCCCTTCAAAAGCGCGGCCGGCGCATGAAGCGTAAGCACGACGACGAGCATGACGATCCGCAGACAGAATCTCTCTCCAAGCGGCAAAAACCAAATGACGAAACCGAGGCCATGGAGGACTCTGCTGAACAGAACCTGACTATGCACGGCTACGACGAGGACATGTCGAGTGCGTATCCAGGTGGTGCAGAAAAGGCCTTCTTCGGTGTGCTCGACGAACAGGAACAGGAATTTTTCAAGAATGCCGACAACCTGCTCGAACAGGACGACTTCCCCAATTCCGAGGAGCGAGCGGCATTTCTGCAGAGTGTTTTCCGAGAAGCAGACGACAAGGCCCTCAAACTAGCACAGAGCCAGTCATGCTCGCGAGTACTGGAACGCTTGATCAAACTGTCAAATGCATCACAACTGAAAGGACTTTTTCAAAAGTTCAGTGGCAAGTAAGTGGCCAATGTCTGGGGTTATCTGGTTCCCTCGCGCTAATTCATATCAGCTTCATACATCTCTTATCGCATCGTTTCGCATCGCACTGCTGTGAATCTCTCTTCACCTACGCCGCGCCACATGTCAGTGAGGAGCTCAAAGCCAAGCCCTCTGAGCTCAAATCTGAGAACCCCGACGAGGTCTTCGTTTCCATGGAAAATCTCTTCCTGCACACTCTGGCCGAACTCGAGGGCAATTTCGGCTACCTACTAACGGAAAAGTATGCGTCTCATGCTCTGCGCATTTTGCTGCTCGTACTTGCTGGAGAGCCGATCTCTACCGAATCGATGAAGAGCTTGCTTCGCAGCAAGCGGAAGGAAGGTGCGCCGGGGAAGGGCGGCAATGAAGCAACAGGGAAGACTCGACCAGTGCCGAAATCATTCTCTGTGGCCCTGGAGAAGCTTATCAGCGACAGTGTGGCTGGGCTCGATACTGACAAGCTCCGGGGACTGGCCACGCATCCTAACGCTAACCCGACGCTCCAAGTTCTCCTCACACTGGAACTTACACACTACGGAAAGCAGCGTGGAAAGGAAGAAAAGTCCATCATCCGGACTTTGCTACCAGATGAGGTGTTTACGGAAGAATGTGACAGTGCGAAATTCCTTTCTGGCCTTGTTTTCGACCCTGTTGGATCTCACCTGGTCGAGAAGATCATTCAACATGCCCCTGCGAAGCTGTTCAAAAGCATGTACAAGACCTTCTTCAAGGAACGTCTTGCAACACACGCCAGAAACGAAGTGGCGACCCACGTTGTCTGTCGTTTGCTGGAACGGCTGGGCTACGATGACTTGCTCGAGGCACACGAGATTTTATTACCCGAAATACCCGGACTCCTCCAGAAGCACTGGACGGCAATGCCTCAGACCATGATCGAGCGTTGCGCAGTGCGAGACATCGACACGCAAGCGATTGCTGTGCAAATAGACCAGTTTTACTCGGGAGAGACAGGCTTCGACATTGTGAAGATGTTACATGTTGACGACAATCGCAAAGAGGATGCAGCAGTATCGGCCAATGGCCAAGTGGGTACCGGGTCCAACATGGCAGCAACATTCTTCCCGCGTCCCTCGGAAACCAACAAAGTGCAGTTCAACATTCTCGCACAGGCCATGCTAATTGTTCCGGGATCGCTCAGCGCCCTCGTCCTCGATTCACTGACGGCTCTTGACAAGGAAGTCATGTTGAAGATGGCCAAAGATTACATTGTCACCCGGACTCTGCAACAAGCACTTACCACAAAGAATGCGTCTATGGTGCAGAGAAGAAAGCTGATTGCGCGCTTCCAGTCTAACATCGGCGAGATGGCTTTGGACAAGTCTGCATCGCATGTTGTAGATTGTATCTGGGAAGGTACGCATGGGCTTGCGTTCATCCGCGAACGGATCGCGGAGGAATTGGCTGAGAATGAGGCTGCATTGCGCGAATCGGCATGTGGCAGGGCCGTGTGGAAGAACTGGAAAATGGACATCTACAAGCGAAAACGACAAGAATGGATCAGGCAGAGCAGGATCAAGGCAAGCAACGACGGATTCCAGGCATTTTCGGAGATTGAGGCTCGAAAGGAGGATGGTCCGAGGAAGACGCCTCTCCAAATGGCGCGGGAACGCCATGCGCAAAAGAAGATGAAGAGCGAAAAGGAGGAGAAAGAGCCCAAGAAAGAAGCCGCTTCCGAAGATGGCAGCAAGAAGGTGAAGAAGGAGAAAAGATCAAAGTCCAGCAAAAGCTCCCATGGCTCTCGTGGATCCATGAATGGGTCCAGCACGCGTCCCCAACGTGTGCAGTCTGCAACCGCAAGCTCGTAGATTGGCGATATCTGTGATATCTTCTTCAGCATCGGCCGAACGATCCAAGGGATTCTCGGCGCCACTCGGACTAGCGGATCTTCCCCAGATCCTAGCTCACCACGCATTGCATCATCTCGGCTGCAAAAATCTGTACAAAGTAGTGCGGATAATTAACACACTTTGTGTCACACTAATCGTCTTACGTTCACCTCAGACATCGCTGCTAGTTTCACCCTGCACTGACATTCCTATTCACACTATCTGACTGCAACCGTCCTGTGGTCTATATCGCGATGACGCATGGACACAGCAACGGCGTGGCAAACGGCCGAAATGGTTCGCAGCAGTTCGCAGACGATGAACCTCTGGACCGAGCAAAGGAAGCAGAGGATGTGGGTCCTTCAGCCTTGCGCGACATCACTACTTCATGTCATACTGACTTGCCCGCCAGCTCCTCACCGCCGTCCAAAAACTAGTCGTCAACTTCATCCAACAAGCAGACGACGATGCAAGCGAAGGCTCCGATATCCAGAACAAGAAACAACCCAACAAATCCGCCCTCCTAACCCAACACTCCCCCTCCCAACTCCAAGCCATCTTACAGCCTACTCTCCCCACCCAAGGCCTTGGCCGCTCAGGCCTCCTCTCCACAGCCCAAACCATCCTCTCCAACAGCGTCAACACCTGGCACCAATCCTTCCTCGACAAACTCTACTCCACCAACACCCCCATCGGCCTCGCCTCCGACCTCCTCCTCAGCGCCCTCAACACCAACTCCCACGTCTACGCCGTCTCTCCAGCTCTCACATTAATCGAAAAAACCACCGCAAAGGCCCTTGCCTCCCTCTTTGGTCTCACCGGCCCCTTCGCAGGCGGTGTCTCCCAACCCGGCGGCTCAGCAGCGAATGCTTCGAGTATGGTCATCGCGAGGAATTTTCTCTACCCGGAGACGAAAGTTAAAGGGAATGGAGGGTATAAATTTGTGATTTTTACGAGTGAACATGGACATTATAGTGTGGAGAAGGCTGCGCAGATGTTTGGGTTTGGATCGGATGCTGTGAGGGCTGTTGCTGTTGATGAGGAAGGGAGGATGAGGGTTGAGGAGCTTGAGAAGGCGATTGAGAGGAGTTTTGAGGATGGGGAGACGCCGTTTTATGTTAATGCTACGGCGGGGACGACGGTTTTGGGGAGTTTTGATTTTGTGGACGAAATCTCCCGCGTGGCCAAGAAGTACGGTCTCTGGCTACACGTCGATGGATCCTGGGGCGGGAGTGTCGTATTCAGCGAAACTCAACGACAAAGTGGGAAGTTGAAGGGGATTGAGTTGGCTGACTCCATCACTATTTGCGCGCACAAAATGCTTAATATCCCCGTCACATGTTCTTTCTTACTAGGGAAGGATTTGAGGCAGTTTCAGAAGGGGATGACGCTGCCTGCTGGGTATCTTTTCCACGACAATGACGAGGAGGAAGACGAATCGAATAACACCCACGACAACGATAGGGAGGAGGAAGAAACAGACCAATTCTTCGACCTCGCAGACCTCACACCACAATGCGGCCGCAGAGCAGACAGCCTCAAACTCTACCTGGCTTGGACATATCAAGGCACTCTTGGTTTCCAGAACTCGATCGATCATGCCTTCGCGATCGCGGCACACTTCACCAATTTACTATCCGAGAACAAGAAATTCGCACTGGTTTCGAGGAATCCGCCGCCTTGTTTGCAGGTGTGCTTCTACTTCAACAAACAAGGCAGACAAAGAGGAGGTGGTGAGGATAACGAGGATGCAGTGAGGAAGAACAGCCGAACAACAGAAAAGATTTGTAAAACTTTGATGAAGAGAGGAGAGTTCATGGTTGATTATGCTCCCGGGGAAGAGGGGAAATTTTTCAGGGTTGTGGTGAATTGTTTTACGAGGAGGGAGACGGTGGAGAAACTTGTGAAGAGGATTGAGGAGGTGGGCAGGGAGCTGGGTTTTTGAGGAGGGAAGGGCGATGAGAGGGTCGTTTAGCCGTTGGTCGTTTGGCATTGTTGATTTGTAAGACATTTCAGAACGATGAAAGGACGCACGGCATACCATTGGCTTGGCTTGATGGTGCCAAGATGATCAAGAGAATATCCTTGATCGAAACTCTCCATGACAACATTGAGTCATCACGATGAGCCATCATCTATCGCGATCGGGCCGGGGATAAGGTATGAAAGGCTAAGCATAGAGATAAATCGTAACGACCTCATGGCTGCGATTTTGCAGCGTCGATGCTCGACTGCGACATAATTGTCAGCACTAACAGATCCATCCAACCTCAAAAGCCCTATTCGATTGCGAACATGGCCTCCACCATTCCCTGGCGCTCCATCAAAGCCCTCTCCTTCGACATCTACGGCACCCTAATCGATTGGGAAAAAGGCCTCACAGAAGTTGCACGGAATTCTGCTCTGGGACCCTACCTCCCATCCGACCACAAAACTCTCGTAATCGACATCACCAGACACGAAACAGCCATACATCAAGAACACCCAACAATGAAACAATCCATCGCCATCGGCCGCGCAATCGAACGCTGCGCAACCGAACTCCGCCTCGTAGAGAACGGACAGCTCACACAAGAACAAATCCAATCCGCGGCCCAACAAATCCGCTCCTCAATCGGCACATACCCAGCTTTCAACGACACTCTCCACGCAATGCAACTCCTAGCACAGCACTACAAACTCATCGTCCTCTCAAACGTCGACCACACATCTTTCTCTCAAACTCTCACCGGACCTTTACAAAATCTGCCATTCGATGCCGTCTACATCGCCGAAGATATCGGAACATACAAACCGGATTTGAATAATTTCTCTTATTTAGTCGATCATTTGAAGGTGTGGAATTGAACAGTATGAGTTATGTCATGTTGCGAATTCTATTTTTCATGATCAGGAACCGGCGAAGGAGTTTGGTTTGGAGTATAGGGTTTGGGTTGATCGGAGGGGGTTTTCGGGTGGGGAGGTTGAGGGGGTGAGGAGAGGTTGGGAATGCAGGTTAGGGTGGAAACGTTGAGGGAGTTGGCGGGGGTTGTGGAAGAAGCTTGGAGGGAGAAGTGAGAGGGGTCGGGATTGGAATGGGTAGGATTGTGGACAGAGGGAGTGAAGCGTATGGGGTAGTGCTTTTGGAAGACCTTCCAAGACTGTCTCTTTGTCAGACTGCACCTCCCTGAAGCCGGTAATGTCAACGGAAGGAACAATTTAGGTAGATACTGCTGCACAGAACGTCGCATCTACTACCGGAGGTACTCACTACATTTTTCCTTCCGATATTCCGATTCCATTCGAGGAGCGTCTGAAGTGAGATAGGACCATGAGGAAGAAAACTTGAGTTTCGTTACTGTGCTCATTAGGTACCGAGTATTCCGATCATCTAACTCATTTGTAAAGTTCTTGAGATTGATGTCACCCCTAAATACGGAATGTCAGGACGATCACGATGGCGAGATAAGTTGTAAAGAAACTGACCAAAGCAAAACGTTTCGATGCACGCCGCATACTGCTACTCTCACTTTGATTCGTTCCCAATGTTCTGCATTTCCAAGTTCCTTCTGCTAACAGCCAAGACTTCTGGTCCAAATGCCACCACATAACAGCACTCTCTAGCCCATGCGAGCACCCGGTCTCTGATTTTGCGCTTTTGAACTGTTATAATGCTTCGGCCGTCGACAGATGAGACCTGTTCGAATTCGATTCCGAAGTCTGTCAAGATCAGATGGAGCTTTGATTTCTCGGACACGTTATTTGTCGTTCGTAGTCGTCACCGTAGGGAGATCGGGATCGATGAGTCTGATCTGAGGATTCAGCTCTCAAGGAATTGCCGCGTTTCTTACAGAAGTGAGATGAGGCAGCGAGCGATGAAAAACAATGGCGGACGGCCAATGCATATTATATACACTCATGACACTACAAGTCACGCCCTATCTCCACCAGACCCTTGGCGCGCTGCGTTCGCGACTGCTTTGCGGTGTGTGCACGGACTTAGGGCTTACCGGTTGTGTTTTTTATTGACATTAGACGCTCCGCGAAGAGCCCGACCTCAACTATACTAACCAAAAGAGGCATAGGGTGTGCTAAATCAAGACGTGGTAGGAACAAAGCAGCACTGATGGAAGGTGGAAGGTGGAAGGGAAGAGTTCTGAGCAGGAGCGGCTGAGTGGAGATAGGTCACGCCTTTGTTGGATCTCTGAGTCGCAATCATATTCTGATCTCCCAAGCAGCCGGTGCAGGCCAGACTTCGCAAGAATCACGATAAGATACAGTCGTGGTCGTTATCGTGGAAGGCAATATGGAGGAGAATCGGTGCAAGGGACCGTTTTGGGTTTCTGGATACGCTGCGGAACATTACGGATATCAAGGAAAAGAAGCTCAAACCAAGACCGTTCACTGGGGTCGAACGTGTAGGGCGAGGCTTTCCGCGTGGGAAAAGCGTGTCACACATGGAGTTGACTACATGAATCATGACTACAACCAACAACATCGATCGTTGACTCCAATCAACCTTCTCGGAGCTGGTAAGGATGCACCCTTTCATGATACCATTTCGTCGAAATACAGTAAATGCTACCGCTGACCTGGAATGGCCCAACCATCTGTTTCCGTGCCAGGGAGCTCGTCGACACATCCGTGAGCAACATACCACACCAGTATAGATTTTGGCCCAGTCCAGCATCTTCGTCGCTCAAGCCATTGTGAGCGTCCTCAGAAGAACTAGACCTGTTCTCACAGAACAGCTCTGACCTTCACGCACGCACTCGGAGCTCCATTCTTTAGGCAAGAGATCGAGCTGATCGGATATCACTCAAGAAACGCATGATTTCCTGGATGGTCCGGGAAAGCGCTGATCTAACGAAATCGAGCATGCGACGGTACAGCCTGTCGTACATAGGGCATTGCTTTGACTTCCGTCGACAAAGGATTTCCATTAGAGAATCGAGGAGCATCCTGATGTCAATTTTCGAAATTTGGGCGATAGAGATCAACGGGCTTGTAATGCGGTTCACGATATGTTTATCTACAAACAATCAACAATGCATTCAAAGTGAACTCCGATACCTGCCCAAGTACAACAAGGAAGAAGCTGCAATGTCGGGGAAAAAGGACCCGGCATAGGGTCATCGTCCGTCCACCCAATCTGTTTAGGTCTTGGTTCTATTCATCTTCCATCATCGTCTTTCGATGATTGTTCGCAGTCAGAGATTCCCGATCCTGCTTCTTGGGGAGAGAGCCGGAGATTCTTAGAAGCATCCATATAAGAATGCTGTTTCTCTCCACGTCGTCAATATTATCCAAAACGAGCCATTTGCCGTGTAGCGCCACCCCGTGCAAAAGTGCAGCAAATCTATCGTCATCAGTCATTCCACCAGTACCACTCAGCTCTCATCCACATGCTCTCTTGCCGGTCTTTACATCGCCCCATACTCCGTCGGCTCTTCCAATTGATATTGACCGGTCTCCAAACCCTCCAACGCCTTTCGCCCCAAATCATTCAACACCGCCTTTCCGTCATTCTCCGTGACATTCGTGAAATACCTCGGAGTCCACGTTTCTCCCTTCGCCTGCCTCTCTGCCGCTCGCTCTCTTTGCCGCTCCTCCAACGCCGTCTTTCTCTCAGTCGCAGTACCAAATTGCTTCTTCTCGATCGCTTCAGTAACACCACCCCAGAATTTCCGACTCTCATTCGGCAATTGCAATTCCTGTGGTGGGCACTTCTTCACCACAGGCACCAGCGGCGTAACATCCATCAACAAGACACGGTCCGACTCCTTCGTCTTCTTGAATTCTGTAACCCCGGGCGAATACCACACCTTCTCCGTCCACACGCCCTCAATCCTTCCAACAATCTGCTCTTTCGGCACATCCTTCAACTTCGTCACCGGATCACTCTTCACATCCGCAGGTCGATAAACAACTCCCTCAACACGATTTTGCGCCTTCCCAAAATATCCTTCTTCATGGTATTGCAAAAATGTCTTCAGCCCCGTCTTCGCGCAAGTGATCGTGCATACATCCGCGACACTAACATACAGCCCTGAAGGACCTCTCAGGAAGCCCGTCAAATACGCCGCAGGATGTGTAAGTTGGTATTCTTCCCCATCACGCTTTTTCAACTTGATGAAGATTCCCTGATTGAAATTCCCGGGTGTGACTTTGACGCTTGTGCCGGTGAACTTGGCAGACAATTGATCGTATCCCGAAGCTTCAATGCCCTTCTCCGGACAATCGTAGACGAAAGCCGAGATGGGAGGGTGATGGCTTGTTTGTTCTGTGATGTAATTGACCTTCACTGGCTTCTTGTCTCCTGTTGTCTTTTCTGCTTCCGCAGGGTCCACTTCCCATGTACATCGGAAGAACTCTCCCAGACTTGAATTGTATGGTTTGCAAGGCTTCCCTTTCACGTATTTCAAATCTTTCGTGAACCAGAAACGCAGACAAGCCAGCATACGTTCGAGAGGATCATCACTATCGCCGATCGCAGCGAATGTCTCAGGTCGATCGAGATAATGCCAATATTCGAGATTGGGAATCGGTTCGAGGAGTTGGGCGGGTAGGGAGAAACGAACGGCGGCGATGTCGGTTACGCCGAGAAAGCGACGAAGGATACCGAGGAAGGTCTTGAGCTTTGAGGCATCGGAGACTTGTTGGCCATCGGCGACGATGGGGGCTTCGGTTTTGGAGACGGATGTTGAGGAGGAAGCGGTGGGTGGGCGGGATGTGTTGTTGCCGCTGCGGTCTTCGTCCAAGCTGGTTTTGGCGCTGACCATTTCGGGCGTTGTGGAGGTGTTTGTGTTGGTGCCCGAGACGGGAGCGGAGGTAGCGGTGGTGTCTTCGGGGGCGCTGTCTTTGCCCGATTTTCGTGAAAGGAGGCCCATGTTGGGCGGTGTATGAGTTGAGACTTTTGACTAGTTTTGGTGGGGTTGGAGTGGAAGATGCAGTAGCGGGCGATGGGACGGGAAGGACCCTCGAATGTGGCAGCTCTGGCGCGAAGAGTTTGTTAGGGAGAAGATAGGAGAATAGGACAAGAGCAGCGTCTATCCTTTCCCAACGGCGTCTTTGGGAGGATGTGCAGGTCGCAGAGTTGGCTGTGGTCGTTGGAGCACTGACCGACTGCGGCTCCGGCGTCGACGTCACTCGGGATTCCAAGCGAGTTGCTCGTTTATCCTCTCCACAATTGACAACAGTGCCAGGAATGACGAGAGAATACAGTCTGAACGAACACGTCGTGAATGTCTTCTGCCTATGTACAGCAAGGGAATACTCATCAACAACCAGCCACACAGGGTCTGCGTAGTGCTGACCGCCTGGCTTGTGACGGTGATGCGCCTGAGTTCGACAGCATCAGGGCGACGAGCGCTATCCGCGAATCAATTGTTCACGCCTTCACTTCCAGCGCCACACTTGGCTGCGGGGCGCCACTTCGGTGCGCACGCGTCGTTCGTGGGTGACCTGGTCGCGGAGGCAGTGTGCATGATCATCGCGGGGCGCCGCCAAGATCACCTATACCCGTGTGCTACTGTCTCTCATATGCACTCTCGTCACGGCAAAGTCCGTAGCGCAGCTGGGAATATGTCTTGCATACGGATAGTTGTACAGGGGGAGAAAAGCGCAAGTCGATTGCCTTCAAGTACGGAAAAAATCTACCCGATCGCTTCGTCAATCATCCCACGCTCGCCATGGCCCAACTGCAATCGCATTCGGCTGGTCCATGAACAACTCCACCTGAAAAGTCTCCTCCAGGTTCTCCGAGCTCACATACATACGATCGAGCACTAGCACGCAGCCTTGAGAGACCAACATGCGATCGTTCGGTCCGAGATCAATCGCATTTGTTCTTACGGCGCCTCCCGAGGTATCACTGTACTCTCCATTGTTGCTCTCGATCCGGATGAAGCGCGAAGGCCCTCGTCCATGCTCGACACTCAGTCTTACATGTGAGCGGCTGCCCGAGCGACCATACCCGGACGCGAGCGCTGCCTGTCGAGCAATCGCATAGAAGTTCACCAGACGATGGGGCATTATCGGCGCTGCGATTTTTGTCATGCCCTCCTTGAAGGCCGCCCCCTCTATCTCAAAGCGGACTCTGCCTGCACCTTCCCGAGGGAGCAGTTTGGCAAACGTTTGCTCTGCAGAGTCAATGCGAAGAGTAAAGTCCCCAAGCTGTTGAGGGTCAAATGTACTGCAGATAGCTGTATATTTGCCCGGATCAAGCTCTTCAAGCTCTGCAATGCAACATCCCTGGCGATAGACTGTACTATCGGCAATGATATCTTTCATACGCATGTTGAACACGCGCTCGCCCCCACTGTGGAGAAGTCGGACATTGACATTGTATTTCGGGTTGCTTGCCTCGAGCAGTAAGCTGATGCCGGTCTTCCTAGGTACTGTAATGGTGTACTGCGGATTGTCGCAATATGTTGGGTTTTGTGTATTGCCGCCGGCAGACTGCTGTGTCCACGAACCATTGACGTGTGTGAGGTGCGCGTAGCGCGATATTGCATGATCGAGCACGATAGGAGAGTTGCTGAATGTGCATATTGTGAAGGAGTGCTTGTTGGCTGGCAGGTCCTGTTCCAGAGGGACAATCGTATACGGCTTGCCAGGCTCGCAATTCTCGAGCTTCAAGAGAGTCTGTGGGCTGTCCACGTACAGACCTTTCTGGATGTAGCGTTCTGATAACATGACCTTACGTCCTTGAGCAAAAAAGGCTGCCAATGTGATGTATCCGCTCAGGTCAATAAAATGCCGACCACTTTCAATGTCCTCGGCCGTGGCATCTTCGGGAACCGAATTTTGGAAGTGTCGCCAAAGCAGGATCCATACATCTTGCCGCTGACTCGTCGCCACAGTGAATTGCGGATTGTGTTGCAAACTCGCAGCAGGACCGCGAGACTTGCAGAAGCCATTATCGTCATGAGTCTTAGAAAAGTCCCACTCGAAATGCGCATCTTGCCGATACTTGAACAGACCAGGGTTCCAATTCAGGTAGACAGACTCAAAATATTGCTGTACACTGTCGAGGTCCATCCAGAAGGTGCCGGGAGGTAGATCCTTCTCGTTGAGCAGATCTCTAGGTGAATCAACAGATGCACTCTCTTCATCGAGTGGGACACACGGTCCTTCTGGAGACAATTCTCGACTTCTTTCGCTTCTGCGTGACCTACCGCGCCAGCTCGTTCCTTCCACCCATGGGTTCTTGACTAGCATCAAACGTTGCCCGCCCACTTCACGCAGGTCGAGAACGGCATAGTCATGCTCACTGGCAAGCCCCAGGGCTCGTTCGGTCTTGTCCGACATTTTTCCTGTGCCCATCGTCACAAGAACATCGCCATACGAGAATGCATTGAGCATGCGTGACCACAGTCGATCGAGCTCGAGTTCATCTCCTTGTAGATGTATTTGCTCTGGTATCCATCCAGTGAGTATCCACAAGTCGGTTCCGCTGTTGCTACCAGGAAAGTCGTAGCCGCCTCGCACTTTTAAGTACGCTTTTTCGATGAGCGCCGGCCATAACAATCCTGGATTGTTCCGATCGATAACGTGGATGACACGTTTGGTTGAGCTCGTAGGAATGCGATCGTCGATGACGACTCGCCTTTGACATCCATTGAAGTTCATGCATACGATGTATTTCCCGTTCTTGGAGATGAGTGGTTCTCCAGTTTCGAAATCGAAAGGATGCATGACGTTCTGAAGCATTCTTGGGTGTCCATTTTGGACACGAGCAACGCCAGCGCAAAGCGAGGCAACGACAGAGCAGTCAGTCGCTGCATCCTGCACCAGATCGATGTTGCGAAAGAAGCTCATGGTAGGTCCGAGATGGCTCTGATCACCTTGAAACCACGCTGGAGGAGGTAGCGCATCTTGTGGACGCTTCCAGCTGTCAAGGACATCCTCCTGGAATTCCGACAATGGTAATTCTGAAGCCTCGTCGCTTAACGCAGCAGTCAGTAGTAGGTGAGAATGGTGGAATATTCGAGGAGACATACAAGAATAGATCCTCACCGTCTGCCAGCTCGAACTCTTTCGGCGAGGGATCACTACTCCATTCTGGGAACTTGACTCCGTTGAGGAAGCCAGCTTTGGTGACGATGATCTTTTCTCTTGTAGAGAGCTTGCGAGAGTTGAGCGGCACTGGCAACTGTCTCACCTTGGTTGCCGCTGCTGCTTGAGTGGCAGCAGTCGTTGGTGGCGTCGGAGGCACTTCAACCTTGAGCCACGCAGGAGATTTGACTCTTGAACGCCAGTTTGCATCGTGCTTGATACGTTCCGCCTCTCGCATATACTGCTCTGCTCGTGATCTACACGCAGCTCGTTGGGCAGGATCTTGCACCAGCGAGAGCGCCTTCATCGACGTCTCGGCGGCTTTGAGTGCAATGTCCAATGCCTCGCTCCGGCTGCTTGCATGACTCAGTTGGTCTTCCAGTCTCTCGGCGTCCCGTCGCAGCGTCGCGAAGTCCTCTGGCGCACTCATGCTGGCGGCTACCTCGCACCGCCTTTGCCACGGCTGAACGGACCGTTGCTGAAGTTCAATGCAGACATCCAGGTGTTATCATGATGCTGGATCTCCGAAAGTTGTCCGAGAGATTGCAGTACTTGTTGTCGAGCTCGATGACTGTCAGCCCGCTTCCGTGAGCAGCATGTCACCAATTGAGTTTGTCAGAGCATGGTATATGGCAGAGAGATTCGGATCCGAGAGCTGTGGTTGTAGTTGCAGTGTTGCGAAGTCCAAGTGGTTATCGCAGCGCGGACCGCGTGGAAGGAGAAATGACGTGCCACCGCGATCCCTGCTTGGTTTTTGGCCGGCAGCAGGACCGAAGTCGTCGCTTTCACAGGGCCGAGGTCTATCGAACGGCACACAGCATGGCTCTCGCAACAAAGTCGTGCTCTCTCGCACGCAGCACCAACTCCTGGGTTCGCCTACGACCTCGTCCAATACTGCCCGGATCATAATTATCTGTCTTCACGGACATTTCCCATGACCGGCAAGAGCACTTTTTAACACACCCGCTTCGGCTATCGCTATCGGTTGTCCCTCGGCGCTGCGATACGACAGATCTATTCTCCGGCAAAAGAGCGTAGCACGACAAAGAGACGACAACGTGCGCAGCGACAGCGACATAAGCCATGGCACCAGCTCCTTCGAAACAAGAGCTGCCAGCATGGGGTCTCGCACTGGCAGGCTCTGCTGGAGCTCTTGTAGCCAACAGCGTCGTCTACCCACTCGATCTCGTCAAAACCCGACTCCAGACACAGGTCAAGCGAAATGCGAAAGACACTTATGTTGATGAGGAGGGACATGTCCACTATGAAGGCACAATGCACGCGATCCGGCATATCGTTGAGGAAGAAGGCGTATCAGGACTCTTCAATGGACTGGCAGGCAACTTGATCGGCGTCGTGAGCACAAACTTCGCATACTTTTACTGGTACAGTCTGGTGCGAGAGATGTATCATGCCCGAGTAGACTCCAAGGGAACAAGCACAGCAGTGGAATTGAGCTTGGGTGCTGTGGCAGGAGCTCTGGCGCAGTTGTTTACAATTCCGATTGCGGTGGTGACGACGAGACAACAGACGCAGCGCAAAGGCGAGAGGAAAACTATCTTGGCGACAGCGAAGGAGGTTATCGATCAGGATGGTCTTGCTGGCCTGTGGAGAGGTATCAAGGCTTCGATGGTTCTGGTCGTGAACCCCAGTATCACGTATGGTGCTTACGAGAGGTTACGCACATTGATGTTTCCTGGGAAGTCAAATTTGGCGCCTCATGAGGCTTTCCGTAAGTCAAAGCCCGTCTCTGTCAATGCCTGAGTTCATGCTGTACTAACGAACGATGACCAGTTCTCGGCGCTCTCTCCAAGATGCTCGCCACTATCGCAACACAACCGCTCATCATCGCCAAAGTTGGCCTTCAATCCAAGCCTCCGCCACAACGCATGGGCAAGCCCTTCAAATCTTTCCAAGAAGTTATGAAGTTCACCGTCGAGCGAGATGGTATCCTCGGACTCTGGAAGGGTGTTGCTCCTCAGCTCATTAAGGGCTTCCTCGTGCAAGGTATCCTCATGATGACCAAGGAACGAGTCGAACTGCTTTTCGTGCTGTTGTTCCGAGCTGTGCGAAAGATGAGACAAGAGCAATTGGAGAAGCTTGCGAAGATCGCAGCGGAAAAGGTGGAGCAGGGCAAGGCTGTTGCTGCCGGCGCTGTGATGCAGGGCCAGGCCGTTGCTGGTGGAAGCACGGAGAAGGCCAAGACCGTCGCGGTTGAGACTGCAGAGAAGGCAAAGGCTGTCGCGACTGAGGCTGCAGAAAAGGCGAAGTCTGCTGTCAAGTCTTGAGCGGGGCTTGAGTGTGCGGAGAATTTACGAGGTTCAGATTGACAGGAGATTGGGCCGGCACAAGGAGTGCGTGCAGAGCGAGCGCAGAGAAGTGCACAGATGCAGGCCGATTGAGATCTTGGAAGGCACCTTTGCGCGCGGCGTTTGGAAGGAGCATGCAACTGACAAAGCTCCAGGATTGAACATTGTATTGGCATATGAACCTAGGACATTGTGGTGGATAGGGCAGTTCGTGACTGATCTTGTACAGCGAGAAATCAATGACCATGTAAGAGAGCATTGCTTGCTCATGGGAACACTCGCCTGCTGTGTTCGAATTACCATAATGCTCTTCGCTTGCTAGGCCTGCACAATATACAGATATGATGCTCCTGCCATGAACCGTTGCCGCATGCTTTCATTTGTGGTCCATTGCTGCGCTTCCACCACCTGTTTCTCCGGTCTTTGACTGTCTGGTATCTCCTCGACCTCCTCGACCTATCTACTTCTTCTTTGGAATCTCAGCCTCCAGCGCTTTCACATATCCCTCCAGTCTCTGCACAGCCGATTGCAAGGCCTATGAAAACGTCAGCTCCAATACTACATCGGCCCTCTTCACAATTTCCAAAATTGCAGAGCTCCTCGTGCCCGAAGATAGGGCAGGGCTCACATAGATATCCTCCGTCAACAACTCATTCGACACCTTGTACTGATCCACGACATAGTAGTACAGCGCTCCGCCAGCTCCTACTGTTCCGAGAAGGAAGCCAAATAATCTGTTTAGGCAGAAAGTCGTACCGTTAGCTTGTGCACTGAATGTCCATAGCGAATCACCTCTGTGTTGTGTCCTCTTCCAGCTCTTTCTACAGCTCAAGAAGCTGTTCAAGCAGATAATACCTGCGCGCATCCATATTTGAAGCTCTACAGCTCTTTACGCGCGTCTGGAGCTCTTTGAGGCTGTTTGTATACACTAGTCCGCGACCCAAAGCCTCTCCATGCACAGTGTACCAGTTAGGTGAAGAGAGATGCACTCACGATCCCCGGAAAGCTCCAATAGGTTTCTTCGGCGAGATGACCGCGTCTGCGCGCATCGTGCGTGAGGTCTGGAACGAGCGTGTCTGTGCGATAGCAGTCGTGATCGGGCGGCGGGTGAAAGCGCGCATGGCGGCTGAAGTTATTCTGGACGCCATGGTGAGGAGACCTGGGTATCGCGATCGGACGAGCAAGAGGTCGAGAGGCGTTGTTTGCTTGGACGGGATGGAGTTGTTGTTCGGAAGATGTGGTTGGTCGGGTCCGAGGTCCGGTCAGCTTCAAAGGTGAGCTTGATTGTTGGGTGATGGGGTGACATGTCTTCACTTCCACGTCACATTTCTATAGGCACTTGACGGCACAGGCACGAGACGAGATTTTGATACTTGATGAATGATGTCTTGTGGCATAGACAGTGGGAAGTGGAACGGACTTGAAGCTTTTCACGTATTGTAATTCTTTTGACCACCTTGTGTTGGTCACTCGCACAATTTCTATAGTACAAGAAGAGTGACGTTTCGTCTCGCCATTGCAACAAGTTATAACGCTGGTCGTCCACCGATCACAGTCCTTCTCGGAGACCTTGTGGGTACTGCTCCATGCTGCCCATCGACGTACTGCAGTATTCTACATCCAAGCACCACACTACAATGGTCGGAACTTCAAGTTCAGCGTGCCATTCTGGTGAGCAGCGCGAGTCTGCTCAATTGGAACACTGGTGACCAGCTGAATAAGCTTCGCTGGATCAAGCCTCGTGCCAATGTACGTGTGAACAGGCGGAATGATGGACAGCACATTCAAGACCGCGACTGGGAGAGGAGGTGGACCAATGGGCATAGGCGGGAGTCCTGGTGGCGGAGCAGAGACTCCACTTGGCACAGGAGGACCATTGACCGGAACGAAAGTCTTCGTGGCGAAGCCTCCTTTGCCTGAACCCGATGTCGTAGCTGCGAGGCGCACCCCAGGAGCGTTCTTGAGAGGCGATTCACCACGCATGAATTTGCGATTTGGTCCATCATCGTCAGACTCGAGAGGGCGCTTAGGTGAGGCGATGTATGGACCATTGGGACCAAGTAGAATCTCAGGTGCAGCACCGCCCATCTTTGGCGATGTTGGCCCTTCAATGCTTGCAGCTAACTGTCCTGCCATAATATGCTGGGCGGCAGCGCCGGGCGGGAGCGACGAAACAGGCTTCGGCTGTGCCTGGCTCGGACTAATGATGATTTGTGCATTAATAGCGTCGAATGTTTGCAGTTCCAGGCGATGAGCAAAGCGAGCGATCTCAGGCTCTTCAGGGTATATCTCAGCCATGCGCTTCTCGATCTTGTGAATCTGTGCCAGATCTCCATACTTGCTCTCAAAGTCATGCATGTAGCCAATCAATGGGCGGCAGCTGTCCTGCTTCTGCTCGTGGGTGAGCTCTGTACTGCCCATAATCTTCGGAATTGTGGACTCGAACACAACTCGAGCGTTTGTGGCATCTTGCGTGCTGGTCAGGTACTTGATATACTCGAGGATGAAAGCAGTGTCGGTGGGGAACAATCTCATGCCACGCTCGAAGATCTTGATGGCAGAAGGGTCACGGTAGCATTGCCATTCCATCAGGGCGGCTGCGATGTACACTTCGCTTGAAAGCGGTCCGCCTGGTCGTGCCTCGCTGAAGATTGCTCTAGAACCTTTGACGTATGGCTTTGGTTTTTCGTCATTCTTTTTTGGTGCCCGTCCTTGGCCTTGCACACGACGGAAAGCCCGCATCTTTGCCACCCAAACGTATGATATCGTGCGCTTGAACATGTCAAGGTGCGCCGCGGATGCTTGTTTTACTGCATCGATCTGGGCTTTCTTCTGCTCTGTGCGGGTGAGAGGTTTCTCAGCTGGTTCATCCTCGTCGTCATCCTCTTGTGCATTCTGCGGTTCCTCTTCCGGCGGCATTGAGTTGAAGTGCGCTTCAATTTGAGCGAGGGCAATTTTGTCTTTGTCCATTGCCTTGTTACGAAGCGCGTAAAGCGCGGCATGTACATCAGCGAATGGCTTGTCGAGTCTGTCGCCGTTGCGGATGAGGACCTCCTCGGTGTTGCCGGGTTCCAGATCACTCTCGATGCGGTCTGCCTTCATCATGGCAAGCAGTACAGATTCGGGGTTCATCTGCATACCTTTCTCCAGAAATGCGTCGCCACGTGCGATGACATCGGCAATCCCCGTAGAGAAGCACCATGAGGCTGCCTCAAACCAGATCTGTGGATAAAAGCATAGAAAGATCGTCGCTTGATCGTAGGCGTAGATGACTCGCTTCCGCCACTCCTCATCCTCTGAGCCTTTGTAAACCAGCGGATCTTCGTCGCGTTCCCATGCAATCCACGACCGCCATTTTTCTACTTGCTCCCCAAACTCGTCTTCCCCAGCGCAGCCGTAGATGGGTGGCAGCCGCGGCAAGGATGTCCGATCGAGTCCTTGGATCTTCTGTTCGAGCTGCATGCGCGCAGTTCGAGCTTGCATGTAGTGCGGGCTCTGCTCTTGAACGTGTTTTCGGCCTGTTTGCTTGTGGATGCTCATCTCAAATGCTTCATACTCCTTCCACAACTTCACAAGCTCGGAATGAGGGACCTTTGTGGCTCGCTGATACGCCTTCCGGACCAAATCGACTTTCTGCAGATCCTGCCAACCTTGTCCACCGAGCGTTCCTGGACCATCCTTAACAAAGTCCACGTATTCCCGCCAGAGTTCGCCTGCGTCTGGATCTATTCCAATCGCGCCCAGGGTCGCTTCGAATGCCGCAAGATGCATGTTTCGATTCGCACCAGTCGAGTCTCCGACAAGGGGATGCTCTCTTCGGACGGTGTCAAGGTAAATCTTCCACAGTGCCACATGATAAATTTGCTCTTTTGCGAGCGCAGTATTGACGATCATGCTCACATCATGCCGGCGGTCGAGATCGCTCTCGAATTTGATCCAGTCCTGGTAGAGCTTGACCTACCACACGTCAGCTGCTGCGTTATTGAACACGCAGAATCCCAAAAGGTCCTGCGACCACTGCACTGGATTCCTGTCTGCCGAAACAAGATGTCCGTCAAATAACCCCATACATCGCCGCCGCCATTGTGGTACATCACACTTTCGAACCCGCGACAGACGATGCCCCCGCCGCATCGCCAGAACGAAATCAACATGAAAGGGGGAGAATAGATACGTACCGCTGTCCGAAACACCTCAGAGAATCTCCGGTACACAGTCCGAACATTGTCGTACTGTTCCTTGGCGGCGTAGTGATTGATGAGCTCGTACCATGCACCAATGTCACCTTTGGGGTCATCTTTGATGCGGTCCTCGAGCTGCCCAACTTTGTCATGTGGAAGTCTTGCCGGTGGAGCCTGTACTGAAGGGAGGCTAGACTCTTGCGCCGGAGGCTGCGGGGTCGGCGCGATGCTCTGTTGAGTGGGTTGCGGTGTCGGCTGCGCAGAGGCCGCGGTAGACACTGTCTTACCCTCTTGACCTGACTGTGGAGCTGTCTGCTGCAATGTGACTTTTGGGGCAACTGGAGTACTAGAAGATGCAGGGACTGGAACAGTGAACCCATTGAGACTTGAGCTTGCTTCAGCTGTGTCAACATGTGGTGCACTATTTAACGATACATCCTGCGCTTCAGATTGCGCGACCGCACCAAGACCAGAGTGAGCACCTGTATTGCCGTTAACCTGCGATGGCGCCGGCACGCTCGTGTCTTGTTCATCTTCACTCTCTTCCACTATGAAGCCAGCGACTTTGGTTTGCGACTTTGGGGCTGTCGTTTCGGCTTGCGTGGGAGATTGCGGCTTGGACTGTGCTGGGGTCGACTGCGCGGCGTCGTCGCCATAGTTCATACTCGAAGGATCGTAGTCGTCGTCTTCGTCGTTGGCATCGTCTTGTTGGCCACCATCGTCGCCATAGCTGGCCGGGTCGTAGCTGTCCTCGTGGTCTTCGACCGCGGCGGCATCGAAGGTTGGTGGCGCGGTCGGATCGTACTCGTCGGCCATCTCTAAGCGACGCAATGCGCCTCGAGCGCAACGGGGGTGTTGAGGCGCAAGCGGTAGACAAAGGCTTTGCGCGAGTCTGTCTTACCAATATTCGCAGAAATGTCGCGCTGCGACGCGCCTCTGCAGAAAGGGCAAGAAGATCGCCGAGACGGATAAAGTGCGCACGAAGTCGAAGAAGTGGTCGAGCAAAGGTGAGGGCGGCGCAAGTTGCGATGTGGGTGTTGTGATGATGTCGGTTGGAGAAGTTGTTGATGCCTCGACACGGAAGCAACTGTCGCGGGAGCAGCCGGCAGCCGGAAGGCGCCAACCTCACTTCCGCTCTTGTTCAAACAGTTGGCTGCAGGAACACTTTCTATTGTCACATGCGAACAAGGCCGGAATCACGCACACATCACGCACGACCGTCTAGTCACTCCTTTTGAACGTCAACATCCAAGGAGAATCCTAGAGAAGCGCCGGATATACTGGAAATGATCGCGGCCTGCCTGCTCTCCTGAAGATTACGCAGAACGATTGCTGGACTTCTTCTCGATTAGAAACACTTCCGCCAGGCCCACATACACATATAAAGTCAACATGTCTTCCTCAAGACGTACTACTGCAACTATGCGGATACCGCCCTTCTTTCGGCGTCTCTTCAAATTTACATCTATGGACTTCGAGACAGCAATATGGGAGATGACGCATTTAATCATAGCCCCGAAAAAAGTGTTCCGAAACATCTACTACCACAAACAAACCAAGAACTCGTATCATCGAGCTGATCCGGCCTTTACCTACCTATTGAGTCTATTCCTATTCCTGACTGGGTTGGCGTGGGGCTTGGCATATGCCGATGGGTTCGGGAGGACTTTCCGAGTAGCCCTAGCCTTTGTGCTTGTGCACTTTCTCGGTTCTAGTCTGGTCGTCAGTACTGCAATGTACTTTCTGGTGGGTCGTGTGCTGGGGAAGCGAAGACAGGGGCTTTTTGGTCCTCCGAGCGGCGGAGGCTTGGGTGCTGGAGATGAAGGGCTGGAGTTTGGCTATTGCTTCGATGTACGTCTGCGGCTAAACAAACATCTTGACCAGATGCTTACAACTTGCAGGTCTCCATCCGAGCGTACTTACCAATCTGGACCTTCCTTTACGTTCTTCAATTCCTGCTCATGCCTCTCATCGCTCAGGATTATTGGGTTTCGAACCTATTTGGAAACACGATGTACCTCATGGCATTGAGCTACTACTTTGTCATCACGTTCTTGGGCTATAACGGTGAGATCCGCCAACACAATACCCTACGCAGTGTTGCTAACATGCGCTCGCAGCGTTGCCATTTCTCAGCCGCACCGAAGTCTTGCTTGCGCCAATCCCGGTCCTTGTGGTCCTGTGGCTCATCAGTCTTTTCACATTCGATTGTGCAACGAACCTGGCACCCGTGTTATGGTGTGGCGTTAACCTACGAAAGCCCGTATAAGACATTTGTTGGGAGTTGTAGGAGGCACTTGGATGCGACATTTCCCAATGACATCCATTTTCCAGCAAAGCCTGAGCCGGACTCATGCGAGCGCCGAGCTTCTCTGCTTAAGATTTCGATTCTTGTAGCGGCACGCAGTGCCTTTCTACCTTCGCCAGCTTGCGATGTGGACGAGTTTACAACAATCGAGCCACATAAGCACCGACCGAGCCCGGCTCCAGTCCGCAGGACGTTCATCTGATAGCTGGAAATCTTCAGGATAGTCGGCACCTGATCGCTAGACACAAGCATTTCTATCTGCTTCGCTTGACAGGGATCCGACATAGAGCTGTCAAGATTTTCAAGCTTCGTCACGCCTGTGGCTCGCTTCGGGACCCGGTCGTGGACACTGGCGACTGTCGACTTCTGTCATCGAATGCCGAAGACAACCAGTGCACACGCGCGCGAGAGTGGATGCTCTACGAGCAGACGCAGGGCTTGCCCGCCTTTCAGGTGACGCCATCTGCATCCAATGGATCTCAGTAGCCCACACCCACACACTTTATGAAGATGCCGACTTTGCCACGTCACAGGCGCTGATCCTGCAGTGCCATCCCACATCTGACTTACGCTTGCCTGAGGCCTCAGCACAGCGCGCCAAGCCCGGTTGTCCCTCCTGCCTCCTCTCCTCAGCGCTGTTGACCACTTCACTTCCATGTTCTTCTCGACGTCGCTTCACATGCGGCATTTCGGCGCTCACGAAAGATTCGCACTCATCTGACCTGCAGCTGACAGCGCGAAACACTGATTACAGCTTCTCACCCATCGCCAGGTTGCACACCGCCCCCAAGAGCAATCCCTGCCATCTTTCGTATAAGCGACATCCTCTTGCATACGACGCATGTCTTCCAAGACCAAGACGTCCGGTACAGAGCCCACTTTCTCGACACAAGTCCGACTCCTGCCGACCATGGATCGCTGTAGCAACTACGAGCCTTGTCGACGTAATCATGCGAGCCGATTCTCTCGACATCATCAGGAGTCCTGCATGGAGGCATTTGACATGTGAATACCACTGCTCGGTTCGCCAGCGAGGACGCAAGCTGTGAGAACCACAGCCAGCTCAGTCGATCCGGTCTGATGCTGGACGGAGCTAGCTGGGTCGCAGCGCTCTACACAACGTTGGAAGCGACATGAGCTATGCTACTCGCTAGAACAGCCTTCTCATCGTCGCTGTGGTCGCGTACAATTCCCGAGGCTGATCGCACGTAATGCTTTAGCGCAGAGCTACTGGTGCACTCCGTGGCAGGACTTGCAACACGATGCCCCCAGAATTTCGTTATTCGCTATTGACCATGGCGACAACTGCGGGTCGCACTCTTCAAAGCAGGTCTTGCGCACGCGGGATAAACTGGAGGAACATGGAGGGCCGCCGCGATGAGCGCCATGATCTCAACATCCTGGTAATGCTTGCCCGGATTCGAAATTCCGGCTCTAGGCGCCTCGCTGTCGCTGTTGCGCCCGTCGAGAAGAGGTTCCCGGACAGTTAGAACGATTCTTTCGACCGGGAAGGGGAATTGATGAAGTGAAAAATTCTGCGGCTGTTCTCGTTGTAGTCGAGTCAGTCGGGCTGCAGCATACCACAGTTGACACCAGTTGATCTACACGACCTACCTTTCATATGCAATTGCATCAGTAGCTCGTGGCAATGGTGCAGGGCTCCGGGACGAAATCCTGCTGCGACTCGGCCTAATGCAGATCGGCTACACCTCAGATTTATGGCCGGTCGCTTATGCAAAGCTATCACCACTCCCACAACTCTCTTCTCACAATCCCGCGCGTGGATGAGGAGAAGCGGAGCTCATGATGCGAGGATGATGCCGAGGAGCAAGTACCCACTGCTGCCAACTGTCTTGCAGCCTGCATGACGCAATTGATTTGGCTTGATCCCAACAATGGACCAAGATCTTCTCCGCGATGTCGCAAGGATCTTCCGAGACCCATTGAGACGAAACATGAAGAACAGCGGGAGGACGAAAAGTGTCCGTATTGCAAATGTGCGCTCATGAAGTCGAAAAGTCGAATGCAAGGGACAACACACAAGACCCTGCAAGGTCGACGACGATCTGCAGACACCGGTCTATCTTGGTAGAAAAGCGCGCTAAGATCTGGCTCTTCTGCAACCCATCTGCGATCTAATCGGGAGAGGCTCCGCAGTATCACACAATTCGATGGCTTGGTCGGAAGGGTCCCAAGCAACGTGCTTCGTGCGGCAACGCGCGTGGGCGAATGAGTGCCCCGCGACGCGCTCATCGCGTCGTCACATGCAGCTGTTTGTACGACATCATCACTCTACTGCGTCGTAACGCTACTCCATATCGAGTCGACATGGCCTTCTCTGCTGCTCACACTGGTCGGAGCTGGATCGCTTGCCCTTCGTCTACCTGCAGCTAGACCTGTCGTTGCGCCGGCTCCAAGTCGAGCTTCCGGATGCTCTTGTGGACCTGCGCTGATTATGCCATTGCTCAGACAACTTTCTGCGACCAGCTCCAGGATCCCACTAGCAAATTGTTAACGCAATCCACATGGGAATGGCCGGATCTAAGGAGTCCATGGCGACACTATGCGAGTCCTGCAGGAGGTATAAAACCTCTGCAAAGCCGCCGAAGCTCCGCCTTTCACTCCCTCCACACGAAATCAACAATTGAACAGTCGAGCTCTTTCCTTAGCTCCTCAAATCGACTCACGCTTTCTTTCGTGAGTCAACAGCCAGAATGTCCGATCTTAAAGCTACTGTGGCGGAAACGTCCAACGGCTTTCACGTTGAGGGCTACGAGAAGATCGAATATGATTTCACATTCATCGACAATGTTTTCGATACACGCAAGCCGGAACTTGCCAAGTGCTATGAGCGCTGGGGCAGGGCCCTGGCAGTCATGGACACCAACATTTTCAATGTCTATGGCGAGCAGATGCAGCAATACTTCGACCACTACAACATTGAGCTTCAGGTCCACAAGACCATGATCGGCGAGAAGGCCAAGAGCATTGATACCTTCTTGAGCATCGTGGACTCGATGACCAAGTTTGGCATCTACCGAAAGGTGAGATAGTTCTGTTGTGGAGGGCAAAAACACTGAGAGCTGACAACAACTCTAGGAGCCGGTTCTCGTTATCGGAGGTGGCTTGGTCACTGATGTCGCTGGTTTTGCTTGCGCCGCTTACCGCAGAAACACAAACTTCATTCGCATCCCCACTACTGTGATCGGCTTGATCGATGCCTCAGTCTCGATCAAAGTTGCTGTAAACTACGGCAACTACAAAAACCGCCTGGGCGCCTACCACGCACCGATCCACACCTTCCTCGATTTCACTTTCCTCCGCACTTTGCCAGAGGCACAGATCCGCAATGGCTTCGCGGAGCTGATCAAGATCTCCTCTTGTGCACACTTGCCAACGTTTGACTTGCTTGACAAGTATGCCGAGCAAATCATCAAGACTGGCTTTGGTCGTTCTGATGATACCACCGAGGAGGTTACCAAGGCTTGTGACGAGATCAACAGAGCTGGCATCCACGAGATGCTGAAGTTGGAAACCCCAAACTTGCACGAAATCGGCCTCGACCGCGTGATTGCTTATGGCCACACGTATGTACAATATCCGGAACATGATTCTCGCAGACACTGACGCTTCTACAGCTGGTCGCCACTCCACGAGTTGGTGCCCGATGTTCCCCTTCGCCACGGCCACGCCATTTCTATCGATATGGCATACTCTGCCACGCTTGCCCACATGCGTGGCAACCTGCCAGACAGCGACTACAAGCGTCTGCTCGATCTGTTCTCCCGCACTGGCCTGTCCATGGACCACGAGGACTTCACCGAGGAGGTCCTCGAGAAGGCTACTGCTGCTATTCTGAAGACTCGTGACGGCAAGCTGCGAGCTGCTATCCCAAGCCCACTTGGGAGCTGCGTCTTCTTGAACGATGTTGAGAAAGAGGAGATGAACGAGGCGCTTCGCAAGCACAAGGAGATTTGCAAGTCTTACCCACGTAATGGACTGGGTATCGAGGCCTTTGTCGACAGCAGTGACACTGGCTACACTTTGAACAACAAGGCAGTCGATGCCACTGCAGGCACCAATGGCCACGCAAATGGCTCTTCTGCTGGTCTCAAGAAAATCAATGTCATCAACGACGACACAAAGCAAGCTATCACCAATGGCACAAATGGTCACACCAACGGTGTCAACGGACATGCCAACGGCAATGGAGTTGCCGTCAATGGCGTCAAGGCTGCGAAGAAGGCAGCATCGGGACCTGAGGGTGTTGATGGCCTTCAGAATGGCGTAAACGGCCATGCCGTCAATGGAACGAGCTAAACAGTTCTCTATAGAAATAGAACATCATGGCTCAAGATGATGATTACATAGAAGCCTCTCGCAGAAGAGAGCTACGAACTATTCCTGTTACAATACCATTGTTCATCAGCATACTACCACGTCTGAATCTCTTGACATAATCATTGACATTTTGGCGTGTCAACATAGTGGGGCAAAACATCCCACTTTCAATATACATCACGCAACTTTGCAACTGACGCGTAGAGGCATTGGATTGACATCTCCGAGCGAAATTCTCCGGTCGTGAACGTCATCCTGAGTCTTTCATGCAGCCACACTATGCCCTAGCCGCAATATCAGCTTGTGCATGCAGGGTCAGAGCTTCTTGCATGGACACAGCTTGGGGAGCTCGCGTCAAGCCGAACGAGCATTTCCAAAAGTCGAATTCTGCTCATCGGCACCCCAAGAATTCGCAAGGCAGGCACGGCTGGGGAAAGATCGTCTCAAGCAAGTCGCAGCTCCCACGTTCTCGTCAAGATGGTGCTCAATGCTAAATCGCCAGGGAGCTTCCATGCAGCACAGAATATCTCTTTGATCTTGCTCAGTCTGGTCTTCTTGCCATTGGACATCACAGTTCTTATCGTCAGCTATGTCATCAGTTTTTTCACTGGCAGAGATGAGATTCAAAAGAGAGGAACCCGAACAAGTCAACAATCACACACCAGCGATGGGACACTTCCGCCAAACAGCAAGAAAACAATTCTCGTCACAGGTGTGGGCATGACCAAAGGCCTCGTCCTCGCTCGAGCCTTTCATCAAGCCGGCCATGCAGTTATTGGAGCAGACTTCGAACCCGGATATGCATGTGGTCGATTTTCAGCTTCTCTCTACAATTTTTACACGCTTCGAAAACCTTCCTCCAAGTCGTCCGGACCCTACGTCCAATCCTTACTTGACGTAATTTTGAAAGAGAAAGTCGACCTTTGGGTCAGCTGTTCCGGCGTTGCTTCCGCAGTCGAAGATGGCGAAGCAAAAGAGATCGTTGAATCAAGAACGAAATGCAAGGCCGTCCAATTCGACGTTGCAACAACAACAATGCTCCATGAAAAAGACAAATTCATCAAGAGAACAGAAGAGCTAGGCCTAACAATCCCCGAAACGAAAACAATCACCAAACGATCCCAAGTGGAAGACGCCCTGCAAAACGCTCCAAAGGGAAGAAAGTACATCATGAAAACCATCGGAATGGACGACAAAGCTCGCGGAGACATCATGACACTTCTTCCAAAAGAAGACAGCCGAGAAGAAACAAGTAAATACCTCGACCGCTTACGAATCTCCGAACAAGAACCTTGGATTTTGCAACAATTCATCCAAGGAGAAGAATTTTGCACACACGCATTAGTGATCAATGGACGAGTTCGAGCTTTCGTTGCTTGTCCTTCTGCTGAGTTGTTGATGCATTATAGAGCTCTGCCTTCGGATTCTGCGCTCTCGAAAGCGATGCTGAAATTTACCGAGCACTATGCTGCGGCTGGTGGGGAAGGGTTTACGGGACATTTATCTTTCGATTTTCTAGTGGAAGATACGAATGAGAAGCATTCGGAGAAGATTGTGTTGTATCCAATTGAATGTAATCCAAGAGCACATACGGCAGTTTGTCTGTTCAATCGGGCTGAAGATATGGTTCATGGGTATTTGGAGCTTTTGGATGGAGTCTCGCAGAAGGATGGGCCGGAGTGGTTTGCGAGTCCGGTGAGGAATGATGCGTATTATTGGATTGGACATGACTTGGTTACGCTCGTGTTGGTCCCCATGCTGGAAGTGCTGGGATTGCAATTAAATGTGCGAGAGTTCATCCGGAATGTGGCGACTTTTGTTGTGCATCTCTTGACATGGAAAGATGGGACATGTGAGGTCTGGGATCCGTTGCCATGGTTCATGTTATATCATGTCTATTGGCCGATGCAATTTCTCAGTTGCTTGAGAGAGGGAAGGAAATGGAGCAGAATCAATGTCAGCACGACGAAGATGTTTGAGTGCTGATCTGATGGAAGCGTGAGAACGTCAACTCCATCTGGAAACCAATCGGAGGTTGCATTTGGATAGCTGTTCAATAGCATGCAGCAATTTCGTCGTTGGTGTTCTCCACGAAAAGCCTGAGCGTTGCCCGAATCTCTGGAGTTCAAATAACTGGACTGGCTTCAAAGTCTCGTTGAAGGCATTTCGGAAGGTGGACATGAAGAAGATTCGGATAGTTCATCGAGAATCAGAACGCTTGTACTGCCATTGGGTAGCGACGCCCGGCCCTGTCAAAAGAGTAACGCCTCGTATCATCATGTTATGCTCGTGATTAGCATTATATTTATCGTTATATGCTTTCTCAACATGTGCTCTTGTCATCGCCTGATCTTAGCAAACTCCGTGTAGCCATCACTGATCATCTGATCCACAGCAGAATCCGGACTAATGCTCGCTCGAGGCGGCACGTATCTTGTGCCTGGCAACACCACTTTCTCCGGATCCATCTCATTCTTTCTCGTTGCAGGTCTCGTGTCCAGCTCGCAATGCGTCCTATGAATTCCGAGACTAGCAGACGAGCCATGCAGTTGTCGCGCATGGTACATCGGCGAGCCATTGCTGTTCTGCACTCTTAATTCGTATAAAGATCGCTGCTCGATGCCTTGTTCCACGTCTTTCGGTGGAGTCGGTTCGCATGATACTGGCCGCCGCACGTTCGTCAAGAGTGCTTTGCCTGAAGCCTTGCTGTAGCATCGCTGTAGTAGTCCAGCAGTGGCCGGCATGCAGGCGCAAAGCACTCCGAGGTTCAGTTCGACGTTGCTCCAGATGGCGATCGGATTGTAGTACCATGTCATATTCGTGGCGTTGCCCCATTCGACGAGTGTGCGGAGTCGGAGGATGGAACAGATGGTGACGAAGCCTCCAAGAGCGAAAGTCAAGACTACTGCGATCTTCTTGCGAGTAGGTATGCCGAGCGCGATGAGGCGTGGTAGTGGTAGAATGATGCACAGCACGTCGAATCCAATCGTGAAGCCGGCGTTTGACCAGATCAGAGCGTTCTGGTTGATGCAATATCCTCTGCAATCGTGATCAGCACAATACGTGAGGTGAATGGCAGTAAAGTTTTACTCATGAGTTCCATCCCACTTCAGCCAAAAGTATTCCATGGGCTGGCAACCAAGTCCAAGAGTCGCTATCGCAACTACCGTAAAGGTTGCCAGAACTGCCATGAAAACGAGGCAGGTCTTACGGAACCAGCTGAAATCTGCAGGCCACATTCGCAGGTAGAGGAGAAGAATGGAAATCTTGATCGTATTGACTTCGAGAACGTAGAGCCATTCAGAAATGTAGAAGAATTTTAGGATCTTGCTGATTTGGTAATTCGGGTGCCGCAACATCCAGATATCCTGCCCGAGTCCCTCGTCGACCATGATGTGTAGCAATCCGTTCACCGGTATAAGAACAAGCCAGCCCAAAATTATCGTCCAGTCGTCCCAACCATAGCCAGTTCCACCCAAAGCACGCATGCGGGATAGACATCGAGCGAGTGTTCCAAAGGTGGCGAGCGCGAACATGACCCAGGACACAGATCTCGTCAGGGGTCCTTGATCACGAATCGGTTCTTTGCAAGTGATGGCCAAGTATTTTCGTGTTTGCAGGCCCTGGACAACACTGCAACTTCGCGCTAGGCACTCTCCCGCAGCATCGGCGTAGGCTTCGCTGGCACAAAGACATATCTGATCTGTCGAGCTCTTGCATTTCGAGGCTGGTAGTGCCTCTGTAAGGCAGGCTTGCTGCGGGACGTTAGCAAAATCGCATAGTACGGTGTGGTCTTCCATACCGCACATGTCGAAAGTGTCGGTAGGGGCGGATATGCTACGCTCTCACGCTTCGCAAGCTCGAAATCCAGTGTGTCCGCGCCAACACTCGTGAACAGTAAAGCAGTTGCAACGGCGACATATCTCAGCAGCATGATCGCTGAAAACTGCAACAGAGCGGTCCAAATTGTATTAGAAGACAGGCAAACTAGAGGAATTGCACTAACGGCAAATCATGCACCTTTTGTCGCCGAGAAACGTTTCCGTGACCGTGTGCCCTGCCTCATTTTGGAGTTCAAAGGTAAGACGGGTAGAACGACAGCTTCCGAGTTGGACAGAAGGCTGTACTGAGCGATCTTTCCCAGCACTCTGGTAAGACCGCCATTTCCCTTTCTGTGCACTTACGACTCGGAACGTCCCAGAGGAGGAGGAGGTTTGCAATGGTTCTCATGCCTATGCCCTGTCACTCGGGACCAGTAGCCTGCTTCCGGCAGCAGTTCCTCATCAGCAGGAAGCGTGGATGCCGCTGACAGTCAAGCAGGTCCGAGACACGCGTGAGGGCCCTGTGGTAGGATGCGCCATGAGCCAAGTGATGAAATCTACATTGTCTTGATTCAGGTGTCTCGGTGTGGTGGTACCAGGCTGGCGAGCAGGGCGAGGCTAGCACAATTGTGCCTGGCGGGTATGCAGTTTGCCCTTCCGCGTACGAGGCTGGACATAGAAGAAAGGTGTCAAGGTGGCGTGCGATGCATCTTCACGGGGAGCGGCGCGCAGCCTCCAATGTGGAGATTCGTTGGCAACGCTCCCACGTGTTGTCGAGAATAGAGATATTGATGAAGATGGTGTGGTGCTGATGGAAGGAGAACAGATGGTCTCGAAACGGCAGACGATGGTTTCGGATTTACTATTTCTCCGGGTGCCGAAATGAGTACGGAGTCACTGCATCTCCTTTGCTTCTCATCTGGTCGTAGAGCACTTGAGATCTTTGGGAGTTGTGCGCATTTTGCCCTTGTCGAAGGATCAATCTTCTCGCTCCTGCGAAAGGACTGGGGTCTTTCTTCTGATCCCCTACAGCCATCTCCACCTGGACGAGACTCGCATCTCACACACACAATGTCCTCCAAAACAGAGTGAACACGCCTCGCAAGAACAGCGTTTGCCTAAGCTTGCCAGCGCATTGGTATCCTGCGTGCTGCAACTCGCTCAGCTTTGCCTTTCGACTATGAATTTCGAAAAGGACTCATGGGAGAGACAATCTTCACAGTCCAACTTGGAAGCCACGATTCGAAACGAATGAGCTTCCTGTCATGTCGTACAACATTCCTTTGGCACGTCGACTCACTTGGACTGCCCGCGCGACTTTCTGGCGCTCAACGATCCCGAGCATGGCCCTCTCCGCAGCTAGACTGCACAAAGATTCTGGCCAGATCTTGACGAAATGGCTTTGATGATGAGGCTCCCACTGAAGGCATATCTGCGAGCAAAAGCTATAGCTCTCACTGTCCTGATCAAACAAAATTCTACCCGAACCTACCTCAAGAAGCTCGGCTGTTTTGGACCAGAGCGAAGCATTGGGCTGCTACATTCCACTCTCTCGATGACACATCGGCTGTAAAATTGCAGAAGCTCCCAGTGGGCTTCCTCTGGCGCATTCGCTGATAATGTGAAGCTTTGGCTCAATGGATACAATCGCTCAGATTGGTCTTGCAATTCGAAGGCGACGGAAGCTCGGACAGAGCGGTTTTGCCTTTTGTGATGCAGGCGGAAACACCAATCCAGCTTGTCTCGTCGCTCTGATTTGCTATCCAGCACGAAGCCAATAGAACTCCAGGCAGAACGGCCAGGGGCTATTGCGGCCTCAGTGAAGCATTGTATTGCGATATGTTGTCGCTCTAGAACATTCTCGAGCACAGTGCCATCAGAGATTCAGACTGGGTAAAGCCGGTTTCCTCCGGCCTCATGGAAGCATAGATCTGGCAGCCGCTGCTCTGATTTATTGCTTGACACGGAGCCACCAAAGTTCCTGACAGGTCAGAGCCTGTTATGAGCCGACCATTTGAGCATGGTATCTCGGATTCTCATCGCTCCACGCTTCCAATATGTACTGGGCCGCTTGAATAGACTCTCGTCAAGACTTGACCTCTTCGCATTGTCGGAGACGTTTGCTTCACATGCAAGTGAATGCAGTTAAGGTTTGACTAGCGCCTTCACATGCACGCAAACTGACGGGGATCTGGACTTAACTTCAGTTGCCGCTCACTTGCTTGTCAAACAAACACCTCGCACTTCTTGATTTCTTTTCTCTCCCTTCAACCTACATCCACCACACCCAGCAAGATGTTCCGTTGCATCGCGGCTCCCAAGGAGCCTGAGTACAGCACCGACTTGGCCGCCTTCGGCTACCACAAGAACGAGAAGGGCGAGTTCGTCGACAACACCACCGGCGAGTACTTCGACTTCTTCCACACCGACAACGACCGCGTCAACGACTTGCGCCGCGGCGCCTACCAAGAATGCCTCCGCAAGGAGATCGCCGCCGAGCTGAAGGAGAAGCACGGCATCACCGAGCTGTTCGTGACCGGCGCCGACGGCACAGAGATCTCCTCGTCGCGCCCATCTGGCCAGAACGTGAGCTTGCTCACCACGAAGGTAAGTGAACTCGCGCAAAAGCGCGATATTATCATCGTCATCGGCGAGAGCAGCCAGGATTGCGGCGTGTGGGCTTGGCGTACCGTTCAGAGAGAGGGAGGCATCGATGGAGGAAGTGTCACTGGGCTGGCGAGTAAGGTGGCAGCACGGGTAGTACAGCCCACCGAGGATGGCATGGCACGTCTCGATCAATGCGAGCAGACCCGGACCGACGAACAAAAACTCCAGGTGAGATCAGAATATCCATATTTCCAGAGACACGCACACGCTTGCTCACTTCACTAGGCACCCGGCATCATTATCCTCAATCCCGGACAGCTGCTCTACTCCCACGGCCTCGGCAGAAACCTCACGGTCGCCTCGTGGCAGAGCCGTCCACGTCCAACAGCCACCAGTGAGCCGAACAAGGTCGAGCCGAAGCACAATTCGATTCCTGGTGAGTCTCAACGCTGCGAGCACAATCGCGATAGCACTGACCAATTGACAGGGCACGAGACTCCGCACAGGCACGTCCAAACCGCGTTCCAGAGCATCTTGCCACAGATCATTGCTGAGGACGCCCGACTCCATATCATTGCCATCGGTGACGGCACTACCGCTACACTCGACACGATTGACCAGATCATGCTCGCACGTGACCATATCTCGATTGGTGGTGGCATTCTCGGAACGGTCGCTCTGATTGATGCGAAGCATGAGCATGAAAAGATCGCGTCGCTGCCGCTCAAGACACATCTCGCATCGGTCGGCAAAGGTTGGGTCCAGAGCGAAGAAGCAAAGGGTACGGTCGTGCAAATGCCAGATCGAGCATCTCTTGGTATGCCAGCTTTGGAGTACGCGCCCGGCGCTCAAGCCGACATTGAAGAGCCCAACGGAGCCGCTATCAACGGACATACTACTCCAGATTCGCCAAGAGTCAATGGCCACGACATCACAAACGGCGATCATGCAGACCTCGTACAGCCGCTTTCTGCTCTGGCCGTCGTCGACGAACTCCTCAGTGTTCCAGGCCCTCCACCGAACACTCCAGCCGATTCTGGAACCACTTCTCCAGCAACTGTCGCTTCCAACCCTGGCTCTCCAGCAAAGAGCAACAAAGACGAGACCACGATCGAAGACCAAGACGACGATTATCCCGCTCCTGAAGAAATTCCAGTCTCTTGCCCAACTTATAGCGCAGGTGTCTGCGACGGCGTCACCGAAACGGTCTTCCCAGTTGTCATCGACGATGTGCTCGAGCACTTGTGGTTCCACATTCAGAAGGGACAGGAGAGCGATGCAAAGGAGTCTGCACGCTCGGAGATGAGAGGACAGGCTTGGCCAAGGGATGCTGGCGATGACTAAGATCAGAGAGACGACAGGAATGACATTAGGGCGCGGATCTTTCTGCAAAGACAAGATGCATGAAATGAGCTATAGCATCGAGTCAGCCACAATGAATGAGAGATAAGGCACGAACTTCGTGTCCCAGCATTGGTCTCTGAGAACATTCGTGCTTCTGCTTGTTGTTTCCAACTGAAATTCTCTTAGCAAGACGTTATGTCATTCGATGAGAGAACTGTCTTTAGCTATGCCTGCCCCACTCCTGCTTTGCCAACCGCTTCTCCTCCCGAGCCTCGCAAGCAACGCTCAAGTTCTTCATCACCTTCCAATGAAAGTGGCACACAATACTATCGGGATGGTAGGCGCGAGTCCCTGAGGGATACTTGTCCAGGAAAGCTCCAAACCCGGTGATTGCCGAGTGACTCATGTTGTTCATGTCTATCACTGTACTCTCGTGCGTCGCTGTGATACCCCAAGTCGACTCGATCTCACACTCGACTTTCTCAATCTGTCGACCGAGTGTGAACTTTTCGATCTCATACAGGAGATGTCGAATTTCGGCGCCTTGGAAGTGTTGGCTAATTGAACAACTGAGCTGCGAGTAGCTTCTGCTGATCTTGAATGTGATGTGTTTGGGCATCGAGAAATGGACGCGCTGTAGGCCGTTGAGGAATGCCCAGAGAGCGTGTGCCTCGTCGCGGTAGGGCGTGAGTTCGATCTTCGCGGGACGTGGAGAGATGCCGACTTGAGAAGTGTTGCGCTTGAAGAAGATCTGTTCGCACTCGTTTCGAACTTGCTTGCAGGTGGCGATTATGCCGGGAAGGTATCTGTACTTGCGTGGCACTCCAGGAGTGGCTGCTGCCTCGCAGTGGACCAAGATGGGTTCTTCGGAAAGGAGGACCAGCTCGTAGATGTCGTTGCGGAGTTCAGCTGGAAGCGTGCCGAAAGGAGAAGAGTCCATGTTGATGACAATCTTCGATGGACGACGCCTTGAAGCCGATGGGTTTTTGTGAAGAGGATGGTGGTGCTTGATATATGCTTGTCGTTTTAGATGGAATATAGGAGTCAGACAGTGATGGTGGCCGCACTTGGAGCGTGAAGTGCACGACTTGCGGGCGTGAAGTGCGAGGAATGTCGCACGTCAATGCTTCTGATTTGCTTGATCGAGTGGCCTTTGATCTGTGTTTGTCGTAATTTCGCAGATGGCCAACGAGGGTGAAAGAGGTGGGAGGAAGATCAAAGTGTTGGATTATGAGTAATGCCATTGAGGTGACTGGGTGATCTGCGAGTGAACAAGCACAATAGGCCAATAGGCACAATAGACAAGTGGGCCTGATTGTGCCCTGGTGGGCCGTGCGTCAGTCTAGGAGTGAACGTAGGCACGCACCCATGTGTGTGTGTCGTCGTTAAGAGATGCTCTGGTTGGCTCTCCGATCACATCCTAGTATCAGTCATCGAAGACACGTGTTGGCTGTGTATGAGGAGATGAACGTAGTGCTGGTTTTCTGGCTTGCGACCGTGTGGAAGATGAGCAATGCGCAAGGCCATCGCCTCCGCCGGCCTCGTTGTCATCGTTACCAACTCTTGGAACCGACTCCTGAAACAACGAATTCAGATCAACCCACTTGGTAGCGAAAAGTCCAATGAGAGAAGGCGTCGTATTCCGTGGAGACACTCGCGCAAGCTGCCAGGTAGTCGTTTAGGTGACCGGCAGAAAGTCTACCTCTCCAGCAAGGACTTTCGTATCCCGATGAGAGGTCGGGATAAACTCTTAACCTAGTCGCGTAGCTCTGGAAACGGGACCACATACCCAGCTCAGCTGAATGCGTGTCCACTGGGAGAAGACGACCTAGTCTGCCAAGGTGTGTGCCTATCCGTTAGCATCAGTCTAGCTGGCCTGCTGTCGTTGATCTTCAAAGTCCTTCGCAGCGAGTCACGACTCACATTGGATAAGGAACACTATGGCGCCGAGCAATTGGCTTAGCTTGCAGCAGAACGGAACAGAGGATGGAGTCAAGACAGCCTTTGCAAGCTTCGAAGTAAGTGGGCTCGAGCATTGAAGCAACGAAATTGCTGCCATTAGCATTATATACCCATTGATGCAGCTCTTCTATCTTCGTACCCAGATGCCCATTGAACGCCCCTCGCTGTTACGCAGATACCTCAAAGGGCTTCAAATGTCCTGTCCACTGCTCGCGGCCTGTAATGGTGACGCGCTTAGGCATAGGCCTTTGGTGCCGGGTCAGCGACAACCTTGTCATCTCCGAGGTATGGCTTAGCACCACCGGCTGGGTAAGTTGGCTCAGCTGGGTAAACAGGCTTCTCGGCTGGGTGAGTGGGCTTGTTCTCAGCTGGATAAGTCGGCTTGTTCTCAGCAGGGTGGGTAGGCTTCTCAGCTGGGCCAGTTGGCTTCTGGAGAGGATAGGTAGAGCAGACCTTCTCGTCCTTGCAGATCGAAGTGCTCTCGGTGCAGACAGACTTAGTTTGAGTAGCGTATCCGGAAGTGTAGACAGTTGTCTCGGGCTTCATGTAGACGGACTCGACTGGCTTCTTGATGACCGTGGTGTGGGGCTTCTCGAAAGCGGTCGTGTAGGTCCATGGCAGCTTGGACTCGACGGTAGTACGGACGTAAGAATCAACCAAGATGGTCGTGAGGTATGTCGTGGTGACGGTCTATACAATGTCAGCGAGACGCCGCCGAAAGCTGGCGAATGCAGTCATACCTCGACCTTCTGGGTCTTGGTCTTGATCTCGGTCTCGTATTGAGACGTCTTGTAGCTGACGTAGCCGGATGGAACTATAGCAGTCAGTAGTTGCTGGAGGCATCGGTCTCAGTGCAGCATACCGTGATCGGTGGTCACAACTGTTTGCTTATCGTACACCGTTGTGGTGTATGGCTTCATTGTGGTCGTTGTGAGGGTCTCGTAAGCGGTTGTTGGCACCATCTTCTCGTACGTGGTCCAAGTGGCTTTGCATGTGTTCTTGGTCTCGCACTTCTCTGCCGGGTAGGTAGGTCTCTCCACGGGATAGGTTGGCTTCTCCACTGGATAGGTTGGTTTCTCTACTGGATAGGTGGGCTTCTCTACTGGGTAGGTGGGCTTCTCCACTGGATAGGTTGGCTGTCATGTAATCAGTAAAACGTAAGAAGATGTCTGATGAAACACTTTTTGCAATTTTAACGCTGCTTCCAATTGAAATGACGCACCTTCTCAGCTGGGTAGGTCGGCTGCGCTGGATATGTTGGCTTCTCGGCCGGGTACGTGGGCTTCTCGACAGGGTATGTTGGCTGTCGAAATGGTCAGATGACTGTACGACGGTGTGTGCAACGCTTTTCATCCTTTTCAGTGCGCCAGTGACCGCACTTACCTTCTCGACAGGGTAAGTCGGCTTTTCTGCTGGGTAGGTAGGTTCAGCAGGGTAAGTCGGCTTCTCTGCTGGATAGGTCGGTTTCTCCGCTGGGTGAGTTGGCTCAGCAGGATATTTTGGCTGCTCAGCACCGTATCCCTTAGGTCCCTCGTTTGGAGTGGCGGCGGCAACGGCCAAGACAGCGGCGAAAGCTGCGATGATCTGCATTTTGAAGACTGATTTTCTTGTCAAGCTGTAGGGTGAACGAAGGCAGCGATTCGCGGTAAAAAGCAAATGTACTAAAAGAGTGTGTTATAAAAGAGTGTGGTCAAAGTTGCTGAAACGAGTGTGGTGCGAATTGCTGCTGCTTGATGATTTTTGCTGGTGAGGGAGAGCAGAAGGTCTTATATCTGAGATGTTCGTGCTGATCTTGGACGACTTTGGGACTTGTTCTTGTGGTAGGTTGAGCACCGTTGGCGGTATCAGGAACCGGGCAGGACCGCCATCCAAATCCTGCATGTCAACGGTCAACTCAATGTCAGCTCACGCGCCAGAAGTTGCCTAGATCAACGGGGACATTGAATTATGCAGTGCTTTAGGCAAGCAATTACTGGGAGTTGCTGGAAATGTGCATGACTTCGGTGAGCGGTCCGCGAAGGACTTTCGGTGTGGGCGCGGGCTCATAAGGACGGATATGCAGTCGCCACACTCGTCCAATGCAGATATAACCCACGACCCATGGGACGATGTAGCAGAAGCCACATGCTGACAGCATAGACTTTATTCAGGCTAATGATCAGTAACGCTCCAGCTGATGCGCTTGTGGCCTCTGCAGAACGAATTCCAAGCTCAATTGGTCTGGTGCCATCGTGCGGTCTCCAGGTTCGAGCTGAGTTTACCAATTGAGAGGCATTTGCGATAGCGCAGGCGAGGTGCCTTTCCGGAAAGAGATGCCTTCACGGCGACATGAGAACGCGTATGCCGGGTATCTTGGTTCTTGCCGTCTGATTTCGCACGTGCGCGGGCGGAAGCAAGCGCCTGAAACCAATATTCCATCAACCTGAAATTGCTTGTGAGCCAGAGGCCGTCGAGGGGCCGAATGACTAGGACATCTGCCTATTCGGCGAAAGGAGACGGCGTTGATTCTTGTTGCTCTCTGTCATCGGTATGCGGGTCTTGTTCTGTCGATCTTCACATCAAGAGGCGTTGTCAATGGATATTTCAGGAAGGGAAGTCCGGCCCGGCGGATGCCAAGACCGGCAGACGTGACGCGTTCAGACTCGCCCCTCTCCATAGAGACTCCGAGCCCTCAGCAGGCTTTTCCATACTCAGTAGCTCTGCAATCAACAGCTTAGCAGGGACAGAGACATCAGACCTGCAATTCCAGCACTCTCTGATGTCAAGAAACGCCGCAATCCTCGCCGTCTCTACCCAGTTGAGCACGGAGAGCCTAGATCTGCGTCGAGATACAATCAGCACACCGCTCGCTCCTCCATTTGACACCCGTTGCGATTCACCCCATGACTCCCTTGGAGAGCTCAGCGACCATACTTGTCGCAGAGAGAATCTGGTCGAAGCTCAATCTCCGCCATGTTTGCAAGGACAACATGTCGCTCAAAACCAAACTTGTCAGCATAGTCAGCAATATTCCACAGAGACAGCCAGATGGGGAAAGGTGAAAAGACCCTGTTCGTGCACAAAAGTTTCATTCTGCCTTCTGTCAGGCGGGGCCGGGCGGGGTGGGGCCGAGCGGTCTATGTGTCGACCGCGGAGCGGCGACGGCGGTGGAGAAGGAGGCGCTCACTGCATGCGCTCAAAGCGCTCACGCGCCAGATCCTTCGTCTTCTCCACCCATCCGTCACCGCCCCGGGTCGCCCTCTCTGCCTCCTCGTTGGCATCGCCCCTCTTGGCCCCCTCGTGCCCCAGCCCCACCCCAGCATTGTACGACATTTGCTCGATTGGAGCAGTGATGCCTCCTCCCGCCCCCAACCCCTCTCCCTCCGCCCAGCCCGCCTTCTGCAGCATCGCCATCCCCTTGCCATATGATGGCTTCGTTGGCTTCTGTTGCGCCGAAGCACCACCTCCCTCCTTCTTCTTCACGTCCTTCAACGACACCTTCACCTTCTCTGTCGTGCCTGCCTTGGCCTCCTGGATGCGGCGCTCCTTTGCCCGATCCCTCCACTCCGTCTTCTCCGGTTCCGTCTTCTCTGTCACTTTGACCTCCACCTTCACTGTCTGATCCGCTGCTATGCCGAATTTGGCCAATCGTTCCCAGGCGAGCTTCACCTTTGCCTCATCTTGTAGTAACGTGGAATGCTTCTTACTGCCTGCAACATGCTGTGCGGGCGTGACGTCTGCTGAGAGCTGGCTGCTGCATAGATAGCAGGTGGTCTGTAGCTTGCCTCCCTTGGTTTTCTGGTGAACGTAGCTTTGCTGCGGGGCTTCGTCTGTTGCGTGCTTCTCGGAACTCGAAGATTGTGGGCGGGACTCGTCCTGCTCAGCATCCTCGCCGCGCAGCTCAGCTTGCTTCTTCTGCCACAAATTCACAATACCCAGCTCTTTTGGCTCTCCAATCTTGACTTTCTTCGTTGTGCCTTCGCCCTCTAGTGAGTTGATGCCCGCGCTCTCCTTCGGACGCTTCTTGTTGTTCTTCGTGTCTTTGGTATTTCCAGACTGAGTCGGGGTCTCCGGTCGCGCTGGAGGTTCTGGATTTACGTCTTGTACCGAGGCATAGTAGCGCTTGTCGTGATATTCGTGCAAAACTGCGCCGCGTTGGAAGCAGTATCTGCCGTCCGACCCGAACTGGCCTGGAACAACTACTGGGAAGACACCCATGTGTGGATAGCAAATCTCGATCTTCTTGGATGAGATGGTGAACTTGTCGCCGAGAGTCATTGCTTTCGCAAGTGCTGCCTTAGCATCTGTAACTGTGTGATACTCAGCAAATCCGAACGATAGACTCTTGTCCGTTTCACGATCACGAATCACGAAAACACGCTTCAAACTTCCTGGAGCGGCGCCTGGCAAAGGCAATGGCTTCAGCGGCAAAGAGGCAAGAAGGGCGGCGACAGATGCTTCGCCCCCAGGTGGCAGACTGGGTGGCGGCACAGCGGCGTCTTGTGGAGCCTGGAGCTCGTCTTGGTACAGCTTCTCGAGTCCCTTGTGAAGCACTGCTTCGCTCATATTGGTCTTGAGCCCGCGGATCAGCAGAAAAGGCAGTGGGTTTCCGTCCAGCGAGACGTCGGCGTCACCGTTGCTGGGCGGTGGGGCGACTGGCTCTTCGTAGAACCCAAAATCTGAATGATCCTGATAGGGTTCGTAGTATTGGCGCGAATGAGAATAGCCCTGCTGGTGATAGTCGCTGGAGCTGCTATGGCGCGAATAATAGCGATCATCCTGGACTCCGCATTAGGCATACAGGTTCATCAAGAAGAGGTGTGCTTAGGAATGTATACGTTGCGCGACGAGTAGTAGCTTCTTGAATCGCGACCACTCTCAGGGTCGTCGCGGTCGCGGTAAGGCCTGTCACGTCGACGCGGTGGCGAGCGCGATTGCGATGGCGCGCGACTGTGATTGTGATGGCTGCGCGGCGAAGCTGGTCGGCTCTGCGGCTGCACTTGGCCATCTTGACTGTGCTTGCGCTGAGCGGCTCCTCGGATGCTGAAACCAATGTCGGAGTCGTCATGGCTGTCACCACGCGATGCAGCAGTATCTTTCAGTTCATGGCAGGTCAGTGATACGTTTTTCACTGATTACATTGCGATGTTGCGCCCTGTCAAAGATACCATATTCACGAGCTCGGTTGCGATCCATGACGGCGGTCGTCGGCGCGGTGCGCGATCTCTTTAAGTTGTCGACAGATGAATGCGGAAGATAGGCGTGTGCGCGAGAGATGCGTTGGCTGATGTCGATGTCGTCGTGGAGTTGAAGTTGGAGTTGGCGCGAAAGTCACTGCTGGAGTTTCGGATGACATCCCTGCTCGGCATCGGCGGGAGCTCCCTAGAACTAAACCTTAATTGACGCGTACCAAAATTGGAAGCAACATCGAGCCTGAGGCGCTGCCGCCTTTCTCTCCCTCCATCTACTGTACAAGATACATTTGTACATCGACATCGAGACAAGGCGAACTTTATCGTTTGAAGCATGGCTTACTATTCGTCTGCACCTTTGCGACCTCTCAGACCTTTCTACACTGACCACTACTACCAAAGTTCTACTTTACTGCTCTTTGAATACTGATTTTGATCTGTCGCTCTATCACCTCATAGTAGCGTTGCTGCTGCCACCTTCGCCCTCCCCAAGATGCTGCCTGAACCAGTTCAGGTACGTGAACATGCTCGCTTTCGGCGACCGCGTCAGGTCAGTATAATTCAAGTATTGCATGCCGAATCTCGTGGCCCTGCCAGAGCCCCATTCGAAATCTGTCATTGTTTATCAGCTTCTGCAAGCGGACTGGCTTCATCAAGGAGGGAAAGGGAAGCGACCCACTGTCAATAAAAGACCAAGCCCAAGCACCCGTAACATTGACCCCATCCAGGACTCTGGCAGCCAGCACATTGTCCAAGAAGCCCTGGAAGTAGTCTGCGCGTCTTAAGTCCCACAGAATGGTGGACAAACTGTTCAGCTCGGCCTCGAATGGTTCCGCAAAACCAAACTCGGTAACTTGAATATCTGGAATGCCTGGGAACAGATCCTGGGTGATGTTCTTCAAAAACAACCGTACACCAGTCGGAGTGTCCTGCAACCAGCTTGCCCCAGGATCGGCTGAAGGACCGGCTGGGAATCCATCTGGAGCGAGGGGACTGGATCCCGCACATTCCGGGTACGAAGGGTGAGAGGAGTTTGAGGTGCACGCCGAAATATCGCCATCCTCGGGAGAGATGCTGGATGCAAAGTACGAAGTGTACGCGTCGATTGCAAAGAAGTCGCAGCTGCCCGCGATCAGATCCTTCTCTTCCTGCGTAAGAGTCGGAAGAGTATCGTTCAAAGTGTCTTTGAGAGTTTGAGGGTAGTCGCCGTCGTTCCAAGGTCCATGGTTGAACCATCCTAGGACGAAGTCGTAATTGCGCTGCACGGCAACAGCATCTGCCTCGCTGCTGGAGTTAGCTTGGAAGCCATTTCCGCTGTTCTTGAACGTAATGCGGCCTCGGCCACGGAACTCCTCGTGGTACCACTTGGCGATCCGAGCGTGGGCGAGCAGGGTGTAGTGGCCGCAGGTGAAGCGGGCTTCAACGCCACCAGTGATGTTGTTATATGCTGGATAGTACTCTCCGGCGGGGTAGTTGGCATATTGCCAATTACCTATGAGTGGGCGCACGAAGGTCAGTTGGCACTCAAATAACGTTGAGAGGACTGCTTACAGTATTGAGGTTCGTTGATGGTGAACCAGGTCTCGACATACTGATCGTACCTCTGGATGATGAAAGTTGCATAGTTGAAGAAGTCATCTATGATTTGACGATCCGACCAAGCTCCATACTCGTTGAACAAAGCAAGAGGCGTGTCTGGCAAAAGTTAGTTTCAACGCGGTACATCGCTCCAGATCACGCCTTGACTGACCCCAGTGAAACAGTGTGATTGAAGGCGCCAAGCCATTCTCCAGCATGCTTGCGATAACATCGTCGTAGTGCTTGACTCCAGCTTCATTCACAGGGCCCTTGCCGAAAGGAAAAATCCTTGGCCAGGCAATACTTATTGCCATCTTGTGGAAACCAAGAGCCGCGATTCTGGCGAAGTCCTGCTTGTACAGGTAATAGTGCTCAGCTCCAGTATCTGCAGTACTGTTGTCGGCTACCCAATTGGGGACTCTATGCATCAACAAATCCCAAATTGAAGGACCTCTGCCTTCGTCTGTGACCGCTCCCTATTGACACTTTTCAGCTTTCGTGTCTCAGACCTCGTCACCTGCTTTACGAACCTCGATCTGAAATGCCGAAGACGACATACCCCACTCGAAGTCCTCTGGGAGTGCAGCATCGGCCAGATCCCCAGGATAATAGCTTGGAACATATGGATGCATATACCCAGGTTGAGGAAATCTCGAAGGCTCCGGAGTCGGCGACACAGTGGTGCTCAGAATTCCGGTCGCGACAGGACCGACTTGATCCCACAGAAACGCAAGCCGCTCGTTCGAGAAGTCCGTCTGGGCTATCTGAGTACTCGCGAGTGTGGCATTGTAGCTCGTCGTGGAATAGCTTCCTGAGGTCTTCGTTGGGTCAACGAACGACAAATTCTGTGCCTGGGCCAAAGCGGCCAGGCTGAGGACAGCCGCTATGGTGAACATGGTGTCTCCAATCGACGACTATCGACAGTCACTTTGACATTTGTCTGGACCAGGACTGTTTATGTACTGACTTGACGCGGCTCGCATAGTGGAGTTGCAGGGGTTCAGATGTATGCACTCCTCATCGGCCGGCTGGATATAAGCGGGTCAATGCCTTCCGAGCGGATAATCTGTACGACTCCACAGACTGTAATGGCTTTGTTGCCGGATTCGAGGTCCGCAGCTCCTCCATACGTTGCGTGATATATCTTGGGGCGGTCATGTTGACATCAGCCGACATGAGCACCTGCATCGATGCATCTTCAGTTCCTGCATCGACCGAATCTGGAGGCAGAAGTTCAGATCGAAGACCATATGCCCGAGGCGTTTGTTCTTCTTACTGCAACGACGCCAGTCATATAGGTAATGGTGTCGTTTCAAACATTCATTGCCGATGCTCTGGGCCTCGACTGTCTCAGTGTTCGCTCGCACTAAATCAATGCCTAGTGTCTTGGCTTAGGCTTGATCAGTCAACGTGGGACGGACAACGTGGAGGGGTAACTTGTTTTGTTCAAGAAGCTCAATGGAGCATGATGGTCCTTTTCTAATCCGATCTATTGATCTACTAAAAGTCGGATGACACGAAGCTTTACGACATCGTGCATCCAACATCTTTGCTCACAATTTCTGCAGACAGCTACCGACTGAGCTCAAGAGTTGCTCTCGCAATGCTAACTTCAGCAATACGCGAGCATACAAGTCAGAGCAAAACATTACTCTTTCCAAGCCAAATGGTTCTCAGAACTTGAGTCCTTTTAAGATCCCAAGCAACAATCCGTATTTATCACACTTTCCCGACTCCGTCACGGCACCCTCCCGCGCCCACCTCTCGGCAGCCCCAAGCTCTCCTCCCTCGTCTCCGCCTTCTTCCTGCAGACGCCACTACTCCAGAAATCTCCTTCGTTCTTCTGATGCAAATATGCCGCCAGCGCAAACCAAACATAGTTCTCTGGCGAGAAATTGCTCTTCCAATCTGCTGGATTCGTAGACTGCAAGGTCTTCTCTTTCACAGGACTTGCCAGATCATACAGAGCGAGGAATATCGACTCTGCTGCACCTGCAACATTTGGAAGAGAAGCTACACTTCCATCAGGTCGGCGTTTCGAAGTCGTGAACTGAGACTTGGACTGCCACCATCTTCACACGTAAAATCAGCGCAGCCACCAGCAAGTCGCAGAAGAGAAAAGGAACATACTTCTCAGGCATACTCCCCACACACCTATCCTCCCCATCCCTCACACACCTCGCCCGATGCACAACCGGATCAGGTGAAGTCCTCATCGTCCCCTGGAAAATCTCTGTTTGCAAATGGAACAACTCATGATACAACGTCAGCGCCCCAATCCCCATATCATCAAGCAAAGTCCCCTCAACCTGCGGCCTCGTATCCAAGAACTTCGTCCAAGCCGGCCTTCTCTCATGTCCCACAAACGAGTTCGGACAAACAATAACTCGATAAACAAATTCCGATGTCCACGCAAGCCCTGGCTGGATTCGTCTTCAACTTGATTTCCCTCGCAGGTCTCGTGATCCCATCGATGCCTGAATTACATTCATGTGACCTTCCCTTCTCATCAAGCGGAAAGGGAGCAGGTCCTTCAGCACTGTTCTGTACCACAACCGCATACTCCGCTTTCGAATAAGGAATATACGTCGTGCCCGGAATATCCGATTTGAAAAGCCAATTATTCTGCAGAACAGTTTGTCGATGTGGATGATACGCCATTGCGTCTTCCAATGTCATATAAGAATTCTGTGTCTTCAGAACATGATACCGATCTTCATTCTGCACGAGATCGGACCCAGTTTGCAATTCCATGAAATCTGAATCACAGAATAGCCAGGGTCGTTGAGGTGGAGGGAGTTTGTTGTCGAGGATTTTCTGGACGTTGGAGAACCATTCTGTAAGTCAGTCAGTCAGTCAGTCAGTCAGCATGATCAATCAAGTGTCCCTCAGAAAGAAAGAAAGGAGATGTCGAGAACATACTCCTCGCATGCCCCATCTTCTCCCCCTCCAACCTCCCCTTCCCCAAAACCTCCACCTCCTCCACCTTGAACACCCCCTTCCTCTTCCTCTCCACCCCCGGCAAAATCCCAAAAAACCTCGTCGCCAATCTCCGATGTTCCTCATCATTCTCATATCCTTCCTTTGACAACGCATACATCGCAGCAGAATTCAATTCATGTAAATACCTCCAGCCGAGATTCAGAGCTTTGAGGTTTTGGTTCGTGGCAGCAGGTTGATGGAATTTACTGCAACTGCTTGTCCAGCGGTCGTCTGTGAGGATGTTGAAGACGTCTTCGATGTGGGAGCCGGAGCCGAGGGGGTTGCTGCTGATCTTGATATTGGTATCGCAGTCGGAGGTGGAGAAGGTGTCGCTGGTGCGTGCGGCGAGGGTTTTAGAGAGGAGGAGGGTGAGGACGATTCGTTTCATCGTTGCAAGAAGCGTGTGGAGGACTGCTTTGCACAACGCAAGATGCTCCAATGCAATAAGAGACAACTATCAAGAGCAGGGTCGACAAACACCGTGGTCAGCACACTCAGCCAACATGACCTCGCATCGGCACGAGAACAGGGTATCAATATCGTAGTATAGGCATATGACCATCTATCTCAGCGCAAACATGACAAGACTAGGAAGCAGCCACTCCATCAAACAAATTCCAGCACGCCATCATCCTCTCAAAAGTCTCCAGGCTGACACGTCCTCTTGGAGATGCTGAACATATAATCCTTGTTCTGATAATGGTACGTGCCGATCTGGGTCCCATGCTTAAACAACGTACACAGCCCAGTGCGGCAGTTATAATTACCACCAAAACATCCTGTGATCCCAGTCGTATAGTCACAAAGGTCGCGACATGCGGTCAAGCTGTCAAGTGTTCGTTCAATGATGGGTGCCGAATTGTTCACGTAAGTATCGAAATTTTCGAACGGATCAAAGGTGCAGTGGAATGGGCCTGGACCTGGGTTGGCGGGGATTGAGCACTCCTTCAGGGCAGGTGTGCTTGGGTCTTCGCCTCCGGTGTCGCCGCCGCCATTGTCTCCGCCACCTGTTTTTCGAATTGTGATTAGCCAGATGCTCCTTCGAGACAGCAATGTAAGAGACGCCGATCACTCACCCTCGTCAACCTGAACATCAGCAGCCAACACATAATTCGTGAACTCCGACTGCTCTCCATGCGGCAGCAACGTCCACAAACCATCATTGTTTCTCGAATTGACGTCGTTCGTTCCGAGGTTGCACATCAAAGGACACTTTCCGTCTTCAGTCGGCTCAATCCTGCAAGACGGGACTTGATAGCCACCAGCGTCGGCGAGTGCCATGATCTGCATGCCAGGACCGTCATATGTTTGGCCAACGACGCTGTAACCTTCAGCAGCACCGTCATCACTGGATGTCAAGTCCGCCACCGAAAGCTTGTCACCAGTGAGCGAGAAGAGTGTAGGAGCGTACTCGTCATCAGATTGGTCCCAGTCGTACTGGACGTGATAGAAGATCTCATCGGCGTCCGCTGGCCATTCCGCGAAGGCCATATCCTGGTCAACGATGTAGAAGGCCGATGGAACGGCACTCGGAGCCAAGACCCAGCTGTTCGTGGTCGTGATAACGTTTGTAGTCGTTTTGGTGTCCCATTTGGTCATAGATCTCACCCTTGTCATGACAGTTGTGCGCACGGTCGTGAAAGTGGTAGTGGGTGTAGTGGTCGTAGTAGCCAGGATCTGTATGTCGTCAGTGAGAGACCTCTGATACGTGAAGAGGAGCTGTTTACATTGCGAGTAGAGCTAATGGTTCTCGTGCTAGTCACCCCAGTCGAGCTCGTGCTGGTCACCGTAGTCGTCGAAACCGGGATGACGCAGTTGCAAGCAGCGACAGTCTGCGCTGAATTGGTAGCTGCTAGGCAAGCTGGCTTGACGGGAGTAGCCTGGCGTGGGAGTACAGGTGCTGCTACGTCGCGCTTCGCGTAAGCCAGACGAGGCGGCCAAGAATCGCTAGAACTGCGTGACACTCGGCCAGCAGAGATAAAAGCGGTACCGCGCGGGTATGCCCCAGTGGCATCGTTCGCCGATCTCTGGTAATGGCTACGATCCCCTGTTCTACGTTAGCTTTCGTTCGCGTGCTTATATTGGAATGACCCACTAATCTTCTTGTACTGGCAATCGCCGTTGCCCGGAACCCATGTGATTGCGTGGCATCCCAGCACGTCCGTTACACATCGCGCCAGGCATTGCGAGAACGTTGACGCGGTTGATCGGCCAAGCAGGTCGTAGTTCTCTATATTGCCACAAAAGATTTGATAGTCTCCCGCGCCGTTATTGAACTCGATGATTTCGAATTCGCTGCTGGGGCAGCTCGAGAAAGCACCACGGACGACAGTTGGCGAGGCTGTGGGAAGAGAAGCATCCTCTCCTACCGGGCTAGGGGTGGAGCCCGAAGGATCAGAAGATGAAGTCGTCGTGTCGCTGGTTGGATCTCCTTCGTCTGGAGATCCAGTATTTGCAGGATCAATGGCAGTGACAGATGGAGTATAACCGGGGCACGACTCGACCGTCCCTACGAGCTCCAAGGTCGACTCTATCGTTGAAGTCGTTGTACTTGAAAAGGTAGTCGTCTGCGTCGTCATTGAAGTCCGGACACTATCAAATACTATCAGCATGTGTCACCCACTGTGAAATCGGGTAAGTTTACCTTGTGATTGTGGTCGAGACCCTTGCAGCAGTAATTGTGGTAGTTCCAGTGGTTGAGGTCATGGTAGTCATGACTGTCCTGTGTGAATTCTTAGCTTGTGTCACACTAGGACAGCTTTTGGGAATCGCTATTACCTCCATTGAGTGCCTGTGGTTCGAACCAAATTGGTGAACGTGCCATGGCCACGAGACTTGCAGAAAGCGCTCGCAGCCGCCATCGAAGTGCCAGCCATACATGCTGAAGTGTGTGTTGTTCTACAAGAGAAAGACTGCGCTGGATTCAGTTGGCGTGCTTGCAGCTCTGCCACAGGGTTGGCCAGAGCCAACCCAATAATGGAAGAATATGCGAAAAGCCGCATTCTGGTTGCGCAAATGTTTCGAGCAAGGAAGATCCACGAGCAGAGATTTTCACAGAGTTGGGTATGGCTTTCCACTTATCTGCGGTGGAAAGCCGCACGTTGGGGCAGTGAGTCTGCGCTCAGCAGAGCCCACTGCGCATGTCCAGTCCATCGAAGCATGGTACTGGCTTGCGAGGGCTTGCATGTAGGCGGAGTGCGGCCAATGTCAGTGTCAACAACACCGCTAGGCGTTCACAGCTTCAGTGTCGCGCACACCTAGTGCATTCGAAAGCTTTCGGCCTCACCGCAGTTGGTCTTGAGGCTCATCGAGGCGTTGCAGAATCTGCCAGTCTTTAGCGAACGGCGTCAGGACCGCGACCCTCGTGGCGTCCACGTGCGTGCTGGTAGCGCATACCAAGAGAGTGTAAGTGTGCTATGTCCACTTGCCGTATACGGAAATCCAAGCAACCCAATTCACGCTACGATGGCAGATCCAGTTACAATTTGCGCACAGCATGCTTCCAAGAAAGTCTTCTGTAGCGCATCAGAGCAGCCTCTTTGGTCCATCGCGCATACCGAAAGACATGGCGTTGGGTTTGCCTACTCGGTGAGGTCGGTCATGCAAGCCAAGCATCTAAGAAAGTCCAAAGGCATCCAGGCTGCATCCACGTGCGAAGCCCAACGCCATAGTCTCAAGCCATACGATGGCCCCACCAAAACTTTTTGAACGCCATAGCGCATATAGAAGATGGGTCCAGTTGCGCGTTGCGGAATGGTTCGACGCAGCAGTGGCCTGATGGAAAACTGCCACGCGAGATGTAGCATATACTTGTGAAGTTGCTGTCATGCCATGCGAAGCACGGCTTTCGCGTTGGCCGCTTCCAAGCTGGTGCATCGTGCGATGCGAATCATCGTACACTCCAATTCTTCGCCGCGGTCCGACTTCGAGACAGCAGTGTCTGACCTTGGGCTTGCTGCTGCTTGAGAGCTGTCGCGCTCAGCAGAGAGTGTGTGCTTTGTGAACGAGCTTCGTTTGCAGCGGCTCGCTCAGCTTCCCTGACCGAGCATCTCGCGGCCAGAACAATGACGGCGCGTCTTTCGGTGGTCTTCGGCGCTGGTTTCGTCAATACAAGGTGCCATGATGAAGGTGCAAAGAACTCAATCCTTGCGCAGAACAGAAATCGGCGAGTGTGAAAGTACGAAAGAGAGAGATGGAGCTTGGGGCGCCGGAGCTGCCCTTCGCCAAGCCTCTCTTCAATTGCTCCTTCCTGCGAAGTCACCCACCCGAAGGAAAGTGCTGAAGACGCACCGTAAGAGAATATCCAGTAAGATGACTGGTAATTACAAGCATGGTATACATTTCACAATTCAATGGAGCTATCAGTGGCGTCCAGCATCGTCCTCATCCAATCCGAATCATCTCACTCACTACAGGACATCATACAGGCGCCTGCTTCATCCGTGTCCTTCTCTCTTCCTACCCCATTCAATTTTGGCATATTGTTTTCCCAGCTCACGCAATGCAGAAATTCGACATGTTGCGCAAGAAATTCTCCGTCAACTATGCAGGACAGATCGAGCAACGTTGTAGCATATCCACACACTTCTTCCCTGTCTCTCCCGCGCTGTACTTCTCGCAGCAAAGTAGGAATGGCCCTCCTCGATGAGGACTTGTTGAAAGACGGAAACTTGAAAACTCCAGGACTCCACGCCAAATCCAATCGAGCGAAAATGAGATGAACAAGAAAGGCTTATGCTCGAAACAAAACGCAGACAGCGTTCGCAGACTCCGGCGTGTATTTTACGCCCACTCCTCCACGATAACTCTCGGCCTCTCCAGCAATTTTCTCTTGCCTTGCGCGGTCGTGGGCGTGGGCTTCCGTAGCCTCACTACCTTCAGGAACAGCGCCTCCAACGGCAACAGAACGTACCAGACCCGATTGAGCATGAACGACAAGGCAACCGAGAAGGTCGCAACCACGGCGTCCATGTAGTAGTGATTCGCTGTGGCCACAATGATGGACAGGACGAGCAGAGGGTACAGGATGCCGGCCAAGATCCAAATGAAACTGAGGATAGGGCTTTTGCCCGTTCGGCGGCCGCGAAGCATGCTAGGGAGTCCGGAGTGCCAGAGGAAAGTACAGCCGATGGTAAAGGCGTAGGTAAAGTGAAGTGAAGGCATGGCGGCAAGTTGGTTGACGTTCGCGCCGCCAACCCAGACGGACTCGGCGTTGGACTGGCGCACAGTATCTTTGAACCCGAAGGATTCCGGAAGCAGGCGCGGAGGCATGCAAGGCCAGAAGGAGAAGATCATGAAGGCGGAGAAGTTGCCCAGCGTCATTGTGCGGCGAGCGAGGGCGAAGTGGTCATGGGAGGGAGCGGTGTAGTACCACCAGGAGAGGTATCTGGTAGCAAAGTTAGTGGGTTGAAGATGCGGTTCCAAGAGATTGATAGGGTACTCACGCGACTGTTCCAGGAATATGGACAAGGGAGTAGAACTGGTTGAACAGAGTCATGAAGCCCAAATGTCCGTTCAGAAAGAAGCGTTGGAAATCTACCTCGGAGATCGGAAAGAAAATCTTCGCCATAGTGTTATGTTCCAAATTCAGAATCGCAATCCCGTGCGATTGTGCCAGCTCGGTCACCTCGTTATTGGCATTTCGATTGTACAATGCAGCTCCAATCTTCTTCGTCAAAGCATAAGCCAAAAAGTTCAGCGCCCAGTAGAACATCTCGACCAAGAAGGGGAAGCGTTGGAGGATTCTCGATGGGAAGTTCATGTTCGAATCGGATTGCGAGACGAATGGGCTGTTGACTAGCTCGATGCTGGGTTTTTGGCGACCCTCGGGTGAAGCGCTTCGACTCGACGTGGGTGTTGTCTCTTCGTAGGAGGCATTCTTCATAAGCGATTCTGAGGACGAGTCGGGTCCTGGTATTATCGAGAAGTTGCGGTCGCGGTTCGCTATTAATGATACCAGCATAATGGTGACAACGAGCTGCAGTATAGAGTTAGCATCCGGACCTGTGCCAGCTGTACTGTAGCCTTGAACGAGTGCCGATCGTGCATACCAGAGGCTCGAAAAAGTGTCTCGCTTGCGATTGCGGTTTGCCCAGGTCGGGCATTGTGTTGTCCGGTGCGGCCATGCTGCTCTCAATCCTCTCTTGTCACTGCTGTACAGTATGTCTATTGCAGAGCCGTGTAAGTGTGAGGATGTACGAAGTGCAGTGTGTTCCCGGAGTTCGTGCCGCAAGCGTAGTCAAGGAGTAGCTCGAAGTTCGGCGCAAGCGGAAATGAGTGGAGGAGACGGCGGCGGTTCGGTGGATTGGAGAGGTGATTTAGGCGGTTACACGGAAGAAGGTGAGCATGATCCGGTGAGATGCAAGACAAGAATAGGATGTGCTGAAAGAGGAGAACGATGTGGTATGAAAGTTGGACAGGAGATCGGGGCACGCGACAGCGACAACAGAGCAGCGGCAGCGGCGCGCGGGCGGCGGATGAAACTGCACAGACGGAGACTCCAGTGAAAGGATGGAGCTGACTGCGCCTCACTCGAATAAACTCGCCGACGACATGGGATACTGTGCTCACTCATCGTATGCGTACTCATCGCCTTTCATCAACTTCTGTACAGCTGCATCGCGCATTCTCTCACAGCACATGGTCCATTCTCGTGGTTACTGTCAAAGAAGCCTTGAGGCTTGGTGGAGTTTGGCTTCCGTCGGGAGCTTGCCTGGGAAATGATGCATGTGGCTGCGGCTACACGCGACAGCGAATAGAACAGCAGGAAGTGTTCACAAAACACATCGGATACCACCGTCTCATAAACATGGAACATGCTGACACCTATCCTGCTACTCCGCCCTCTGGACTCTGCTGCTGTGACTACAGTCCACGGGCCCTCCGAGGACGGAACACAACAATGATCCAGTGACAGATGTTCCTCGTGGCAATCGTTCGCAGAAGAAATGCAGACCAACTTGGCATGCAAAGAAGCAAGTGGACATGCCACTTGCCGACCGACGATTCCAGGATCTGCCCAAAACGGCCACGCGAAGGATCCCGCTTCTGCGCTTCTGCACGATTTCTGGGCACGAGCCGGCAAATAGGATGCACATTGCTCCGTTCTGACTCCCTCACGTGCCTGCATCTGGAGAGTCTCAAAAGGACACTGAAGCACTTTTGCCTGGTATGCCACCGGCCACGTTCCCACTGACGCGGCATCGACTGGATGGCATTGTTCTGGCGTTGCGGCCGAATTGATTAGTCGTGTCAGCCTGCATAGCAAATGCTATCGAGCACTTCTGGCAGCTCTGCCCTGAGTGGCATACCGAACCTAGATGTCACACCGCAAGCACGTAATTTCGCGTGGTCCACTTGCGGCCGCAGAGAAGAGCATTTCTCCGTTCTGTTCGCGTTCCTCGTACCTGTCGATACGAAGTACGAACCCCGTCTTCGGGTGCCGGCGAAACTTGTCGCCGATGTTCAGTTCTAGGGCCAACCCACGAACGACCTCAATGAATCCAGTGGCAACGACATCGTCGTCGCTTGCTACAGCTCTAAAACACTCGAGCGATATCATCGCCGCAGTCACAGCCCGTCGAAGATCTCCAAATACCCATATTGGCCATTCGCCTCCGCCTTTGCTGCCGCTTGGCACACATCTACAAGGTAGGCAGCAGACCTGAAACGCAGCGGCTTGACGAGTAGAAGCGGGACCCAAATCTCGTATCTCGTCAACTTCGATAGATTACATATGGCCGTGCGAGTGCGGCATTTGCGCAGTGAGTCCATACACTTGCTTCTGGGCTGCTGCTCGCTTGCTCACTTGCCCAAAACATGCTCAACAACCTTGGCCATTCTTTCCACGATGAGCTCAAGATCCTCCTTGGTGCAATTGTACGCCGGAGCAAGCATAATTACATCACCATTGACACCATCGGCGACACCTCCGCCTGGCAATATCGAAATGCCAAAGTCTTTTTGCAGACCAGTGGCGTGAATTCTCGCCGCGACCTTCTCCTGCGCAGGAAATGGCTCCATGGTGTTCTTATCCTTGACCAATTCAACCTGCACCACAGTTAGTGTCGACTGCGTCTCAGCGATATCCGCAACTTACACCCCACATAAATCCCCTACCCCGAATATCGCCAACATTCGGGTGCTCAGCCAACTTGTCCCTCAACAGCCCCTCCAGAACCGGCGCCAAACCCCTCACATTCTCCAACAACTTCTCCTCCTCCACAACCTTCTGCACCTCCAAAGCCGCCGCACAAGCCACCGGATGGCCTTGATACGTCTGACTATGCACAAACCCGCCACTCCCCTTCTCCAAGACCTCCACCACTTCCTTCTTGACCAACAAAGCCCCAATCGGCTCATATCCCGCGCCCAACCCCTTCGCCACAGTCTGCAGATCTGGCACAACACCTTCCTCCTGCTCCCAAGCATGCAAAGTCCCCGTCCTCCCCATTCCAGACATGACCTCATCCAAGACGAACAAGATGCCAAATTTCTCACAGACGGCTTTCATCTTCTTCAAATATCCGTTTCCAGGCGGCACAGCACCCAACGTCAATCCTGACATTGTCTCCGCAACAAAAGCACAAACCGTTTCCGGGCCCATTCTCACAACCTCCTCTTCGAACTCTCTCACCAACTCATCCACATACTCTTCCTCCGTCGTCCCATTCTTAGTTCCCCGATAAGGATAAAACGCCTCAACATGTCGCACATTCTCACTGATCAGAATATCCTCATAAATCGCTTTTCTGGCAACATGTCCGCCGACAGCCAAGGCTCCAAGGGTATTCCCGTGGTAAGACTGTTTCCTACTGATGAAATTCTTGCGTTTTGTCGAAGGTCCTTCAAGTTCGATGAAATATTGCCGAGAGAGTTTGAGTGCAGCTTCAATGGCTTCTGTTCCAGAGGAGACGATGAAGGCGCGGGTGAGTCGGTTGTTCGTACTGGCGACCTAGCAGTTCGTGTAAGAACGGTGTCTTGGGAAAAAATGGCTGTGAGATCGAAAAGGCAACGCTGAACTATTCTCTGCTGCCAAGTAGCGAAGAACAAGAACAGCGATACAACTAAACTTTGAGAACCGGGAAATATCGATCTGACACTCACCAACCTCCTCCCCAACTCCTCCGCAACCCCCGTAGCGAAAAACGGACTATAAGCATACGCCACTCCCGTTTCCAATTGCTTGTTAATCGCAGCTTTGACGCGAGGATGATTATGTCCTAGACAAGCTACTGCTGCTCCGCCTGTGGCATCCAAAATCGAGTATCCCGAGTCGGTGTACAAGTAATTTCCATTGGCTGATACGATCTTGGGTGGTGTGGAGCGGAGAGAGGCATGCAGGATAGAAGAAGCTTGGGAAGAGAAGTTTGTCTCTTGTGCGACGGCTGCTACTTGAGCGGTGGTGCCGAGTTGGGTTGGGGAGGTAGTTGGTGGGATGGGATCTTGTTGGGTGAAGGTTTCGGTGGTGGTTTTGGACATTTTGGATTCTTGTGCTGTTCGCGGGGTTCTGGTCCGGAGGATTGCGCTTGTTCTTGTTCCTTCAACGGGGCGACGACTTATAACAATTGATGGTGCCGAAATTTGAAGTTGTTCATACGTTGAAGTGTCTCGGGTGCGAGTGAGGTGTTGTATACCGACTCACCTTCGGATCCGCTTGCTGCTTTCGGCAAATTTGGAGCATTTGCAGAGGGGAGCTTCAGACGTTGTTCAATCAATTGATTGGACTTCACTGACCCCGCTCTCCATGTGTACCTACATTAGATACGCACTTCTCGACTCCAATGCTACGCCCTATGCGCGATTACAACGATTCATTGGCCGCTATTTGCCCTATCTATTAGCAGTAGGGCTACTATTCTGCCGTCCATTTCCGTAAGCGAGCTTCGAGCTTGGCACGTTCTCGATTTCAGTTCTGCTGTGACTGAGCACCGCTCGACCTCACAACCATCATTAATCATTCGGCGCAAATTGTGCGAAGTCCACCGCGCGCAGGCTGAAGATACCATCTGCGTTTCGTGCATGGCCCCCGTCGCCCTATGATGATTTCTTCGAATTCGAGCTCGTGGCTTGGGCCTTTTCCCTCAACTCTGGGCTTGTATCGCCATGTTGCTCGAAATCGGCAGCCATGAGAGCTGCACCACATGTGTTCGTGAAGGTGAAGAGGATACCAGCAAGCGGAATGAGCTCGAGCAAGACAGCCGGGAGACCAAATGCCGTGTAATAGCCTTTACGCGCCTCGACGTACTTCTCCTGCTGGTTGGCGCTCATGCCCTTGAGTTGGAAGTAGCGGGCGTGGAATGCTGGACCACGATTGCGAGCTTGGAGCGTGATGAAAATAGCTGTACCAACTACAGGGATGAAGTTGAGTGGCAGAGAGATCAGGTAGCGCTGGCGAGATGTTAGCGGAGCGTGATCATTAAGAAGTCAAAGCAGGGTAACTTACGACCAATGCAGCTGGCGTGAACTTCTGGAATGGCTTCCTTGCCAACTTTCCAAGTCTCTCGATCGCATCCCCAAATCCAGATGACTTGACCTGACGATCCTTCTCCACGATTGCAGTGTGTCCGCGTGCGACCAAAGTGCCATCGAAGGTGTCGATCAGCGACTCCTCGATGAGAAGGTTCCTTGCGAGGAACATTGTGAGAGTGCTCGACTCCGACAGAACCAGGAGAACGGTCGTGACGACCGCCAGAGGGCCTGACGTGAAGACCAGAACCGCAAGCTGGGGAAGATATGTGAAGAGGAACATGAAGACTGTAACGCCCATGCCGAGGCCCATAGTGGGAAGAAGGCGGTTGAGGAACGGCTTCCATAGTGACTTGTGTGTCCAGAAGTAGAAGATGCCCTGACCTCTTGTTAGGGGGCGTCCATCAGGATTCTCTTTCGTGATATCTGTGTTACCTTCAGCGGGTAGAGGTAAGCTCCAGATCTGACTGCTTCGTTGGCTTGTTTCGACGCAGCTGCGACTTCTTGCTTGGCTGTTTCCTTGAGCTTGTCGGCCATGATGACAACCTTGCGATACTATGAAGCTTGATGTCTGTGAGCTGATGGTGTTTGTTTGTGAAGCAGAAAAGACGACGTTTTCACATGAATGCAAGCAAGGAAGAACAGCAACAACGAAACAGTGACGCGCTCGTCAGTGACGTCATGCCAAGAATGGGCGTATGTGCAGTAGCGCAATATGTCTCAACTCTCCAGCCCAGCGATATCATGTCGAAAGCGCTGGCAAACCACAGAGATGAAGACTGCGTTTGACGACCTACCGAGATCACTATCTGGACCAGTTGGCTGGGTTTATCTGCCAGGAGCACCGCCTGTCCGAAAGAACTGGCTGCGCTGAAGACGCGTCGCATGTTCAAATCGCTTTTCTCCACCTCGTGCCCCAAGTCACGGCGAGGCGCAGGACGCTACAGCAAACAGTGAAGCCTTTTACCGCTCATAGTGACCTGAAGGTGTCTTCGTGACATGTGGGGCTGGTCAAATCGCTTTCCACGGAGGTCGCACGACGTTCTTCGATCATCTTCAGCGGTACTGCTAGCACGCAATGGCGACCAGGGAGTCTGCGCTGGAGGTGCCAGGGCCATCCTTCTCGATTTCAATGGCCGATCTGTGCTCCTGCTATGGGGTTTGGTTTGCTGTGAAAGTGGCTTGCTCCTGGTGAAGGATATGTTCTCGCCTGTGGATGTTCATGATTCGAGGCAGTCTTACAGGCAATGCTTGTCACGGCGTTGACAACTATCCAGTATGCCACTTGCTCCCGATGCTGTGCACCCAAGATCGAGTCGGCCAGGTGCTCATAAGCTCGACCGCGCCTCGTTGCTGACCGGTATGTGGCTTCATGTCGATGCAGCGTAGCGCATCATCGCACAGGATCGCGGAGGCAGCATCCTTAGCGTCTCGAGTTGGCTGGCAGGGCCCAAAGAATCGTGTTATTGTATTCTTTCCCACTAAATGTCAATTGGTCGGTTTTGTGAGACTGCCATGAGATGGAGAAGGCAGAAAGAATGGACACTTCGCTCCGTGTCAAGGTTTGGAGTGAGACTGTTACTTGTTGAGGTAGAGGTCGATAGGGATACAGACGAGAGCGTAGCTTCGTGGAAGGGGATTTCGGGACGTCGCTTCCTCTGCGGCTTACGCCAAGAAGAACGAGAGGCTGATGATGAGAAAGGCACATCCATGCAAAGTCTAACCATCTCAACCTCACCTTTCCCGTTTCTATCCTTCTCGTCCACTGCTCATTGCAGACAAATTGCTTCTGACATCATTGTGGACATGATACAGTACGACTTCGTCGCCGGACATTTCCAAAGTGCGACACCGTCCGTCCGGCCTCGGATGTCGAACTCGCCCGGCGCTTGCAGCAGATCAACGCCTGCCAAGAAGTTGCAGAACAGTGTCACTTCATACCACGACTTTGTGATATGGATTGAAGACCCGCTGACTACTGCTCGTCCCTTTCAGTGATCGCCAGCAAAGAGTTGAATGGCGACTCAAGCTGTGTTGGGCGGCCTAACAGTGGCGTGGAGATTGGCTCAAGTAGCGCTCCACGATTCCTTCAGAGCAGCCACTGCTTCCAGCTCATCCTTGGCAGGATTCCAGACGAGGGCTGAAAACTCACAGGACAGCTTGAACGTTTCACGAGTGGCGACTTGGTGGATTTCGACGTGTAACGCTCGCCCGCCATCGCTTCTGCCGACCGAAGCGGCTGCGTGCGTTCGCAATGCAGGATGATGCTTTTTGACGGATTTACCCCTCAGCTTTGCCGGGTTTTCCCAGGACGGAGACTTTGATCTTCTAGCAGCACGCCATGGTAAGTGGCTTCGGTCGATGGACTGTAGGCCCTAACAGGGTGGCGATGGACCTGCTGCTTGTAGGAGCGATCAGCACTGCTGACACTTGAAGATTCTGGCTTGCCGTGAGTCAAAGTAGAGGACCGCGTAACAGCATCACCATGTGGCACGTTGCATGTGGATCGTCAGAGCGAGCTCGCAGCGCTCGTGGTGTGTGGGCTTCCTTGCAGCTGAAGGCATCAGAGATAGTGCCGATGGGCACGTACATATACTCCCCTCTCACCTCGATCACGTCAACTCTTTGCCGAGCACGTCAGTCTCTCTACAACCAATCATTGACTCCCTCAACACTTATTTTGAAGAAGTGAAGTCGAAAGAAGCGCAGCCACCATGTCCATAGGCGATGAAGCGACGGCCCGAAACGGTGCACAGCAGCACCGTGGGCCTCGACGCTCTATGCTCATTACGATTCCGAGATCTTGCTCCAACCTGCTTGTAAGGATTCTTGCGCTCGATAAGCAGGAGAATGTCAAACATGGTGGATACCATTTCCTCGGGGCCATGGTTCACCACGCGAATGAACACACCATCGACAATGCCCCAGAGACCTGGACCGACGAGCAGAAGATAGCGATCCACGAACTATTCGCAGCGAGTATTGCCAGCCTCGAAGAAGATACCCACTTTAACAACGACACCCAAGTAGCGTTCACAAAAGAACACTGTAACACGTTCATCGAGCCCACAGCCATCTCCCGCTTCGTCAACGGTGAACCCAAGAATGGCGAACCCAAAGCCGCTCCTCTTCGCTGGTCTGTTCCTGGATACGAATCTCTCTACTCGGAGCTAAACGAAACCGTGATGCCCGACGCCTACCTTCTTTCCTGGAGACCAGTATTTCTCATCCGCCACCCAATCCGGGTCTTCGAATCTGCTCTTCGAAACATGACCAACTTATTCGAAGAATGCGCCGAAAGCTTGACCAAAAACTCCACCGACTCATCCAAAAAGGCAACAATCGACTCAAACACAACGTACAACTTCCATCGCTCACTCTACAACTTCTACGTTAGCCATGGCGTCCGGCCCATTGTCGTCGATGCAGACGATCTTCTAGTCAATCCGAAGGGCATCACACAGAAGCTGGCTCTCCAGATCGGGCTTGATCCGGAGAGGCTACAATACGAGTGGAACCCAGCGAGTCCGGACGAGCTGAAGCAGAAAGAGATACGTATGAGGATCATGCTGTCGAGTTTGGACGCATCAAAGGAGATTACGACGGATAAATTGGGTTCGACAGCTGGATCGCCGGAGGAGATGATGCCCGTTTGGACAGCGAAGTTCGGAGAGGCGAAAGCACTGGAGTTGAGGGAGAAAGTTGAAAAGGCTATGCCGGATTATGAGTATTTGTGCAAGAGGAGGATGATGGTTTGATGAGAGCGGCGAATTCGACTTCGACTTTATTGTTAGTACTTACTTCGGCCTGCTTTTGGTGCTCGCTTCAGCCGTTATGTCTGTAGTAGTATGCAGCAATCATACTCATCAATCCTTCACTCCACAATTTGCCGACGAGCCGATGCCTGTCTACGGCACCATCGCTACTCTACTCCGTGCGTTGTATCTTTTACGCAGCGTCTCATTGCCATCTGGTTTTTGGTCGTGCGTCTGTCTTTGCCTATCGCATGAGACAAATACAATCAGTGAATTTTCTGTCTTTAGCAAACCGCTGTCACAAAATGGAATAGCCTTGCCTATACAAACACGATCATTTCTTTATCGATCAACAGTCCACTATCACCACAACATTGAAGATCCAACATGACCTGCCGCAGCAACTCGCCACGTGCAGTCTCGTGGCAGTATATTACTTCTTGATCCAAGATTGTCATCACAACTGTCGACCAACTCCAAGCTCATACTTTAGCGAGCCAAGATTTCTTGTCAAAGATTGTGGCGTTGCAATAGCTATAAGAGCACCCAATAGGCTTTATCGCTGTGAGAACGTGGTTTACCTCAATAGCATGCCCTATGGCCAATCTCAAAGATCTGCACAATTTCTAGCCTGGAATGGCGTAGTTGCAAGCCGTCTCGTATTTTTCTTGATGTATAGCTGGATGGTATAGAACGTGGTATAGTGTAGGCGGGGTGATCGAGCTCAGAGGTGGATTATCGCGTGGCTTGTGGAGAGGAAGAGAGTATATAATAAAAGATGCATGGACCTTTGTCGTGGAACTGGAGAAGTGGCAGGGCAGTTAGTCAACGAACAATTCAAACCAGATCCACCTGTCACCATGAAGCTCAATATCATCTTCGCCCTTGCTGCCGCAATCGGCCTCGTCAGTGCTCAAGGATGCACGAACCCACGATGCAGAGACAACGGGTGAGAGAAGACATTCCCATCTGTTTCAACGCCTTGCTTGTCAGGTTATGGCACATTGATGTCGACCATGCTGACTCTCTGGATCCAGACCATACTGCCAGGCAGTCTGCAGCGACTACTGCCAAGCGACATCGGACATCTATAGTGGCGGAAGATGCGTTGCGGGAACAGGAGATGGTCCAAGGTTTTACTGCAGATGTAATAGGAGGTAGATGGCGAAAGAGACGATGGGAGCTCCCGAGACATGAACACTGCGAAGCCTGGCATGAAAGCGACGGAAAACAGGAGATTTCGTAGCTTGTGTAGCGATCATAGGTCTCAAGTGATTAGAATCTGCTCAACTCATGTCATTGTTTCTTCGTTAGGCATAGCTGCGTCGCTCGTATACTTGACGTCCATTCTCTACACGGCCGCGAGCACAAGAGCGCCAATGCCCAGGAATGCTGCTTGGACACGGTTTTCGTACCGACTTGCCGCTGCGGCAGTGGAAGTCGCAGCACCATCGCTCGTGGTAGCCGTTGCAGTTATCTCCGCCGCAGCACTGCTCACCACCGACGTAAACTCCTCATCAGATCTATCACAAAAGTCAGCAACAAACCTATCACCAAAGCCCAACTCAGTACTCACCCAATCCTTCCCCCATCCAACACCCTCACCAACTCCCTAAACCTCGGACTCCCCAACCCAGTAACAGCATCCCACCCCTCCGTCGTATTATACCCCAAAACCTTCTCCAGCATACAACCCTGAGCCGCGGAACAAGCTCCAACATTCTCCCCTCCTTTCACGATATCCTTCAATCCCGTGCCATTTAAACTATACAGCCAAGGATTCAAGAACCCGAGTGGAGGTCTCCCATGAAAAGCCTCATAGTCATTCAAAAGACTTATGATTGCAGCCCATGTGGGCGTCGAAGCCGAAGTTCCACCGATGGGTAACATAAATCCATCGACGAATGTCGGATACTGTGTACTGAAAGCTGCGACATCGGGGTATCCTCTTCCGGAAGAATTGAATCCAGATTCGTTTTCATATGTCTTCGGAACGTATTGATCGATGTAGCTTTGTACTTGATTCGCCTGATACCGCGGTCTTGCAAACAAATTCGAGAAGCCTCCTCCGCTTGCTGTGATCGCTACACTAGAAGCTATCGGGATTGTGCCATTGACAGCAGCTTCTTCATCTCCGATGTTCGTCGTGCCGCCTACAGCTGTGACCCAGGGACAACTTGCTGGGAATTTGGGCTCGAAGATTGTTTTATGTTCGCCGCCGGCTTCTTGCCCGTTGGCTCCGTTGTTTCCGGTTGAGAATAGAAGGCTTACGCCTCGAGCTCCGATTTGTGCCATCATGAGACAGAGTCTTCTGGCGTAGTCTGGATCGAAGAGGTTCTCGTTTGCTGATTCTGTGATGCTGATCACGGATGGGACTGTCTCATTGGAGAGGAGTTGTTGCAGGAATGTGACAAAGTTGTCGTAGGTTTGGCCTATTTCTGGACCAAATACTCCGCCGTAGTTGTAGAAAATTCCATTTTGGACTTCAGGGTAGGCGAGACCGAGGAGCGCTTGGGTTCCTAAGGATGTCTCGAATTTGGCTGCGATGCCGGGATCAGGTACGCCGCCGGATCCCACGAGTTCGTAGCTGGCGCTGGCTTGAGCGGCAGCTGGATTGTATTCTCGTAGATAGGCTTGCAGATCGGAGTTGTTGAAAGAAGCGCTTTCGGTCGCGTAGACTGCGAAAGTCGTTCGGTTTGGTTGGGCCGTGTAGTTCAGTCCGTCGAAGTTGATGTCGTAGACTCGGCGAATGCAGCTTGGAGTAGCCAGGCCATCGGCACCTGTGCATTCCGTATTATTCTGTTGTCTCTTGAAGATGTGGCCGGATCTTCTGAGCAGTTCCTTGGCGTGCTCCTGTTGCTCTGCATCTCCAGGCTGTGGGAAGCTCGTCGTGGGCGTCACAAAGTCAATGCAATCCGCGACAGCCTTTGGAAGATGATAGAGCTCTGCGCGATTGATCTCTTTCCAGCCATCTGAGAAGGTTGAGTACGTCGTGTTGAGCAGCTGCTCTGCTTGTTGTATCGTGGTGTCGATCTCAAAGATTCCACCGAAGAGTGATGCCTTTTCCAGTAAGTCGTGCTCCCAAAGCCACTCCTCGACTTCGTGAACATTTTCTCGCGTAGGTTCCGATAGTCGCGCTGCTTCCTCCGCCGAAACATGCTGTCGAAAGCTCGGACTGTTTGGATCTGATGCGAGAGCAAGTTGTCGCTCTATCGCCTCTCCATCATCGGCATGGCGCACAGCAATGTGAAGCTTGATCGAATTGTCTTTTGGAGTCAGCGACCGACGTTCCCAACCATGGTTTGTTGGCGCCCTCTTTTGTACAATCGCACAGGACGCGTCCAGTATGAGAGTCGCTGCTGCCAGCAGCGTCGCGCGTCGCATTTCGTGAGGTAGTCAGAACTGTCTCGAAGAAAAGGAAACCACGTCTTAGCAACCACCAGCGCTTACCGTTCCGCTGCCACTGCGACGCCTTTGTAGCAGAGGAAATCTATCAGAACGACATGTTGGAAGCCATGTCATCGTCAGCGAGACATGGTCGCATCCTGCCGCGAGCTGAGATGAGGTCGGCGGCGGTGGAAGGTTCTGGTGTTGCTCTGTCAGATGTGATTGGTCGATGTCCCTGGAAGCAAATCACCCCATGGTCTGGAGTACCAGGTCGCTGAAACGGTCTATGCTCTGCATAACATAAGTGAAAGTGAGCGGGTCGCGCAATAATCCAGTCTGTTACTGGCACATGCTCATTCTATGTCTACTCAGAACCAGGTTGACTCTATTCCAACTTCCTCCTAATAAAATGATATCTCGTCCACCCATCAATCTCATCAGTATACTCTTCCCTCACAAGCTCATACTTTCCAATCTTAGGCAAAACAACAGCCCAAATGAGCCAGTAAAGACCCCCGCCTCCGATAATCGCCCATCCCACAATGCAATGCAAATAATATGGCAGAGTCTCGTAAATGCTGTTGCCTTCGGTGGGTGGCACAAAAGGCGCAATGACAAGGTAAACATTGCTAAGGAAGAAAAAGACCGCAACAGGGAGCGTAGCCTTGAACGGAGGATTCCAGTCCCAGGTTTGTCTGTGGAGGTATAGCCAGATGAGTCCGAGCGCGACGAACGTGTTGACGATTGCGAGAGGGTAGCTGATGACATTGAGGATGAAGTTATAAGCGTCGCCAGGTGGAGGACCCATCATGATGATGACGGATACGAGCCAGTGCTCGAAGAGACCAGCGAGAGGGGCGTTGAAAGGTCGGTTGCTTGCCCAGAAGCGGGAGAATGGGAGGATGCCTTCTCGTCCTAGTTCTTGTACCAATCGACCTTGCGAGAAGATGACAGAAAGAACGTTGCCGAAGGCTGAGAGAGCGACAAAGACGGACATGGCGCGTTCTGCTGATTCGCCGAACATGTTGCGGAAGAAAGTAGCTGCTAGGATGCGCTTTGATGCGAGGATTTCGTCTTTGGGTACTGCGGCGAAGTAGGCGATGTTGACGAGCATGTAGAGGACACCGACGAGAATGAGCGCGGTTGGGGCTGCGATCTTCAAAGTCCTGATTGGGTTCTTCGTTTCGCTGAGAGCGTAGTTGGCGTTGCTGTATCCGATGTAACTCCAGATGACGTTGTATAGAGCCGTCACAATTCCGTATGCAGATCCAGTCGTGCCCTCGAAGGCGTTGGTGAAGTTGCTCGGGCTTGGTTTATCTGCCTTCATGGCACCACCAAGAGCAGCCCAGCCGGAGACCACGATGATTAGAATAATGATCAACTTGATCGTGCCGAGCAAGTTTTGCAGTCGCAGACCCCACTTGAGCGCCAGACCGTGAATCAAGAATGCGGATGTAATGCAGGCCAGACCGACACCACGCTGGTTCCACCGGTTGACCTCGACATTTGCAGCTGTAAGGATGTATTCGCCAAACACAACAGAGTTCGATCCTGCCCAACCGAGAAGAATTACATAGCCAGTATAGAGACCGGTCGCAAGGAATTTGGGTTTCCGGAAGACGTGTTCGAGGTAGTTCTTCTCACCACCGTTCCTGTATTCTGTCAGTCCCCATCACCCACTCCTTTCGCACATTGTCACCTACTTTGGGATTCCTGTTCCGAACTCCAAGTAGACGGCCATACCAGCAGCTGCGATCAGCATACCAGCGAACCACATGAAAAGCGCCAAGCCGACAGAGCCAGTCTGAGAAAGGATACCAGAAGGTGTAGCGAAAATTCCCGTGCCAACCATTCGGTTGAAAATGAGGAAGGCCGCGGAGACGACGCCGATCTGTCGTTTTGATTGTTGTGCAATGCCAGATTCATCGTCTGCGTCAAGTCAGTAACTCACGAAGCGATGAACAATCCACCGTCACTCACGAGCTTCGCTGACAGTGCCATAAACCTTCTTTGCAGAGCGATCAATACTGCTGTCCTCCGCAACAGTAGCGGAGTCATCGTCCGTTCGGTGCCAATTGAGAATGCCCATCTTGACCTTATTGCTGCTGCTAGCCCAGGCCACTGGTATGCTGTAACACTACCAATCCCAGTGAAAGTCAAGCAAGGAGTACTGCAGACTTAGTGGGTATACCACTACCTTTTGTCTAAGAACAATTAAGTAGTCGCCATACCAGACATCGGTGGCATCATTGCAATCCTACGGAGAATTGACACAATTATATGTCTCGGCAGGCAGGAGCGCTCAACTATTTCGGTGGCGTCGACTCGGTTTTGCTACCAGGTGCGTGGAAGACAAGGGATTGGTGTCTAGTCTCGGCGTTCCATTGGATTGTTGGGTCGAGCACGCCATACAGAACTTTTTCTTGGCATCCAACGGGCCGTCGGGGATCTCGCGTCTGCCACGTGGTTTATTGTGGTGATGCGGCTACGCCGGCGACATGTTCGCATGTCCAGACGGGGATAGAAACGGAGCACTTACTAGTGATGGAGAGACACTGTCTGGCAGACTTTGCGGCTGGTGGCATAGAGATGTTTGAAGGGCGCTCGGTCCGATTCCAGTAACCATAGGAATATGCCAAGCCAATACATGAGATCGAAGGGCAATTGTCTGACCTGCTGATCGCCAGACATGAGACTTATGCCGATGCTAAACGCAGGCGATGTCCCGTGGGTTGAGCCTGGGGGCAAGAAGGTGAGCGAATTGTTGCACCTCCCGTGTGGTCCATGTGTTCCATTGCTTCACAACGCCTGCCTCTTCCGCCCACTCGAAACCTTGTTCTCTTTCAAGGCGCAGTCACAGTCTCGGGGCGACGAAGATATCTGGGCGAGTTGGCTGACTGCACATTTGATCGAAATCTGAATTCACTCCAAATACACTCCTGTCTCTCTGGGCACACTGTCGCATGAATTGCCAAGCTGGAGATCGAATATTGGATCGGCGTCCAACTCCGACCTGCCCAATTCGGGTCCGTACCTCCGGGTAGAACGAAGTGGTTGAATTGGACACTCCCGTAGGGGTGTCACAGGCAACGAGAAGCTTCAAATGATCAAAGGATTTGTATGGGCCCCTCGGCAACGATGACCTATGAAATGTGCGAGTCAGCAATCTAGGCTGTGGAAGCAATTCAGCACAACATCGAACACCATTCTTGTGAGCTGCGGAAGCGACGGCCGTCAGCGCTGCATGCGACCAGATGTACCTGATCGCCTCCACCAACAGAGCAACAAGCGTATCACTGGAGGCGTGGCCGCAGGTCTGGGATTGCGATGGTGATTTGTGCTCATAAGCGAATCGCTTTCTGCGTGGTTGGTTCGCAGGTGGGTGCCATTGGACAAATTGCGGCGTTGCGAGATGAGCACCCCTCTTTCATTGCGCCGGTAGCTTGGGCTTTGTCGCATATACAAGTATGCCCTTATGGTATGCATGGTATTTCCTCTTCACCCAATCCTTGCGCACAGCAGCCACGAAGACTTGCACTTCTTCCAATTTCCAGCCCAGGATTCTGGTGAATGGAGCCACTGTAAATCCTTCCAGGCCCTCCAGGTAGTTCAAGCAGCTGTACCGTCCTATCTCTTTCCACTTCGGATCCTTCGGCCAGTCGTTCGAGGGCCTCTTGATAACCTCCGCGTGCACGTTCTCGAAGCCCTGCTGCTCCAGCAATTCTTTGTATTGGTCTGCGGTGAGCGGTACCCTGCCCATCTTTCGAAATGCTTCATTCAGATAATCACCCCATTGCATGATGGAGCAGTCTTCTGGCACCGAGCCATCATCGCAAAATGTCCCAAGCTCCATCTCCGCCAGCTCGAGGCTGCCTCCGGGTTTCAGCGCGTTGAATACCCGTTTGTAGAATTCGGGTGGATCCGATATGTGGCCGACTAGGAAGCGATGGTGGATCATATCAAATCGATTGTTGCCAAACGTCCATTCGTTTTCGAAGTCGTCGATCTCGAAGCGGCAGTTGGGTGGTACCCATGTCGGTTGCACGGGACTTAGATCGGTTCCTATGATCTGACAATCGGGGTACTGGTCCGCCATCTCCATGCCTATAGTAGTCAATAGAATGTGAGCGTATGTTCTGAATATTCAATGCGACCCGACTTCTGCCTTTGGTCATCCCAGACCTGCAGAGTTTCATCCGCTCGCAGAGAGTGCTTGGGCAGGGGCGATGTCTAGCAACTGCTTCACGTACACCATATTCCAGTGCCTGTCCCGATATCTAGAATCTCTTTAGGTTCATCCACTAGAGGGCACTTGTGTAGCTTCCCATCCAGCTGTAACTTCTGATTATGGTGCTCCAAATCTTGCCGGTCCAGCTCTTGCTCATCGTTGGGAAAGAAGTACTTTCCAGCTTGATAGGCATGATATCGGCGACCATTCTCGTATTGGTATCTGGTGACTGCGCTGCTCATAGACGTGCTGCTGCTTGCCACGGACTCTCGATCACCTCCAAAGGTACTGTCGTGCTCGACCGCATCATCGGCTTCCATGTTTCTGCCGGCGTGAAGGTGTTCTGTGACGGTTGCGCTGTGTCTCTTTCGAGGGGATCCCGCGTAAATGAAGACTTCGTCCAACTCGTGACAGGCCTCGTTACATATGCTGCGTCGTAGTGGGTCGCGGGGACGCCGGTGATGTAGAATAAATGCTCGATGTCCTCCACCCCCGTCGGCACATGTTGGCGGATGTCTTCACACTTCCAATGACAGACGCAGCCTTGCCGCGCCGATGCAGGCTGTCAATGGTCGAAATGGCTTGCGCACGAGGCCCATGCTGCGCTCGGCGGTGTCGTGGTCGTTCGTTCGCCCGCGTGAAAGCTTGCTACAGAAGCCACCCACATCGTGTCTCGAAGCTAGGAAGTGTGCCGGAGTTAGTGTGCCGAGGGCGGCGCACTCGGTCGGAGGCAGTCGTTACCGTGGGCAAGACACAGTCGATTTGACATATCGGAACCACTCCACGACTGCCAGAAATAGGACGGAGACAGCTGCGCTCCATCCGCCAGTCCGCGATGCTTTAGAGCATTTGTCAATGTTCGACACCTTTCACGGCCGAGACTCTTCACCAACAAGATGCACAAATCGCCAAGACTTGTGAGGAATGTCTGCCGAGTGCACCCCACTCGCTAGCCAGATGCTTCGCCAGCTGCAGAGCGTTCACACAGCACGGCGTGATGAGTCTTCCCCACGGTCTCTTCCAGGGCATTGCATTAGCGCTCAAGGTCTCAACACCTCTATCGGATGTGCCAGCGAGCCCGATTCGTCTGCCAGGAGGACGCTTTACTGCGGTCATGTTCCCGCGAACGACAGTTGGCTGCCTCAACGTCGACCTTCAACATGAGCCTGAGACCACCTGCAAAGCTAGCGAACGGTCTTGCTAGCTGCATAGGCGAATGTGTGCCCCTGCGGCACAGATACTCCTTCGACTGAGGCACGCAGTTGGTAGAGGGTCTCTGCCACGGCTACCTCATGCCACTTCCTCTCATACGTGACTTTCATATACCTTGTGCATCGGAACTGCACAACAGGGGAGTCTGCAAAAGACTTCCGATCCATACTACGCTACCCAGTGCCGAACCGGCGCACTCGCAACCCTCTTGCCGAAGGCAACCGTAACCACCACCATGGCGCAGATTCTGGGTTGCCACTTGGTGGGTAGCGTTCCCCTCCCAGACACTGAAGCAGTGTTCCGACAATGTCTTGCGGCCCTCCCAGGACGTCTGAAACGCATTCCCGATGGCGAAACTGGCGTTCGGCACATGTTCACTACCTGGCAAGCCGAGGTGTTCAATGCATATCCTCCCATGAAGACCCGCTGGGTGAACGACGGAGTAGTCAACGGACCCATCCAAAGTGACGAATTCACACCCGAGCAGATCGACGAAGGTATCAAAGCGATCGAGAGCACAACTTTGGAGACTGGTTATGACAAGGCGGCTATCGAAAGCTATGCCGTCTTCAAGAAGCTTCGTGACGAAGGAGTGATTCCTAAGGGAGTTCGGCTGCAGGTCTGCATACCTACCCCGGCCAATACCATTTTTCCATTTGTGCAGAAAGCGTTTCAGGCTCGGATCGAGCCGATCTATGAAGCAGCTCTGCTCCGCGCAATGCGGAACCTGCAGGACGCCATCCCGCATGAGGATCTGGCTATTCAAATAGATATTGCAGGAGATACCGCCTTCTGGGAAGCCACGAATCCTAATACTGTCGCCAAGGATAATGGACTGGAATGGTTCAAGCATTGGTGGGAGGGCGATGTGAAGACCTACCAGATTAATTACATCGTTCGCCTGATCAGTGCGGTAGACGAGGATGTCGAGGTGGGACTACACAATTGTTATGGTAAATGATACCCGCCCACGCCCAGGAACGTTACTGATGAGTATTATAGGTGACATCGATCACAGGCATTGGCACGAACCAGCTTCTCTTGCCGTCGTTGTGGAGAGAGAGATCATGGTGAGGAAAGCTGCGCCACGCAAGATAAATTGGACGCACATGCCCGTACCCAAATCCGCTGTCGAGAGACCTGAAGTCGGACTTGACAAATACCTGGCTCCACTGAACGAGTTGCGTCCCCTGCTCGAGAGAGATGGAACGGAATTATATTTGGGCGTTGTGCATGAACATAAACCAGAGTTGACCAAGCAGATGATTGATGCTGTTGAGAAGGTATCGCCTGGGTTGAAGTTCGGAGTTGGAACGGAGTGCGGAGGTGGTCGAATGACTTGGGGGCCATTTGAGGATGCGCTGAAGATATCTGCGGATGTTTCGAGTCCGGTATTGTGAGAATGAGAGCTTGATGATGTTGACGGCCGAAGGCCTTGATCTGGCATGCAACAAAAGGTTACCGATGTACATACGTGGGTGATCCAAATATCAATACACCTGCTGATGACGGCAGTCTTGTTCTTGCAAGTCATCATCACCATAGCATAACAGCACTCTCCAGTTCTCACATTCGTATACAATTCAAGATACAAAAGAATGCATTCCCGCAGCTCTTGCCCACTCTCCATTGCTGTCATCGCAGCACCACAGCTCGGTCTCTACTCCCCCGAACCGCTTGGCATGTCTGAAAAGCTGAAAAGCTACCGCACAAACGCAAAAAGAATGCCTCCAGGCTGGATTGACTGCGATTGATATTAGGCGATGCTCGGTTGAATGCATGATTCAGTGGAAGAACTTACACAACCGACCTTTGCATTGACTGGATACAAGGTATACAAGTGCAACGCTCTCTGATTGGACGTTAGTGGATGTTTGATGGTTGAACTGATGGTTCAAGAACTTACACCACTGAGCTATAGAGGCTTGCTTCGATGAGTAAGCACAATTTGTAATTGTTAATGTACGTCTTAACTTGGGTTTAGCCAGCTGAAAGAGCTAGATTGAAAAGATGCTTTTGGCTGACTAGTCCCCTGGGAACGAAAGGGATCGTGCTTTCAAACGGGACTTCGTGATAGTGTGTTGCAATAAGCGTCTATCGATGTCCAACGAAGGAAGTATGCAAATGATGAGCAAAATATGTGTGCAGCGTACCGTAGCAAACCATTCGCGCTTGCGATTGCGATGAGCTGCAATTGCCTCAGGCACGACTCCCTCATCCCACTTCAACATGTCCCGCACTTGCTCATGCGCAACAGCCTCGAACACCACACAACCCAAACAATTCGCCCAACATGTCCGACGCCGATCTCGACGCAATCCGACAAGCACGTCTCCAACAACTTCAACAATCCCAAGGCGGTGGTGGCGGTGGTTCCTCCGCAGGCGGCAACTCAGAAGAGGACTCCCAAAAGTACACTCTTCTACCCACTCTTCCTCTTGACTTCACCCACTGACTTATTTCTTCTAGACGTGCCGCAGCCGAACAGAAACAATCAATCCTCTCACAAATCCTCGAACCTTTCGCTGCCGATCGCCTCAACCGGATTCGAATGGTCAACGCACAGCGCGCCGAAGATGTGGAGAATCGACTTATTATGCTTGCGAGGAGTGGACAATTGAGACAAAGGGTTACGGAGGAGCAATTGAAGGATATCCTAGGAGCTGTGGCGAAACAACAGGAAGAGCAGGGAGGTGGTTCTGGTGGAGTGGGAAAGGTTGTGGTGCAGAGACGGAAGGGTGGATGGGATGATGATGATTTGGACGATCTGTTGAACGAGGATTGATCACTAGGACGTGCAAGGCGATACGATGCTCTGAAGCTGCATAAGTAAGAGAATGGCTTTTACGACTCTCCAGCCAGAGGCGAGGAACCGTGTTGGAGTGGGGGCATGCAGCAAGACTTCGTACGCACGAGGAGATGGGAGCTGAGCGCGCCCGCCACACGATGCTTCCTGTCGAATGCCCGTCACCAGATGTCACAGCGTTACTAGCAAGGGTCACGATGAAGGGAATGCCGAAAAACGCACAGAATGATGACCGAACCGATACCAGCCGGGTTGATGTTCTCTATTTGAGTTTGAGAAAGGCATCCAGCGCCTGCTCAATCTGCTCCCACCGAACATTCAGCCAGAATACCGCACCCGCATCTGCACTTCCCTTTGCCGGCTCTAGCTTTGCCAACTCTGCAAGTTTCTCCCTCGCCTGGTCACGACACCCTGTCAACAACGGCCTCAGCCACTTCTCGACATTACCGCTTTGATCGCTCGTCATATCCTCGCCATTAAGCATAAAATACTCCCACTCGTTGGCTGTGAGTAGTTCCGCTCGCACAGCGACTTGTGTTCTGAAGCAGATCTCGGGCTGTACACGATGTGACGAGGCCGGGAACAAGGTATATGAACCCGAATATCCGACATCCTGAAGCTGGGACTTGGTGCTTGGAGATAGTCGGGAGTCAATAATGTGATCGAGACGAACATCATCGTCGGAGGGCGCATCTGGTGGAGACGAATTCACGAAGCCGTAATGCACGAGGAGCTTATCATTGGGATGGGCACCGTACGTGGCGAGGATCTCGGTGTTGGGTTCTGAAGATGGAGCCCATCAGTATGAGCATGAATTCACAGACGACTCTAACGTGAAGCGTATCGCTCACCTATACCTAACTCCCCTAGACAGAGTTCGCTTCGCGCACGCAATGGAACAGATGTGAATGAATGGAAAGACTCGTACTCACCATAGTCCCTATCAGCAGTAACCTCATAGCCCTTGGGCGTCTGCCTCACGTTGACTCCTGTCCCACTCGGTCCATGATTCATATAATCGATAAATGGGCACAACACCATAAACCCAGGCTTTGCGCCTGGGGGCTTGAAATGAAAGCTCCGGCTGTTCACGATCGCCCAGTAATACTTGAAGTCCCGTTCTGTCCAATCCGGATGTAACCGCAGCATAGACTTGAAGTCCCGATCATAGTCCTCTCGCATCCTTTCCAGCGGCTGCTGTACTGACGGTGGCAGGTGAGAAGCTAAATTCTTGGGCCAAAATAGCGGCATGCTGCTTTCGAAATCTTCTCGTATGGGCCAAGTTGATTGCCAGAGGTGATACGAAGAAGAGGGGTCTTGACACGCGGACATTATGCTGATTGCGAGCTGAGCTTGCGGTGAGACGCTTTCGGGGAAGGCTTTGGATTTGATACTTGTTACAAGAGGTTTGAACATGGCCTTTTCGGGAACGAAAATTATCTGTGTGTCCTTTTTGATTGGGGCTGTAGTGAGGAGGCCGACGCCGCGGCCAGGGATGACTGCTGGGGCGACGGAGGTGATCTGGACGCCGCGAGACTCGGCCCATGATGTGAAGAGACTGTGCTTGTTGTCTTCTGGAGAGGAGGGTGAAAATTGAGCTTGTGCTTGCTGAGCGGATGAGGTCCGGCGGCGCTTTTTGGCAGGCGCCATGACGGAGTAGTCAATTGTGGATTTGGAACGAGCGAATGCAAGTGAATAGCAGCAATTTGTACACAAGATTGTTCTCGTGATTGTGTTCAATTTGTGCATGCACAACTGGAGAAGGAGCCAGTGAGCTCATCCTTGCTGCCTCGTCTCGAGGTACCAGAATTTCCATCACCAAAACCCAATCCACGCGACAACATTCGCGACTTCGCCATTCCACTCACAAAAATCCCCAAACCTGCCGCCGAAATGGAATCAATACAACCGCAAATCGAGGACCTAATCACAAACATCGACGACCTCGAGACCGCGCTTCAACCCATCATCAAAACCGCTCTCAGTGCAACCACCTCGAAACTTCCTCTTCTCGACAAAGCGAAGCTCTACGTCCTCGCCACATACGCGATCGAATCAATACTCTTCTCCTACCTCCGCCTCAATGGTGTCGACGCGAAATCACATCCGATCTTCCAAGAACTCACGCGCGTGAAAGAATACTTCAACAAGATCAAGACCGCTGAAGCGGCAGGAGTGGGAAGCAAGAACAAACTCGATAAGGACGCTGCTGGGCGGTTCATCAAGGCGGGCTTAAGCGGGAATGATAGGTATGACAGGGAGAGGAAGGAGAGGCAAGACAGGGAGAGGGCTGGCGCGAAGAGGAAGTTGGAGAATATTGCTGTGGGGACGCATACAAGATTTGATGGGGCTGCGAAGAGAATAAGAAGTCAAGAGGGAGAAACGGTGGGTGTGGTGAAGGCGAATGAGGTGGAGGAGAGTGATGCGACGGGGCAGGAGTCGAAAGAGGGAACGCCGGTGCCTGTGAGGTCAAAGAAGGGAAAGAAGAAGAAGTCGAACAAGGGCTGACAGTGCTCGATGGATTAGCAAAAGGTGTGCTTTCTGTACCGGCTGAGTGAACACATCGCTCTAATGCTCGAGACAGCTCGGGATCTTTGAGGCCACTTACAGGTCGTTGGGTACCGCGAGTCGAATCCGTCATCCCTATCGAACCACAGCAGTCTGACCAGCAACGCTCAAGCGAATTTTGGATTCAAACGTGGATTTCGTAGAATTTTGACGCCCACTGCTTGTGGCGTCGATTCCATGTCGCTTCTGAGCAGCATTATTGAGCGATTGGGGCCGCCCACCATATCGGGACCCCCCACTGCCCCACGGCTGACGGGCACCTCTCGAGACCTGCCTTCAGCTTGCTTCGCAACATGGCATCTACCGGATAGCTGGATTCGAGGGCACTCTGCCACTTCTTTCATTGCACTCGAAGCTCAAATTCGTTATCAGCGAGATGTGGCTACTCGACGTGAAGACCAGAAAGCCCGTCTCTTTTCTCGACGATCGGCAAGCGGCCGGGAAATATGCCATACTGTCACACACATGGGAAGATGACGAAGTCACTTTCTCGGACGTACACTATCCAAAGGCACGGCTTATGAGAGGCTACGCTAAGATCGAGTATACCTGTCGTCAAGCCGAGAAGGATGGACTCTTATACGCGTGGATAGACACTTGCTGCATCAATAAAGATAGCAGCGCCGAACTCTCAGAATCCATCAATTCCATGTTTCGCTGATACCAGAACTCGGCTGTGTGTTATGTGTATCTGTCGGATGTGGCCCTGGAGTCAGAAGTTGATGCAGCTACGCCCAGGCCAGAGATGACATCGTGTCACACGAAAGTGCAACGCCTGTCAGAGACACTTCGCAGCTGTCGTTGGTCGACGAGGGGATGGACACTGCAAGAAATGATTGCCCCGCAGACCCTGCACCTTTTCGACTGCAACTGGCATCTAATTGGAACGTTATGTCCGAGCGAAGGGGATGCGATGACCGCTCGTGTGCTCAGTCAAATCACTGGCGTTGATTCATGTCTGCTGGAAAAGAAGGTCTCGCTCGATGAGTATTCTGTTGCACAGCGTATTTCATGGGCTTCGAGGCGAGCAACAACACGTGTCGAAGATGTCGCCTATTCTCTTCTGGGTCTACTCGGAGTCAATATGCCGCTACTATACGGGGAAGGCAACAGAGCGTTTCTGCGGCTACAAGAGGAACTCCTGCGATCTACGATGGATCGCTCCATTTTGCTCTGGAAACCCCACGCGCTTAAACATATCCACACGCTCTTTGCCCCCGATGTTTCTTGTTTCGCGTGCGACGTATTTGACTGGCAAAACTTGCGCGGAGTGACACACACTGACAATATTCTTACGAACCGGGGCTTGCGGACGACTATGAGCTGCATGCAACTTGCTTGGAGCAACTACATAAGGGCGAGTCCGGGCACCTCGCATCCCAACGAGGGATCTCCGCGCACCACGATGATGCTGCGGCGTATCAGTCAACCAGAAGCAGAGCATCCTACAAGTGTTCCAAGTATTCCGGCATTCGAGGTCGTCCGCGCACCCGAGTTCCGCGTCAGACAAGAGGAATTGAGCGAGGCTGGGCAGAGCTGGACTCTACAAGAGGTGGTTCTTCTACGCGAGTCTCAAGACTTCATATACTACCTGGACGTGGACGATCGTCTCGAAATCAAACTTATGGATCACAAAGGCACATTCAGGCAATTCGAGGAAATCCGGTGTCGAAGCCCGCTGCAAGCACTCTATGTCAAGGACCTCAAGACACATTCTCGTCATTATCTCGAGTTGAAGCCACGTGCGGTCACAGAGAACGTGACCACACGATGGTCGATCGATAGTTGCAACAACAAGAGTTGGAGCATCGTGCCGACTGGAGGGGAACGAGAAGTGCTCCGTGGTGTTCTTTGGACTAGTCAGTACAATGGTCTTTCAGACATGTGTCCACTTCCGCCTAGTTCTCACGTCGTGCGGATATGGTACTCTGAGCACAATGTGCCTGGATCAGCTATTGACGTCCAAAGCCTGCCCTCAAACCCATTTTTGGAGATACTGTGGAATTTGGACACGGATCTAGGAGCACATTGCGAGTGGGACTACGCCAAGTCGCAGCATCGTAATGTGCAATTCATCCAGAGACACTGGAGAAAAACTGTTCTGAACTGGATTCAATTGTTTAGTGACAAGGAGAAAACTGTGATTGATCTCGTGTAGCAACAGTGTGGCCTCTTGGCCATTGGTTCGGTATCAAGGACTTCTCGCAGAAATCTCAGAATGCGACCGGCGGGCTGAGGCCCCTTTGATGGCGCCAGACAGCGCAACTGACCAAATGTCGGTTCTAGGCGGGATCGCATTCTCCCGCCTCGTTGCATGTCCGCCATCGCAATTGACATTTTTTGCAATGGACGCTGCTGAATCTCAGCTATTGTGACGCCGTGCCTGCTCTTCGACTCTTTCACCGGTGCCACGGCTGAGATCTACCCTGTGTGACGAGGGCTCGTGCTTCTGCAGGAAATGGGTATCAATATCGTAACATCCGAACACAATCGCTCACACAATAATTTCTCCATAAGACTCATTGGTGTAGCCTGATGTTCCTCCTGGCAAATATGACTCATCGCCATCATCTCACAACGAATATTTCGAATGACTCCTTCGATGCCCCACTCGCATTCTGTACGGCCTCGGCAACGATTTGACAAATGCTATCGCGGCGAAGAACAGCAGGACCACGCCAAGCGAGAGGTATAAGAGCGTCCCTGTAGCTCCGGAGAAGAATTTGAGAACCGTTTCTGAAGAGGGGGTGCCGACGCGGTAAAGATCTGTCAGGAACTCGGTGACTGATTGTTGGGGATGCGCATCTTGTTGTTGATGTTGTGAGAGAGACTGGAGAGGTTTGCCTTTTTGCGGAGAAGGAGAGGATTTCAGGCTTGCGACTCTTTGATCCGTTTCTTTTGAATCTGGTTTGGGAAGTGTTTCGATGTTGCCGAAGTCGTCGATCCAGAGGTCTACTGATTCGGAGTCGTCTGAGGAGGAGGTGGACGAGATTCTTTGTTTGCGGTGGACTTTGAGTGATATTGATAGTGATAGTGTGTCTTCATCGTTGGAATCGTGAGGTGGCTGTGGGTGATCTTCTGTCACGGTATCGAGACCGATGGCCACGGTGCCTGGTGCCGCGTATGTTGTACTGCAGAGTGCGGATGCACATAAGAAAAGGATCGTAGTGGTTCGCATTGTCGTCGAAAATCGTGGTTGTGATTCGGTGAATGCTCTCCACGAATGCGCTTGGTTGATCTGGAGAGGTATCTGATTCAGGAGTCCCTGTGCAGAGTGCAAAGTACTTCTATGGAGGTAGTGACGAACAAATGCCTCGAAAGCACGACTGCTCCGCAGGCGAGCTGAACCTTAGTCGTGGTCAGCTAGCTCACTAGTTCTAGCCCGTGGGAAACGCGGCTTTCTCGCGCGGAGTCAGTTTCAAGTAAGCGTCGTTCACAATGTAGGGCTGCGCAACATGCGATGCTTATATCAATCTCATCTTGTGAGTTTCTCTCTCGACACTGAATGTTCATTGCTTCGGTCCTCAGGCCACGATGAAACCGTATGACTTTGACGAGAACCTCTTCAGTGCAACATCCTGTTTCTGCTCACGCGGAATCATTGACATGCCAATGAACCTCATGCGCCACAGCTGCGAATCGTACTCAAATCTTGGGCACGCCACGACCTACAATACGAGCTACTATACTCAAGCCTCACATGTGTTGCTAAAACTGGACATAAGTTCAGCCACCGAAAATTTGAGACTAGGAGAAGAATAGCTCCGCGATGATAAGAACCAGAGTCTCGACGTGAGGTTTTGCCAGTCTGGATAAAAAGCTCAATGGACGCGGTGGTACCGTACAAGCGCGTGAGACGCTTAAACCTGAGTGTCGGCAAAATAAGACGCGTTTGCACAGCTTAGCGCAAATAGAGTTTGAGTGTTGTTGATCCTTCGAGCAGGGGAAATGGGAAATGATTCTGACGTGACGTGACCCTTTCAATGATGCCGTGCAATAGATTGGCCGCGACTATTTCCTCAGCTCGTGTTTATCAAGCTCTTGCTATTCGCAGAAGAATAATGCGCCTTGGCGCCTCTCATATGATGATGCCGGATCAATGCAAATTCAATTTCGCCGATTATCCTCGGCAGATGTTGTAGTAACTTTCATCGGTACGGTCGTGAGCCAAACTTTTGGGCGTCGCATCCGAACATCATCATCTTCAGATCATCAGCATGCTTCGACATCAAATTTTGCATTCGTTAAAAGTGAGAAGTTCCACAACGAGCTCTTGGACGATACGAGCATAATCCCCTTAGCTCCAAGTTCCATTTGCAGGCCCGAAGAATCCTGCTGTAGGCATCGGCTTCCATGCTTCTCCTCTACCATCGGCTGTGTTGAGGAACACAGTGTTACCCCACCAATCGGGAAACGAGTATCCTGTTTTCAGATCAGCGGAGATCAATTCGAGAAACGAAGGTCCATACCTCGATAGCTGACAGTAAAGAAAATGATGATGCCAGCAAAAGCCGTTCCGAAGTCCAAGGCTGCGGCCAGTATGTAGTTGTACTTGGCCCACCAAGCGAAGGCCTTCCTCTTGATGTAGTAGTTGAATATGAAATTCACCAACGCAAAGGAAGAAAAGTTTATTCCGGTCGCCGGTGGGACGTTGTATGTTCCGACGAAGATAAGGGGCCAATTCACTTTTCGAATCCAGTCGTTCTTGGTATACTTCCAGACCGCCCAGGTGATAATGGGCACCAGAGCACCAATCCAGAAGAAATGAAGCAGAGAGCTGTAAATCTTGCCAACACTGTAAAGTCGTCCGGGTCCAACTAGGCCCCAGATCACCGAGGAGCTGAAAACTGTTCGGCCATTAGGACAAGTGAATGAGTCGGGTTGGTCCGAGGAACAAATGTCCTTGATGTTGCCGAGCATCCAAAGTGTTACACCTGTCTGCGTTAGACTGCCGAGTATTGTTGCGTAACCTTGTGCCCAGAAGACTGTCCTCGGAGCAATCTTGAAGTAGTGGCCAAGTTTTTGATCTTGAGCGAAGAAAATGCCCTGGCTGACAACATCTGTGGACAGAATCTTGAACATCATGTTCGCCAGTGGCTTGCCTTGGAACATGTAGCCGCCGATGAACTCGGAGAGAACATTGAGTTGATTGGCATCGACGTTTGTAATGCCTTGAATAATACCACATGGAATCATGTAGATGGCCGGGATGAGGAGAGCCAAGAACACGCCATAAACAGGCAGCTTTGTGTCGTATATCTCGACGAGCACGATCGAGAGCGCGGTGAAGATGACCAGCAGGACGACATTCCACCACCAAGGCACCTTCCTATAGGCACGCATGAGACGGCCATGAATGTCAAGCTTCTGCCTGCCTCGGAGTGTGGCGTAGATGTCGCTGCCATGCCAAAGATAGACATGGACTAGAACGGCCGTAATACTTGCAAAAGAAAGGCCATAGACGAAGGCGAATGTAGCACTCAGATATGGAGGCGAGTATTGAGCGTATGCAACAGGGTCCAGAGTTCCTGCTGCTGTCAGCACCTTGGAAACATCGTAACCTGCGCCAGTACGATCGTAAACATCGGCAGTCATCATTGGAAGGTATGCTGTAAACCAGGTGTTTGTGTAGTAGATTCCTGGTACCACGATCCAGTAGAAGAATGCGAATCCGGCAAAGACGTTCAGCGCTGCCCAACTCGGCGACAGGAGAGGGTTTGTGTTGTATGCGATCTGTGACCAATCAAACGTAATTGGACTCAGACCCAACCCCGTTTGGAAGCCAAAGAGCTGGTTCACCACGATGTTATTCGGCGCAATCCAGCAAACCCAAGTGAAGTAAGACAAGGCCACGAACATTAGTCCCGGGAACCAGTACCAGACGAAGGCACATGCCATGACGACCATGAAGAATCTGATCCGCGAGATCTTCCACCCATTGGCCACTACGTTTGCTCTGCTGTGTAGTGAGTTCAGCAAAGCGCAATTGCCGAGTACTCCAGGCCAGATGATATTCGCCGGTTCGACAAGCCATTGTCGACACAGTCCAGCAACTCCAAATCCCAGCACTTGACAGCATAAGACACTCAGAATGCTGAAACCGGGTGAGATGTCGAAGTTGTAGAACTTCATCGCTGCTTGAATCATGTTGCTTGCGTCAGCTCCGCCTGCGAAGCCGATCGTGACATTGGACATTATGACGATGCTGCTCGATTAGCCAACTTCGCCTCTGACAGGGATGGTCAAGACTTACACAACGTGTTCTTTGATGTTGAAATGATGATCTGGATTGATTCTCCATTCACCAAAGAATGGTAACCGGACAGACATGATTGGCAGGACTTTGGCCAATGCCACACCCATTGGATAAGCGAGCAACTCTGCCACGATCGAGACGATATGGACAGCGGGATATCGCAACGAGAAGAATTGGTTGACTCCAGCTCCTATGAGCACCCAGAAAGTGCCCAGAATCCACATGCGAAGTGTGTTGACCGGAATTGTGGGATCATCTGTTTCGGGCACGACAGCTCGCTGGCCAAGTTAGCCACTGGACTGCAAGAATATCGACACAAGCTTGACTGACAACTTCCGGATACGGTGATGTATCTCCATCAATGTCTTTGATCTCCTTATCGTGAAGCACATCATTGAGATCAACTTCGATTTCCGTGAGGTGGCCTTGCGATATGTCGATGGGCTCTACATCAGCTTGAGCTTGAGTCTTCGTTGGGGCACCGAGTTCCTCATCTGAGATCGTTGGCTTCGCTGAGTGATCTTCAAGCTTATTCAGCTGCACGCCATCAGTATTCTGACGTTGAATGGTCCAAGGTCTCCGAAAGCGATTCATGTTCGAAGGCTGGAATTTGGGAAACAGTTAGAGAAGCGCCCGCCAGCAACATGAACAAGAACTGGACAGCCGGTACGATGACATGGGAGCTACGGCATTGGCATGCAGCTTATCATGTCTTCTCGATGCTTGTGTGGGATCTTATCTTCTGTAGGCGAGGGTGGCCGCCCACCTATCTCTGTTGGCCGATGCCAAGCCGCATGGGTGAGCCCGGGGCAGGCCCTTTTCCTGCTCGATGCCTGATCATGATAGACTTCGAGGGCGAATACATGTGGTATATCCCATTAGAGGAGGTGTCCAGCAGATCTAGCTCAGAGGCTGCGATGCGCATGGAATAGTTCTCGATGAAGGAGATAGCCCCATGAGTGAGCTGGTCGCACAATGGCAGCAGACTTGCGGCTTACGGCAGCAGCAAACGAGAACATTCATGGATGCCATCTGCGATGAAGATCGATGTCGAATTGATGGACAGGTCGGAGTCTGATAGCTGAGAAAGATGAAGAAGGTCCGAAGTTTGGAGAGGAAAGCGAGAAGCTCAGCACGGTCGCGCCAAGACGACACTATATTTACAACCAGAATCTATCTCTATACAACAATTCAAGAATTACTTATACATAAAAGGAAGGAGATCAGAACCCCTTTGCCGGGATTCTTGCTTTTGGTTGAAACCTCGAGGAACGCCAAATTGTCAGGATCTACACTCGACAAAGTGTCCCATCTTGCAAGTCATATCGCCACCCATCACTTCCAACACCACTCAGCACGTACAAGCTTTCAGTAGGATCATACTAATCCTAAAGCATGCCTCGAGGTTCGAGTTTTCGCACTGTACGTCTGCGCAAGTCTTCTTCACGTCACATTGCTGCATGCTTCTTGACTTTGCTCAGCCTCAGGGATACGAGAAGCTGGCGGTGGGAACTTGACGCCAGCTTGGTGTGGCCTTTGGCGGAGTCTCCTGCTCCGGTCCGGTCACCGTCTTGGACGTGTTTCGAACGCGGCATGCTGGCGGTCAAGCCCTGAGGCCCATATCGTCCAGACGGAATAGATGCTGTTTTGGCCAAGCTACGGCCTCGTGAGTTGTCCTGTTGAAATCAGCCGGAATCAGCTTCACTCTGCTGTCCGCTTCGCCAGGTCCAAGGCCATGCCAGCGAACGCAGCGGTCAACGACACAGCGGCATAGGCTATGCGCCCTGGGAGTGCTTGCGAATGGACTCTTCGATGGCGATCTGATGAAACATGCAGAAATCCGTTAAAGTCTGGATCGCAAATCACCAGCTGCAAGAACGGTTTGGCCCAGGGCGGACTTGCCTAATGGGGTCATCCGCCCTTCCACAAAGTCCGATGGAAGACAGCAGAAGCAGCTCGCCCGACCATGATCTGACATCTTTGTGAACTATTCAAGCTCGGAAGAACTTATCTTAGGTACAGACAATCGGAGTACCACGATTCCAGGAGGTAACAACATCATTCGCTACAATGACGGGCAGCCAAATTCTACCAAAAAGACTGGCCATTGGAGTTGTTGGCCTTGGCCGGATAGGACGACAGCATGCATTGAATGCTTTGCACTACGTACCTCGCACTCACTTGCTATGTGCATGCTCGCCCATGGATGCCGACCACGAATGGGCAAATGAACACTTGGTACCATATGGTGTCAAGATTTACCGCAGCTTTGATGACATGATTCAGCACCAAGGCTTGGAAGCATTGTTGATTGCGAGCACTACCGTGGTACATTATGAGCATGTCATTGCTGGAATCGAAAAAGGACTTCACATTCTTGTTGAAAAGCCATTGGCAATGAACTCTGAGCAAAGTCGAAAGATCTTGGAAAAGGCCAAGCAACCACAAAACGAACATCTGAAAGTTATGACTGCCTTCTCTCGTCGATTTGACGCTTCATACCGGAATGCTGTGACGGCAATACAACAAGGTCGCATTGGTACACCAGCAATGATACGTTGCGACAACAGAGATAAATACGACCGATCCGAATTCTACATGCGATACATCATGTCAAATCCTGGCATTTTCATCGATACTGGTGTTCATGATATCGACCTCACATTCAACTTTCTTGGCCCCGGAGCACGACCAAAGTCTTGCCATGCAGTTGGTACGATAGCACTTCACAAAGAGCTCGCGCAAATCCAGGATGTAGACAATGCTGTCGGAACTGTGGAATGGTACCCTTCGCAGCCCGGAGACATTGCTCCGATATCGTACTATACGATATCTCGAATATCTCAGCCTGGCTTCGACAACCCAACTGAGATCATCGGGACTAAAGGGACGTTGAAGATCAATCTGCATCCGAGAAGAGACTTGATCGAGGTAGCTGACAAGAACGGCATTGGGAACGGAGTAATGCCAGACTTCTACGAGAGATACGAGAAAGCTTTTGTCACAGAACTGAGTGTGTTTGCGGATGCTGTGCTTGACGATAAGCCACTACCATATGAGCTGGATGTGGCAATAAAAGGCATGGAGCTTGCTGAAGCACTGCAAGAAAGTCTCAGGACTGGGAAGAAGATTGAGTGGGATGAAAATGGTCAGCGCATGCACTAATACCGAAAAGTTGCGGAAATGCGATGCCGTGAGCCACAAAACCGTGCTCTTGTAGCACATGAAGCTGCCTCAACGCGGTAGAGGCACGACCCAACCGCGCACCCTGTCAGCTGAAATCAGACGCAGTCTGATTCACCGAGTGGTCAATACCAATAGAAGATAGACGCCACGCAGTATCAGAAAAATTGATTTGGAGACTTAAACGCCCGTTTTGTACTAATGAGAAACGACCACACGGTTTATTCCCCTGGAGGGCAACGTTTCCAGCAATGTGTGCTTTGAAAGCTCCTGGTGACAAGGCCGCATATCACTCTTTGAGCCTTTAAACTGTTGATCCGTTGGCAAAGGCAGAATCGCGGAGCATTGCACGGAGCGTTCGTGATCGGCCTAAGCCATATTGGTCCTCCTCCAGAACGACCCGCCAGGCTGATCGTCTTGGCCCCGATAACTTCGCCTGCGGCCTGCTTCGATATGGATTAGAATCGATAACGACAAGACACATGGCTTTCACATACTGACCTGTGTCTTGAATGGCAAGCCGAGAGGATCAAATCGGTGGTGGTTGGCAATATAGAGGGCTGCATATATATTCGCCGTCTATAGTGCAGCAATCGCTCTGGCTGATGATCATTTCGTCGTTATTGGTGGAGAAACGCCGCGTTGACGGAAGCACTCATGAGGAGAGCAGTGATGGCCAGTATGAGCCTCATCTCGGAAGATGTTCACAGCGGACAATGCAAGGTGGTGTGTCTCTGCAAAGGCTTCGGTGGTTGAGTGAGAAGTTGGAGGTCGTGGAGCTGATCTGTGGATGCACAAAGTCTTCTGAAGAAGGTGAGAATCATGGAGATCCTACCTCCTTACATACTTCTCTGCAAGTACACGCACCATGCCGGAACTCCCTGTAGCGAGGTTGTTGTAACAAGGTCCAAATGCCGATGCTGGTTGTCACAAACAAATCTAAAATTAGTCAAATGGTTGCTTGACTGAACACAGTATTCGGCCCTGTCTACCCGCCTGATGGAGCACTCGGCAAGCCTCATGCTTGTAGTGCGTAGCTATCCCAAGATGGACAAGAACGCATATCGCATCAGGAAGATTCTACGCATTGCAAATTGATCTCGCCGGCCAGTCCGGATCGGTGAGACATTGCCCTAACTATCCCTAGGTCGTGTCTATACTTCACATTGGCCCTTTACACTTCTTGATCCTGCATTGGTTAGGTGGGGTCGCTAAATGAACAAGACACATGCTGTTGTCGCGGAACACCAGTTATCATTCTGCTTAGACCCATGGCAAGGCAATACTATTTGACCCTATCAAAGTGACACAGCTGGATCTTACGACCATTGTTACTCTGCGGTCTTGAATATGTAGACTTGAGGTCGCATATGGCGAGTCGCCTCCTCACTCCCCTGAACACAATGTATTACCGTGAAATCCTCCAAAAAGCTTGCCCACGTTCATTCCGTCGCGCTCTGCAAGCAGAGAACTCCAATATCAAATGCCTTGAACAGGATCATCGTGATTGTGACCTTTACTTGTCAGTACTGAACCCACGACATCCTAGAATCCCGCTGCCTCAAATTTGAACTTACGGTATGGATCGGAAGCTATTGCAGCGTGCCTCATAGCGGTGGGTATTTGTCGCACTCAGAACCGCATATGCCAACGTTCTCGTTGATTACGCAGCATCTGTTCTGATCTCGTAGCTCGATGCTCCTCTTGTCCTGATAGAGTGGAGGATCTGCGCTGACCAGAATACTGAAGAAGAGGAAGGCAGCGATCGATAGGAGATTCATGTTTGTAGGGCTAGAAAGTTGCAATAGGGCGACTCGCTGTGATGATTTTGTTTCGGAAAGCAGGATGTGGGATTGCTGTCAAGCGTCACTCCATATGCTCACTTTCGTAAAGCCTTTTATAAGAAGTGCGGGCCCCTTGCATGTTCTGTCACCGACAAAACATCAGACGAACTACTTCTTTGGGACCCTTCTATGTTATCTGAACACAATCCAGTTGCTGATAGTAGTTGTTCCAACCTACCTAAAGTTATTGAGGTGGTTGGTGACCCGCGCCATCTCTTTACGGCCTGTCGACCTGCCTAATTAAGTAATTGGTAAGCTTCATGCTTGAATTTAAACCCTGCGTCGCTATTGTGTAGCATATCCTAGCTCAGCACGAATGCACAGACCGAAAATGTGCTGCGCCGAGTTATCACTCCATCACGATTCGATAGCTCGACTGTTCATTCGAATTGGCGAGCAGTTGCCCTAAAGTAACCCTAGACTCAACAGGGGCCTCCTTGCCCATGCCTGTCGTCCAAGGTCTGACCATGAGTGCAAGGTCGGATACGAGACATTGAAGCCTCGTAACGCGGCAGCTTAGCAGCTACAGTGAGTACGTGCGCGGTGTCATTCGGGTCCTAATTTGCTGGTAGGGTTGCTACGCAGTTTGTCACCTTCTCTGCTCGCGCTGGCAGATCTGAGAGGCTGAGTGCGAGGACAGCCATCGATGAGATGATCTGCATTGTCTAATACCGCCGACCCTGGTCTCTCAACGATCCAGTAGTCGAGGGGGAATACGGACTAGTACCCGAGTATGATGTCTTCTGCAATTTTCTCCGCCAGTGCATATATCGTGCTCTGCGGATGGCCAGGTGGCAGAATTGGCATGATGGACGCATCGCACACTCTCAGGTTCTGAGTTACGTAGACTCTTCCCCGAGTATCAACGACAGCCATCGGATCTTGTGGAAGTCCCATTTTGCATGTACTGCTTGCATGCCAGACCGTCATGAACGAGCTTCGAATAAGATCTAGGATCTCTTCGTCCGTATCGATCTGCCAGCCAGGCCAGAACTCCGGACTGCCATCTGGCTGAGGTATCGTGATAGACTGCAGATCGGGCGTTGCCCAAATCTCTCGCATGCGACGGAACCACGAGATCGCAACCTCTTGATTTGCTCTTGTTTCGAGGTAGTTGGGAGAAATGATTGGTGGAATATTGGCGTCTGGCGAGCGGATTGTGACGTTCCCTCTTGATGTCGTGGCGACCATCGCAGTGAACACGCTGGCATACTGCCTGAAGTTGAGGGGCTGTTGCAGTACGGGAAACCAAAAGTCAGCGAGATGGCCATTTCCGGTGACGTGCTCGAGCTCCGGCCAATCTGCTGGGAAATGGGCCATTATGGTTTGTGTCTCTGGCGACCATGTTGCACGATATTTCTCGGGCAGCTTCTCCCATCCCAAAAGCTCGACGACATTGGACGTCAGAGGGCCCGTTGGCGGAACACTCAGGTATTCAGCTAGAGTCTCGGCAAGAACAACAGGGTCGTGAAGAAAACGATCGACGGTGTCGAAATTGACTTCGTGAGAAGGTCCTGCACCATTCACATCCATGGTCAGTCTACCAACGCGTTCTCCCCAACAAAATTTCGACGCTCACCTAGAATGATGTGATCCCACATATTCTGACCGACTTCGTACAACGGGGACACGATCGGAATTCCCATCGAAGCCAGTGTCTCTGGCGGACCCACTCCAGACACCATCAGCATTTGTGGCGATTGGAAGACTCCCGCGCTCAGAATGACTTCTCGACGGGCATAAATGTTCCTTTCCAAAAGCAAGGCGCTAACTCTTACACCGATTGCCGTCGCACCAGAGAAGAGTATTTGCTTTACCATCGTCTCACTGTACACTTTCAAGAGTGGATTGCCCCGGACGAGTGCCAAGTATTCATCGGAAGCACTTCTCGACTGTTTATCAGAACGTATCGTGGATTGTGAGTAGTGGTAGCCGAGAAGCTGACCATGGTTGAACCCCAACGTCCTACCAATCCCGACGGCTTGCAGGCCACGTTCCAGCCATGTTGCCCAGACGGACACCCAATTCGTGTAACCCACCTGAACGGGACCGCAAATAGGGACAAAGGCAGTAGGGTCATAGAGGGTGGAGGCGTTTGCTCTTCGAATGTCATTATTAGGCGGCGTGAACGTCGTACTTCGTAGGAAATAAGGCCACAGGTTGGCAAGACGATAGAACTAGCTCTCGTCCTGTACCAGATCTGCCCACATGTCGTAAGCACCCGTGCACGATCGATGGAAGATCAGAAAATTCAGGGCAGAAGAGCCGCCGAGACATCTGTTCACTTGTTAGCTACGCGACCAGTGCAACATACACACTGGGAGCAGCACCTGCCGCGAGCGTAGTGCATCCGTCGGAAGCCATTGCCCCATTGAGGCTCTGTAGTAAATCCCCAATCGACAGTAGGTATTTGATCGAGCTGGCTCCAGCCGACACCAAAGAATGCGCCCGCGGGTGTGGTGCCCAGCACCGGCTTGCCGATCTCATAGAAAATCCCAGCTTCAATGAGCGCGACGGAGAAGCCAGCCTGTGCAAGCCTCACTGCTATTGGTATCCCAGCTGTTCCTCCCCCAGCGACGACATAGTCGAAAGTCTGCTCTTCTCCAATGGCACCTTCGATGGTACCTAGCAAGCCTTGCACGAGACCTTGACCTGAGGCTGCTTCTTCGACGGTGTCAAGTAAAGGAGAGACGATGGAGCCACCAGGGATGCTTTGAGTGTTGATACTGTCGAGAACGGGTGTGGTCGAGGTTGAGAGTAGTCCCAATGCAGAATCGAGAACGTTTCCGAGCTGGCGACGCCATAGCGCGAAGGGCAACGAGGAAGCGAATGGTAGGAGCGTGAAAGTGAGCCCCAGCCAACGGAGCAGAATCATCCTCGACAAGAACGAAACGAGAGACGGTAAAGACTGTGACTATGCTCGTAAAGCACGCTGAAGTTGCACTTCGGAACAGGAGCAGATTCAGCCTGCGTTGGAGCTACTCTGGAGAGTCCCTCGCGGCACGTTGTGGCAGTAGCAGGTCGAGGAAACCCCAGAACCATGTGAACCACGGCCGGGAATGTAGAAAGAAGACATGCAAATGAGCTGCAAGCCCTGGCAGAGTCTGGCTTGTTGCCGGCACCAGCTGTGATAGGACGACATCTCGCTCCCAAAGATTGGGTTCAAGGGAGTCATGTGTTGGCCAAACGGTATCAGGGGCGCCAGCGATGTCGCCATTGCAAACGCATGCCACTCAAGACAAGTCTTCAGGAACCGCCGGAGCCAGGACCTTGCGCAAGGAGATGACTTCAATCGATGCTCTGGCCACGGTGTGTTAGAAGTTTCAAACGCCTCCAAAGTCGCGCACGAGCAAAGCCATGAACAGACACACTGTAGTCAATGGGTGCGTCCGAGACACAGAGGTGCCTGGAAGGGCCCTGAATGCCGCAAGAATGTACCAGAAAACGAACGCATGATTCAACGAATGGACTGTATTTCGCATCGTGTAATGATGATCGGACTGATCAACGAGGCAATGCCGGCTGCGATCGACTCAATGCGAAGAGCTTGCAGACCTCGAGCCGAATGTGGTTGTTGCTAAGGACTCAGGGGAGAATTGTCCGACAATAAAGTCAAGCTTGCCGAGCCATTGGCGCCTTGCCTGAGTGATGGGTAGGGACTTTCTCACCTTCGTTGCAGTCCGTCGAGTGGGCATTGTGCATTTGATCACTCGATTTCGTTATTGCCAAAGGCTGTCTCCAGCGGATTTCGCATCTCATGTGAGGTCGTAATGGGGTGATGCGATTGTGGAAGTAGTGTCGGTCGTTTTGTGCTCCGTGATGCGCGACTGCCCACGGAAGTGGCTTTCCAGGGAAAAAGGCTTTGAAGACGAACGAGGCAGGGGCACTTGACCACCGACCTTGCAGGAATGCAGAGCTCGACGATTGCCTGCCAAGTGTGACTATGACTGCTCCCTGTCAACCATCTGAGGCATCAAATGCGATGAGAGACTGACGATCCAAGTGAAGTGATGGGCTGATAAGGCATTTGGGTGCAATCAATGTGACCACTAAGCACAAGTGATTCCGAAAATATTGCAACATCCCAACGGGACAGACCCCAGCTGCACCTGCCGATGGCTGTGCTATTACCTCAGCGTGCCCTCTCGTCCGTTACTGGATACTCACCATCCTCGATCAGCGATCAATGTAGAGAATCAATCAAACGCACAGGTTGAAGACTGCCATCCACTTTTGAGTACTGGCAATTGCAACCAAATCTGATCAAAGCTCAAGCTTTGAAACAAATCATAGAGCACGATCCGTCAGCATTCAAGCCATTCGAGCGCACCTGAGGAAAGCAATTGTAAAGACTAATTGCCGCAACCAGAGACCCAACCCTACTCAACCAAGGGCAAACCCTAAAGCCCTTCCCTACTGAATGTCAACTTTCCTATTCGGGAGACCGGCCCCGAACCGGGATCTCACCTCCCAGGCTCCGAATGACACTGCGGTGGGTGCCCGACATGCCGAGCCCGAGTTTTCCTCACAATCGGTCCATGATGCCGAACAGACTTTGGTCACTTCCCATGAATCGCATCCGTGCGGCGGTGAAGAAAAAGCTTGTAATTCTTCATGAACCTCGGATCCATCACACAACTAGTCCCTGGCAAACAGAAAACAAAAGCTCATGGACTCATGCAGCCTCTCAACCCATGCCATGTCTTCGCCTCTCATCCCGCATCACTCTTCAACATCCCCAACATCTACAAAGCATTCACAACAGCCGTATACGCCGCCTTAGGCTGATAACTCCCATCAAACAACAACGGCGAATCTCCACTCCTCCAAGAATCCTTATCACTAACCCCCCAACTCGTAATCCCCACACACTTACTCACATTCAAACAAGCCTTCGCAACCGTAACATAATCTTCCGGTTTCGCTTGCTTAATATCCAACTCCGTAATAGCGACTTCTGGAGCCGCAGAAGCGAGGAGTTCCAAAGCGGCTTGGACTCCGGAAGCAGAACCGAAACCAGAGGCGGAGAGATGGGATTGAGAGCCGATGCCGTCGATGGGGATGCCTTGAGAACGCCATTGTTTGACTTTGGAGACGAGGCCGGTGGTTTTGGCGTAGGTGGAGGAGTCGAGGTTGTAGTCGTTTATGTAGAGTTTTGCGGCGGGATCCTGGAAATATCACGCATCAGTCAACGACCCACACACACGAAGCAGTGGCAAAAGGTGAAGGGAAAGACGGCTTACAGCTTTCCTCGCCGCCTCAAACGCAATCTTCACGAAATCCTCTCCCAGCACGTCCGAGAATACTGATTGTCGTAGTTTTCCATCTTCGGCAAAAATCTCATTCACGACATCGTATTGAAAAATCTGGCCTTTGTAGCGGGTCATGATGGTTGTGACGTGGTTTTGGATGACTTGAGTCAGAGTGTTACGGTCCTTGATATCTTTGACCCATTGTGGGAGTTGAGAGTGCCAGACAAGAGTGTGGCCGCGGATTTTCTTGTTGTTGGTTTTGGCGAAGTTGACGAGGGCGTCGGCGCCGGTGAAGGTGAACTGGTTGCGGGAGGCTATTTGCACCCATTGTCAGCAAGCGCGATTTGGGATGATACGGAGGTGGATGATGGAAAAGAAGCGTACGTTCTGTGGCATCCCATTTCATGGAGTTCTCGGCGGTGAGTTGGCCAAATTGAGCTTTGATGATGTTGGCATTTTGGGTGTTGCTGACTGCGAATCAAGAAATGTTAGTCGGAGAGGCTCAATCCAGAAACTGGATTAAAATCGACTGACGAGTTCCCGAATCGGCGCAAGTACCCCAGTACTGCTTTCCCTTCGCAACAAACTTCGCATTCAAGTTGGTCGATTGCCTCGCATCGAGCTCAGCGGGAACAGGAGAAGCGAATGCCGAGCCAGCGGCGAGCAGAGAAACGATGATCGACTGAACAGAAGGCATGGCTGCGTGATGAGCCCGAGGACTGGCCTGGTGCTGGGGAATGGAAAGGAGAGTGTTGCGAGGTTGAACATATTCACAGCAGCAACACCGCTCAACTTATATCCTTTCTTCTCAAGCCGTACCATGCTGTCTTGTCGCTTGCTTGCTGGCAAATAAGATTCCACGAGGCCATCAACTTGCTACAACGGAGTGACCATACGAGTTGTGCTCGGCTATAGCCTCTTTGGTGGAGAATCCGCAAGCGAGTACTGTATGCTGATCAGGATAGATTGACACCGAGTTTCAGGCTGAATGCGATATGGCCTTGGCGTACGCCTTTTTGTGTTCCAGAATGGTCGGCTGGCGCTGCGCAGTATCTTGTATACGCATTTCATTCAGGCAGAATTGTTCTGATGGGTGTGTTCATATGGTTGTTCTTCAGCTTGTCGTTCCACAATTTTGCTTGTATGCGGAAGTTTAATCTGGGCCAAAATGGTATGTATTGGCCTGTAGAAAGTGGTGGATCCACAGTTGGACGCATCGAAGCGCTAAGTGTCGCTGTTACCGTTTCGGGCAGGAGCAGTAGATCAATTTGCTGCAAACGATGAATTGATCACCACGTGCTGTTCGGTTCTGGAACTTCTTTCTCGGCTGGAAGAATGTGGAGTTGAGCTTGGACATGAAACAACCACTACCGAAGGCGTGAGGAGGCGTCGATCTGAGACCGCGACGGAGAAGCGCCGCTGCCCTGTGCTTGTAAAGTCCTCAGACGTGATCGGTCAAGTCGTGTCCGGCGAGTGTATGAACTGTTGCGAAAAGGCACACAGCCTTTGGATCGAGGGAGGGGACTAATGTAGAACGTCGCACGTCCAGCGTGTCTATCTTTCAGTATCGCATACATACGGACACGCCCGTCTTTACACATTAAATCTGCCTTGAATCGAAAACGAAAAGGAAGTCCCAAGCTGTACACTAGTCAGAACAGAACATCCTTCTGGAAGGAAACCCCCTGTCCAGAAGGCAAAAGAATCACTAGAAAGGCTTTCCGCCGCTCAGAGGAAGTAGGCCGTCTAGGTCTAGTATGCCACACCTCCGTCAATCGTCCCTTCCCCTTTTTCCCAAAAAGAGATATCAGCCATCTGGTGTTGTCGCTGACTCCTCGTGTCTCATCTTTGTCTTTTCCTGCCCCGCGATGCGATAAAGTGGTGATGTTCGCTCAGCCCGCAATGAGTACCCACAACAAAAAGAAAATCATCAAAACGCCAAACATCTTCGCGATGAGCCAGCGGTTGCCTTGCACGCGACTCCAGTACTTCATCAGTTCTCGTTGGGCACCTTCGACATTATCCACGACATCGTCGGTATTTGCATCAATGCGCTGGATCTGTTCGGCTTGTTCCGAGACCATTTGCGCCAGTTGGCCGAAGATACCGCCGAGCTCATTGATGGTGCGCTCGATGGCTTCGATGGCTTCACCTCGTTGTTGAATGTAGCTGTTGGATGACGACCCTTCTTCCATTAGTTGTAATTGTTGTTGAGAGGCTTGCATTGGCGCTCCTGTGCCAGAGTATAATGCTGATCCTCCAGAAGGCTCCAGAGATAGGACATCCTGGCCTTGACTTGAAGGGCCTGTTTTTCCAGGCTTGGGACTTCGCCCTCGACTGGGTGTCTGATATAAAGGAGAATCGGTCCTTCCCGGTTCCAATCTTTCTTGCGCGGCACTTGATCTCCCCACTTCGCCAACGAAGTTCTCCTGTCGACTTCGGCTGGCTTGGATGTTCTTGGTGCGCACCTCGAGGACCTCTTTGAAGTTGACAGCCACATCCGCGACTCGCCCTTGTAGCAGCATGACCACATTCTTGTTGTGTTCGCCCTCCTGCTGCGCACCCGAAGCCTGTCCATTCTGTGTTCTTTGCAATTGCTGTAGGTTTCCAATTTGCTGGTTCAAGCCTGCCAGATCTTGCTTGATGACATATGTGAGTTCCGCGATCTCCACGGGTCTGTCATCGAAGAGTGTCTTTCGCTTTGCCAGCTCGCCCAACCTCTGCAGTTTACCCATGGTGGCGCTGATGCCTCGGCCGATGGCGGCGGCATTCCGCGCAAACTCGCTCCGCTGCGCTCGAGTCGGGGGTGTCGCAGTGCCATTTTGTTGGGAGATTAATGGTTGGGACTGTGCGCCGAGGGGTTGTTTTCGCTGGCGGGCAATCGATTTTTGTGCCTGTTGGAGAATGGAGCGGAACTCGGGGGTGCGGTCTTGAATGGAGGCGTGTGAGGCCATGGTGAGCATGATCTGGATGTCGTCGGAGGTGGTCGGCAGGAGGTGGCCAGACGGCCGGGTTGGATCTGTTCGAGCGCGGTCTTTGTTGTCGCGGGTGGTGTATGGAAGTGGGGAGGTGATGGTCAGCGGTGCGTCGGAGGCGACGATATCGTCAGTCGAGGTGCGAATTGGTGGTGAGGACAGATTTCTTTTTGGTGGTGCAGCAGACGTGCATGAAGGATGCAGGGAGGGCTAGAATAGAAGGCGCGACGAAGGTCTGCGAACACGTGCGCCAAGAGAACGCGATGTTCTACTTTGCGACGACGACAGCGATATCTATGTACCAAAGATGCCTGAGGGTGTCGTCAGGTATCACATGTATCTCTTTGCCTATTTGACGCGAAGTTATCTCCAGGAGATAATAGCATGTTGACGAATGCAGGCGAAAGTGAAGAGGGCGTCGTCATCGGGCACTGCGCAGCGGTACAGATGCATGTCTCGGCTTGCATGTCCCTGCCAGCCGCTGCCAACTTGTGAACAACACCACATCATCCCATTTCCGCCCTCTCGTGGCCATAATATCTAATACAGCATCTGGTGTGTCCATTCATATGACTGCGCGACCATCGTGACGCGCATTGTACCTCTGCCCGTCCGCCACCGCCGTTGGCCGTTGGTTGTCCGCGGAGCTGGAAACAGCAGCACTGCGCCTCGACATCGACGCGGAGCTTCACCCATCTCCCCCTGCATAGGCAACTCGACACCTCGGCCATGATCTCTTGACAGCTTCACGACTCCTGCTGAACATGGCCAACAACGGGACTCCCACCACGCCCGGGGGGCCACTGTCCTTCAAGACCGTCCCAGGAAGGCATAGGACGCAGAAATGGAACACGGCGCCGAAGAACACATACGATGGAGATGATTGGGGAGATTACGACCCGTACGATGAGTATGGGGGCGGGTATGAGGATCCAGAACCTCCGCTTCCCACACAATCATCGGCATTGCCTACACAGAAACTTCGCAAGCACAGCTTCGACCGGGGAGACGATGGCGCGCGATCCGTCTCCGCTCCTTTTCCTGCACAGCAACACGCACCAGTCACTGCGAGTCCCATAGATGGAGGGAGCAGCGACTTTCCTCGCAGCAGATCACGACCGCGCGACTTCACGAACCCCGACCAGGCACCAGCACCGCTCAACGCGTCGAGAGAGGCCGTCCCTGCTCCACCGGGTTTCTTCCCGCCGCGAAAGACCAGCATGGGAGCGAACACGTTTGAAGCACAACAGCAGGCAGCAGAGGCACGGGCTATCGCCGAGAGCGTGTCCAGCTCAGCGGCCAACAATGGTGCAGCTTCATCGGCCGACGGAGCTCAGACAGACAAGCCGCTACCCTTCATTCGTCCGAGCGACATCTACAAGCGTATGGACGAAGAAAGACGACGCGAGAGTGAAGATAGTGGCAGGCCCAGCGTTGATACATTGGAGAGGGTGACCTCGGCGGAGCAGCGGAGGAATGATTTACCACCGGTTCAAGAGCAGGCAGAGAAGGTTCAGATCCAGTCGTCAGGCCCAGATGAGCCTGACCAAACCACCTCTTCTACACGAAACAAAAGCCCCACATTACCGCTGGTATCACGCTTTTCAGGCTTTGGGGACGACATCTTGACCTTTACAGGTTCTACATCGACAGATCAGACATCAAAGCCATCGCCACCTGGTCTGGATACGGCCGGTTCGGGAACGGCCTCCAGCTCCATTCAGCCAACACCGACCACCACTCATCCACCTTCAGCCATCTCCCGAGCCAACGCTGCAGCTGAGCAACACGGAGACGATGGACTCCAACACACTCCATCTGTTGGCTTCCGCTCGGCGGTGCACCAAGCCTTCGACCAGAACGACGCGTCCCTTTCGCGCGACAACTCAGGGTCTACGCCAAGCACCGGCGTTGGGCGCAGTGATACTTCTTCCACTGCAGGCATTAGCCCCATCATGAGTCGTGTACCTTCAGCCGCCACTGCAGCGTTCAGTCAAAGACAGCGGGATGGAGTAACGCCTACTATTGCGGAAGAGTCTACGACGACGCCGACTGCTTCAAGGCCTGGCTCCGATTTGGTGGAACGAGTAGGGCGACAACCTCCTGCAGATAGAAGTGCAAGTGGTGAGCGTGTTCCGGCAACTTTTGAGCCTGGCTATCGACGTAGTTTGGATCCTCCATCATCTGGAACATCTCCAGCTCGCACACCTGCAGTGGAGACCGTTGAATCTCGCAGACTCAGCACACCTCTGTCAGGCGTCATCGGTGCCGATGATCCAGATGTGGCGGATCAGGGTGCCGAAGTTGTGAAACCTGATCTCCACCCTGTTGAAACGCCGGCGAGCAATCAACCCACTTCTGCGATTCCAATTGCTGGAAGGGGGCGAAGTAACACCGACTACAGCATTCGTGAAGCCGACCTCGCCAACACCATCAACTCATCTCCCGACAAGGATCCCAGCTCGCCTGAACTAGCTGAGGCGGCGAAGGAAAGCAGAGACAGTCGCGATCTGTTCCTTCGCACCCATGATATGCCTCCCGCTACAAGTCCTGTGAGAACTGGCACTCCTTCCCGGTCTGACAGCCCTGCTAAAGGAAGGGTGCGTGAGATTGCCGATAAGTACCAAGAAATCCACGAAACTCGTCGCGGCTCAAATGCCAGCATTGGCTCAAGCAAGTCTGGTTGGTCCACATTCACCGACGATGCAAAGCCGAAACCGAGACGCGCAGGTACTGGCCAAAGCGGACTTGGACAAGGCCCAGCTCCTCCGAGACCTGAAATTGGGAGAGAAGAGAGCTTCAAGCCGGACTTGCCTGGAGGCTGGATTAACAGTGAAGCACCTACGCCAGCGGTTGAGACCCCACCAGCAGTTGCAACTCGCAATATTCCATCACCTGATGAGCCGATCGATCTGACTCCAACAACTCAGAAACACCAATTACAAGGCCCGGCCACGAAGTCTCCGATCGATGCCACCAAGGAAGTTGGCGACCAGCTTGGAGCGGCTTTCATGAGTCAATATGGGGTGGGCCATCAGACACGTGATTTTGCGTCCAAGGAGGCACCTGCGCCGGTTGACCAGTCAGAAGCAATGCCCAAACGTATGCATGGAGAAGTCCTTCCCGCACCACCGTTGCTGCGACAGGAAACCGACAGCACTGATGCGCCGACTTCTGTTTCTTCCTCGGCTGCCCCTACACCTCTTGCTAAGGACACACCGCAGCCTGCCGCAGGGAACGGCAACCTAGGTACTGAGTATTTCAATACAGTCGCTCCACTTCGTGTCAGGAGTCGGGAGCCTAGTCCCGAGCACAACGCACCTCAGCAACCTAGCGCCAGTCAACCTCTCCGACGCACCTCCAGTGACTCCGCAGACGATGACCGCATTCGCGCCGAAATAGTGCGAAGTTTGGACAGCTCCGCGGACAACAATGTGCGCACGCAAGACGCATTGAATGCGCCTGACAATGAGAGACGAGTCGAACATGGCGAATCTGCATTGCCGGCCGCCGCTGCGACTGCCGCTGCAGTAGGTGTAGGTGCAGCAGCTGTTGCGGCAGCTTCGACTTCCACCCCAAAGACAGACTCGACCAGACCAGGCCTGCTCAACACCCGATTCAGCTGGGAGATGAGCGAGCCGGTCAAGGAAGAGCCCAAGAGTCCCGAAATCAAGCCCGAAGCAGCCTACGAAAGACCCAGGAGCAAGCAGTTGCATATTATGAATCCAGGAGAAACACCAATCACTCCAGACACTCCGGCCGTCGAGCAGAGACTGCCTGAGCTGACAGGAACGATCGGCGGACCTCTCTCGGTGCCTGATGTGGGGAGACCCGAGGCGGCAGCAGCAGAAGGAGAAATAGTGCGATCTCTCTCACAGCGCGTGAAGGGCCCTGTGTCACCTGTCGCAAAGACACAGGACACTCTCAACATTCCACAAACCACTGCTGAGAGCGGCCAGTCGCTCCATGAAGGGCAGCCCTCGCCTGTATCGGACAGAAGCCCGCGGATCCCTTCATACTATGCCGAGTCGACTCAGGACACGACTAACGCAGCGCCATCCACGGCGTCGCCTCAACAACAGAGCTCCGCACAATTCCAGGGTCAAATTCCGGCCTTCCGGAACATACTGCAGATCAAAGACGCTGATGAGCGTATCAAGACTTACAATAGCACCCGTCAAGTGTTTGCTGATATGAATACTGGACTGGGAGACTGGCTACAGAGCATGACAGCGCGCCATCCTGATGTACAGCAGACAGCCGAGCAAGGCAAACCCCCACCGTTGGAGCCAAGCGTTTCTGCTAGCAACACCAATTCGTGGAAGCGAGGCCACCGCGCCGCCGCGCCTAGCATGAATTTGTCTAACCTGAAGAATCGTTTCGCATCCGGAGGCCAAGCCGAGGGTTCAGGCCGCACCGCATCGACGGGAGGTGGACCTAGTGGGCTATCCAACAGTGACAATGCTGGTGGAAGTGGCGGCGTCGACCTTGACCGTGTGCAGCAGAAGGGCAAAGAATTCATGAAGAACGCCGGAGTCTTCGGCAGCAAAGCCGGCGCTGGTGCCAAAGGTCTATTGGCGAAAGGCAAATCGAGGTTTGGTGGAAGCGTACGTGGCAAGGAGGTATGATTCATTTCTGTATACCCTTTCCACACATCATCACCACAAGCACTGCAAGCACAACAAGCACAACACAGCGCCGTTTTCACTCTGGTCAATCTGTCGCTGAGACCTCGCGCGCTCCAGGCATGAAGTAACTGGGCGTGGAGCTTCTTCAAGCACACGACGGTTGCCACCATTATACGTTTTTGGCTACGAGATACCCCGAAGCAGAAGAGAGAGAGAAGGGCTTGCAAGACCATGACAGTTGCTATGATATGTTACTGCACGATTTCTTCTCTGTTTTGTATTATCGTTATCAAGAAGCATCTCTAATGTCGTTCGGTGGACCCACTTCATCCCCACATTCCAATCACCTCCTCTCCTCTTTCCCCAGCATATCATCACCATCCCCGCAAATGTGCGCGCATGTCAGCTTACGGTAAGTGCGCGTTTAGGACTCTACTCCGCCCCTGGCTGGTGCCTCTCGACCCCAGTACAATCGAGCCTCATCTTCGGTTCTTGCAAAGTTGAGATCTGTTTCGTCTCCCGCGTCACCTTCCAAGTCGCGGAATCGTATTGGGTCTGGCAGCCAAGAGAACCGCCGCTTGTCCACTGCTGCTCCGGCTGCTGCGAATACTGTTGAACAGCCCAACGATTCGCCCTTTCCTGTACCAGACAATCGCCCGAAAGTCCCGGGCGCTGCCGATGAATTGCCGAATAGTACTGTAGCTCCAGCTCCTGCGGCACTTGACAAGGATGAGAAGACAGCTTTAGAAGGCGATGTGCACGATGAAGGGGGGGTTTCTGGGTCGTGGGCTCGTTTGACGAACTCGGGAGACGTGCTTGCGGCTGATCCTGATTCTGCTCTACACGGGAGTGCGATCTCGAAGGGCCAGGCTCCTCCAGGTGCGGCGCACTTGCAGGTTGAGGACGAGCGCGAAGACGAGCGCGAGAGAGCTGAACCAGAAGCACCAACGACCACGATTGCAGCTCTAGCAGAACAAATCAGTGAAGCAGAGACCAGGAGCGAAGCTGTCAAGGAATTACAAGAAGCTGGGCCTGTTCTCGAGGATGTCACAACTGCATCTCCAGTGTCAATTTCTGGTCCTTCCACTTTGACTGCAAGCACGCATATACCATCTGCAGCTCTTCCGACGTCCAGTGACTCTCCAGTCCCAGGGCATCAGCATACTTCTTCATCGGACTCTATCGATCTTGCATCCGCTCTCACTATGGCTCCCAACGTCCCAAAACGGTCCTCCACTATGGGCCCTGCCAGCGTGAACCCTGAACACAAGAGAAGCTACACAGCAGACCCCAACACGATTCCCCTCAGTACACCGGATTTGCCTTCCACGGCTAAACGATCTCCATCCGCAACTGCTAACCGACCAGACGCTGCGCGCAGGACTTCGACATCTGGACTTCTGGCGCTGAGGAGTAGTGCAAGACGGGAGGGCAGTGCCACTCCGACCAACGGATCTTCGTCAAGCCGGGAACCTAGTCGTGGATGGACCCAAGGTGCTGCTGCGAAGCCGAGGCCTTTGAGTGGAGTCTTCGAGCGTTTGAAGGAGCGGACGGCAAGGAGCTGGAGTCGTAGCAGGAGTCGTCCGCAGAGTTTGGTATTCTGGAAGGGAGGTGCCGATGAAACGTCGTCTTCTGCGGATGATGTTGGAGCCGAAAAGGGACAGGTGGAAGACGCGGCCACTGGCTCCACTGCACGTCCGCAATCCGCTCTTATGGATTTCAGCGATGTTGCTGTGGACCCTACGAAGTCTGCTGGGACTGCTGATCCCTCAGGCTCTCTTCCACCTCACGGGAGTCTCCCCGGCTCGCCGCAAAGGATCGAAGCGTGGAATGAACCGGGCGCGAAACTCCCGACTCCCAAAACGCCGGATGCGAAGGGAAAGATTTCGCCGCAAGAGCAGGAGCGGTTGGGTGTTTTGCCAAGTCCGGCGCCTACTGCAGCGACTTTCGCTGACGCGGAACAAATGCGACGTGGAAGTAGTATTGACGTGGAGAGGCAGAGAAGAAAGAGAAGCAGTGTTGGGAACAACAGTGCTTTCGGTAGCGTCAGTGAAGAAGCGAACTGGAAGAAAGGCCTGGAAGAGAGGTATGCCGGTGACTCTTCTTCGGTGACGACGAGGGGGGGTATGGATGGAGGCGCATTCGCTACTACTGGTGTCATGACTGGAGAGCCTTTGGAGACTGTGCCAAGTCAAGAGGAGGTGGGAGAGAAAATGGCGGAGGTCGTGCCTCTCCCGCTCAAAGGCGATGCTTCTGCTTCTGCTTCTGCGAGAAGTTCTCCCACCAAGCGCCCGATGCAGGGTCAACGCAAAGTCTCGGATATCTCGACTTTACCTTCGCAGATGCATCGTCGAGCAGCTTCAGAGGGGGTTTCGCCAGTGAAACAGTCATTTCTGACTACGGTGCCAACGAATGAAGGGTCGAATGCGAGTCCAATGTTGAGCGGGAACGAAAGTCAAACCTCAGGATTGTCGGATGTGGAGGTCGTGACGGCGGAACCAATGACCATGAGACCTGTGGAGGCTGTGGTGGTGCAGGGTGGCGACGAGAGCGCAGAAGAGGAGGCTACGCTGACTGCGAAGAGAAGTGGATCGTCCAGATGGGAGAGGGAGATCGCGGAGCAAGAGAGGGAAGTCAGGAGGTTGGAGCGGGTCAGGAGCGGAGACAGTGGTCGCAACGTCGAGTCTGGCGAGACGAGTCCACGCGAGAGGCCAACTGGAGGAACCTTTGCTTCGATCATCGCTTCTGCGACTGCGAGGAAGGAGAAGTTACAGAAGCCGCAGCTTGTGGAAGCGCAGCATAACCCTTATGTGCTGCCGTCTGAACAGAACCCGGGAGCGGCGTCTGCTAGGCCCATGAGTGGGGGACAGGACGGCGCGGGAGATAAGTGGGAAGATGCGAGAAGTGAAGTCTCGGCTGAGGAAGGTGCTGCCGATGACAGGAGATCCAGCGTAAGCAGTTTCGGAGAGGGCGAGAACGTACGGCCCACCACGTCCCGGACGAATACTGGATTACAGCCTGCGGCCGCTGAGCAGGACAAAAGAGCAGCTACCGGGCAGTCCTCTCCGAACGACGAAAGGAACATGCCGTCTTCCTTCGAAACTGTGCGCGCCGCGCCCGAAGGACCACAGCAAGCACAACAACCCCCACCCCTAGTGATTGAAGAGCCCATGACTTCTCAAGCTATCCCTGCTGGTCCGACAACAAACACCACTTCGCCCACTTCCCCATCCTCCGCAGGCCTCATGCCTGGCGTCCGACAACCCAGCCTCGGCACGACTGACTTCCAGAAACGCTTTTCTCAACGACTGTACGCGCAGCGACCAGACATGGGTGAACGACCTATGTCGTACATGACTTTGCCCAGAGACGAAGGCGGCTTTGTGCAAGAGGAAATCGATACACGAAATGCTGCTTCGGCTTCAACGAAGAGTTTGGATGCTGCGCCTGCTGCTCCTGCTGCCATTGCGAACGCGAACAACGCCGAAAAGGAGAACGACACGCCGCCTTTCATTACGGAGGATCTGAGCGCTCTGAGTGGTCCTCCGGCTGGTACGGCGCCCTTTCAGCCGCATCCGCTGTTCCGACAGCCTGATACTGGGTATTTTCCTGACGGTTCTCAGCAACCGATGAGTGCTGGAGCCCGTATACCTGGGAGGGATGTGATATCTGATGATCACGGGTTGGAGGATGTTCACGCTTGGGGCGACAATGTGGTCACGACGCCGAAAGGGGAGTATCCTCCTAGCGGGCATGCTTCGAATCAGCAACAGCATGGAAGGAAGAAGTCTGCAACGTGGAAGGCTGCGTTCCGCGGTAATAAGCCTTTGGCTAGCATGGAGAATTCGGATAATGTTAATGCTGGTGTTACAGCCGGAGGTGAAGAGATGGATCGCATGGATACTGTGAGGAAGATCTCCGGTGGAGCAAAGAGGACCTTGCAGAAGCCGCAGCGTGCAAGCTCTAGTGCGGTCAAGTTGTCTTCTTTCGGTGCCGAGGGTGAACCAAAGGAGAAAGAGAAGAAGAAGCGGTTTTCTGGATTGAAGTCTCTTCTTGGCAGAGCAAGCACGTCTGCTGGCACAGCTGCCGCAGTTGAGACTCGTCCTGGTCATGCTCGGCATCAGTCGGAAAGAGAGCGTTCGCGTACAAGAGATGAGAAGGGAAGAAAGTTGACGAAGGCTGCACCGCCGCTCGCTCCTGCCGGACCAGCTCCGCTGCAGTCTCAGTGGCATCCAGGTAATTCGGCCACGGTGAAGGGCGGTGTTGGGAGTTATGCGGAGTATGAGCATACCAGGAAGAGAGAGATGGCGGCTTTTGCTGAGCAGAGCGAGAGAAGTCAGAGAATCTTGGCGAGGAGGAAGGCGGGCAGGCAGGACACAACGATGACCGGGGGCGGCGGGCATCAAGGACGAGAGGAGACGATGTCGCCGACCAACATTGTGGATGGTGCTCCTTCTCTATCACCACCTGCGGATGGCTGGTACGGACCAAGTGCGAGGAAGACGCATGTCGACGAGACGGAAGAGCAAGGCTACACGATGCCGGAGTTCCAAAGAACAGATCGACAGCAGGTTGCTGCTGAGCAGAGGCGTGCAGCTGCTCAGGCTGGGAATCCTCTTCCCTTGAGAGACTACGCTGCTTCGCCGCCACCTGCGATTGATGATCAACAAAGTTCAGCTCCTGGAACGAGAGATGGGAGGTTTGGTTCGGTTCCCAGTGTGCCTGTCTCCGGAAGATCTGAATTCTTTGCCACAGGACAGAGACCTTTTGGCAGCGTTGACTCCAGCGTTTCGCCTGTGCAGCAGAGGCCGTTCGGAAGCATGTCTTCTGCAACAATCTCGCCGGTGCATGGGAACGCACCACCATTGCAGATTCAGACACAAGGACAGTTCGGTCCTGATCAGCAACAGCGAGTTTCCCCCCGCGGCAGGGTCATTTCAATGGGTACAGAAGTTGCAAGGAGTCCGGCTAAGGAATATCGAGACCAGCAGACACCCTTTGCGATTACTTTGCCTGGAGCGGAAGGCGCAAGTGCGGTGCAATATAACGAAGCTGCGTGGAATGATGCTCAAGCTCGGGCGGCATATGACGGGCAACAGCAGTATCAGTATGCTGAACCTGACTATGAAAGAGTCCAGTATCAGCAGCCGCAGAGCCCGCTTTACTCAGCAGGTGGCGAAGGCAGATACCCTGTCGGACAGCGACCACATAACGGCTTCAACTACGAAGGCCGCGATACTTATGGACAGCAACAAGGATATGACTACGACCGAAGAATGCCCTCTCAGCCCACTTCCCCAATGTACGACAACAGCCACTATGCTCGACAACTTCCACCACAACAGCGCAACTGGATGTCTCAGCAAGTGTTCCAGCAAGGTCAACAGTACTCGCACCCCGCACAGGCACCCATGTACCAGGCACAACGAACGGAATCTGCTAATCAATCAGGTTGGTTCCCGCGACATCAACAGCAGCAACTGCAGTACCATGAAAATGAGCAGCGGAGAAGAAGAGCGAATTCTATGGAACAGCAGCAGCGACGATACTACTCTCAGAACACTGGAGGAGGTGACCCTCCGCATTATGCTCCTCCGCAACAACAGCCTAAACCTAATTTCTCGCATCCGCCTCTCTCGGCTGCGATGCAACAGCAGCAGCAGAGACAGTACATGCGAGGGCAGGAAGGAGGCGTGGATTATTATGGCGGTGGCGGTGGCGGTGGTGGTCGTGGAGGAAGGAGAAGGGCTGGAAGTGGGTATAGTGGACGAAGAGATGATCCTGCTGTTAGTGAAGATGAGGTGGATATGATTATGAGGGGAGCAAGTTATCCGGGTATGGAATGGGATCCTTATTCGGGGAGGAGGTAGGGTGGGATGAATGTCATGAGAGATTGGAACGGAATGACGCATGGGATTGGGTCAGATGAGAATGGAAATACTGTCTTGCAAGCATGGTGAAGGAGTTGGATGTTTTGGATCTTTGAGGATCTCTTTGATTCTCGGCATGCGAGCGACAGGCGTGATTTTGGGAAAGCGAGTGGGGTTTGGAACTGGTTCGGGACAATACTACGACAGGGGAAAACATAATGTACAGATAGAATAGCATCACAGGGCGACGAGCATGAGGATGGAATGGATACTGTTCTTGCGTTCAGGGCCCTTCCTAAGAAGGATTCGGCTCGATCTACACACAGCAGAGAAACTCCAATGTGCTGGAAAGTCCAATCGCCGAAGACCTCATATGCAAATGTGACTTTGAAGTTCAACGATACCTTCTCTGCTCAGACTCGCAGACCACCAATTTTGCTGTCCTGCAACTCAAACCCACGTGGGTGAAAAGGCAACAAAGGGTCACTGCGAAGGCGTGATTGGAGCCAAGCGAATGTGGCGTCCACGAGCTCGCCTGGCGTCTGGGCAACAATGCGAACATTCCTCGTACTTGGAAAGATGGAAACCAACTTCAATTCTTTTCCTTCCGGGATACAACACCCATCCCAAACAACGACAATTCGCCATGACGCTTCAAAAGCTGCGCACTCTCGTAGCGCAAGGCCGAAAGGCTTTACTCCCATCCGGCGACAGAATCTCGAAAATCCCCGTCATCGACATGCTCGCCCACAATTGGCATCTCGGACTCACAGCTTTCGGTGGCCCAACAGTACATTTTCAAATATTTCGCGATTTGTACGTGGCAAAATACAAATGGCTCGATGATGCAGCATATAACGAACTTTTCGCCGTTTCACAAGCACTTTCTGGACCTGCTTCAACGAAAATGTTATATGCGATTAATGTTATGCACTATGGATTCTGGACTGGAGTTGCTGCGCTCATGGTTTGGTCTTTGCCAATGGCGTTTGCGGCTTTTGGGTTGGGGTTGGGTGTGGGACAGATTGAAGATGAACTTCCTGGGCCGGCGTATGCTCTGTTGAGTGGATTGAATAGTGCGACTGTGGGGATTGTTGCGTTGGCGGGGATGCAGTTGAGTCAGAAGGCTATTACCGATACCACGACGAGGATTTTGGTCTTTTTTGGGGCGACAGCGGGGATGTTGTATAATGCGCTGTGGTTCTTTCCGGTTTTGATGGTGGGTGGTGCGTTGACGACGTTGGTGTGGGATTTGAAGTTCTTGCAGAGAGGTTGGAGGAAGGTCGTGAGGAGGAAGAGGGAGGAGATCGGAGGAAGTGAGGATTTGGAGATGAGGGATGTTGGTGTTGCCAGTGGTAGTGCTGCGCAAGCGTCCTCTTCTGTGCACCAGCGTAGTGGCGCCAAAGGACCGGATGAACCTGTTCTGGCCGAGACTGATTCTCCATCCGAGCCACAAAGTCGACTCCTCAGGTCTTGGAAGATCGGAGTGGCTATCGTGGGTGCTTTCTTCGCCTCCTTCATCACCGTCATGGTCTGCCGTGGTATTTACAGCGGCGACAACAGAGGCTTCGATCTATTCTCGAATCTCTTCCTTGCTGGAACGATCATCTTCGGTGGCGGTCCCGTGGTCATTCCTCTTCTCCGCGACTACATTGTTGCACCAGGTTGGGTTTCCTCTCGAGATTTCCTGCTCGGTCTTGCCATCACTCAAGCTTTTCCAGGTCCAAACTTCAACTTCGCGGTCTACCTTGGAGCTCTTGCCGTCCAAGGCCAAGGCCTACCTGCATTTGCCGGATCCTTCATCGCTTTTGTCGGCATCTTCACGCCTGGGATTTGGCTCGTGACTGGTCAGCTGGCAGTTTGGTCCTCAATACGCAAGATTCAAGCTGTGCGATCCGCGCTACGCGGCATTCACGCCACTGCTGTCGGGCTTGTATTCACGGCCGTCTATCGCTTGTTCCAAATCGGCTACCTGGATGCTGATGTTCGAAATGGTGGCAGCTTGAGCAGAGATCCCTGGTGGGTCGTGATTGTGGCTACGGCCTTTGTCGGTGGCATGCATTTTCAGCTGTCGCCTCCGCTGGCCATCCTTCTCGGTGCTGTAATGGGTCTCATTTGGTATGCCATCGTACGAGCTTGAGTATTGCATGGGCAAAATCACACAGACGAGCGGTAGTTGTTTAGTCATACGTCCGGACCCCTTGCCAAAGTTTCTTTCATCATGCAAGGACTCACCGGTGACGAGATGCACGCTCGAGGCACGGTCTGCATTGGATGCCTGCCTACGTCGACCAACCACTCATCTCAAAGTAAGCAAGTGATAGGGTTCGAGAACTTGAATACCGCTCTACCACAGTCTCGGGATTAGGCACTCGGGTCGAAAGATCTGTTGGAATGTGTTCACTCCACTCTTGCGAAGGCTGCCATGTCAGGCGAAGAGCAAACGCCGCATGAGCATGGCAACATATAATAAGCTTGTCGCCGACCACAGTCGCCAAAGCCAGACTCCATCCTTTAATGCACGAAAGCCGCGATGTGGACTCACGGTTTTCAGCACACTCTAAGCATTGAAGCTGCCAGAATTGACCGTTACGATTTCGTGTCATCGGCCAATTTGTTCGGTACACCGGTGCGTCGGCGACATTTCTTCGACCTCCCTCCAGAAATCAGAGCACAGATATACATGCTTTTGCCTCAAACAGGAATCAACTTCTTCGGCGATGAGAATTTGTTGACTGAAACCATACTTGGTGTTCATACCGTTCCTCTCAGCCCGCCAATCGCGTCCACTTGCAAGTTCCTCCGAAAAGACGTTTTGGATGCATACTTCAGCCTCTCACATTTCCGTTTCCTGCGATCAGGCCGGTGGGCTTTCGGCGCGTTCGACTGGGTGGAAGCACAGCCCGACTTCTGCATCTCCTACATGAACAACATCGTCTTCGAGAGCTTGACGGTTCATCGCAAAGGACAAGACGAGGAAGATCCTTTGTTATGGTGCGGATCTGGCAACCACAACACGATTCGACACTTTGACACGATCAGCATCGATGTGCGTCAAGGATCTGTCATTATTGAGCCATCACGCTTGTTCGTTTGGGGAGAGTTGCAGACCCCGGATATGACTTGCGGCAACTGCAACCATGTGGAATATCTTGAGGAAACGGCAGTGAAGTTGAGAGGAATAGTGAGCGTACTTCCGTTCTTTGATGGTCAAAGGAGAATAGGCAAAGAAGCTCTCAAAGCGATGATGAGGTTGACGATTGGTGTCCAGGTCGATGGTGAAGTGGTGCATCCTGGCATGGATCGGTCCCATGTCTTTACCAAAACGATTCGTCAGCGATGGCCGATTACGAGAGCGGAGAGGCGGGAGAAACTTCAAGAACTAGGTCATTGGGCCACGGGCGGTTCAGCAATGCACGGGTGATGGAGACGTTTCCTGTATTTCTGTTGGCTAGCACACCTACATTGATTCTGCTACTCGAAGGCGCCAGGACTTTAGAAAAGCCGCAGCGGCTCAGCTACGGCCACGACCAATCTGATGAGCAGGAGAATTGTGCTTGAGTCGAAGTTGACCTTGAATTCGAGCAGCTGCTTTAGCATGGTACGAGTCAACGCTAAAGTGAATTTCCTCCAATGTCGCAACGAGTCTCGCATCACACACTCACGGAAATGGATCGTACTCTCCCTTTCCAGAACAAGCAGCCTCCACATCGCCGGCATCGACCTGTTGCACAGCCTTGCCATCAGCACCAAATCTCAGCAAGGCCCCACCATTGCTCGCCGTCGTATCGTAAGCTGGCCAGGTCGCGTTCGACAGTCCATTCCAAGGATCACGGACAAATTCCAGCAGAAGATCCTCCATCGTCTCGCTCGTCTCGATCTCCAGCGGAGTTGCGGGTCCCACTCCATCCTCGTACGTGCCAAAGAACATGACAAGGTCACTCGAGTGATAGGCACCCATCCCTGTTGAGCATGAAAGTCAGCGTGGCGTTCTTCTGTGGACACGGTTCAGGTAAGACTTACAAGGCAAAGGGTCTTGGTTCGTCCAGTTCCCGGCATATTGGTACCTGTACGTCGGGAGTCCCAGGCCATTCCTCAATGCACCACTTCTCGCAGCGCCGCATAGGATTTGCAATGTAGTCTGGTCGGCTTCCGTCTGGTTCACACCTCTCTGCGGATCATCTGCAGGATACGTGCTCAGACTTCCACCCTCGTTGGCAGTGGATGAGTATATCATCGGAGCTCTCGTCACTCGTTGTTGCAAGTATCGCTCAGTATAATTGGAGAACACAAGTTTCTCATCCGCGACAGTCGAAAAGGATATGTCCGGCTGAGTGCCATTGTCCTGGTATCGTCCCATGAAATCGATGATGTCGTTGTGATCGACCTTTTGCATGCACTCCAGTTCTGCAGTGAAGTTGGTAGGAAAATCACATCCAACATTCTTCGCGACGAATGTGAAGTTGGAATACGTAGCATCTGGCACGGATGGAGGGAAAGCGATGATACTCCCGGACTGGGCGAAGAACCCATGTGCGATTGGGTCGTTGTAGAAGGCATAGTTGTGAATGTCAACTGAAGCTGCGCCGGCAGACTGGCCCCAAATCGTGATCTTTGAAGGGTCTCCGCCGAAAGCTGCGATGTTGTCTCGTACCCATTCGAGTGCGAGGCGTTGGTCAAGCAAGCCCAGGTTCTGCGTTGAAATGCCTCCTGCGTTAGGAAATCCCATGATGTTCATCCTGTAGTTGATCGTGACGACGATGTGAGATTGAGATCGCGATACCCATCGGCCGGGAACTTGACCTGGCACCAAGATACCATTTGTCTGGAAGCCTCCTCCAGTCCAGAACATAGCGACAGGTAAGCGAGAGGCGTAGGTCGCATTGGCTGGGGTCCATATCGCGAGCTTGAGACAATCTTCAGTGGCGAAAGGAGCAGAGATTCCCGCTGTGAGATTTGGTGCTCCCCATTCCTGGAGATACTGAGGTATCTTCTGGTTCCAAATAGTCTTTTGGGACGTCACATACTGCGGGCAAGCTGGAGGATATTCGGTTGCGTTGATTCTCTCCGAGGACAGTGGAACCGCGAGGGGTGGCTTGAATCGATTCTGACCTGCTGTGTCCTGTCCGAAGGGTACAGACAGGAACTCCCTCACGTTGGTGTAGTTCGCATTGATCCGACCAGTGATGAAGCCTGTCGAGGCACGGACAGTGAGAGCTTCGTCATTGCCATAAGGAGTTGATGCCACCAGTCTGAGCCTCGCAAGGAGGATTAGGCTTTTGAAGAACTTCATCTCAGTGTTTTGCGAAAGTTGAGGAAACTTTGAAGTTTAACTTTCTTGCTCCTGGGACCAAACTTGCGATTCATAGTTACCGAGTACGCAGCCGAAGCACTCTCTCGCATCGATATGTACGAGACGACGGGAGGGGTACTTCTGATGGCTATAATCCGGTTAAAATTGGGCACTCGGAGCGCAATGCCGTCACAATGCTACTGTTTGGGCTCCAGCAGTCTTTACCTTCCTCGAGTAGCTACAGTCTCTAGCTCCCGACCATGCACCCCACCATTAGCCTTCAGGACCCCTGCGAGCTTGAACGAGCTTGTCTCCACTTCACGAATGCGGGCCTCTGCTGCATTGTTCAATCTTGACAGCGTAGTGGATCAGAGTGGCTTTCAGAATGTGCGCTGCGCCAATGCAAGCTCAGCCGCGAAGGCACATTTGAGATCGATCGCCAATCACAAAGAGAAGAGCAGTGCATATGATTGTTTTCTCAGCCAGGCTCTGCTCTGATGTGCTGGTCGCTCGGCACGATGACTTTGAAGGAAATGAACAGTCGAAGAGCGGGCCATGCCTACCTGTTTCGAGCGACGAGACTGTGAACTCATGTTCGAGTTCTCCGCGCCCGCGAGCTCTGCATATGTTGGATACGCAGGGGCGGTGAACCGCGTGGTCTCAAGTCCCGTTGACCTACATTATGGCCTGGCTTGTCCGGCTCCAATTATGGTGACTGGCGAGCATATTGAGGACGCAAAAATTGCAGCCCGTTTGCACGCTGTTCCTTCTGGTGCGCGGCAACTACTCTTCACATTGCATCTCCACTGCAATGGGCACAGCGTCGCAAGCTACTGAGTGAGCGTGAGAAGTGCGCCAGCGAGGATCGTGTGATGCCGTTGTGACTGGGTCTTGTCGTGATTGATGCAGCTGTCGGCACGCTGCTTCAGATGTGGTCAGACCAGCATCATTGACGTGCGCTCGATGAAGATGAGTGAGAGCTCTTCGGCAGGAGGGTTTTGTCGACATGGAGGTGACTTCGAGGCATCTCCGTGTAGAGGACGCGTAGTTTCAAGCTCTGTCTCGTGCTCAGGTTTTTGTGTCAGGACGATCTTGCCAGCTTTGATACCTTGTTGTAGACCGGAGTTCGACTTGGACGGGTTGAAATCGGTTGAAAAGGGAGACTTATGTTGCATCTCATCGACGCAGTCTGGAACCCCAATCTGTTGCGGAGTGCTTGGGCGCGGGGTGCAACGATGTTTCGAAGCTGTTTTGGTGGGAAGGCTCGAGTTTCAGTCACTGTCGGCTTTTCAGGATGCGCTGCGCTCGGCAGCTGGGTTGACAGAGCTCGACACGTGTGGGGCGACGCCAATTGAGCTGCAAGCAGTCAAGGTGATGCGCCAGAAGCTGCTGATCTTGCAGGAGCTGAAGCGCCATGTCTGGGTGCAGTGCGGGTGGTCTGGCTGGGCCAGTTTTCTGGACAGTTCACACGTGGCCGGCCACAGCGTGAAATTCAGGTGCTTGTTGTATTAGATGAAGAGAACCAGGGAGGACGCGTCGCTGCGGGCGGTCGAGTCGCAGGTCCATATTCGCATCGTCTTTGATTGAGCATCGCGACCAGGCGGTGTTCAGACGCGTGCCAGACGCGTGGTTGCGCGGGAAAAACAATGTTCGCGTTCGACGGCCGGCGTCATCGCGGAACAGGAGAGGTTCGTATTGAAGACATGGTGTCTCGGATGGGGGTGTGGTGTTTAGTCCACCAGGGCAGGCGGACAAGGAGCGAAATCAATGTTGTCGCCGATTTGGAAGTGTTGTACGGCGGACATTGCCAAGACGCTAGTGTTGCTGACTAATCGGCAGCCCCAGCTCCGACTGACTGGGTTGCATCTATGCTATCGCCACAGTGTAGCATATTATGGCTTGCATACATCCTGCATTCAAGGTCCTCCCGGGGAACATTGGCTGCGCTCAGCAGCCATGATTCTCTGGGAACGTGATGCAAGACAGCAAAGCCTGCCACGGGTTTGTATCTATCTTCAACGCTCACAAGTTCTCCATAAGATCCAACGCACCTCCTAGCGGAACATGGGCTGTAAATGCACGACGTTGAACGTAACCCCAAAAGAGATTGGCTGCGGAACGCAGCCGAGGTTTTCTGGGAGCACAATACCAGAAAGTGAGCCTTGCTGCCAGCAAAAATGAAGCCTTCTTGTACCGGCTATTGTTTCTACGAAAGAAGCGCGATGTCGTTGCATACAGTGGTCAGTCCTCTGTCTGCGAGATTGTTCTCGACACGTCCCAGGCGAAACATTATGGGTGACAACTGCGCATCTTTGTAGTGCTCTCCATGTAGGTGGAAACAGCAGTCGCCGCTCCGATGGCAGTAAATAAGTCCACCGCCCCTGGCCTACGAGATCCGCTCCACACGAGGCAACCACTTATCGAATGAACCACTCTTCACAGTCAGCGCCAACCATTCCCGAATATCTTCCACCTGCTCGTCCATCGCTCTGCTACTCTTCACAAACTGCACTGCCTCTCGCTTCTGACAGCACAATGCTGCGTTGAAGCAACTGACCAAACCGGAATCATCTCCATCCCGCAGGCCTTTCCCTTCCCGCACAGTCCAGCCCGCACAGTCGTACCCTAGCGAGCGCAGCCATGCCTTTGCTGCTTCGTACAACAGCACAAGTGGTTTGATCAAGTGCCCATAACCCGTGATTCTGGATTCTGCCGGCTCGATGACCAAGACGTCCCAGACATCGATAGTGCGCACGGGAATCACAAGAAGTCGGAAGAGGTCGATCGTGGTCGCAGTCACACCAGTGGCGAATCTTGAAGCGACCAGAAGCTCGTGTGCGCCGGGGTTGAGGTACAGAGATGCTGGCAAAACCTTCACACGTGGCAAACCGGTCTGACTGAGAAGAGTCGTGTTGAGCAGGGCGAAGATGTGACACATCAGTTGGTCCTTGGGATCGAAACGCTCTTGCTCAGGCGAGTTACAGCGTGGAACTCTTATAAGTGGTGCCAGTTCGTCGTTTCTCAGTGGTATGAAGCAGTTCGACTCACGCGGCGGGATGGATGTGTCCTGACTCGGCCAGTCTGTGAGTTCAGTCGTGTCGGCGGTATCGACTAGATGCGGCGAGTTCAACCACGCCTGCAGTTGTCGTGTGCGCTCGAGTGCTTCGGCTTGCGCCCGCTCCTGAGTGTTATGGCGGTAGCGGGCGACTGTCCAAGCATACTGCTGTTCGGTCATTCCTGACCCCTCTGGGCTGGACAAAAAGTTGCTCATGACAGCGACTTCCCACGCTTGTCCAGTCGCTGCTGGTTCGGCGCCGCTAGGGCGGGGAGAGAAGGTGGTCCTGGTAAAGTCTGGCACTCCTTGTTTGCCGACCGTAAGATTGTTGTCTTGCGCTGGCACCGGCATCTCGTCGAGGATTTCCGGGTGCGGGAGTGGAAAGGCCATGGCGTGAGGTGGCGGAGGTTTGTGAGGACACTGCTTGTCTGCGAGTAACTGTGGTATCGCGTAGCGATCCTCCCATAACATGAGAAGAGGCTTGTCGAGTTTGTCTGGTGCAGTGAGTTCGTGGCCGTACGATTTTGCGATTCGATCGCGCGTGCGCTGATCGACAGCATCGCTGTCGAGCAGCCATTGCAGCTGGCGTCCAGTCACGACCATGATTTCGCGCGAGAGGGAATGGTAGCAGACGCCCTGGGCAGAGCATCGAAGAGCTCAAATCCAAGTCCTGACTCGAAGCTGGATTTATTTGTGCTTCACATCTGTGCCGCCCCACTTCTAAAGCTTGTGTGCAAGCATTTGTGCCTTTCTGCCTTGGAGCTCGAGATTTTGGACTCCCGCGCAGTGGACTCACTGCTGCTGTGTGTTGCCACTCAAACACTCGAGCATTCGAGCATGGTCCAGCCTGTTCTGCTGCCAGCTAGGGCGCCACAAAGGCCGTCCAGGCAGTGTTCACAACCAGAGAGGTCGGGTAGGAGAACCACAGGGAGCACGGCCAACGTCAAGAACTAAGTCAATTGCTTTCTGAGAATGATCTTATGCCGCGCTCTAATCGTGTGCGCAGATTGCAGCAGTACGATTTCTCTCGCTCCAAGGTATGTGGCATCAGTACTTCTTCCTGGCGTAAAGACCCGTTGTCGACTGGATACTGCATTCATGTCAGCAACCCTCTGAACAACATCAGTCTGCAACCTTGCATGATGCTCTACTTTCGCAAGCTCGGCCGGATCGATTACATCGGCTACCTACCGATCGAAGACCAATCTTGCGTGACTCCGAATGCCTCCACCTATCGCCTGAAAAGGAATCGCAACGCTCGATGGCGTGTAATATGCTCAGTCGTTGGAAATATATGACCTGAATGAACATGCTTTGTAGGACCTGAGCTGGTCTGCTGCACCATCTTGGACCTGGTGCACTGTGAAGGTTTCTCAGCTCTTCCTGATGCTGTGCTGGCACCGCGACTAGGGCTATGCACTGCAGAGCAAAACCTGCATTATACCGTGTAGAAGTGATAGCATGCTCTCTGAGTATGCAGTCGCTTTCAGCATTGTATTCCGTGCGCTGACATTCTTCACTTCCGCATCACTGGTCCATCTCTTGATCATTACTGTTCATTCTATCGTCGATATATCGAGGTGATGCGAGTAATGATGACAGAGGCGGATGTTCAGGCGATAGGTGGAGGCATTCGGAGCCACGCAAGATTGGTCTTCGAGCGGCAGCCGATGTAATCTGATCCGGCCGAGCTTGCGAAAGTACTTCGTGCGGAGTACAGGATCGTTTTGCACATCGCGTTGATTGATACTATGTCATATACTCCGTGGCCGTGGTCTTTGTACACAATTGGTGACCCGACAGCGTCGTGGCTCCTTACACTGTCTAGACGTCGTCAGTCTGCTGAGAGAAATACAGGGCATCGCTGAATCGCGCAGGATTCGTCTTTCGCAGCACCTTGAGCCTGGTCAAGATGCTCTCCTATATGGCTTGGTACCATTGTCTACTGCACGCTTGAGAAGTTTGACAATGTACTCGCGAGACAGTAGGAAGGGGCATCGCAGCGGACGGCGTGGCAGGATTTGAGGTTGGGTGCCAAGCTTGACCACCGTCGGAGAAATTTGTTGAGGACTCATATTCTTTTTGCAACCACAGCTTTCAACCAATGGTCCAAAGCCATTACCATCCGAATTGGTGTATCGGCTAGCATCTTCCGCTTTCATACTCGCCCTATGAGCACCGGAAAGAGCCGGGTTCGACTGTAAGATCATCTTCAAGTCATATTACCAGAATTTCGACTAACAATTCATCTCAGCCCGGATTCGGAATACGTTCCATCAGATGTTTCTTTTTGCCCGTTCAATTCACTTTTGCACTGCTCAATGCTTAGTGTCAGAGCAGAGGGATAGAGGAACGATGGATAATTTTGCACTTCATGTCAAATTTGCGGTGAAAGGCTTGGCGAGATGAAGTGAATCTTATTTGACGACCTCTCTTCAAATGACCCATCAATCTTGACGCGCTGATATTCATCAGTATCGCCTTTCAACAAGTTCTAATAGTCTTCGCACTCGACGCTGTGCTTGTCACAAAGGTGTAAATCGATTGACTCTTCTTTCTCTCCTGGCTCAAAGCACAATATTGTCAGTCACTTCGCAACACTAAACTCAAAAGCCCACGCAGTCTTTTGACCTTGGGTAGTCTGATACACCGGAAAAGTGACCGAATCGCCTGAGTAAGTATGCTGCGAAGCAAATCAGTACGATCTTTATACGAACGCAGAACCGGACAACTCACACCGTACACTCCACGATCAGTCGGCGCATCCACCCTCCCAAAATGTCCCTGATCGATCAGACCATACGTCTGAATATTCAAAGTCCCAGAAGTCGGCAACCCCACCGAGCTCAACTTATTGATCGTAACATAATACGTTCCCGTATTGGTACATCCCGTCAAAGTCCTCACCTTATCCGATCCAATCGTAGCATACACATCCATCACCCCATCGCCACTTCCCGTCGTACCAGCACGAATACCAGTCATATTACGATTATAATACTTGTAGACTTGGAACTCGCCATTGCCGTAGTATCCCGTTCCCGTGCAAGAATTCGTATCAGACTTGCCGAGGAGACTGGCCATGAAATCCCGCAGTTGGCATTTACTCAACCAGTTTCCGCGAAGACCGATGTAATTCAGGCGTTCGAGACGGGAGATCCACCAGGCTGCTCCGACGGAGGTTTGTTGGTCGAAGGTGGCGTATTCGTTGATGTTGACGGGTCGAGATGGAGCGCTGTATTTTTGTAGGAGAGGTGTGAAATTGTTTGCATCGTTTGCTGGGTCACCTGGTTCGTCGTGCCAGGCGTATTGATCTGGGATGACATTGTCCTGTACGACACGCTGTAGCCAGGTTGTCCACCAGTTGTTGTTGAGAGAAGGCTGACCCGCGGAAGATGGACCGGAGATCAAGACGCCGTTGAGAGAGGCGTCTTGTCGAAGACGCTTGTGTGTTCGAACGTACATGTCTAGATACTGCGCTTCGCTTCGAGCCCAGAAGCCGCTGCCATCTGGCTCGTTCCAGATGTCGTAGACCAAGCTGTCCAGCATGTTTAATCTCTTCAAGTCGCTGATCAACGTGTTGAGGAAATTGTCGTAGTCGGTCCAGTCGCCGTTATCGCCTGGCCAATGAGTTGAGCTATTGGCATGATCTGTTCCCCAGATGTCGTGAGGGAGGATGATGACTTTGGCACCATATTCTCGGGATGTGAGATAGTTGTTGTAAGTACTGTTCAAGCGAGCTTCATAGGCAGTCTTTCCCATGATCCAACCTCCTTGATCGAGCTGCGCTCCACCGACTCGAGCATAGTTGAAGCCTATGTCTTGGTAGAAGTGGGCCGGAATCTGGTTGACACTTGTGTCTGGGATACCATAGATAAAGCCAGAGGCAAGATGTTGAGGAGTGCCGCGTTTGATTGAGAGGTCTACTACTGCAGTATTGCTGGAGCTTTGTCGTGGGTGGAGGGTCACACCCAAGACCTGAGTGGCCAGGAATGCCAATATGATCGAAGACATAGAGGACTGTGCTTGGTGAATGTTTTGAGAATCATATTTACTATCCTGCCTGTCTTTTATATCTCTTGCATCGTGTCGCCGCCCGCTTCTCACAACAATCAAGCTTTGCTAAGCCCCTCCACCTCCACAGGCTAGCTGTACTAAGCATTTGGTCTGCGGAGAAATGTTGATCGTGAGGGAGGTCGCGCGCTGATGGTCCTGCTCGTTCGCGAGTGGCGGAGGAGTGAGTTGCGAAATGCGTAACGAAAAGCGTTCCACCGGAGGGTCCGGTGGGGGTCTGTCCTGGCCTCCGTGCATGCGGAAGAACTTTGGCCATACCCAAAGATACCATCTGCACGTCCCATATGATTTGCCTGAGCGCTATGGACTTGATTTCCGAAGCTGTATGTGTAGTGCATTAGCACTTGATCGCTTCTGCTGTGATGCGCAAAGCTCATCGGCAGCGGTCGGCGATGACTGCATGACTGCAAACCGTCCGACAACAACCTCGATTTAACTCTCTAGGCATGGCTTGACGCCTTTCAAGCCCACGACACAGGAATGCCAGTCTCGTCCTTGTGGTGACGTAGGCGGGACTTCAGGGCATTTGCCGCGATAGGGCTGGCAGACTGTAGATGCTCCAGGTCCTTGGTCGTAGTCACGATGCACTTGTTGCACAGCTTCTTCCACTCATCCAACAGTTCCTTGACGCCTTGCTTTTCTTTGCCTGCATTGTCCACGAGAGCGAGAGGTGTGTCGCTGCGGTCGAATGGAAAGCCTTGAATGGAGTTCTTTCCGGGTGAATTGTAAGTCGAGCACCAGATGCGAGTGTGTATGAGGACCAGCATCGCATCGTAATATGACTCATCCAGCCACTTGGGGGTTGGAGCGCCGAGGTCTTTCGAAGTTGCCTGAACTGTGAGGACTGCCGCGATCGCCAACGTCTCTTTAGATGGCAAATTTAGGGGTCCATAGGCGTCTTGCAATCGTTTCCAAACTAGTTTGCCCTGTGCCTGACGCTCCTTTTGCCATCGGTTGAGCTCTCCTGGATAGAAGTCTAGCCATCCGGCATGCTTGACAAAGTCTAGGCCAGTTCTGTATGAAGAGACGTAGGTCTTGATTAGGCGTGCTTCGTCTCTTGTAATGCAGCGATCTGAATCGCTGGAACGTTCGGCATTTTCGAAAGCTCGAGCTATGGCATTGGCGCGCTTGACAGAAGCTGCGAGGGCGCCCAAGTCTGTGGTCCATGCCAGTCTGGCACGTGTCTCATCGCTGATAGGAACCGGATCTGCCAACTCGTTAGCGGCAATAATCGGGGTCTGGGCATGAGCTGCACAACTCACTTTCCCACGCGTCTGGCCAGGCACGAACGACAAGCTCGCCCAGTTGGTTGAGGGTGCCCCAAATAGTTGCCGGGCCCTCGTACTTGAAGTCCCACATCTCCTGGACATCGGCGCCTACTCGAGACTCGTAGCTAGGGCTGTTCCAATCGTCGACGTCCCAAGCAGCAAAGAACAAGGGTGGTCTAGGTTTTCCCAACTCCCACATCTCAATTTGACTAGCCACTATCATCTCTCGCCTGCCACCGGCGGCTCCTCGCTGTAGAGGATGGTCTCATCGGTTCAGGGCATCGAGCTTCAAGTGGTTGCGGTCTTGTTCATCTTCGAAGTCGATAAACGCGAGCGGCATATCCAGTGCGCGATCTGAGTATCTGTGCGTGAGCGTGTTTCCTGCAATGTGCTCGGCGATTCGAAACTTTTGTTTAGCTTCTTCCTCGTCTCTGGCATCTTCGCTTATGGAGCGGCGACGCTTGCGGCTCTCGGACAATGGCGATGGAGTCTCAGCCATCATAAGTTGTGATGGTCGGGTTCGGAGATACGCAGAGCTGATCTTGCGTTGAGAGTTGGAAGGAAGAAGAAGAAGAAAGTAACAGACTTCGATCTGCTTCGTTTTCAACTTCTCGCGGCGGCGGCTGCCGCAGGTGAATGTCGGAAGCTACCCGAAGGCAGCAATGTTCCCGGTAGTGAAGGTGAATGAATTTTTGAATTACGCAGAGCTTGTCTTACGTTGATGGTGGTCGTCAAGTGAGGGAGCGATCAGGCCGCGAAGTCTCTTCGTCGTCATATTTCTTGCGGCGGCGCTTGCGGCCAACGGACGTGCGAAGCTCATCCGAAGGCAGCATGATGATGGCGATCGAGGTGGAGGTTCGTGAGGGCGCAGAGCTTGTCTTACGTTGATGGGCGGCGAAGAAGGAAAGGAAGAGAATTGGAAAGAGGGGGTCAGCTGCTGGAATACAAGTGGCAAACGCCAAGAAACTTCATGCGAAGCTGAAGTGAAGAGCAAACGGCAGCGCGTGAGTTGCGAAGTGAGCTGCATGTGGAAGCAGCGAGACAAAACGTCGCGCGGCATCTCACGTGGGTGGTGAAGTCTGAGGCGTCCGAGTGCACGACGCTGACGATATGCAGCGAGCAATGCTTTGGAGTCATAGTATCGGCGAGCTTGTGCGCAAGCCCTCTGCAAATATTGTGCAAGAAAGACTGGGTCTTGTCTGGATCGTCTCGGGAAGTGGAAAAAATCACTTGCTTCATGTCCAGGTCAACGTCTGTTCCGGGCGAGTAGTCTTAGCCTCATCTGCGCGTGTGGACTTGTGCTTAATAATGAATGTTGCGATGAGGACGTTGCCGTGGCTACGCCTTTCGGAATAGAAATGTCTTCCACAAATGCTCTTGTTTCTGCATGCCGGTGTGAGGACCTGTCGAACTCGTCTCGATGGCGACGAGAACGTGCCATGTCTTCCTCTTCATCCAACGACTGTTCTCGAGGTCCGAGACAGACCTTCCGAGAAGTATGCAAAACCACGGGAAAACTTCCGACGATTGCAGCCTTATCGAGCTGGCCGGTACTGCCTCCGAGTCAGGGCAGATCTGGATACGATGGACGGCGTCCACCAGCTCCGAGTCCAAGACCTGGTTGTCCGGCTGGGCATCGAGATATGGGACCGAAGCATATGTGAGCTGTCGCTATGTCAATATTTCCTGCAGTGTATGCATGATTGTGGTCTATTGGAATTTCATGAACGCATGTCGTGCTATACTTCGCCTTCGCTATGGTCCTTGTATTGATCCTCTTACTTCGCCGGCGTGCTGTTTGTGCCCTGCAGTGTCGCCATTATATATTATCAGTCCAGACACGCATGCTCGACACTGGTAGTCAAGAATGTACGCATGCAGCCGCGTCAGCTAGTCGTCGAAGCGAGGAAAGGACGATGAATGAGACAGGTGTCTGCCGTTGTTCATGACTTTGAACTGAATCCTTACGGAACCTTTCCGACTGACCGCATCGGGTTCACGCACTGGGCACAATTCTATGCTTTCTGGCACACAGCCACTTCAACGTGTCGTTGCAGACCCTGCCTGGTTTCCGCCACAATGTTTCTGCCACAGAGAGAAACAGGCCGTCTCGATGAGCGGCCCTGATTGCGGCCGCCAGGTCATTTCGCGAATTGTGTGAACTCCTGCGGACCAGGATGCGTGCCTCGGAAGGCTACCGGCTCGGCTCCTTTTGGTATTTTCGATCTTACAGCTGCATTATGCAGCTAAGGACGCACGACTCGCGGCGTGCCTGGCCGTGCGATAGCCTCTTCCAGCAGCAGCAAATGCACTGCGAACAGCCGAAGGGCATTTGCACAATGTATGAGATGCGCTGGCTGTTTTATCCAAATGGCAACCGTGATCGATCTGATGAGTGCTGGAACGAGCGTAAGGCTACAAAACAGGCCGTCGATCTTCCCCTTTAACCCTGCAAGCTAATGCAACTCTGCATGAGCCCTTGAACGAAAGCGTTTCAGAGTTTGGGACCTGGTCACGGGGATTTATCTTGTGAAGCAGCAGCAACGGCAGCACGAGAAGCATGGCGAGGGTCGCACGAGAGGCCGGGCAGTTGTAGCAGTGCTCTGGTCGACAGTTGGGGTGCCGAAGGGCATTGCGTGGTAGGTTTTGCCCAGGCGGACCGTTCCCTGTGAGGTGGGAAAGGCTCAAGCCACGGAATGTCTGCCGACGCACCGCGAAGGCTAGTCGACCTCGCAGCGAACCAGGAGGAGAAGTTGTCTGGAGGAGACTTTGTGTCCCAGCCTCAGGACGAGACGGGAAGCGTGCGTGCGTGCGCAGTGTCTTCGTGCAGCGCAGTCCTGTCGTCGACAGTCTGCTGTCCATACTCACCACCCTGATCCCCTTCCGCCGCCCAGTTGCATTGTACGGCGCCCGTTGTGCCACGAGGTGTGTGCGTGCTCTCATCGTCTGGCAGCGAGCAAGCGGGCAAACAGCATTCCCTCGCCAGCCCGCGCCGAAACGCCAGCCACGACCCCGACTCCTCGCCATCACCCAACCCGCGGCGCTTCGCTCGCACCACCACCCACCGTCCCCCTTCCACCGCTGGACAACGGCGAGCGCGCGCATCGACGAGCCGGGCTGGATGTGTGCGCACCGCGACTAGCCCACCGTCGCCTGACCCGGTCTGCGCTACATCTCCTGGCGGCCGCGTCGAATCCCCGAACATCACACCTGCCTAGAACATGTCCTTCTTGTTCAAATCGTCCAAGAAGGGCGGGTCCGGTCCTGTCGCCAGCTCCAATGCGCCGTCATTACACGCCGTCCGAGAGCATACCCCCAGAGATGCCGGCGCACCCAGCCAAATACCTACGCTGAACGGCCACCAGTCCAATGGCGCGAAGCCAGGCTCACCTACACCTCCGCAGAGCGTGAACAACAGTTTGAACTCAATATCGGGCTTCGAAAAGCCCTCGCCGCAAGCACGGCCGGCCGATGAGCGGATCCAAGCGCCTCGAGACGATGGCCCGCGGCCAGAGCAAAAGTCACTGCGTGAGAGAAGAGAAACGAGCCAGGATGCAGTATGTGGAAGAGCAGGCGCTACTGATAGTGATAAGCTGACATAGAACACAGGTGGGCCAGAGGACGCCTCTGCAACAAACGCGCCCTTCACAGGACGCATCGCCCTATCCGTGGTCGCAGCGCCGTCTGAACTTCACAGTTACACACGCGAACCCCTTCCCACGCTATGGCGCTGCAGTCAATTCCAGCTCGAGCAAAGATGGTTCAATATATCTCATGGGCGGACTCATCAATGGTAGTACCGTTAAGGGCGATCTATGGATGGTTGAGTGCGGCGCCGCTGGGATGGGAAGCATGACCTGTTTTCCTGTTGCGACCACGAGCGAAGGGCCAGGGCCACGTGTGGGACATGCGAGCTTGTTAGTCGGCAATGCCTTCATTGTATTTGGTGGAGACACCAAAATGGACGAGGGCGACCAGCTGGACGACACGCTGTATCTCCTCAATACATGTGAGTAGGCCAACCTCAGTGTAGGTGATGCAATACTAACATCCTTGCAGCCACGAAGCAATGGTCAAGAGCGTTACCTGCTGGACCGCGTCCGCCCGGACGATACGGGCATACATTGAACATTCTTGGCAGCAAGATTTACATCTTTGGAGGTCAGGTGGAAGGCTACTTTTTTAATGATCTGGTAGCCTTCGACCTGAATGCTCTACAGCAAGCAACGAACAAATGGGAAATCCTCATCCAAAACACGATCGATGGTGGTCCACCACATGGCCAAATCCCGCCAGCCCGTACAAACCACACAATGATCACCTGGCAAGATCGGCTATATCTCTTCGGAGGAACAGATGGCATTCACTGGTACAACGATGTCTGGTCATACTCCCCGCACACCAACACGTGGTCGCAACTAGACTGCATCGGCTATATTCCAGCAGCACGTGAAGGACACGCCGCGGCACTTGTTGGCGATGTCATGTACATCTTCGGCGGACGAAATGAGGAAGGCAATGATCTGGGAGATCTGGCAGCATTCCGCATCAGCTCGCGCAGATGGTACACCTTCCAAAACATGGGTCCGAGCCCCAGTCCCAGATCAGGCCACAGCATGACCACTGTCGGAAAGTCCATTGTCGTTCTGGCCGGTGAGCCCAGCAGTGCGCCTCGTGACCCAGTCGAGCTCGGTCTGGCCTACTTTCTCGACACTGCGAAGATTAGATATCCTCCTGACGCGACGTCTGGCACTCCACCATCGGGTAGGCGACCGAGCGGCGAGAGAGCAGGGTCGCTAAGCAACATTCGAGGCCCGGGCCCAGGTCAGAGAGCAGAGCTGATGGATCGCGAGAGGAGTGGGAGTGCTGGAGAGAACCGCATTCGGTCACCAGATAGCGGGTCAAGACTTCCACGACCGGGACAACCACCACCTTCTGGCCCGCCACCCCAAGCGCCGGGACAAGTTCGTCAGATCGGCCCACCCGCGACCACACGGCAGCCCACACGACCTGCGGAGAGGGCACTCAGCCCTACGAATGAGAGCATCCGACCTCAGCAACGCTTTGATAGCGTGGCTGCAATCGCAGGATCTGCAGCGGCTCGCAATTCTCCTGTTCCGAAAGATCGATCTATGCCTACTTCGCCCACTTTCGAGAGAGATCAGACTACCGCGCCACCACAAGCAGAGGAGCAGATACGATCGAAACCCGAAACCTATACTCCTTCGCAAGAGCTGCCTGGATCGTTCCCACAGACTCCTGGTCTGGAGTCACGCAACGAGTCACGAACTGGGTCAAGAAGTACGTCTCGACAAGCGCAAAACCGTTACGAGGAGCCATCACGGCCTTCTGTTGATAATGAGCCACTCTCTCGCGTGCGCAAGATCTCAGAAGAACATGAGAGGCCACAAGATTCTGGACTTGGTTCATCGCCGGCATTGACCTCGCAGTATGAAGAGTTGGCTAGAGAGCTCGAACTGATCAAGCAAAAGAATGCCTGGTATGCCTCCGAGCTGGCTCTGGCGAGGAAATCCGGTTACCAGGCGCGATCCACGGAGTCACCTGTCTTTGACGAGAGCAGCAAGCAAACTTTCAATGATGATGACAAGCCTTTAATCGAGGCCTTGCTGAAGATGCGCGGCGAATTGGCGAAAATGCAGGAGACGATCGAAGAGCAGAGCAACAACGCAGCCACACGAGTCGCTGAGATTGAGCGGCAACGGGACACCGCAATCAATGAGGCTGTGTTTGCAAAGGCGAGACTGGCGGGGTCAGGGGGCTCCCAACCAGACGGCGAAACGAAGCAGATGGATCGTGATAACGATATTAGCCGTCGACTTGCAGCGTCCCTCGAAGCGCAAAGCGAGCTGAAGCGTCAAATTGACACCTTAATCCAAGGAGCTGAGGCTGAGAGAAAGGCACGGGAACTCGCCGAGGATACTGCCAACGCTGCGCAGAAACGAGTCTTGGAGCTTGATCAGTATAGGCAACAGCACGCTTCCGAGGTTGAGAGCCTGCGCTCTGAGCTGCACGAAGCGCAAAAGGCACATCGTGAAGCTGCAGCAAGCCACACGGAAATCCTGACACAACATAAGATTCTCGAGGTGGACAAGAACGAGCTCCGGCAAAAGCTGGAATCCATGACAAACCAAGGCAGCACTCAGACCGAAATGCTTGCATCGTTGGAGAAGGCTGTGCAGGCCTCCAAGGAGAAAGCAGACTTATTGCAACAACAGCTTGACGACGCACGCGGCAGTCGGGACGAGCTCGAGTCCAGCCTGCGCGAACTGAAATCTCAGCACGATCAGCGCGTCGGAGAGTTGGAGAGCACCTCGAGACGCCTGCGGGAAGCTGAAGAGCTAGCCGAGAAGCATGCCGAGGAGGCTCGCACGCACCGCGAAGCTGTCATGAGTGGTCTGCAGCAAGTCACAAGCCGCGACGTGGGAGCCAACGGTGTGCAGGACGAGCGTGTTGAGATCCTGCAAAAGCAAGTCGAGACTGCGCAAGCCCAGGTCCGACAGAATCAAGCAGCTGCCGATGCTGCTTCTGAGAAACTGCGACGAGCAGAGGAGCGCATTGCGGGTCTTGAGTCGTATCAAGAACAAGCCAGCCGCGAGGGTCTCTCCATCCGGAAGCAATTGCAGGTTGCGATGAAGGAGAACCAGGCTCTTGGCAGTGAAAAGGCAGAGCTGGAGCAGAAGCTGGAGAGACATATGCTGGAGACGAACGCTTTGTCTGTGCAACACGCCTCTCTCAAGGATATACTCAACGAGCGTGGCATCAGCGCTGCAGATAAGAGGCGATCACGAGGACTGGACTCGCCAGGCAGCAACAGATTCAGCACTCCTGACACCTCTCGAGTTCGAGAAATGGAGCAGCAACTCGAAGCTCAAGCTAAGAACCACGAAGACTTGAAGCAGCAATTTGAGGAAGTCAGCGGCCGAAGCGACAAGATGAAACGCGAATACGAGGAGAAGCTTGCGGCTCTTGACAACGACCATCAAGCTGCAGTCAAGTATCTTCGTGGCACGGAGAAAATGCTTTCTAAGATGAAGCAGGAAATGCAACGTGTCAAGAATGAGAACGCTGATCTGAGCAAGAAGCTAACCAAGGCCAAGGAAGACATGGAGTCGAGCGCCAGAAGCACTCCAGCGACTGAGCGTAAGAACGAAGATTGGGAGGGCGAGCGTCAGAAACTCAAGCAAGAAGTCTCGGCTGTGCAGACTAAACTACAAGGGTCAATTGACGATCTCGAGAGCCGTATCACGAAGATGCAGGAACAGCTTCGCACGACCGAACAAGAGCTTTCGCAAAGCAAGACATCGCAAAGCACTGCGCAGACTGAGCTCGAGAACTTGCGATCGACGATTGAGAGTTCCAAGGCCGACATGGAGCGATTGCAGAAGGAGAATGCCTTGCTCGAAGAACGAGCTCGCGACGCTGAGAACAAAGTGCAACTATTGCTGGATCAGGTTGAGTCGAGTGTCGACAATTATCGCAGGCAATCGAGGATGCGCAGCCCAGGTGGCACACCCACACTCAATGGCGTGGTGCACCAACGTGCTCCTAGCGTGAGCGAGTCGAGCGTCGATGCTGGTGAACTGCCTGAGCATCTGAAGAGTCATTCACGACAGATCTCCACAGGCGGCGATTCGACCTACTCCGCTTCCGACTCTGCAACCGGCAACGAGGGTCGCAACTCCATGGCTCTCGATTCCCTTGCCTCCGAGCTTGACGCTCTGCGGACACACTGGGAGACGACGAACAAGAACTATCGTCTATCTGATCGCTTTGATTATGACAAGACGCCAACCACAGCCGGACCTAACACGGCGGGTGGCAACAGCAGTCTTATGGACTGGAGAAGAGGGCTGGAACTCGATGATGACGACGATAATGCTACACGACCCGGCACCTCGGACGGCTCCAAGAAGAGCAAGAGCCCGGACGCACAACGAAAGCCTAGTGTGGACGAACCCACACCCACTGCTACACCGCGGCTCGGTGTGGCAGGCGGAATGCTGTAAAGACGAGCCATCTGTACGAAAACAACATATTACTGTGGCGTAATAAAAGGCGTTGTTCGATGACTCTATACTGCTGGACTGGATCCTTCGAGTATATTGTGACGAATACGAGAATGAATGGAAACAAAAAACGAGAATGAGGCCTGGTCTCGACGATCATTGTATGTTCTTCTGTGTGGGTCGAGCGAAGGAGGCAAGAAATTGGTATCTGGGTCGGAATGGCGGGCGGCATGTTTGGCTTGGATTTTTCTATCTGCCATGAGTTCGAAAGACACGAAACTCTGTACCCGTGGGCGGTACTTGCTTTTCTGTAGACATATACCCTCTGATTGTTGTGCTCGTATGCATTGTTGTACTTTTCATTCGCTGCTGCTATTGCTGCGTGTGTCAGAGAGGGTGGGAGAGTACTGAATGGGTAGTGTATAGTAGTGTTGCAATCGAGACCTTTCGGAATTTAGTGCTATTTGCTGCTTGATTGTGATCATGGATAGGAGCGTCCTTGCCAATGATTGCCACCTTCTGATATTATACAAATGGTGTCCGGCACGTGCGAACATTCATGTGACTCTGCAATAACAGTTCACTGCACTGCTGGAGTGGAGCTCTTTACTCGTTCACTTGTGGTATTTTGGTCGCTGCTACCACGTTGACATCGTCCGTGCGCCACGCGCTAATGAAGCTTCCGCAGCCAAACGTCATTCAACTCGCTCTTGCGCTTGTGAAGCCACAACAGAAGTACCACAACAGAAGGACCACAGCTTTCTCAACGCTGCTCGATACATTCACTACACAACTGTTCGCTTCTCACCGAGATGTGCACGGCAATAAAACGCCGGCTATGACTCGTCAAATTCTTGAACGCAGACGCACCATTCCTGATCTCCGAAACTCACCTCCCCTTCCTAAGCAGCACGGCTTCGAAAAGATGGATTCCACAAATACCGCTTGCAAGCGAAATGGGAGCCACAGCCAAACACTGGACTCTTCAAAGAATTCATCCGCGACTCTCAAGCTCCACGAGCTCCCAGAAGAACTCCTTCAAGACATGCTCGAATACCTCGACCGCGCCGCACTAAAGCATCTCAGCCTTACGTCAAAATGGTGCTACGACAAGGCCGTTCCGTATCTCTGGCGCGAAGTCGATCTCGTAGATTGCAAAGGTCCTGATCGTTTTTCGGGCTACCGTGACGTTGTGGAACAACCGCGCCACGACGATCACGACGATACACCCCTCATCAAGAAACTTTTCCTGCTTGCCACGAAGCCGAAGCTTGCGGAACATGTGCAAGTCCTGACGCATCGATGTCATATGCCACCTCCAGCGATCTTTCATGAGTTGCCGAAGATGTCCTTTTCGGGCATGACATTGTCGTCGGATCCGAGGACGATTGCATTGTGCAAGATGGCGGTAGCGAATATGACGAAGGTACATACTCTGAGGATTATTCTGGGACATGCAAATCTGGTAGATGCGCTGTTGAGATGTTTCTTCGACGAGGATAGGGCGAAGAAGGAAGGGGTGGTCAGCGTGAGGAGGTTATGGTTGGAGAACTGCAGGATTTCCGCCGGCTTGAACTTGCAGATGGATCCGAGAGTGGGCAATCCTTTCGAGTTGCCGACAAGGTTGACTTTCGAAGGTTTGGAGAGTGTGCGGTTGAGGAGGTTGCCATTTCGACCCGTTAGTTCTGCAGAGCTGTCGGTGGCGAAACATCTGGTATATGCAAGGCACTCGTCAACACGGCCGCTCCAAGATGGTGTAGGTGGGAGATTCGAGGCGAGTACGAGTACTGTGGTTTCCGAGCTCAGAGCGGGACAGGAATACCACAGGCGCATGGAAGAGCTTGCGGTCCTCGAAGAGGCAGTACCTGGGAGCATCCTTGAGGATGAGTTGCAGGTTGACGACAAGTGTCCGCTGGCCCAGATGTTTGAATCGGCGCATAAATACGATGAACAGGAGTATGAAGCGCTTGAGGCATCAATCGAGCTGCCTGAGCAGATTCGCAATCTCGGCAAACTGACCCGACGAGAACGAGCCGTCATGGCATATCGAGGAGTTGCGTTGGACGTATCCTTGGACGCGGAAATGGCATTGTCGATGCCGCAGCCTCTGCTGAACATGCAACGGGAAACGGTGACATCTGCAGATACCGCCATGTTGATGCTCAAGAACGCGAGCGATACCCTGACCTCAATCAATCTCGACTGGATAATGGGTTCTGATCATCGGACAGCTTATATGGGAGGTTCTGGTCGGGCATATCAACAGTGGGTCGGGATGTTTCGCATATTCTTCGAACTTCGGTTTCCAAATCTGAGATCACTTCAGCTTCGCAATTGCGTGGTCGCGGGAACAACAATCCCGTGGGATATCCTTCTACTTGACTCGAGCCCGGAATTCTCGGAGCAGCGACCTACGAATGGGCAGGCTGCTGTTCAGGATGGGAGCTCACCCACGTTTGCTCCTCTAGCTTTCATGGAAGCACACCCGGAGATCAGATGCCTGGCATGGCCGATGAGCAATTTTTTCTCAGACAAGCCCTCGACAAGCATCAGACGCCGAGTTGACGTTGTTATGGACAATCTGGCACGAAACTTGGTGGACTTAAGGGTCGACACAAAATACAGCGAACATGGAGAACCTTACACCGACGACGACGACTTGGAGTACAGTATCTATCGCGAGCGACGGAGGCGCTTCATTTCGGAATTAGTTCCAAAATTGAGGAGGCTGGAGAGTATCAAGATTGAAGGCGGCATGCCTCGCGACGAGAGGAGAGAAATCCTTCGCGCTCTGCATGCATGTCCTTTACAGAAGATCGTGACCATAGGAATCTGCAGTCCCCTTGGCAACACTTGGGGTCGCGATGGCGCCGACGTGATTGGTTTGGTAGACCAACACGACCGTGCGAATATGGAAGCGGAAGACAAGTCAACTGTCAACGCACTCGGTGGTAGCAGACTCCACTCTCCCGATCCCGACACCTTCACTTTCCAGCCAATATACAGATGGGATGGCCAGCCTCCCATGCTCCACACGATCGCATCCTACCACGCGCGCACAGTTCGCGAGCTCAAGTTTTGCGGCTGGAAGGGCGCTCCGCTCCTCCTGAATCCGCCACCCATCACGACTCCGCTCCTCTCTTCTCTCAGACACTTCCACAAACTTGAAAACATCCACATTAGCATCTGGCTTCCCACCCACTTCGAAGGCGCTCCTCGTGACAGCGAAATTATATCCTACTGGACCGATACCAGATCACCGGAATCAACCGCTCTCACGCTGGTCGCGGCTGAGGAGCTTGAGGCGGGATGGGAAAAGGAACTTCGCACAAAGTATGCGCCGAATGCCTTAGCCTGGCGAGTTACGAACATGCTCGGAAAGTTCCTGAGTGAGGAGGTGAAAATGAGAAAAGGAGGTGTCAAAGTAAGAGCGAGTTTTAGTGTAGGTGACTGGGGTGGGATATTCGATCTCGATGTGAGAGTTGGGAAGGGCTCATTGGGCAGTGACATTTGCTTGGGCTTTGAGGGGCCTAGAGAGGAGTTGGAGGAGAAGAGGAGAAGGGAGAAGTTGGATAACAGGAGATGGTTCTAGACTGTGCTTTTCGGTGCTTGACTTTAGCGGATTTGAGCGTGGCATTCATTATTGGACGATTGCATGGCAGCGATGGCATTGGATTTAACTGCATGAAGGAGGAACACGGAACGGTGCATAATTCTTTGGAGCATATTCATTAAACCAGAGATCATTCTTTTTTGGAAAATTGACTACTTGACCTTCTTTCAAATTCCGGTGGCAAAATGTCTCTTTTATGATGTGCTCATGCAGGATCGGAATGAGGTGATGCTCTTTGCACTGTAGCACAGCGAGTTTTACATTACTTCCCAATCAACTTCCTCTATTGCCTTCTTGTCACTCTATTGCTCGTCTATCACGTGGAACGATCACCATTCGCTGTCTTTCATCGTTTTCTTACGCTGTTGGGCATTCTCTTGTTGTTCTGCTCTTTCCAGCCAGCGCCGATCTCGGAACCTCTTTCCCGCCAAGACTTTTGAACGTCGTCGAGAGGCGAAAGTTCTCGACTCACACTTCGCTGGACTACACGACGCAATCTAAGCTACGAAACCCATTGGAACGACAAAAGACAAGCAGAAAACAATACGCAAGGCTGGCCACGCAAGCTTCTGTCCTATCGACACCGCTTCCCACCCCTTCGCTTGGTCGCGGACGTGCAACCCACAGCTTCGAGGTATTACACATCGGCGCGTCGGCTACAGACCTCCTTCCACAAGCCTATCGCAATAAGAACTGCGACGACTGCACGTGCGTGCATTGAAGAAGCAAGAAGCACGCCGGTTCGCGCGTAATCCGGGAGTTTCGTGGGCGTTTTGGGACCTGGTTGCGGGACCACTAACTAGACTGCTTTTCCAACGAGGCATTTGTTGAATTCTCGTTGGGACGAGCTTGAACTAGGATTGGTGTTGAGGCTTCTGCTTGGGGTCCAATTGCTCTGTAGAGGAGATTTGGTGTTGCTGGAGAGTGCGGAAATATGGCTTCTACCGCGCAGAGAAGCGTGTTAGGAAGACATGTTGTGAGAAATGCTCAGCAGTATGGAGAGACTCGAAATTCTTTTCTGCGGCAAACGCGCACGACGACATCTGATGCGGCGATCTCTTGCGTAAGACAATGCGTGGGAGCTGGGAGTGGGAGGAGGGGACTGTCCACGTTTGCTGCTGCTGCGGGTCATCGCAGACCGCTTTTGTTGTCTGCCGTTGGCCTATCTTCGAGGGATATAAAAGCCAGGTCAGACATTTCTTTCAGATCTGGAAGCACGTCGTTCGTTGCTCTGGATTCATCAAGGACGAGGAGAACGATGGCTACGCATGCAGATCCTACAACGCAGCAGGTCCGTAGGGACTCTGCTATGTCGAATGTTGAGGAGGCTTACGAGGCTGTCGTGGTGGGAGCTGGACCTGCTGGGATTACAGCTGTTGGGAATTTGCTGGAACAAGGTCTTACGAAGATCCTGTGGGTCGATGAGTACTTCAATGGCGGGAGAGTGAATCAGTACTACCGGGAAGTGCCTTCGAATACGAAGGTGAAGCTGTTTATCGATTATGCGCAAGCGCTCTCGCCATTCAGAGAAATTGTCGGCGGTGCGCAGGCTCAAGACGGATCAACTACTGCAACAACAAAAGCCAGTAGCGAAGACAAACTCCGCGCTCTCCGCCAGCTTGATCAAGAAAAGGGATGCAATCTCGGCCATGCGGCGGACATGTGCCTCATACTTACGGAAGGCCTCAAACAGCATCCTTCGATCACGGCACACCTCGGTCGGATTTCAGAAGGCTCTCTGGATCCAACCTCACAAACTTGGACGCTTAGTCTACCCAACTCGAGCAATACCATTCAGACTCAGCGCCTGGTTCTGTGCACCGGCTCCTCACCTCTCGATCCGCCTCTCCCCTTTTCTCCTCCAAACGAGATCCGCCACATCAACCTCGACGATGCCTTATCACCTACCAACCTCCAATCCCTCCTCTCACCTCTTGGACCCACCACAGTTGCCGTCATTGGCGCCTCACATTCCGCCGTCCTGGTCCTCATGAACTTATCCCACATTGCTCTCACATCCAAATCTGACCTGCGAATCAAATGGTTCACCCGCCATCCTTTGCGATACGCAGAATACTATGACTCGTACATTGCGAGGGATAATACTGGTCTGAAAGGCGAAGCAGCGGATTGGGCCAAGCGGAATTTGGAAGAAGGAAAATTGGAGAAGAGTGATGTCGGGAAGGTCGTACAGAAAGTTGCGTACCAGAAGGGTGAGGAAGAATCTGTCTACCGAGAACATCTAAGAGACGGGAAAACGGGGTTCGTGGTGCAAGCGATTGGATACTCGAGGAATCCAATCCCTGAACTGAAGTTTTCGAATGGGAAGGAGATCGAAGAGGTGAAATTTGATCACGATCGAGGATGTTTCTGGTATGGGAAAGAAGGGGAGAAGAAGGTATTGCCGGGAGTTTATGGAGCGGGCATTGCATTTCCGCAGAGGGTGGTGGATAAGAAGTATGGGCATGAGGAGTTTAATGTGGGATTTTTCAAGTTTATGAAGGCGGTGAAGGGATGGGTAGGAGGGTGGAAGGATGGTGTAAAGGTGGAGGCATGAGACAGGATATAGGAGCGGTAATTCGTGGTTTAATGAGTAATCGGGATGGTGATAGAGCTAGAAATGTAAGATAGCTGGGGAGCAGTATGACATGAAATCAAACCCGTCGAGTCTTCAACGTCGCTTGATCGAATGTCTTCTAGGCATCGTATTCGATGCAGGCTATAGTGTACCAAGCAAACTACAGCTTGGCGTTCACATGCAATAGCTCGCTTCCAGGTGAAGAGTAGTGGCAACGTGGTGAGCAGGTGGTGTGAGACATGGCAACCGACGAGATGAGTGTAGCCGTGTGGAGCCGCAGTGAACTTAGTGGAGGAATTCACACTATTGGTGCTTGGCGTGGGAGAGATGCGGGGAAGGGGCGTCCAAGCTCACGGCAGCTTCTGGAGGCTTGCCGTTTGCAGACACGCATCGAGCAAGCTTGCAGCAAGCACGAAGAGGGGAGATCACGGGCAGAGCATCACTGTGAGGAGCAACGCATACCCAGGCAGCTATCCGGACCGACTCAGACCTATCACCGCCGTCATCATCGTCAGCACCGCCAGCTACCACGAGAGCTCCGTCTCCAATACATCACTCGGCCAACCTCAGGAGACGAACGGCCAGCACCACCACCGCCCGCCAGCGACCCATTGACACCGCAGGCGACCGGCACACGCCTGTCCACCTCCACCATGTCGCGTCGCTTCGTGCCCCGCCTCTCCAACTTGTCCGCCGCCTCGACGAAGCCGACAGCAATCACCGCCAGTCGACCCTTTACGAGCGCGTCGGCAGCATGGAGCAAAGCACCCGCCCTCAGCGATATCGAGCCCGACACCAGCCACGTCTTCGACAAGAAACAAAAGCACTTCCGCGACAACCTTGCCGAAGCCCACCGCAAGCGTAAAGAATCAGAGCGTGCGTCCTCACAGTCTGCTATGTCCTCCTCTTCTTCTTCCTCTGCTTCTTCTAGTGACGCTAAGTTGTCCCACTCCGTTTCTAACGATGCCGCTCACGGCATTTCTGAAAACGCCTCGCATTTCTTGGGCTCACTCAGTTCCGTTGCAGGGGAAGCCGCGCGTAAAGCCGAAGCTGCCAGTGGCGACAAGAAGAAGGGCACCGGCCTGCTCAGTCGCGTCATCCATGGCACCGAAGAGGGTCGCGAAATGGATCGGGAGATTGAACGCTCTTTCTCCCAGGTCCTGGCGCGAGGCAAGTATGTGCACAGTATTGTGTTTCATGAGGTCAAGCCGGATAAGGTGGAGGAGTATGTCAAGCTCGTGGGGGGCTGGTACCCGAAGGTTGCAAAAGATGGGGATAACCATGTGAATTTGGTGGGAAGCTGGAGGACTGAGGTGGGAGAATGTGACACTTTTGGTGAGGAGAAGCGTGAAAGAAGATGGGAGGAGTCTGGACTAACGCGTCACAGTTCACATCTGGGAGTACCAGCGTTATGCGGGTTATCATAAGTCGCTGCACCGCATCCAGAACTCGCCTGAGTTCGCCGACTTCGATCGCAAGCTGAAGTCACTCATCACGTCTAAGAAGACGTCGCTGATGCAGGAGTTCCGTTTCTGGCCTACATCACCGCCTCGCCAGCTGGGAGGTGTCTTTGAGTTGAGATCGTACACTCTTCATCCTGGTAACTTGTTGGAGTGGGAGACACACTGGCAAAAGGGCCTAGCGGCAAGAAGAGAGGTCATGGAGGGTGTGGGAGGTAGGTCTAGACAACAAATCCCAAATTTGGTCGCCAATGGGATATTTGCTAACTTGTCGCTCTTTCACAGCTTGGTTCGTCCAAATCGGAGCCCTCAACGAAGTCCACCACCTCTGGCAATTTGCCGACCTCGAAGAACGTCGTGCCCGCCGAGAGCAGAGCTGGAGCATTCCCGGCTGGGGAGAGACGGTTCACAAGACCGTGCCGCTGATCCAAACGATGAAGAGCCGCATCATGGTGCCTATGCCATGGTCGCCAATAGCATGAGTGAGGCATACACCGATCACAAAATCCGAGTTTCGAGCCGAGACAACAGGAGATGAGGCGTGTACGGGTCAATAGGAGGGATGGCCACAACATTACTGGCAAGCAGTCCGCGGTCAACAAGCAAGAATGAGAAGTTGGGGGCCGCACGCACTTCTGCGTTGCATGGACAAATACAATCGCCCAAGAGCACTTCAAGGCGTCATCACAATGGGAGCCAAATGGTACAAATGAAAGGTTAGGCTGTGGGGAAGAGATCATGGTGTATGGGTATTAGTAGCATCATCAGTATTCGTTCTTTCATCTGCGCGGGCAATCAGAAAGCAGCTAGACATTTTGCTGCGGGCGGCATGGATGGAGAACTGGCGCAAGACATGAAGAAAATCATACAATTCTTTTGTTTGTCTGATCCTTGTGCTTCCGATCGACGTGTTGTCGTCTCGTTCTAATTGGGACGGGCTGAAGGCAACACGTGCAGAAAAGAGAAGTACAGTAGATGAGGTGACAATGAAAGACTTCTGAAAGTCCGTCCGACGTGTGTACTCACTGAGAACAGCGTACGAGTTTCGTAGCATCGTTGAGAAAAATCGAGATGTTGAGGGTAGAAGGACCTTCCGAGAGTGCTGTTTCCCTTCCCGAATATGTTCTCTCCAAAACACTTAAGCCACATACTGCGTTGACCTCCAAAATCTCGTTCGACCATTCCTCAATTATCAATGCGAATATTACCACTCGGCGTGGCACATGTAGTGCTGTCGTACATTGCCCGAATTCTTCAGTCAATTTTGGGCAGCGGGAGTTGGTAATTGGGCTCGGAAAGTGAAAAGTGAAACATGATCAAGAATATTCATCTTTCATCATCCCAAGAAAGGATTGTAGTATTTATCTCATCATTGTATCACAAGGTATCAAAAGGAGGTTCCCTAAAAGCCCGTTTTCCTCGGTCTGGCCATGAAAGAAGTAGAACATCGCTAACCGCACGAAGAAATGCGTGCGTGAATCCCGCCCAAAATGCATTCGCCAAAACAACAAAAGTCCATCAAAAACTGTGTATCATCACATCCAAAACGTCTCACCCGACTGCATGTGCAGGTGGGATCCCGCCCGTTCCTGTTCCTAACACCGGAACCACCATTCCCGGACCATCAACCGCAGGAGCAGGAGCAGCGGCGACATCAGGTGTGGGGTATCGTCCCGCGGGCGTTAATCCCAAGGCCGGACTCGGGCCTCTCGCGCCTCTGCCCCTTCCTCCTCCGCCTCTCCCTCTCATTCCTAGCCCGCTACCGCCTCTCCCTCTTCCGACTCCTGGAATTGGCAGACTGAAATCCGGATTACCGCTCAATATCACGTCTTCGTTCCTCCTCATCTGTACCTCGGATCCGCCACCCATTCCAAAACCTGGAGGCCCTTGCACAGGCATACCAGGTCTCCAGTTCGGATTGACACCTCTTTGCGAGACAGATGTAAAGTGACTCGACTCGGATGCTGCGCCTGGACTTCTCGCTCCATCAGGTATGATCTCCAACGGATATCCCGGACCAGAGACAATCCTCACACCCGGATCCGAACCCGCGTAACTAGAACGTCGTTCTTGCGATGCATATTGCTGATTTTCGTCCGGAGGCGTGATGTTGTGCTCAAAGTGCGGATGATGATGCGAAAGATTCTGAAGCTGATGATGATGATCACGTCTTAGAGATTCGTCGCTATCATCATGGTCAGTCGTGTGCCGTGCATCATCCGCGACTTCAGCTTCTTCAGCATGAGGCGAGAGGATCCGTGTGCTATCTACAGGAGGAGGAGGGGAGTTCATACGATAGTGCTGTGTGCTGCCGTTCTGGTAGACCGGCTGATGTGCGGGGCCGTCGTGCAATACTGCTCGTTGTGCTGCACCGGGTGTCAGGGCGTTGGGAATGCCAGACTGTCGATGTGCGGGGTGCACGGCCGAGGGCGGTTGCGGTGCTGGGTCCTCGGCGAAGCGAGGATCAACGTCTTCGTAGTATGTTTGTGACCCGGAGCGCTCATGGCGCACACGAGGTGGACTTCGTGGACCTTGCCCAGGCTCCGGAGATGCTGGAACGGGGCTGAGTGGTAATGTTCGTGATGATTGCGTTGCGTGCGACGGGTCTTGCATTGACGACACAGTCTCGAACGTCGCTTTCGAGGCTTGTGCATCTGGCATCTGTAAGGGCGCATCGTGCTGTGCTGAGAGTGGTGATCGCTGGCCGGCCCACTGTTGCCGTGGTGGCACGTAGTTCCTGCTCACTGTTAGCACATATACTCTATCGTCACCCGCAAAACTCACTGATCGCCAGAGTAGAAGCTCGATGGCGATGCAAGAGGCTGATCACCGTTCGGCGCATCTGAGCGTCCTTGCATTAGGCCAACCATTCCTGCGACATCGCCATCGCTATCACGCAGACCGTAGGCATTGTGCGCATTCGCAGGGCTGCCAGTCCGCTCATCCATCTCGATCGCTTGTCCGATGGGACCTGCAACGAATTGATCATCCAATGGCGCAGGAGGAGGCGTGTTCCTTGGTGCACCATAGTATGGGTCTGCTCCATACCCAGGCGGAGGCATTGGCCGCGCCGGCCCTCCTCTGCCCATCATGCCAGGTGGCGGGGGCCCGTACCCTCTGCCTCGTCCATTGAATCCTGGAGGTGGCGGCCCAAAACCTCCTCGCCCACGCCCATTGAAGCCAGGTGGTGGAGGATAGCCTCCCCTTCCTCGAGGTGGGCCGTAGCCGCGGTTCGGCGGGCCATAGCCTCTCCCTCGTGGAGGATAGCCATTGGATCGGCCACTGCCCATGCTGCCCTCTGAGTTCTGATGCCTCAAACCGCCAGCAACCGCTCCCATTGCTGCACCTTCTGCGATCGGATTTCCGTACTGATCTCTGCTTGGGAACCTTTGCATGCCATGTTCCTGGCTCGGTCGTGGCATTGGTGGGACATTCTCGTCGAAAGTGGGTCGTCGGCCGTTCGTGCTCGTAGATCGAATGCTCGGATCGCGGTGTGGGTTGAGAGGCACACGATCGTCTGCGTAGCCGTCACTGTTCGTGTCCGGCCTCTTCATCTCAAAAGTCGCATATTGCCCATTGCCCTTTTCGACAGCAGTACTTCCACTCATGGGCGGAGGACTCTCTGCTCTGGGAAGCACGTCTCCCTTGGGCAATGTATCGACCAGCATTCGGTTCGCCGCCAGATTCTCGTAGTAATTTTGACCATTCATGTCCGCGTTTTCGGCAATGCGCTTCTTGCGTGCTTTCCTGCTTACTAGTGTCCTTCGCATCGCACATGTTACTATACTGGACGCGACGATGAGGATCGTCGCTGCAAGAACAATCCATCCTCCCCATTGCATGTGCGGTACGAAGAGTAATATGTCCACCAGAAACGCCAGGAGTGTGATCAACAAGGTCGGGAAGGTGAGGATCAACAATGCGAGGAGATAGCGCGGCGAGTGCGATGGTCCATGGAAATGCGCCGCAACAGCGAGACCGAAGCATATTAATGCGAAGAGTGCGGCGATCGGATGCACGATTAGAATCGATGATAGGCTATGTCGTGTCGAAGACGGGAGGGAGAAGGCTTCGTTATTGGCATTGGTGCCGCCGGAGAAGAGGCCATCTGCGCAACACTTCATGTTAGCTCTCCGCGACGTGCCGGATCACACCCAATGTGTCCATCTTCCGCGAAAACAGAGGAACCAACCTGTACTGTAACCAATTACCGGCCCTTCGCATCTCCCATCGTCACTGCACCATCCCAGCACGCCGAAGTTGTAGCCCTGGTAAGAGCCGAGCGGAATACCCTCGATGACGGGTGTGGACAATGTGCTAAGCAAGAGCAGCACAAAAGCCACGAAGAAAATAATAGAAAGCGGAGTCGCCGGGCGCAACATCTTGTCCTACGTGTGGTCGGGTGTGTGTGATATCAAACGAGTGTGGTGTAGGAAGAATGCGCCGATGGAGACGACGCTGCTGCTACTGGCTCGCAGCCAGCGTGCTGCCGCTGTTATCTCACTCTCCTCGACAATCTATCCGCCTCCCACTCGTCGTCGCCAGTGGTGTGCCCAGTCGTTCCGTCGTCGCCGTGGTCGTGGTGCTGGCCGGAAAGTGTTGGAGGTGTTGTTGCTGTTGTCCCTGAGACGATGCTTCCGTGGCCCGTGAGCGCCTTGATTGACCTCGAGGCTTCTGTAACCCGGAACCTGGTCGCTGACAATGTCGAAAGTCTATATCACCAGCATGTCTCCGCTGACGCTGTCTGTTGACGAATGTTATGGCCGTTGCACTCCGCAATGTCGTCGTTGTCGATCGCGCTGACGCTAGAGGCTGTCGATCGGTTGCGTGGAGAACGGGGGCGCAGGCCAAAGGGATGCGCCGTATAGAATATTGCGACGGCGAGGTGGCGGAGCTGGCGGGGAGTGCGCAGAGTCCGCGGCGGTGGTTGTCGAAGTGCAGCGGAAGTTGGCAGACAAGTGAGGGGAAGGATGGGTGTGGCGTGCGGTCGCTGCTGCTGCTGGCGCTGCTGTTTGGTTGCGCGCGCGGTGGTCTCGCTGCGGTGGTGCGGGAAGGATTGGATGGTCGCCTGTTTGCAGCCGCGTTTCCAGCTAATTTTTGATTAGACTATCGCCCGCTTCGCCTAACCAGATGGACTGCAAGCGTGCCACGCGAGACGGGCACTACGGGATGTGTAACGCTCAATCGCACCACTTGACATGAACGACAGTCGAAGACAGGTCGCGAACGAACATGGGAAACAGCAACAGCGACCACTGTCAATCGAAGAACAGTCGTCTTTCTCAGGTCCATCAACACCGCATGTGCAGACTCAAACCACTCGCTAAAACACTATACAGCAAAGCTGCTAATGCTCCCTCCAGCACGCGATTCCATTCGCATCCCAGGCCCATCTGCGGCTCCATCTCGCGCAAACATGCATCTCCAATCGCGCTTCTCAACCGCAGCAAAACATCCCCAATCTCTCATCAGTTCTTCCCCGTCTTCGAAGCACCACGAATAGCCGCTTGTGAAACCACTTCGCTCCACCAATATTTATCCGTGCCACGCGAAATACACATTCACCCACTCGCAACATCTACATACCTCTCATCGGGATCGCGAAGTAATAATCTCAGAGCAGCACAAATGGATCGCAGAATATCTCCTACGGTGTGTCAAAACCCTTCACCCGCAGGATGTTGTTGAAGAGAAAAGATCGCAGCTCTATTCTCCCCGGAGATTGCCAATTCGCAAGCAGACCAGGGTCACCCCATGTCCTTCTCGAAAAAATACAGCCAGCCATGCTCGGGGAACTTCCACTCCGCCAAAACGCTAACCATAACAAACCCTGCTTTCCACGTTTCCGACGATTTCTTCTTCGATGCAGGACATCGAATAAGTGAACGGTGAACGTTGTTATCAACAGACAGTGTCTATACGATAGAAATTCGACAAAGATACGACCACGTCTCTAACCTATCGAAACAGCGACTGCAGTTGCAGACAAGCTGTATTTGATTCACGCTCGTCTTTGAATGGAAAGAAAAACATATTCGATGAGATAAAATTCGCTTTTCCTTTCCTTCATACCATTATTCGGCCGTCTCATCCTCTCACTGCGGAGAAGGCAAAATGCGTAAGCAGCGCCTCGCTACTAGAACAGCTCATCGAAAGAAGAAAAACAATATCCTACACACGACCCAAAACCCGCTTCTTTTTAAAACCCAAACGCTTGATGCTTAGCAACACCTTCCCTCCCGCCGTTTCTCAGCTTGCCCCCCTTCCGACCCTCGTCCCATTGCGCACCTGCAGCACAAATTCGTTCAAATCCACCTCATACCCATTGCCTAACGTGACATTCGACTTTAACGCACTGCTCCCGTCCGCCAGGTTGCCACCCCGCAAGAAGCTCTGTAGGTTCTCTTGCGCATCTGCTGCGGCTTGTAAAGTCTTTGCGTCCTGGAAGACATACAGCACTGCAACGCGGGCGAAGTCGACAGTGCTGTTGCCGTCTGTCAACAGAGTTCCGGTTGACGATGACGAAGAAGTAGTCGCTGTTGCCGTCGTCGAAGTCGATGTAGTGACTGGAGTCGGACTTCCCGTAGCTACGAGAATGCTGTTGCCGATGGTGCTACTCGACGCATCCTGCCTCTTTGCCTTGGTAGTCTCTCCATCAAACGTCACGAGCTGATTCTGCACATTGCAGCTCATGTCCGCTCGGGAAAAGAGTCCAAGCAGTTCTTGCCTGTCCAAGGGAATGCCAAACTGAGACTCTGAGCTGTCCAGCAGCCGCGGAAGTGCTTCACCAATCGTGGCATTCCCGGAAGAGCCTGTCGATATGGAAGTACATCCCGACTCCTGTTTTCTTGAGCAAGTAGTTCCCGTGTATCCATTGACACACAAACACTCGCAATCGCCGTTACTGCCAAGGATATTAGCCCCTCCGTTCTCGCACGTCAACTGGGCGGCGCAGCTTCCAACCTTTGTCGATCCGGAATTTTGATTGGGGATCACGACAACGAGCATGACGGGAACGACAACAGCAGCAGCAACGAGAAGGAGGAGCAGGAGCATAAGGCAGATGAAGAGCCATTTCGGCATGCCGCAGCATCGTCTTCGCTTGATCATGCCAGCGTCGCTATCACTGTGCAGCTGCGAATGACGATTCTTTGACGAGAAAGCCGCGAGACTTCGTCGAAATGCATTGCGGGACTCGGAGGGTGTTGACAGTGCAGGTGGGGGAAACGCATTCAAAATGTCAGACATGCTTCCGGAACGTCGCTTCTTCTCGTCCAGATTGTTAGCACCCTCGATCCAGTTCATGCCCATTCTAGAGGCAGTCTTGCCACGGTCGAGGTTGGATGCCAGCTTGGTGGCTCTTCGGATGAGATCAGGTAAACTTGTGAGTGATCCTCGTGCCTCAGCTTCTTTGACAGCGTCAACATTGAGGCGAGGCGGCCTACGCTTGCCTTCGCGTGCTGAAAGTCCGCCCATGGGCCGCTTAAGCTCCTGAGCTTCCTCTGTGCTGAGTGCACCCCCTTTCTCCAGACCATCGACAATGGACTCTCTCCGCGGATCATCAAGAGGCACGAGTGGCGATCGCGTGCGAGATCGCTGCGGGCGAAGCGGCGTTGTCGCACCAAGAAGTTCCTTTGACTGTCGCTGTTCGAGCGTGGGCCTGTGGTCTAAGGATGGGGAGTCGAGAAAGCCAGTGCCAGAGCGGAACGTCTCGCTTGGCGTCTTTCTGCTCGAACTCTGCTTATCTGGTGAAGGACCTTCCTGTCGATGTTCTGCAATGGCCACCATTGGGATACTCTGCTGTTCCTTTTGCGCGTCTGTATCTGACCCTTCACTTTCAGCACCCGGCTGCGTATGTCCTTCAAGCATTTCCTGTGCCAGAGCTCTAGAACGCTCAGTGCGCTCAGGGCTATCAGTAGTTGCAGTTGAACCTCTGACACTCCCGTGCGGCTGACTGATAGCAGTACCAATTTCGCTCTTAGCGTCATCGATGGCCCTCTTCATGTGATCCGAGCTGCGGACAGTGGTCAAGGTGGGCTTGCTCCTCTTTCCAAGACTGGCTTGCCGGACAATGCCCGTCTCCATGTTCGCAGAGTCGAGGAACCCAGCAGGCTCGGGTGTCCTGATCTCCCCTCGCGCAATCGCAGGTTCCGTAGGGGAATCGTCGTAGTCGAAGTCCTCAGACTCCGTGTCAGACGGAGGTGGTGGTCGCTGTATAGGTGGAGCATTCGCCATTTCCCGGCCGCGATCGAGATGACTCTGAGTAATTCCGATCGGGATGGCATTGCTGCTGGCGAAAGAAGTCTTGCTGTCGTGACCGGCAGTATGCGCGCTCACAGTGCGAGTGCTACCGCGCATACTGTCGGTCTCCTCCTGAATTGGATGCACTGGACCGACTTGTGGATAGTACGATGGAGGTCCTCTTCGCGACGAAGGAGGAGGTCCCAATGGTGGTCGACGGTTCTCCGGCTGTCGGTATGCGACTTGTTGATGCACTTGCGGGGGAGGATATGGCGGGATGGCAGAGAGACCATCATCGTGACCAGCTGCCATGTTCGGATGCGGACGATCTGGCAAAGGATAGTTTGGAGGAGGGACATAGCTGTAACCATCGCCAGTCCACTGGCCATTACCATGATGCGATCCCATTGGAGGTTGATAGTGCTGTCGGCTGGCGTGTGCCACTGGAATCATACTTCGAGGTGGGTCGCGGCGCTGATACTCGACTCGGCCAGGAGACTCATCGGGTCGTTGAGGTCGCGGCGGTGCTCGACGGGGACTGCTGCTGCCGTCACGCATTGGACGTGGTGCAGGAGGTTGCGGAAGCGGCCATTGATCATTTTGTCCATAGTCTTCTTGGTAGTCGTATGCACTACCGTCGTACAAGTGCTCCGAGGACTGCCATGTTTGATTGCTGGGAGGATAGTAGTGCTGTTGCTGCTGCGGTGACTGCACTCGTCTTGGGTCGCGTGCAGGTGGAGGTCCGGGGTGATCTGGTCGCATTGCAGGCGGCCCGCGCATGCGATCTGAAGTAGCGAATCCTGGTCGAGGTATGCTCCGATTCGAAGGGTGGACGTTCTGGCGTTGTCGAGGCGATTCATGCGAGCGGCGGTATTCGGGTTGGGGCTCGCCATAGCCTTGATCATAGTAATGGCGACTCATCCTCGGCGGACAATCAGAGCAGCGGAAGTGGCTGCACACAACGAACAATGCACGTCACAATGGCTGTTCGTGGGCCGGGCTGGCGTTTTCGTTGCGATCGTGCAGAGCTGCAAAGGGCCGTCGAGAATCCTTGCCGCACTCGCAACTCCAATGGATTTTGCGCACCAGAGTCCGGGAAAATGCAGGTACGCTGCGGTGTTCTACGCTGTCGTCGACCTTGCGGATGGCGGTGCTCGTGGCAACTCGGAGTTGCTGCTGGGACTAGTTCCGCAAGGCAATCTCCTCCGCATGCAACGGTGGCCGGTGGACTGGGGAGAGATGGTGCGGTGCGCGCGTGGCTGTGAGTGGTACAAACGAGTGTGGTGCAGTTGGTGCAGCGTCAGCGATTGGCGGTCCTTGCCTGGAGCTGCAGTTAGCCACGCCGGTCGCACTGAGGGGGATGGTGTGCGTGTTTCGCCAACCACCGCTGGGCCATGAGCTTACCAGAGGACTGTGTGGACGAAGACGATCAGCAACGGGCGTGGAGAAACGAGGGCATGCGGACACGCGGTAGGAATGCAAGGTTTCGTTATCGATGGTGTGGCCGTTGACTGTTGCTGCTGCCGCTCGGGCGTGCTGCAAACCGGTCGTCGTCGAGTCGTTGACGGCCGTTCCGTCTCGCAGAGACTGCCAGTGTGTCGAGTTGCAAACCGCTGCCGACGTGTCCAGGTCGTCAGTGGCCAGCGGCGTGGGCGCTCCAGACAGCAGCTAGCGGGGGAAAAGATCAAACGAGTGTCGTTGCAGCGTGCATGAAACCCCCAGGCCGGCCAGAGAGAGCAGGAGCTGCTGATGACGACGCAGAAGAGAATGGGAAGCAAAAACGAGGCAGCTGCCAGTCTGCCGCACACGAACAGAAAACAAACGACGAGCTGCTCTCAGCCGAGCGAGGTGCTGCTGCTGGGGAGGGCGAGATGTGGTGTGGTTCCGCCGCGAGCACACGCCATCCACGCGCTATGCTTTCGCTTATGTTTCTGGAAGCTATCGTGAACCTTGTCGGCAACTCGTCGCTTGCGCGCTTTGGGCACAGCTTTGTGCGGGCACACTTTCGCTGCGGGTCCCTCTCATCTCTCTTGAGCGCACCACAGTCTCACCTAGACTACAGTCTCACCCACCGACTCCACTGCAATTGTTGAGCCCTCGTTCGTCGCCGTCCTTCTCCTTCTTGTCGCCGCCGCCTCCTCCTACTCCCGCCGCGATAATAACAGCTTCCACAAAAGACAAACGTGTTGGCGACGCGGGGCCGCTCTCCTGAATGCCGGACGCGACGCTGCAGAAAGATCTTGGCGCGGGTATAGGATGAAACCAGCCTTGTCGAACGGATACAGCCTGTGGCGTCCGCGCTGTTCGAATCCAGTCTCAAACCCCTTCCAAGGATGCCAGGGTCGTCCAGATGGCGTCCGTCGATGACTTGTCGCAATGGTAAGACGGCACCGCCTCACCGTGATGGCCTGCCGTCCCCGTTGATGATTTGCTGCACGAGTTCGCAGTCAGACTGCCTCACAACCACTCAGTGAGCCTATACCGCGCTGTCACTAAGTCCTGTGGCAACGGTCAATGCCGGACGTGACGAGCTGAGAAAAAGACCACAACATCCTGAGACGCGACTGGCATGAGCTTTGGAGATCGTGTCATCACGTCAACATGAAGTCTGATTAGAGTACGTCTAGTTTACCACATTCCTCAGCCAAAGTATCCGTGCGATTGGGATTGCGACATCCTCACAAAATCTCCGCCCTTTACCCACGTGTCGGAGACTCAGTCTTCGCCCCTCAACACGCAAAAAGCATATGAGAGGGTGGCTGCGAAAGCTTAAAGCATGACGCTGAAACGGCCTCGAGCGCGGCGTGCCTATTGGCTACTGTGTCAACGTCGTTCGCGCTCTTTGGAGTTTTCCCCGACATCATGAGTCGGGACCAACCTGCAGACACTCAATAAGCACGACAAGTCGCCGAAAGCTGACATCAGAAATGTACCGCGATGAACTCTTCGTTTAACACGTCTTCAAGATCGGATATGAGTACGATCAGCACCGGATCTCAGTATGCCCTCATTCGAGACCCTTCAGCTGCCCAAAGATCGAATGATTATGCAGAGGCAAGAGCGGCAGGTGTGCAGCTGCCGCGATCGTGTTCAGAAGGTGCAAGCAAGATGTGGTCGTAACTGCCTCACAACTGGCAGTATTTTCGAGTGAGCTCGCACGACTACCACTTCCACAAGACGACACGAAGCTTTGACTTCTTCTACATGGCATGGAGACTGTAGACTGGCAAGCGCAAACAACAATGTTTTCGCACGATGCACGGGTAAGACCACTCCGTGCTGTTGACACTCACAGGCATTGAATTGGGCTTCCTTGAGCTGGCGACTTGAGCTGTACACGATTTCGACTTTCTTACGAGCAAACGTGATCGCAGCAGCAAATACTTCACCAAACACGTCGACGCACGAACAGCACAGCATGGATTCCACAATTTATGACATCTCCGATAAAGAGAATGCTACGCCGTGTGAGCCACAACCGTTGAGGATGAATTCCCCTTCCCTTCTGAATATTGGACTCATCGCTGACAGCGATCTCTTCAGCCACAAAATCGCCCCCTCCAACATGGTCCCCACGCCACCGCCCGATGTACAGTCCCGGTGGCGCACACATCTCG